ATGGCAATTGTTCGGCAGATGTGTTTTAAAATATCTATGTTTTATCAGCTATCTAACGAGGTATAACAATCTAGGATTTTATTTAAATGCATTGAAAAAACTTAGTTTCATAGGCGACAGTGGAGAAGAAAATTGATACTTAGCCCTAAAAACTAAAATAAAACAATAGGTAAGCATGAAATATCATTTATTAAATCAGGTTTTCACACAACTTTTTCTTACTCTACAGTTCATGTTCAACATGGCTGCCTCTGTTTCTAATACATTGTCGCATCCTTCTACGGAGACCAGTCTTTACAACTGCAGTGGTCAACGTTGTCCTTAGTTGATTTGCTGCATCGACAATCCTTTCTCTTAATTCTTCCACAGACGAAACTGGATTTGGCTCGCTGTAGACAAGACTTTTCATGCACCCCCACACATGAAAATCCATGGGGGTTAGGTCCGGACTTCTTGCTGGCCATGGCAACGGCCCACCTCGTCCTATCCATTTGTTTGGATAATTTGTGTCCAGCCAGTCTCTGACACTTCTCCTGAAATGGGCAGGGCAGCCATCATGTTGGAACCACATGTCCCTTCTCAAGTTGAGTGGCAGATCATCCAGCAAATCTCTGAAGTCTCCTCTCAAGAAGTTTTCGTAATTTTCCCCATTTAGATTGTCCGGGAGAAAGTAAGGTCCAATCAAATGGTTGGAGATAATGCCCATCCACACATTCACGCTGAATCTTCGTTGGGACCTCGCCACTCTTTTCTTATTGGGATTCCTTAGTACTTTTGGGGCCCAGTAATGGGCGTTGTGATAGTTAGTTATGCCATCGTTATCAAATTTGGATTCATCTGTCCATAAGATATTTCTTAGAAAATCTGGGTCTTCTACGTCAGCATTTAGCATAAATCTGCTGAAGTCCAACCTTCTCGCGGGGTCTCCTTCTTCAATAGTGTGTACCGGCGTGTAATGGTACGGGTATAGGCCAGCAGTATGCACTGTAAACCACACTCTCCATTGCGAAAGTCCCAGATCACGGGCAACACGATTAGTGGAAATGGTCGGATCCGCTCGAAAGCGTTGCACTATCTCATTGTCCTGTAGTTCTTCGTTGTCATAAATTCGTGGTCTTCCCAGGTCTGTATTTCGTCTCAAAACAGAGCCAGTTTCTCGAAGTCTTAGATAAACTCTGTTAAAAACGGCCACATCCGGCACTCGACGACCGGGGAAGCGAGTTCTGTATTCGTTGCGAGCTTGCGCAGATACACAATCGCAGTATCCGTAACAAATAAGCATATCAGCATATTCCTCAGGTGTGTAGGACGTCATCTTCAACACTTCCGTATCACAAGTACAAATCAGAGTCCAGTGAACAAGCACAGTATTCACAAATCAGAAGAAATAGTCCAGAATCGTAGCCAAGTCGAGGAAAAGAGCAAAACGATATCACATCTACTATGTACGAAGCACAAAAGCAGACTGACAACCAAAACAACATCCCGTGTAGGATTTCCAGCCCTAACCGGTTATTATAATATGTTTTCTTTCATTCGCACCCACATTAAATCGTCATGTCTCGCTCGCACGGTGCGTCTAAACTTGAAGGAGAATAGGCGTGGGAACTGCTACTGCAGCGTCGCAACTACTTTTTTTCTACGAAATGTAATACAAATCCTAGATTGTTATACCTCGTTAGATAGCTGATAAAACAGATATTTTAAAACACATCTGCCGAACAATTGCCATAATATTTTTTTTAGATATCCCTTCGAGAAAAATAAACTTTCTGATATTTTTTTCAATTTCTTAACATTCACTTATCTACTACGGCCTATTCAATTAACTTATGGACTATTTTAATGATTGACGTCCTAAAGCATCTTATTACACATGTTAAAATGCAATAATAGTAATAATAACACACACAAAATAAAAATAAATACATTTAGTAGCCTAAAAATCGGCAATTTTCAATAAAAACATTAAAAGTTGAGTATCTCGAAAAGGGTTAAGTTTAGGGTAGGGTGTTTCATAATGAAATAAGTCAGAAATGATGGGTACTACACGCCCTTAACGGATCTAGCACGACTTTTCCTGTAACCCTGTATATAGTATAGAAACATTTTCACTGCATACTGGAAATCTATTTTGAATAACAATATGTAATTTTTTCAGACTGCTACCTGACCCGTATTAGATTTTTATCAGTATGTTTTTGTTTATTTGTTGCTTTTGTTTATGGATTTATACAGAAACATTTTTGTTTGAGAATTCTAGATTGATTTATTACTTGTTTGTATTTCAAAGGATATTATTTTTGTTTTAATTGCATGGAATTGACCGCTTTATTTTATTATTTTATAATATATCATATATATTCCATAATGATTTGAATTTTTATTGAACTACTCACTACCTTATTATAACAATGAATTGATGGATTATAATTTATTGTTTGCGCAACCTACCTTTTTGGCTTGGCTATTAAATACCAAATATTAGACCTACCATAGAAAAATTCATCTTCTCAATCTCTGTTAGGGATCTGACCAGTTATTAAACAGACCGCCGGCAATGTGTAATCAGGGGAGCAGAAACACTTCGTCCTGCGACCTGTCTTTATGTAGAACCTCCCTCTCTCTTTTTTCGAGTATAATTTATTGCGGGTTTATTTCTTTCATCTCCTTTACCGCCGTCTGATGGATCACTCTAAGCAAAAGCTAAACATACACGGTAATGTTTACCGAAAGGACATGGGATAAACAGGTTATAATAACAATAAGAGTTTTGAGCGTAGCAACCAGAATTCTTACAGAAATTTCACAAAACACTTTAAGAAGTGTGTATATTTTATATTTTGAACTCTTGTGTTCTGACGATTTAATAATAGGAAAGTTGATATATCATTACATTAAAAATCGCCGCAAATTCTTCCACTCTCAAATCTGCCGTTGGTAATATAGGAAGCATCAACTTGAGCATTTTATAGACCAATTGCTTATGGGTGAAAGACGCAAGGTAAGAAATCAAAGACCCTGGCTGGAATGAAGCTTTTCAAACTGATAATTTTCGGCACGGATTCGCGTCGTGATTATGGTTTGTTCACCAAAATATTCATACAGATCATATTGTAGCGGAATCAGGAATCTGAATATCCGCAATAGTTAGTAAACCAGGCTGCTATGCATATTTTAGCGTGTATGTCCAGCGGATGGTTCATCTGAATGGTTTTCCTACTTTCAATTTTATTGATTCAACAGAGTAATTCGTAGTATGGCATGTCATAGAGTAATTTTTTTACAGGGTAATCCACATTATTTTTTTCTATCTAAACGATATATGATAAATAGCATTTTCTGGAAAATAAGTTTAAAAAATAGAGTGCTTTAGCGTTCCACCCATTGGCGATAACCCACCTGTCGTTCTGGTTTCCTTGACATTGTGCAATATAAGTAACTGCTATACTGATTCTAACAGAGGTTGGAATGGATTATTGTTTGGTCACAAGTTTGAAAATTAGTGTAAGGGCGCTAAACTTAGTAACCAGAAAAGAAAGCAGATTCTTCCAACTATGTGCTTACATCCTAAAAGCTTTTTCAGTGTAGATGAAAACAAATACTTTGATTTTTAAATGTTCGTATTTATTTTTCAGTGAACATGAATAATATAGACTGAAGAGTATAAAATTAAATAAAGAAATTGGAGATGACATCTATTTTCTCGCAATATACTTAAACACTCTACTTTGGAAATGTTTGTCATTACTCATTTAGGTAGAATGTAACAATAACAAATTTGTATCGTATTTTCTTCTTTTTGGAACTATCCAGCCATGAATCACAAAAATTTAGTTGTTCAATAAAAACAGTTCCAGCTCGGTGTAACTTGAAACTAACAACTGTTTAGGAGAGCAAAAAGAACGGTGGGCTTTTGGAGTCTCTATCGAATGATCTTATAATCCTCCATGTTTGTCTAGTCGCAAATGAAACGTCATAAGCTAATAGTGCCAACTGATGACATTTCGGCAATCACGGTGGCTTTTTCAAGCAAATACATAAGTTATTTTTTTGCGTTCGTGGTGTTACAACCTAAGCGACGATGTCTCATATTCTAAATATGTTAGAATGACAATAGTCGCCTTTACATCATTAGCAGAACATCGTATTATTAGCACCCCACTTCCTGCTAGTTTCGCAACACGTAAAACAATCCGGTGTTTTGCGGTCAACTACCTTCAGGTGATCTTCATTCCTGGATGTTTACCTTCCTCCTGACTAGCTGCTATATCACAGACATCACAGTTTAACTGCATGTAGGATTTGGTATACCACAATGTAATTTCAGACACCTCGCCAAAAACTGTTTTAACGATGGAGTGACGCTACTTTTCTATAGTCCATATCATTTCGCCACTACCTAAATGCTTATTGAACCATTTTAGGCGTTCATGCGACGTTGGAATTCGGTATATTTGGAGGGCAGAAGATGAAGGAGGTATGTGCAACTTCGATGGCTTATTTTTGTACTTAGGCTATCGGGTTTTGAAAAATTGGTTCGGCTAATGATAAAACTATGTGACCCGGAGAACTTGATTTTCCTGACGGTTTTTTAATAGGAGCAATTTGCTTTTTCGATACCTCCCCGCGTTTCTGCGATCCTGGTAGCAAATTTTTTCAAGCTCAGTCTGTTGAAGAAACGGCAGTTTTTATTCATTCAAGATTCTGTATCAGAACTGCTTTCCACTGATCCATTTGAGTTAGTTACTCAGTAGTGCTCAGCACAAATATCCTTCAACTACACTTTGTATTCCCATGCACATTTTCTAGAGTGGTAATCTCAAACCAAAAACCACTGGACAATAAATATCTCTAGATCACAGAAGTTGCAACAGATATTTCCCACCATTTTGTAATAGTGCAGTTTACCTGGACAGTTTGGCGATTTGTATAGTAGTTGCTGCATTATAGAAAGGGAAATATTTCAGTGCATATTGGACAAATGAAAGTCTTAAAATGCTTCTATGCGTTTTATAAATGCATTCGTGGAAACTAATAACAAGAGTCAACACATACATTAAAATTTGAATGTTCATGAAATCAAAGATTTTTAAATACGTGATTTTCACTTAAATATTAAGAAATGAATTCACTTAAGATGATCTCATCATTTCACATTTGAGTAGGAACACAAAATCAATAAGCAATTATGGAGTAGAATGAACATTAATTTGTTCAATGAAAATGAATGATAAAGTCGCCCGCACATACCGATGGTGCAAATTATGCCACTGGTGCGGTTGCAACATTTTCCGTATATTTTGTATGAGAGCCATTAGTGGTGACGATTTGGCGACTAGTGGCTCGGTAAAATTCCAAAAAATATCCTGTTTTTCAAATGTTCAGGATGGGATTATCGACAAAATAAAAATAATATATCTAACACATCTGGTTGTAATGTGAACGAATATGAACGATAAATATATGGAATGAACCTTTACTGCCTAAAATTGCCACTAAATGGCCGTTGAATCCTCCCTCTTGCCCTTCTTGCTACTGATCTTGATTGGAAGTTCGGAGAGAGGGATCCTCCTCTACGATCTAGAAACAAATACATAAATTAGTCAACGCAAAAACCTCGCATTCGTGGAAGCAAATTTACGACTCGATTTTACTTCTCACGTCACTGACGAGAAAATAATGTAATCGCGAAAAATTTTCATCATGAGATATCACGTTTTTTGGATGATGTATGGGCATGGACATCACAAAAAATCATTTCCTTCAGTCTTTTTGTTTGTTGGTTTGTCTGCTTGCTAATTCTTGGCCTCGCTATAACTTGGAAAGTAAAGTTGGGTTTTGATAAAAATTTTACACAAGATTACTGTTATGCCAAAAAACGAAAAAAAAGATAAACTTCGTATTTTGATGATTCAGAGACTAATCATTTTCAAAAAAAAATTGTAGCAGTAAAAAACTGGGGGTTGTAGAAGAGAGCATATCTCACTTTTTTGGCGTTAGTATAATTATACGCTTCCAACCCAGGTAATTCTAAACACCTTAACCCCTACAATACTGAGAACAGTCTGCTTTAAGATAAATACTAAACATGCATCTCCTACGTTTAGTTCGTTCAAGATCGGAGAAGACCCATCTCTAAAAGAAATCCTACATTGACCCGAAGCTTGGGAAAAAGTAATTGCCGTCAGTGAATTTAATTTTTTTCGCTCTCATAGAAGTAGATCAAGTTGATCCTGATAATGGTAGCAAGAGTACATGCAGTGCTTTGTGGGAAAAACTTAGTATTTTTGATGTTTAGCAAATAAGGTTAATGGTTCATCTACTTATATAGAGAACTCTAATGACAATATCATACGTTAAGCGAACACTGATTGAGGGAAGATGTACTAAAAACAATCAATCTGTCTGCATAAAACCTCGCTACTTTTTACTGTTGAACCAGGCATAACAGTGCTGGTGTATGTACCTTGTTAAGAGTTAGATAAGTTCTGTGAAGAAATGTATGCCGAGTTTTGTGGGATTGAGAAACTGAAAACAAAAAACGTAGGCATCACTGCATATTGTTCGCCAAGTAATGAGGACTTAAACATCTCTTTTACAAAATTTAATGGTTTATGAATTTCTTATTGGATATATTTCATTCTATAATTATCGTAGGGACCTTCAATATAAACATGTGTAAACGATGTGCCTGCAGACACACCCGCTTTTTCCAATTCTACTAACCTTAGGCAGTTCACAAATCGAATTGACAAAGTTTCTTTGGGATCCTCATAGCAGCCGCCTGGTATTTAGGTTTGTGCCTGCGCGGCTGCTTCGGTGTAAAAAAATTCACACATCATAGATTTCTCCGTACATTTGCCCTCAAAAGCGATATTTTCAACACATGTTTATCTGGATACACCTACGTCGCGGTATGGTGGGTGATGAGGTGAGGTTAGTCATAGCATCGTTGCCAGATGGTCAGTACTGCCGAGAGGCCAGGGGAAAAATATCTATATCATAACATTCTCAAATAGGTCGGGACTATGGACTAATTATGTAGGCCTGTTTGTCTGACTTGATTTAATTTGTTTCTTATACATGTTCGTAGCAATCTTTTTTAGTGGCTGTTAAGTTGTAGTGAGCATATTCCTTTATACGCTGATGACATCATTACATGGGAAGTGCAGAGTCAACCTACCTGACGCAATTTTTTCACTTTCGTAATTTCGTTTGTTGGATGAATCAAGATGTTGCTAGTGTAAATTTGTTTTTGTTGGATGTATCAAGAGGTTGCTAGTGTAAATTTGTTTAAACAAAGTGCATAAAATTAATTTTTTAGGACAAAGTTTTTTTAGGCTTTTTTGGGCCATTCTGTACAAAAAATTAGTGCCCACCTTGCCTTTGCTGCTGTTGCCTATCGCCTCCCCATACAATAGGAGTAGGGCCTTGCGTTCTAGATCCTACGCCCCTAGTTGGTATGTGCCTCATGGATCTTCTCGCCGAATTTCCCCTCTGCGTTCTTGTATTTGTGCTAGGGGACGCTTCCGCCTCTCTTCCTTCCTCTTCTTCACCATCTTCTGCTGCTAGAGGTTTCTCGCCTTCAGAACTCACCTAGATTTTAGGACAATTATTTTATATTTTAGCATCGATTTAACGTATCATATGTGACGATAACCAACCATATACCATAATCCGGCATTCAAAAAGAGCAGTAGCAGAACCACATACTATAATTCTTTACAAACTAGGTACCTAAATTTATTTTTGTGTTCTGCTACTGTTTCATAGATGACGCTAGTATCTTTTTTAGATCCCTTTTTGGACTTCGGATTACAGTATAGGGTTGTAGTGGTGGCAGATATTTCACGAACTGTGATTTAGTAACTGATATTTATAAATTACGACTTGTCACCAAATACCATGACGTAATCGCGACTTCCGGAACTAGGTGCTTCACAGCAAACGGCAACGGCGAATGGCCACATGGGATCACTGCGCGCTACCCGATAAGGCCAAGAATCGTTATAGGTGTAGTCACCGTTCTTGGCGGGTCAAAGTAAGATTACTAGTATCCCTGTATGTATCCCCATACTCACGCAACCTACCCCTGTGTGTGAACGTTTGTTCGGTAAGCTCAAAGACATACGTTTTTTAGTTGTGTGTCTCCGTCTCGAAAACTTTGTCGTTACGTATGAGTGCCCTTCAATCATATTTGTCAGAGTGACAACTTACTGGACATCGGCGTGCACTTCGAGTTGTCCTGTTATCAACCTTCAATATAAAATTGTACAATGCCCGGAAATACGGTCAATGGAGAAGGCCGACAGCTCGTGCTAAACTTATTAAAGTATTTCCAGGAAGAGAATGAAAGCGATCCCCTGTTACCCACTTCATGGCTACTGGAGAGAGTAGCAGATGCGAAGAAGATTAGTCCGCGCAGTGTTCCTCCCATGGTATGAAGACTCGATCTGTTTACTTATTTCATATGACGTTGATGACGTAACCCCCAAGAACGGTGACTACAACTATACCACCGTAAGATTTCTATCGCCTGCAAGCCATACCATACCTTATAAGCTTTGGTAGTTGGCTCACAAAGATTCAAAAATAACGCTATCGGCCATCTCTATAAGGTTAGCTATCTCCAGGTAGAATATCTTAATCAATAATTTTAGGCACCGTTCTCACCAAAAACAGTATGACGGCAACTGGAGTTCAATCCGGTTTCGGCTTTTGCGTTCTTGCCGAAATACACTCCCCACTAATACTGTTACACTGCTTGGCTAAGATCAACTTTAAGCTGAACCCCAACTTCCATGTTTTTGCTCATCACATACTCTTAGAACTTGGGTGGAACGTAAACAGACAGTTGAGCTAGGAACAAGAATTTTTCTTCTTAAGGTGGATTTTCTAACCTAACACATGTCAACTTGCCAGTTGGACAATTTATAATTTAACCTACTGACCACTGACTGTCAAGGTTTTGGCTAATTAAAACTGCAAATATGGAAAGTTGTTTCAAGTTGTTTATTGAGTTCTAAAGAGCTCCTGAAACAATGAAGCTTAGCCATGAAACGTGATGGATTTTACCAAATTGTCAGAATGCAGATGATAGATACTGTCTACAGCAGCAATACTCAATGACACTAGAAGTGTTACACCCAGAAAAAATAATTTCTTCAACTTGACTTTTTGGCAATCATCATCAAGAATGAAACGATAACGATCTCACAAAATGTTATTAACGTAACAAGAAATAAAAATAATATGTTGGGCGACCCCGCAGCTGAATACACTCCTGGATTCGTCTAGGGATCGACAAAATGAGATGATCAATGTCTGGTTGTGGTACCTCATCCCGAGCAACTCAAACTTCGTGTATTAGTTGTGGCAGAGTCTGTGGCGGATGGTACAAAGTGGATAGTATCCCCCCTATCATATCCCACACATGTTCGATGAGATTTCAATCCTGTGAACGAGGTAGCCACGGCAAAACATTAACGCCTACCTCTTGAAGAAAGTCAGTGGTACGCCGAGCAAAATGGGGACGTGCGTTGTCTTGAGTGGACGGCCATCTAGATACAGCAGTAAAGTGGTTTGTAGGACATCAAGATAACGCGCAAAAGTGATATTGCTTCGAACAAAGAGAAGGGGTGATCGGCTAACATAGGCAATAGCCTCCCAAACCGTTACTCCAACAGTCCTGTGTATATGCCTCTCAACAGCAAATCCAATATTTCGCCGTTCTGCACAGCGGCGTCTTACCCTTCTACGACCAGACAAAATCGCAATTCGTCGCTCAAGATGACATTATGCCATTCTGCCTCCCTATGTTGCCGTTCTCTGATCCAGTTCAAACGTTGACGACAGGGGTCCGCAGTCAGAGAAAGCACAAACCGTGGACGGTATGAAAAGTCCAATGGCTCGAATGCGGCGATAGAGTGTACTCAAGGTAACGGGTCTACCTTCTTCTCCAATCGATTGATCAGCGATCTGACGCGTAGTAGCAAACCAGTTCGCCTTTTTCATGTTCTCTACCTTCTTCTATCCACACACACGCACCACGCACACCATCTCGATAGGTAATAATTCTGCCTCTGTCAAAGTCCTAGCATGGTGATAATGGTGTTAGAACTCGAGGCATTTTGTTATGCTTAACACTAGTAAATGAGAGGGCAATAACTAAAAATATCTGTACTTCTCAGTTCCTAGAAACTGCTTTCTTCACAAAAACTAAGAGACATTTTAACAAAGGTAAACAAAAATAAAGATAAAACGTTGACGTTGCCACATCATGCTTTAAATATTGTCATTATGTTGCAAAAAAAAACAATTTGAAGAAATTATTTTTTTCTGGGTGTAACACTTCTAATGTCACCGAGTATATAAAGAGGAAGAAATTAGTTCCAATCAATAGATATACATATATCACTGGGTTTGCTTTTTATTAATATAACTATATGTTGTCACATATAACTTCATCTCAGCTAAGTTTTATTCAAATCAGAGTGGTGGAATAAAAACTCAATTTGAGGTATACCTTAACATGATGATCACCTTTGTTGAGTGGTAGATTAAAAAGTCGGTGCAACCGGGCATTGGACATATCTACCACATATAAGATATATAGACGCTCGATAACGTAAACAGTGGATAATGAAAACTTGCGCTAATGTAAACACAAACTTCGTTCTATAGGATCAAACGGAACGCGCGATAACGTAAACAATGTGTACGCTCGATAACGTAAACAACTCTCGGCGCACGGAAACAGCGCGACGGTAAAATGCTGAAGCCTCGATGATTTATGTCGGGCGTCGGGGAGTCCCCGATTTATGATGTAGAGTGTAGGGGATTCACCTCTGCGATAAAATACGACAAACTCGGTCAGTCGTATGATCGTTTAGGATACGTTTATACGTGCGTATGTATTTCATTTTTGAACTTAAGTGAATACATTGCACGCGTTAATATATTTTACGACTATGGCATCCACATCCTATAAAAGAAAGTGTTTAAAGTTGAGTGAGAAAGTGAAAATCATAGACGAAGTTGCACTAGGTGCGGGTGTGACACAGCAAAAAAATATGGAGTATCGAAAGCAACAATCTGTAAAATTAAGCGTATGAAAACTCAAATTTTACAAAGAACGTGCAATACATTTGGAGGTCCCCTTTCCCCTATATCCCCTCTATAGCCCCACGGTACCCAATGGGTGTTTAGGCCTTAGGCCTTCGTGGTAGTTGGAGTATAAAAAAAAAGGTCCGGGAAAAAGAAAAACTTTAAAAAATGCGAACGCACCTAAAATGGAAAATTCCCTGTATAAGTGGTTTTTAAAACCGGGAAAATCATGTCCCAGTTAGTGGCGAAGTACTTAAACAGAGAGCGAGACTGTTAAATGAAAAACTGAAAGAAACTGAAAATTTCGTAGCTAGTGATGGCTGGCTACAACGATTCAAAACAAGATACGGAATTCGACTGCTGTCTATATCTGGTGAAAAATTATCAGCACAACCACAATTAGTGCAACCATTCAAAGAAAAATTGATGAAAACAATTACCGAGCTAGATTTAAGAATAGAACAAATTTACAACGCAGATGAAAGGGGACTTTATTGGAAAATGTTACCAGAGAAAACCTATGCTGCATCATTTGAAAAATCTGCCCCGGGAAGAAAGCCGGAGAAACAACGAATAACGTTTCTAACCTGCACTAATGCTAATGGTTCACACAAAATAAAGCCACTGGTAATTGGGAAAGCAAAAAATCCGCGCTCATTTAAAAATGTTAATATCCCTGTTGATTATGACTGTTCAAAAACCGCTTGAATGACTAGCAGTATATTTCTGAAATGGTTCCACAGGTGCTTTGTCCCTCAGGTATGACAATCAATTATCACAAATGCTCTATTCATAATTTGAAGATGTGTTTTCAATTTGTAGGTAAAAGGTTTCCTAAAACAACAGAAGCTTCCGATAAAAGCGTTGTTACTATTGGATAATGCACCAAGTCATCCTCCCGAGCAACAACTGAGGAGCAGGGATGGGTCAATTTTCGTCATATACGCCCCCAATATTTGTTTATTTTGTTATAAATAGTATGTATTAAACGTTTCTTTTAATAAATCAAATATTATATAAATCACGTTCGCTCATGTAAACATTTCGATAATGTGAACCACACTTGGATTAAATTAGTTTACATTATCGAGCGTCTGCTGTATATATATATCTTCAGATACCTAGTTTTAATCTGTTAGGCAAGTATACTATTTTCACACAGTCATATTTCTTACCCCATCATCTCCCTCAAGCATTTCTTCACCTTGGTCTAATTGTTGACTACCTTCAGATAACCCAGCCATGGTTGGTGGACCCATACTGCTACCTTCACCTCCAGTTTCATTATCATCTATATCTACAGTTGGCAATTCAGCTGAAATAAATGATTTTGCATTCAGTGGAAGTCAAAAAATATCTCAAGAACAGACTATAGGAATACCTTATCCTCCGCGACCTCATACTGTGAAACAAACCTATAACAGAATCTTGCTTACCGTCAGCATGTGAAGGTTCTTCTTCCTGTTGTTCTTCACCAGTTCCACTAGCTCCTCCTACAGGAATTGATTCTTGTGGAGAACTTTGCAAAGGGGTGGTTGGGACACTTCGTCCTGTACCTGTACAGAAAATTACACATTTATAAATACGAAGAACATAATTCAAATTTCAAGTCACGAGTACAGCCTTTGTCATCTCTGCACATTAGTAAATGAACTTCCAGCTCCCACGATACAGCAAATATCGATTGTTTGATTCCTTGGAACACTTTATGGACCTCAGCGCCTAAGGTAAGGGGCTCATTGCATTGTGAAATATTCAAAAATAATGAAAAATATAAACATTTCATGAAAAAAAAAATGAGTAAAAACGATAACCCTAAAAAATAATGAATAAAATGAGTCCGTAAACTTGCAAAGGTCTCACAATATGCTTGAAAAGAGTAGTGATAAACACTGATTTGAGAAAATAACCATAAATGTATGTAATTGTAAACATCTCCTAATTCAAAGCAAATTTGGTTTTGAAACCAATGTTTCTTGTATTGTTTTTATTCGTTAATCGACTAACGAGTAGAATAATTTAATCGTAATTCTAAATGTAATTATTGATTGGATTGGGTATCTTCTGTCGGAATATGCTGATCAACATTATAACGTACTGTCATCATCCAACGCTTGTTCGGCCACCGCTACAGCAGGCAACGGCTGTATGACAGCCGGTGGTTCCCCGAACGTGAACCTGGCGGCGGGCGGCGCGTTAGGCACGTGCGGCGAGCTAACCGCTTCGCCGTAACCGTCCGATCTACGAGGTACAAACAACGTCGGCGTAGAGGGAACGATCCCATCGTCGCCACTGCATTGACCGCCCTCGTCGAACAGATGGTGTCTGGACAGTGGCGCCACCTGGCGGGCGGCGGTGCGAGACACAGAGTTGGTGGAGGGAACGGAAGGCGATGCTTGCGAGATTGTCACTATGAAGGCGGGGCCTGTGGAAGACAGTAACAGAATGTGAAAGGGCGTGACCTAAGGTGGACACGGCCCATAAAGATGAGAGGTAGACGACAGACAGGCCGGGGAATTCCAAGAAGTGCAACTATAAATTTCTCGGAAATGCGGCGAAATTTGAGGTTGTAATATGATGGAAGCGATTGTTTTCAAAATGATAGTAAACCTACCTCGGATTTTTTAAAACGATCAGATTACGAGGAAATTCAGCTACCACACAATTTCAATAAATCAAGACCATCTAACACAAATCATGCTAGTAACTAAGAAAAAATATACATGTGGTATATTTAACATCAATTAAAGAGCATCAATATAATATAAGCACAACAGTCAGGCATACAAAAATATGTGCATCAAAATAAAAAACAGAAACTTTTGAATAAAACCTAGAACATGATACTTTTTCTACTGATCCGATTGTATGATTTGTGCTAACAGGTCTCTGGCATTCGGAAAAAAATAATCTGTCATTTACCCCTCTTCTTAAATAAAATATACGTGGACATAATAAAAAAGATTAAAATCCCTGAGACATAATTTCAAGCAAAAGCGGTTAAATTCCAAGCAGCAAGAAGTCTGATCGTTTATTTTTATTTTATTATATAATTATAAACTGGTCTAATGCAGTCACTGCCAAAGAAAACCTCGAATATTTTGGTAACCACTTCACTTTTTGTCAAATATTTGGTGATAAAAGATCAGCATTTTGATCGGATCAGACCTCTTGGGTTGTTAGTAATACAAAAAATCAAAGCATTCATGTAAAATGCCAGATGACCGGTTCACACAAATATACAGTATTTCCAAGTCAATTTTCCGGATCGTGATGCGACGATTCTACATTCATTTTATTTTGTCTATGCATGCTTGTATAATAAGATACAATAAACGTAATATACTAAAAGCTACTAAAGTAAACGTGCAGCAAAGCAAAGGGTCATATTCCAGAGGCAGTGGACGAATTTATTTACAAAATGTCAAGATTCTCCTGTATCTCGTAAATATTCTGCTATCTTCTGCATACGAGGATGAGGTGACAAGTTCTCAGCCTGACATAGACATTCCGCTCCGGTCAGCGAAAATCTATAATGCCTACGTGATATCACATGTCATTTAGACGTATGGCACGTTTTAACTTGTTCTCTCTAGTAGTTTGGACACTCGAATTTTTTACGTGATCGTCCTGTATGGATTTTGTTAAGATAGACAAATTTTTAATATTGTGATGTCATCAAATTCTTCGTGATGATGAATTAACTTCTAAGGAAATTATTCTGAGGTTAACAAAAGTTTACGGGGACTACTTCGATTTCAACTATTAAAAAGTATGCAGCTGCGGTCGCGAGTCCTTGGAGATGACCTGCTTGAAGAACGGCCAAAACCTGCAACCACACCTAAAACCATCGAAAATATCCAAAAATCGTGTTAGATGATAGGCATTTGAAGGTCGTGGGGATATTGGAATAAAAGGCGCGAAAGGTCTTACGCAAAGAACTGGGTATGAGAAGGCTCTGCGCAGGGTGCGCAAATACTATTCCAATCTCCTTTAACAAGTGGAAAGCAAAATTACTGAGAATTGTCCAAGCTTGAAGACGTTTTTCATCAGGACAACGCACCCGCTCACAAAGATGTGTCAACAGTGGGAAAACTAAAGGATTCGTGGTATGGTTTGCTTGACTATCCCCCTATTCTCTTGATTTGGCACCCTCAGACTTCCATCTGTTCACAGATTTGAAGAAATGTCTTTCTGGAAAGCTCTTTTGGGCCCATTGAAGAAGTTGAGCAGATGAATATTTTGAAAGCCTTTCGGACTTCCATTTCCGAGAAGGAATACCAATGCTGGAGAAACGTTGAACAAGTGTGTTTGAGACTAAAGGAGTTCTGTAAGAAAATGAAAATATTTTTTAACTGAAAACCGCAGTGTTTAAATTGTAAATTAGTGGTAGAAAGTTTGTATGAAACGGATACCGTATGATATAGAAAACAGGAATACTACACTAAATACTACTTAAATCAACGCACGAATTCACAAAAACCCACCGTCTGTTCCGCTACTGATCGCTTCCGACTGAGGTTGTTCAGATCCTTCTTCACCTCTACCTTCTTGCACGGACCCCTCGCTCTGATTCGGAACCTCGCTAGAATCTTCTATCACTTCTACTTCGTTACCACCTTCCTCGTCTTCTACATCCTGACAGTCTGCATCTTCATAATTATCTTGTTCCTAAAAAATATCGAACATTGATTAACCTAATTCCAACAAAATTCAATTGACTGTGAACATACGCCATCCCTCGGAGGTTATGGGAGTTCCTCCTCCGTAGTTGAGAATATGGATGCACCGAGAACTATTTTTTTTATCAAGCCGAGTACCGGGTACTCAGCCAGATTCGAATACAGAGTAATAATAATAATAATAATAATAATAATAATATGCCTTTATTTTACCTGGCGGGTGTATCAGCTAATAGCTGCTTTTGGTACCAACCAGGGCTACATAAGTTTAACAAACATAAAAAAAATCACAGATACAAAAAAATAATGATCAAGACATATAGTACTGAAAAGTGACAAATACAACATAATAGTGTGTAAAATGTGAAGACAGATTTAAATCACATTCACTCACACACTCACTGAAACAGAAATAATGAAAAAAAAAAGACCACAACCAGACACTTAATGTAGAATCACAGCAGTTACAAGATGAAAGCTTAGTATATAATTAGGTATTATCGAGAACAAATTGCTTTATTTTAACTTTAAAATTATTGTTACTCAAACTTTTCAGATATGATGATAGACAATTATAAAGGGAAGGCGCTATGTATGAGAAGCACTTTGTGAATTGTGTTGATTTATGGGGGGGCATATCGAGGGTATAACTACAAAGCGTAAGTTCGCCGAGTGATGCTGACTTCTAAATGAGAGTTTGCTGCTCAGATATGCTGGATATTTGGTTAATAGGACTGTCTGTACTATGACCAACAAGTGTACAATCCATCTCTGACGCATCGTGAGCCAGTTGACATCCTTAATGTATCTAGTAATGTGTTCCCTTCTCGGAACACCTAATGAATACCTGATACAACTATTTTGCACTTTTTGTATCCTATAAGCTTCCGACTGTGTCAGGCATGGACCATACACCGCATCAGCGTATTCGACTTTGCTGAGAATCAAAGAGTTACAAAGCTTGATCTTGGTTTGACTAGATAATACATGTTTATAACTGTAAATTGTCTTGAGCTTAGCATATGAATTTTGCACAACCCTGGAAACGTGATCGTGAAACGTGAGATGTTCATCCACTATTACTCCTAAATTTTTCACGGATTTTATATGAGGCAAGTCTCCACCTTCCAGGTGTAATTTTATCAAGTTACTATCGAAATTACTTTGTATGGACTTAATAGTTATGACAGCAGATTTGTTTGAATTGATAAGTAACCCGTGATCGTTATACCACTTTGCAACACGATCTAGATCACAAGACATTCTCCTGTTTGCCTCCAGGAAATCGAAAGGACGGTAAGACAAATACAGTTGGGTATCGTCAGCGTAAGACTGAATAGAACAATATTTAATGTCACGACTTAGATCGAACGTATACAAAGTAAACAAAATTGGGCCAAGTATGGAGCCCTGCGGTACCCCCTTCAAAATCGCACGCTTATCGGACATACAGCCGCCTACATTGACTAGCTGTGACCGCTCATGCAAGTAACTCCTAAACCACGTAACAGTACTATCAGAAAATCCAAGATAATGCAGCTTACCAAGAAGCAATTCATGATTGATAGAATCGAAAGCTTTGCTGAGATCAACTAGAATTGACGTTGTGACACAAGATTTATCCATAGCTCTGATATAGTCATCACATATGTTTATCAAAGTGGTAACCATACTGTGACCTTTCCGAAACCCCGACTGAACATTTGGAATCAAACTGTTTTTATTTATGTGTCCTAGTATTTGCTCATAGACAATTCTTTCCAGAATTTTAGATAGCAATGGCAGTATACTAATAGGCCTGAAATCACCAGGTGCTATCGGATCATCAATTTTTGCAAGAGGTCTAACCATAGCGGCTTTCCATAGGCTCGGCACGACACCTTTTTCTAGTGAAAAATTTATAATGTGTGTTAATGCATCGATACAGTATGGAATTAGGGGAATCAAAAGATCTAAGTTTAGGCCATCCAGACCCTTTGCACATGACTTAATTTTAGAAAAAATATCCAAAACCCTTTCTTTAGTAAGAAGTTTAAAGCTAAACGGTTGAACTGCAGGGGAAAGATGATTTGTGTTATAGAATGTCCGTAAGTAGTTATTAACCTTATTGACGGGAATAGAGTCTATGAAATAATCATTAAGCATGTCAGGCTGTATTGAACACCGGTTATCATTTTTAGAACCATGAACGCCAAGGTTTTTGATAGCATTCCACCATTCTCGACTATTGTTGCTTTGTCTCAGTTTATATTCAATGTAAGCTTTCTTTTCCCTCCTGAAAGAGGCTGTGACAAGATTTCTAAGCTGTTTATAATATATCCATTTTGAAGCTATTATTTCACTGGGATACTTGTTCTTTACTGCTTTAATATATTGAGAATAAGCATTATTTCGCAGTCGCATCATAAATTTGATATTAGTAGTAATCCAAGGATACCGTGCTTTGGTAATCTTTTTGGTTTTGAAAGGAGCACAAACGTTGAGTACCTTTTCAACCAATTCATAAAAATATCGCAACTTGTCTTCAATGCTTTCTAAATGGACTACATCTAACCAATAGAGAGACGATGCAACTTCTTTTAATAAGGAGTGATCGATGTTTCTTATGTCTCTAGTAAGTACATATTTCGGACACCTAACATTTTTTTTACATTCAATGCAGAAATATACCAAACTGTGGTCAGAAATGGTGGGGAGACAGACGAGACCTGTTTTAGTAATGCTTAGTTCTCTGTTCACAAAAACAACGTCTATTATAACTACTGGGTACTTGGTGGATTGCTCTAGATTCTTTCAGCTACTGATTGAGATATCACGATATTTGAATTTTTGAAATGTTCCTTTATTCCCAAAATTAATGTAACTTTCTCAGAAATTAACACACAAAAAAACAGTTGTGCAGCTCAGAAACTTTTTGCATGTGAAGCCCGTTGGGTTAGTATACTTACACTATTTTCCGATTTCTTTTTTAAATATTGAAAATCCTTGCGATACTACTTAAACTTAAAACCAAATTTGTACAATACATTTTTAGAACATTTGTTTTTGATATCCCCTGCAGTCTTCCCTGTTACGAAAGGAGTACATTTGTAGGACATTCAAATTATTCACGTTGCTTTACAACTTTTACTGAATTTTATTTCCTTTTGTGAATTTTGTTGTTTTTGAGTGTGCATAGATAAAATAAGAGAGCAAATAAAAAATCCAATAATGTTAAGATGTACACTTCGGTTTAAACTGATTGTACGAAAAACCATGTAGCAGTAATATCTTGTATATAAGAAACAAACTACGCAAATACCATAAATATCTTCGTACTAGAGAAGACAATTACTAAAAAATCATCCAAAACAGGCAACTGGTTCCAGCAAACAACGCTGCAACCTTGACTATTTTTTGAATGTGCGGTAATTTCTTGGAGAACATATAGGAATATTTAGAAAAGCCATATGAGGTTAGAGTGCACATCATATTTCCAATTCTCTGATCTATAGAAGTTGTGCGTCTTTCGTTCTAATCGAGCAATTGCCTGGCCGAGTAATTTAATATTCGGTAAAATCGGTCAAGTACCGGATACAAACTACAATACGAAATCAAAGGAATAATCAGAAGGAAGGTTGACAGGTAAGTTTGCCTTGGAAGGTTTATGAATGAACAATTATCTTACAGAGGGAAATTGAGTCTATTTTTATTACTAAGATAATTAATGTGTTCCTACTTAGCAAGCTTTTTCTTTTAATTTTGTAACTGACCATGTGACTTTCAACCTTCTCGCGAACACACTACTAAAATCTGGATTCAAAAGAGCACAAATATCAATCAGAAGCTGCTTCATGGCCGGTTTCATGGAATAAACTATACCGTGATCAAGTGAACTGTCCACGACCCTCGCTGCAATACCTTCTCTTCATTCAAGAAAACACTTAAAAAAGAGAGATTGAAAGCAAGCCACGCTGTCATCTGTTTGCCCCGTGAGTACGTAGCTTTAGGCATCTGAGAATACGTTGACTAACGCTTTCGGCCACTTTTTAGCTACGAAATGACATACTAACCATTCCTTCCATGTCATATCCTTCAGTGTCAGGATCCTCTCCAGCATCTCCATCTCCTTCATCTGCAGCACCCTCTTCCACTTCTTCATCATCATCACTTTCCACAACAATCACATTATAATCATCGTGGTCCCTTTGGCTGCTTGTTGGCACTTGATATTCTACTTCTAGGCCACTATCGCTCACGGTACCAGATTGCTGAAAAAAGAAACAATATAGCAACATATATATATATATATATAAAGAGAAAATAATCATGCGGAGAAATGTATATAACAAAAAAATAGGAAAATAATGGGCAAAATCCGCGAAAAGGAGGAAAGTGGATTCGAGCAGAAAATAGGATAGGTAACCCGAGCGATACGTATTTCTGCTGGTTGGCTTCATCAGGCCCGAAATGAATGCACATATGCAACTACAAAAGTAGATACACATGCTCATACATCCGGATACTGGTGTAACCTGAGGAAATAAAGATAGATGGGATAATGATTATTTTCTCTTTGTAGATCCTTTGGGCTTGAAGTACCACAGCAAGTGGCTATAACCGGCCGCGTGGTTGTGGTTAGATGTCGCCTTGAAAATTCGAGGTCTTCTAGCTATTTTATACTACAATGTGTAGGTTGGCTCTTGTTGTGGACTTCGTGTGTGATTTTATCCCATCTATCTTTATTTCCTCAGGTTACACCCGTATCCGGATGTATGAGCATGTGTATCTACTTTTGTAGTTGCATATGTGCATTCATTTCGAGCCTGATGAAGCCAACCAGCAGAAATACGTATCGCTCGGGTTACCTATGCTATTTTCTGCTCGAATCCACTTTCCTCCTTTTCGCGGATTTTGCCCATTATTTTCCTATTTTTTGTTATATACATTTCTCCGCATGATTATTTTCTCTTTGTAGATCCTTTGGGCTTGAAGTACCACAGCAAGTGGCTATAACCGGCCGCGTGGTTGTGGTTAGATGTCGCCTTGAAAATTCGAGGTCTTCTAGCTATTTTATACTACAATGTGTAGGTTGACTCTTGTTGTGGACTTCGTGTGTGATTTTATCCCATCTATCTTTATTTCCTCAGGTTACACCCGTATCCGGATGTATGAGCATGTGTATTACTTTTGTAGTTGCATATGTGCATTCATTTTGGGCCTGATGAAGCCAACCAGCAGAAATACGTATCGCTCGGGTTACCTATCCTATTTTCTGCTCGAATCCACTTTCCTCCTTTTCGCGGATTTTGCCCATTATTTTCCTATTTTTTTGTTATATATATATATATATATATATATATATATATATAGTGTAATTAATTTTACAAAACTTATGATAATGTATGTACAAACTAGTTTAAATAACACTGCATAGATTATTCCCATACTGAATCTGTTGTCTGGTCAACATTCATATAGTACGATACAACAATCCCTAGATCCATCTCATCCTCACATTTACATCAAACAATTATATTTTCGTCTATCTCCTACTTCCGCCCTTCCCCCCCCCCCCCCCTTTCCCTAAAACTTTCTGGTTTTGAACCACCAGACCTGACAAGACGAACGACAGACAGTGACATACTGATCTTCCGGATCGCATTGAGACGCAATCACTACTAAATATTCAAGATCAAAAACTTGTGTACTTTTTGAAAAGAAAGAGACTGAAGGAAAATGTTCAATATTTTCCCTTACCTGTATCCTAGTTCGTTTACTTTGCTGTGTTTTGCCTTGTTCCTCAGCCTGGCAGCTATCGTCAGGTTCACGTTGTCTTTTATGTCCCGCTTGAGATGTGGTTACGGTATTTGAACTGCTACTACTAGTGCCTAACCAAAAGTAAAACAGTGAGTTAGTAAATAGTATTAGGTAGATACAGAATAACTTTATAATCGAAGTACAAATTCGTACAGGACATAGAAGATCTGAAATTATTTCTGACAAAATCTGAAAGTTTCATAAAACATGTTGCAATAAAAAAATAAATATACCTTGTTCTTGGGTTGGAGCACTACTTGGTACTTCGACTCTGGGCATAACTAAGGCAACAGCTTGCTGTTGCTGAAGGGTGGTTTGACTTTGTCCTTGCGCACCCGTAGCTACCTGTTTATGAACGAATAACAATTATGTTAAAGAATATTCTACGACAATTTGAACAAAAATATTGAAGAAACGCTGATAACATCAGTCTGACCGACAAAATACTAGATTGGAGTCATTGAAACAAATATATTTCTATTGTAGATCCCCATATACACTGTTCAAAATCATGTAACTGTAATGCTTTAACCAGATTTCCAAGCCTGACATAGTGCTTTGCTTTAGGATTCGTGATTCCAAATGTCTGAAATATCTGGAACCTCAGACTTCGTTGAAATTGACAGGTATCGATTTCCGTCTCTGTAACCATCGCCAACCGCAGACAGCATTGTTTCGTGCACATTAGCAACTCATCAGTGCGGTATAGGCCTAGTAGTCATGGAGACGAACGGAAAGCAAACAAGTGGGTACGGTCTTTTGAAAAATTCAAAATACTGTGCGTAAGTAAGTGAGAAATCTGACGATCTGCACCTACCGATGATGTGCCAAGCTAATCTTCATCCTCATCCTATATGATGAAGAGACATAAGACTCTTACGCCTTTAGCTCGTAACTGGTAGACGTTCTGCTTAATGCACAGATAGATGTCGCACCACCATAATGGTCGACACATCTAACATTCGGAATACTAAGTACTCACAGAGCAGAAGAACAATGGCTTTGAATGCACATATGCATAAACAGACAAGGTTCAAATCGACATTGAAATTGACATGTTTGCTTTCCGACTCGTATCGCACGAGGATGAAGATCATCTTTGCAAACCACTGGTAGGTGGAGATCATCAGACTTCCCATCTAATTCGGCACAGGATCTTAGGCATGCCACTCATTTGTAGTGAAACAAAAAATGCCCAGGAAACATCGACATAAGTCCATGTTTTAGCTTATGTTCTTGAACTAGAAATGCTGTTCACATAGGGCGCTCTACTAGGAAACTGACGTGGCGTGTAGCCCATGTTTTATCTATTTTACCAGAAGATAGCCAACCAATGTATTTTGGCGTCCAAAAAATGATATGAAATGAGATACCTTACCGTCAACTATGAGAATTTGTCACAGGTCTCTCTTCTTGATAATAATTAAAAATCTACTTTGAAAAGATTATTGTCTCGTAGATGGCGCTGTAGCCACATAGGCTATCATAGTTGGCTACAGTACCATGGATGAGACGGAAACCTTTTTCTAATTATTGCGGAAAGGAGAAACATAGCTGTGACAAATTTTCATAAACGATGGCATTTAATCTCAGATAATTTTTTGGACATTGAAATACAGTATTAGGGTGGCTGGCTTCAAGTGAAATACCTTAGTCAATGCTTAAATCCACTAAATATCTTCCCAGTATCTTGGAAAGATTGGAATTTTCTTATGTGATAATTTTGTTCTTATAAAATCGGATGTATCTCTGAAAGTGGGTGGATATGTGTATAAGAACGGAAATAGACAAAGCAGAGCCGGAAGTTTGATGTTTCTAGATGTCGAGCTATAAAGAAAACCACCAACTCACCGTATGTCCCTGCGTGCTACCTCCAACAGCACTAGTCGCAGCCTGTGCCGCTGAGCCATTTCCACTCCCGGTAGTACCGGCTGCCGTCGCCGCAGTAGCTTCATCATCCTCGCCGGCATCCTGCGATGACTGCGTAGGCGGTACCGCGGCAGCTTGACGCCCGCTGCTGCCCGCTGCGCCGCCCACCGAACTACCAGCCAATGGATTTGCAGACGCGCCCGAACTGGAGGCGGAGCTAGTAGCTGGGGCGTAGTCGGTATGAGAGCTAGTTGGGCTCGATGAGAGGGATTCGATGGTGCTCGAGCCGCCAGTGGTGTGAACCTAAATAACACAAAAAAAAAATGTTTTTAAACTATTGTAACGTTTGTTCAGCAATTTACTTAATGTCGATCGGTTCACTAATTGGCACTGAGCGTTTTCTAACCATTAAATAACAAAACGTAAAATATAGATAAATAATCATAATAAAATCAACGTGCCGAGAAACTTCCAGAAAGTCAATTATCAACAGAAAGTATGGGTAGTTATATTATTGTTCTGTAGTTTTCTTAAAAGTCATTGATGTTTCTAAAAAAGGATTGTGATGCATCCGTTTGTGGCAAAACAGTACGTTAATAAGTTTTTCATAAATGTAACACCTGGAATTTTTCTTGTGGTTGTCTCACTGGCGGCCAATGAAAAGAGGAAAATCGAGGAGAACTATCCTGATAAATACCCGTGTCTCAAGTAAATACATTATCTCGTAGTAAACACTTCTGTTTTCACTTAGTTATATTTAGTTATATTTTCCTGGCGCTGACAATTTTTGTGTAGCTTTTCGGTGTGAGGCTCTTGTTAGCTGTTAGTAGGACGTTTTGAAAAGTTCATCTTCTTTTGTGATCAACATCATCGTTGAGTTAATGTTCATAGTCAAGAGATGCTTTTTTACTTATCTCAAGCAACATGCACAGCACAGCCTTGCTTATCTTTGAATATTAGTAAGTAGGTGTGAGCATTTGATACTTTTATTCGCCCCAAAACAAACTTGCAAGCTCAGTACTAACCTGTTGCTGGGGTGGAACCATAACAGCACTCGGACTCTGGCTAGTAGGTAATACAGCAACAGTTCTTAGTTGTGCTGACATTGGTCTAATACTAGCTAATGGTGGTTCACCGCCACTACACCATGGTTGTATTCTTGCTGACTGGGTTTGAGTATTCGTAGAATGTCCTATAAAATCAATTGCACCATAAATGAAAACCATGCAAGCCCGTTTATAATACACAAAACCTCAAACATCTAATATTTCCTGTTTCTTTTCGACGAATATCAGTATTTTGCTATTAAAAACTGTCCCTGACTGTTTTCACTTATTGTATGAAAGAGCCACAACTAGCCCTCCAAGGATCAAACGTAAAACTTCACGCCATAGGCTGTGACGAAATAGGTTCTAGTGAGATATAATTAGATACATTGACATTTTTATATGGAATGTATGATCCTGTTTCGACATATGGATTTCAAATACTTTCTTTTTCAACAAAGAAGCGAAAAACGAGGATACTTTGCATCATCCATTAAGGTATTTCTATAGAATGTGTCAGCAATTAACCAATATCCACATGAATTGCTTTATGCAGAAGGGAAAAATACCACAATACCAAAAATTGAGATTGGAGAATTTTGAAAGGCTATAATATTGTGATTTACTCACCTGCCATGGGTTTGATATCAGCCGTAGGTCTCTCGGTAGCAGACTTATCTGAACTAGCAGAACTGGTACTCGGCTTAGAACCTTGCTGTTTATCCAACTGCCTTTGCAACTGTGTCAAACGCTGGTTGAGGTTTTCGCATTCTGTTAGGAACTTCTCCTTTTCTTGTTGACGTTCGTCTATAAGTTCATCTCTCTCGCGTTCAAGTTCCGCGATTTTCTCTAGAAGTTCCGCGTTTTTACTGCTACTTCCTGAAAAACGTTCAAAAATCCAATAGTCAAATAGTAGTCAGTCTTTGCATCTTCTAAAAACAGAAAATATTAGAATTCTGTTCTGGTGAACCTAAATGTCAAAATGCGGTACTTAGATTTTTCTAAAAATCTTTCAGAATATTCATTTTCCGTTTTTTTTTTGTAATCACGTGTGCCTCAACTCACAAACGTGCCCATATGTTCAAAACTCCTACACGAGTCGTTTCAGATATTGAAGATTCAAAGGTGACCCTATGTACTTGACAACACATCACAATTGTACTCTAATTCCGGATTTTTACTGCTACTAGCTGCTAAATGTTAAAAAATTAAATAGTTAATTGATCAAACGCATCTTCTCAAAACAAAACGGTTTGGAATTCTAATTTGAAGGTACCTACTTTCTAAAATTCTGGTGGTTCTAACATTTTACCAAGAATCAGGATCCGATTTTCGGATATTTTTTTAATCGGGTATGTAATGACACATACACGAGTCCATACGCTCAAAATTCTCTTCAAGTTTATCCTTCGTAACCGACTACACTTGACGCTTGAACGCTTTTTAAATGGTTTCAATAAAAATTAATAATTGGAAAAGTTAGGTTGAAATTAAGTGCCATAGGATTTCTCGTTTACAAATTCAGTATTCCATCTACTGAAGAAGGGGCTGTGCGTGTTGGCAAATTTATAAACTGAAATTGCTGGACTGATGAATCATTCTCAATTCGCACAATTTTTGTATTTAATTCAGATAGGTCATGGATAGCATTCTGCTAAATATCTTTGAAACAATACCTTCACTAGACTGATCTCCACCACCACCTCTATCTTGCTTGGTCAACTCCTCTTTCAAACTACTGTTCTGCTCTTGTAAACTGACGATCCTCTCTTTGGCATTCTTAAACAGATTCTTAAACCTGTCTTCTTTATCCATGCTGGACTGTTTCAGCGCTTCAATTTCCTTCTTGTAGCTTTCAATCTGCTCCATATTGGCTGCTATTTGCTCATTCAGCTTAGCAACTGCTTCTTTGTGGGCGTTTTCGAGTTGGGTGATTCTTTGTTCCAGTTCTGTGCGTTGTTCATTAAGAACCTTAATGAAAAATAAAAGTTCATAAATGGCGGGCGACTCATTCAAAGCTAATTTTTTAAGTACGAAAAAACAAAAACAGCCATCCATTTCTGGTTATCTTTATTATAAAAGAAATAAGACATCCATGACATGATTTTTTGAAAATTATTTTTTCAAATCTGGCCCTCACTGTGGATAGCGTGGTCATTTTAGAATTCCAATTTTCAATTCATTCCAATCGTCCAGATACACATAGCCCCAAATATCTAAACTCTGGGCGCTGAAGAAAGACATTAAACGTAAACAGTGATCAGCACGTGAACAGATCCCTCGAAAGCATCCAGGGATATACTCCAGTCACTTTAGGTCTAAACATCCTCGGCAGTGTATTTCTAGTGAATCCACAGACCCTTTTTCGTGTCATCTTGAGACTAGAAAAAGGATGACTGTTAAAATAAGTTACCTTGATCTTTCATGAGCTCCCAGTACAAAACATCATCGATATATTTTTGATGTAGGAACAACAAATTGGTTTAGAAAACATCCACTTTGAACCTAAATTGACTGGAGTAACATCGATCTACAGACAAATTCAAGGTCACGGCGCTCTACGAATCTGCACAGGTTTGGACTTGTAAACGTGATTGTAGATGACACGACAGGCATCTAACAGTTAATTCACGCACAGGATTGCATTGCATACGCATTACGCATTCAGTAGCGTATACTCGTTTTTCGCGAGTGGAACGTTTTGTTTATATATTGCCTAAGATACGATGTCTGACACAGATACAGCCGACGAAGTGGTTGACATCAGCGCAACCCCACCGAAAAAAAAAGGGCTAAGAAGCTACATTTAAGTGCAAATGAAAAACAAATAATATTAAATATATACAAAAACCAAATTCAAGAAAAACCATATTTGGTCGTGGACGAAGTTATATGTAAGGTAGCACATATTTCTGGAGTATGTCGGTCCAGTGTTTATAGGATCATTAAGGAATATAGGAGCACTCACTCACTTTCTGAGCCAAAACCGTATCCTGCAAGAAAAAGGATAACGGACGGAGTAGATGACTTTGACAGAACTGCCATCAGGAGGAAAGTGCATAATTTTTTCTTCCGAAATGAGATACCTACAGTAGATAAGATATTAAGATTAGTTAATGCTGATGAGGATCTTCCATCATTTAAAAGAACCACATTCCGAAAACTTTTGAAGGAACTTAATTTTCGATTCTTGAAACGGGGAAGAAACAGTATGTTAATAGAGAAAGAAGAAATTGTTGTGTGGAGAAGGGAATACCTTAGGAAGATTCGAAAGTTTCGCGATGAAAAAAGAAAAATTTACTATTTGGACGAAACGTGGGTGAATAATGCTGGACATACTCAAGCGAAATTTTGGGTCGACAAATCAGTAACATCATCAAGGCAGGCTTTTCTAGACGGTCTTTCGGCTGGATTGAAAAATCCTGCAGGTAAGCTCCTTCATCTATCCGGCAATTTAATTTTGATAAATTCGGGCAAATAATATGTTGTGATATTCTCCAAAAATGGTGCATTCGCAGTGTAGTCATTAGGAAAAAAACTTCGACCCTCTTTTAAGCGTTATTTTGAAATTTATTATCATTTTTGGGTGCAGTCAATTTGCTTTGAATGGGTTTTGAGAAGTTGCAAACTTCAATTTTCTACGTTTTTCAGTTTTTGATCAGCATTCCGTGACTCTTAAATTCAGCTAAATGAACTCAATTGCCTCATTCCTTCAAATTTAATCAATCCATAGTGTAAGGAATAATTTATTTCCAGGAAAAGGCAAACGGCTGATCATTTGTCACGTAGGTAGTGAAGACGGCTTTGTTCCCGAAGCACTGTGGGCCTTTGAATCAAAAAAGACAGGGGACTATCATGAGGAGATGGACGGCAATTCCTTTGAAAATTGGTTCTCCAAAATTTTACTAAAGCTGGAGAATAACGCTGTTATTGTACTCGATAATGCCCCGTACCATTCTAGAAAAATAGAAAAAATTCCCACAATGGCAACTAAAAAAGCAAACATACAACAATGGCTAGCCTCAAAACAGATGGATTTTGATGAAACAATGGTCAAGGGTGAATTGATAAGTATAGTCAATAGACATAAATACAAATACGATTTTAAAATGATCGACGAAATGGCCAAAAAACAAAATAAAACTGTCTTGAGACTGCCACCCTACCATTGTGAGCTGAACCCTATTGAGCTGATTTGGGCCAACATAAAGCAATACGTGGCGTCGAATAATAATACTTATAAATTTTCTGATGTTAAAAATCTCTTTCACATCGCAGTCAATAGAGTTACGGCAGAGGAATGGAAAAACTGTATCCGCCACGTTCGGGAGAAGGTTGAGGTCAAAATGTAGGATTTGGACAATGTCATCGATACCCAAATTGAATCTCTAATAATTCATTTAAACGATTCAGAAGATTCAAGTTCCTCTTCTGAATGAGTGCGCGCAGCTTACTTACTAATAACTAAAAAGTGTAGTTAACTCATTTGTGAATCTCTAACTGAAATTTACTGTAAAAGATAATAATTATCTTGTATGAAATTTTTGATGACTACCCATAATATCTTGATGCGGTCCTGTAATGTCTCCTGCGCCTAAACACTCACTCACGAGCAATATGCGTGTATTTGTTTGGGTTTAGTTTCTTTCTTCAGCGCCTAGAGTATAGAGATGTTTTTTGTATATTTTTTTTTTGTTCAAGATTTATTTAAAATGATTGCTACCATTACATTCTTTTAAAAAACTACAATTACATTACGAAGAATTATTTAGAAAAACAAAAACTTGCATCTCTAAGAATTCTCAGTGTCCATGAAATATTCCTATGATTTTCTTTTGAACATCTTTAAATTACCAGTAGACTTTATATTATTATGTAATTTATTAAATTCAAGTAATCCCTTCTGAAATATCGATTGACTATGTATATTACTATTGCAATTTTATAAATTCTAAATATTGTGACAAAAGATGATTTTTTGTTTTAAATATAAGAGTCAAATATATGAAATTTTTTATATTCAACCACTGCAATTCTTGTAACATAGATTTTATTTTGATGTACTTATTTTTATTCAATATTGTTTTCATAGGACTTGTAAGTTTGAGAATACAGCTTCATTGACAGTGAACAAAATAGTTGAACAATAAAGCAAATGCGGTAGAATAATTATATTATAAACTATTTTGGAATATGTACAAGACTTAGAGAAACCCCACAAAACTAATTTATTTTTTTATTAATTTTTGAAAGTTTTTATTCATAGTAATCCTCAAACTTCGGTTTACTCTCAAAATATGTACCCAAATATAAAGTTGATTCAACTTTTCCAATTGTTTTACCATTTATTCTGTGATATTATTTTCATTCAAGTATTTCTCGATTAGCATGCATTTTGATTTAAAAGCATTCAATTTTAGTGAGATGTGAAATCATACGATCTAGACGGCCAATTTATCGGTCTAAAACGACAGATCAGCTGCCCGCCAAGTGCTGGCGTGCTTGAGTCGTAGTTTACATAGGATGTGCTGCCAGTAACAGCGCGCATTCTTATTTGAACCAAGTGTTCCGAAGATCCACGGGCTAAAATCTCGGATAGCAAATAGCAAGTTATTATGACGCGATAACGGTCGCCAAATGTCACTCCTTGAATGCGTCATCGAATAATCGTACTCTAAAATATTGACCGCAGAAACAGCTGTCGAAAGAACCTTTAAACACTAAATTTTGAACAAACTTACCTGTTCTTGTCGTTCAGCATTGGAAGACTGTTGACTTTCACTCTCTGCCTTCTGTTTATTCAATGCCTCAATTTCCTTAGTCTGTTCTTCGCACTGTATTTTGTATTTCTTAGCAATCTTCCTGATCTGGGCGAGGTTGTTTTTCAGTTCTGTGAGTGTGACGTCTTTGGCAGCCGTATCTTCAGTCAATACACGATTCTAAAGACAAAATTAGTAAAGACAATATATTTCATGATTTGAGCAGAAAGTTTGGAGCTGATACACTTTCATACTACACAAAAAGTTGCCTCTTACAGATATCTAACCAGCCCATCCAAGAAAAATTCCTGCGGATGCCCATGTCTGCTTGCCCCAACGAATTCAGACTATGAAGAAGGAGCAACACTATGATTTTTTTATCTTCAAAATAATGCAAGGGTTGGCTCATGAGGTTTGTTCTTGAAAAATTTAATAGTGAATCTAAGGTTGTACAGTTCACATTTTATTTATACTGGGAGCCGCGGTCTTGTGTGCTTGCGAACTCGCTTGAGTGTGTAGTCTACCGATACAGATGATATGTGTACGATTCCGTTTAACTAACGTCACTGCGCCTACCGCTTATAGTGACTTTATAAGTGAACTCACCTCCTCCTTCAATTTGAGCAACTCAGCACTCTGCTGGTCAATAGTATTCTGCAACTGGTTGACTTGCTGTTGGAGCCCAGTCACCTCTTCGCGAAGCTTAGCTAGCTCTTCAGCCTGTTGGTTATTTTGAGCCCTGACACTCTTCAGTTGCTCTTCCAATTTGCTCTTATCCTGCTTCAGGGTATTGATTTCATCATTGAGCTTAGTCGTTGTGGCTCTTTCAATAGTCAACTGCTTGGCTAAAGTCTCCCGCTCAGTCTGGAGTTTCTTCCAGTCTTCAGGACTGGTTCTGTTCGTTTTTTCTATGAGCATGTTAGCTCTCTGGCGCCACCTCGTGCATTCTGCTCGCAACGATATGTTTTCAGCCTGCATTTGGTCGGCTTTGGTGGACAGGTCACGATTCTTTTCTTGCAGTGGAGCCACTTCTATCTCCAGCCTGCAAAAAACGAGTTTTAGTAGCTATGCTATATATATATTATGTAGTATGTCAATGGCAACAACATCCAAGTGGCGAATATCATTAAAAATCAATGGTTATAACCTTTGGAGATATCAAATACGGCGACAAATCTTTACAAAATCTGTAACAGAAGTGGTAAAGTATTTTTCATGAGTATTCATTACGTGAACGTACGAGAAAATTACATCTGATTACCTAGACTAGAACCATTTTAAAATACCCCATACCGACAAGTGACATACAATTCTGACGGATCTGTAGCTAGAGTCGCATTTTGTTGTAGTCTTTTGTACGCTACAGGTTCATACTTCCTAACAATGCTTTTATTTAGAAAATACCTACAAGCTGCTAGTGATCATGACTGTATTTCAAGTCATGTAGGAAAGTTGGCAATATTCGTATCACAAAAAAACACAACACATTTTTCGAGTGAATCTAATTACATTAAATTTAAGCATTGCTGATATATCTTATATGCATGAATAATGCTCTTTTGTTTTCCGCGGCAACTTATTATATTCCCTGAAACCTTGAGCTAGTTCATAGACATAAGGTTAGAACCATGATTATCATTATTCTTGAAACGTACCACAGCTCATTTTTCTCTACTGACTCTCCTATACTGTATTTAAATTTAAAATGAGCCCCATCAAAACACCAATGCGCGACGTTCAAATATGCACGTTCCTATTGGCCAACGGTGCCATAATTATCTAAGCAGGCAACGGCAAGCGAACGGAAGCGAGTACTCATATGTGTTTTGATGCAGTTTTTGTCTTTGCTCGAAAGTCAAAAGCTAGTATTTCCGACACTCATTTGTAATATCACTTACCTCTCAGCTCTCTCCCTGTACTCGGTTATCTGAGACAACAATTCATCTCTCTCAGACCTGAGCGTCCTATTGCTGTCTGTGATAGCATTAAGCGTCTCCAATTTCCGTAATACTTCAGCATGTTTAGATGTTGAAACCACGGACACTTCCTGTTTTTGCCTCTCTACTTCCACTGCAGCCTTTGCTTCTTCATACTGCTTGGTGATCACGTCAAACTGAGACTTCAACCTGATGTGTTCTGCCTCCATGATCTCGGCTTTGCTGATCGCGATATCCTTTTCTTGTCTGAAAGATTAGATTTTTGCATGAAGTGTACACCACACATAGGAGGTCAAGCTGTCAAAAGTAGACAGGAAAAAGACAGATTTGATAGAAAGGTAACCGATTTTTCACAGCTTCACGTTTTGACGTCTATTGACATGAAAAGCTAATCAGAAATTGGCATCTTTGTCTGTGTATAACCTTGACATGACCCTCCAGCCTATCTAGCCTCTAGATCTGGCTTTAAAGATTATCTTATGTAGTATAAGTAACATGTTATCGGAAAAATAACATGGATTTAGGAACAAAAGATCGACAACAACTAACTTATACTGCTTCATGAATTATTGGTCGTTTGCTGTTGATCAACAACAACAGGTCGACGTTATATTCACGAATTTCTCAAAGGCATTTGACCGAATAAAACACTGCATTTTGCTTAAAAAAATTTATAAATTTGGGTTTTCTGAGGGCTTGTTGATGTTTTTCCGTTCCTATTTATCTGAACGCGTTCAATCTGTGCAGTATAACGGCTTCAAATCGGAATCATACACACCAACTACGGGAGTACCACAAGGTACTAACTTGGGCCCCTACTATTTTTGATTTTTGTTAACGATATCAACCATATAATAACAGTAGAAAACCAAATGTTTGCGGATGACTTAAAAATTTACTCAGTAATTCATGGACAAGAGAGCTTAGACCTTTTGCAGGAAAATTTAGACAACATTCTTGAATGGTGCCAGAATAATGATTTAATGCTTAATCCCAGCAAGTGTAAAGTAATGTCCATTACCAGAAAACAGTCTATCATACCATATGATTATATGCTGGACAATCACAAACTTGACAGAGTACAGGAAGACCTAGGCATTACTATTACTGCAGATCTGTCATTTTCAACACACTTGAATCAAATAGACAAACCAGCTTCACGTATGCTTGGATTCATTATTAGAAATTGCAGATCTTTTACTAACATAGAATCATTAAAAATACTGTACTTCACTCTAGTTAAAAGCTTACTTGAATAAGGTTGTATCATCTGGTCTCCTTTATATGTTATATATATAATCTAAAGTAGAGAAGATCCATCCTAAATTTTTAAAATATATGTATTTAAAAACATATGGTGCATATCCTCCATTTAACTATTCAAAGAAGGACCTCTTAGAGCACTTTGGCATGGTCAGTCTTGAACAGAGAAGATTTTTGTTAAGCTGCTGCTTTGTGCGTAAGTTGCTAAGCAATCAGATTGACTGTAGTCAAATTTTGTTGAACTTAAACTTTACTGTGCCTAGATTCAATAGTAGGAACTACACCATGTTTTATCTTCCAAAAGCTTCAACAAATATTTTGCTAGCATCCCCTTCATACAGAATGTTGAAATGCTTTAACGAGGTTAGTCATCTCTTTGTCTTTAATATGAGCGAGCATATATATACAGGGTGACTTCGAAGTTGAGTCATTTATTTTAACAGTGAGTAGATATGATCAAAAGAAATGTTTTTTTCCTTTACCATTTTTCTGGTAAAATTAAAGTAACAAAGTTATAGCCCTTTGGAAGTTTGAGTACCGCCCTGTCTCAATAATATCATGTACTCGTGCTTGGCAACAACGGATATAATCCACCTTATCGGTTCATCGCATCGGAAACAAAAAAGCGAAAGAATTTGGAACGATGTTTATTTTATTCAGTTCAGTTATACTCGTACATACAGTCGCGTGTGAATAGTGTCTGTTGCGTGGCTCAAACGAAATAAAAAATGGCACATGTTTATGCGGATCGGTTTCCCAATCGAGTGCAACCAACCCCTCGTGCCTTTGTTAATGTAGTACACCGGGCTCGTGAATCAGGTGACTTCAGACCTCACAGGGGACCTCACGATCAAATACAGGTCCGCACTGAAATACTTGTCGGGAGGATACTTTATAAAACAAGGTAAAAATTTTTTTTTATATTTTTTTTATTTTTATACACATATTTTGGTTTATCTTCCTTCTACAATCATTATCTGAAAATTAATGACTCAACTTCAAAGTCACCCTGTATATATATATAAAAGTAAAATATTGTCACATTTAAACACCGTTCAGTGACGTAAACTATTTTTAGCTTTCCAGTACCTTTTAATCTAATTCTTTATATATTTTAGGAGTAGAATTAAATTTCAGAAATATATTAATTTGCATGGTGTTACTAGTGCACTGATGGGGCTTTGTGTTGGATTTCTGATACACACACAGGGTTTTTTTAGTATCATCAATTCATGATATTATTTTTTGTATGTGTCTATTTGCTTTTCAACACTTGTACAGTGTTTCTCTGTAATTTGATCTTGTATCTGTTGAGAAATATATGAATAAAATAAAATATCAATACCATTGATTAACGTATTCTATATGAAGATAGCCAGCCTAATGCTATATTTCCGCCTTCAAAAGATTATCCGACATAAAACAAGATACTGCAGTGTAATCTATAAGAATTTGTCACAGGTGTTTATTTACTTACTTTGAAAAGGTTAGTGTCTCATAGATAGCGCTACCTATATGCTCATATAATTCGCTTGCTGTAGCGCCATCTATGAGATGGTAACCTTTTCAAAGTACCAACATGATGGCGATGTTTGTACTTGTATAGATGAAAATATTCATTTTTTGAAGTGCGACTTACCTAAGATATTTGATGATCTTCAATAACTGCTCAGAAGACTTGACATCATCTTCCGTTAATGATCTATTCATTGACTGATCTGCTATCGATGTGTTAGGCGTTGGGGTTTCCGAGGCTTGTGCTTGTAGAATAGACAACTGGGTGTTCAGTGCTTGGATTTGGTCCAAAAGCAGTGCATTTTGGGCATCCATATCCTTGAATCTGGTTTCCAATTCTTCTTTTTCTTTTCGGAAGATCTTGTCTCGCTCTTCTTCAGCCTAATATCATTAAAACATTAGGTACTTCGAAATTTTGTTTTTAAATCATATTATCAATTTTGGAAAAATACAGGGGTGCTGGCGGCCGAAAACATGATTTAAGTGAGACAAGTGGGATATTCAAAAAAAGTAGTGAGAAACAATGAGTTTATACATAAAAAAATAAGTTAATTTTCTGAGAAGTTGAATACCATAATGCCAAATTTAAAAAATAATTTAAATAAAACGAGAATAACTCTTATAACGTCTTTGGTTCTGTTTTATTGACGTGAGCAAACAATTATTTATCTGTATGCATATTTCAAGATCAAATGCATACGATGCATGAAAGAAAAATAAAAAATATAACGAATTTTGTAAATACGGAAGACGTATCTATTAAGTATTCTTGCCCAAATGATTGAACCTACCTAATGTTAAAAATTTTAAATTTGATATAGTTAATATAGATGAGTATTTTTACATGATAATTGACTTAATCATCACCGCAAGACTACAGTACTTGTCATTAGGAATCAAGCAATATCGATTTAATGTGAGTTTAATACAAAAAAAAAACGATGAAAAAACATAACCCAACAATCTTGACACATGGTCATTTTCGTTATCCCCACTATTTCGGAGCGTATAACACCGAATAAAAAGCTGGTGCATGAGGGGTCAGGGGATTTCAAAAATCAGTAGCTCAGGTGCACGAAACAGTATTGGCAGGTGGTGGGCAGCTCCGAGTTCCACAAATCAGGCACTGGAAAGCGGCTCTGACTTCATCATCAGACCATTTCCATGTCATTATTATATTGTATTGTCAACTGTCATATTAAACGTCCGCCATATTAGATAAGAATGACATAAATTTGCTTATTGTGTTTCATCAATCCCTTCCATTTGATATCCATAATATGCGGGTGACGATAGAAACTATAAATCGGTATTTTACGGCGGACATATTTCATTTGAAGTGATGATACTTTGTTTATTGTGTTTCTCTCAAGCCCTTCCATCTGATGCCTATATTGTAGGGGTGACTATGGTAATTATAAATCACCAAATTGCTGCCTCTGTCATGTTGGATTTAGAATAACATCAATTCGCTTACTGTGTTTCTCTCATCGAGCTCTTTCATTTGATACCCATATCATATCCTATGGAAAAGATAAATCGCCATTATGGAGCATACGCCATATTAGATTCAAAATGGCGTCAGTTAATTCATTATATATTGTCACAGGAACCAGACAGGCATACAAAGTTCCAGCTTAATTGGTTTAAAATTCAGTTTTAGGATTCATATGCGTACTAATGAAGTAACATACTAACAATTACTTGTACAATGCTTGCAAAAAGTTCCACTAATATTGCAATTTTTATTGAAATCTCAGCTCAAATTAAGCCAGGAGAAAATTAGAGCGTTTCAGGATAAATTAGTATTTTCTGTCTTTCCAAAAAAAAAAAAAAAAAAAATGCGCTAATTTGCCTTCATAAACGACTTTGTATTTATTGTATTGCTTACCATTTACGAATTTGAAATCCCCAGTACTTATATATAGTGCTTTTAGCAAAGTCGAATTAAAAATCTTCATAGATTTCAACTAATTCTAGTAATTATATTACGAGTATAAATCTCATGTAATACATATTGGCTCAGCTTGGGGATAACCCTGTACATGAACAACTTTGTTAATTTTTATAAAAAAAAACTCTTCATTCAATTTCGTGGGGCTTGAGAGAAGGAAAGCTCCTTCGAAAACGTTCATAAACCACAATATGTACAGCGAGAGCGAAAATAGTGAGAAAAGTGAATGTGAAAGTGAAAATTGAGCAAACGTGAGATGAGTCGAAAAAAGTGAAATAAGTGAGTCGCCACCATCCCTGAAAAATATTACATATACTATCAGAATGTATGGACGCTACAGTAACAGCTCTTATGATGGTGTCCATGGGAAACAATTTTGCTGCTGCTATATTGCTGATTTTTTACAATCTGTGCAACAATAGCTAAAATAATTTTTAAAAAACACTGATCGTTTGAGAAAAATTATTTTTGTTCAGATTTCAATAAAATGAACTAGCTACATCTTTCTCGAGCTGACGCAGAAATGTACACGGAGCATGTACTTGATTAACAATTAAACTACAAAGGTTTACGATAACAATACCCCCTAAAATCTATTAGAATACTGTCAATGGATGTTTGAAGATTTGTACATGTGAATTTTGACAACAATTTTCGTTTTCTCAAATTATTTTTCGGGGTCCTTCTTCAAGATCATACAAAAAATACCGAATCAGAATATTTATTAGGCAGCAGCGTTTCTGACATATATAATTGACAACCTTTAAAATGGTAGAGGCAGTTATTAAGTGAATTTTGTAGTATTCTGGGGTGCGTTTGCAGATCAGTTGGCAATGTAATACTGTACACACTAATTGTATGTAGAATGACAGATTCAGGTAATGACAGCCCACTAATTTCTAACCACGTTTCCTGCGACCATCTTTTTATTATAAGAAATGCTTTGAATAGGAGGTAGACATTTATTGTGAAAAATATATATTCATCCAATTTTGATAGCCAAAAAAAGTAAACAAACAATGAACCATGAGAATGCAAAGTGACAACACTCGTATTCTATACATATATACACTGAGCGTGGGAAGAAAAGCACACTTTTGATGTTCCAGAAGGATTACTTTGTTTTATTTCCCAACACTCGGAATGGGTACGTCAAACAATTACGAACACTGAAATTTTTACAGAGCAGTACAAGGTACACACTGTAAAATTTCACGAATGCAGGCCAGTTTCACAATTTGCGTAACATACATATTTTTACTTGAATCCTAGATATATTACTGGAACAAAAGTAAAGAATATATTTACATACATACTGCTTTCCAAAAGCACTTACCAATTCTCTGAGCCGGTCAATTTAGCAAGTAGAAATTCAGGGTAATGAAATTTATACATGAATACTATTGTAACACCTTGTATAGTGTAGCAGTTCACAGATAGCACGTGTTTTAGTTTTGGTACCTTTGAGTTCTGTGTTGTCTGCTATCAAATTGTAGGTTAGGTATGTTGTAAACTGAGGTGAATAGCTGATCAGCAAGTGACATTTTGTATTAGTCTGTAACATAGGCAATAATGAATCGGGTGTAAATCTAAAACTTAGTTGTACAGTTTTTTTGTATGCAAATTAACTTTTCTAAAGATTCACATGCATATTCCCTATTGTCGATATATTTCGCAAAGCTTTTGAAGTACTTTTTGTCTAGAAAGTTATTGTTATCGGGGTTTTCTAGTTTTCAAAGTGGTAGGACTTCGTTCAAAAAATCCATCCGTAGCTTTAATAGAGCCCAAAAGCGTCATCTCATGCACGGCAGAAAATTCAAATGGGTCGGGCCTATTTATAAGAAAACACAAGTTTATTCGTTAATATAGGAGATTCTAAAAATTATTTCCCTTACCTTCAAGTGTTCATTGAGTGCTGCAACAGCATTAGCCTTCTCAGCGTCCAAATCATTAATGTTACCCAATGCCGTCTCAAGTTGCTCCTTCATATTGCTCAACGATTGCAAATCTACCGAATGCAGCGTCACTTCCCTGGCATATTTGTTCTCAACTGCCTTTAGCTGCTCAACTAAGGTCCTACTTTCTGTTCTGGCAGCCTCCAATTGTTGCTTTGCAGTGTTCAGATCCATGGTCTTGATGTTGAGCTCTTCTTGGAGCTGGCTGGATTTGTTTTTCAAGCCGGCATTTTTGATGTCTTCGTCGTCTAGTTGGATGGAGAGCTCTCCTTCCAGTTCTTGGCATTTCTCTTGCAATTGTTTGATTGTTTCTGATGAAAAAATGCAAGTATTTTAACAAAGAGTAGTTATATGAATACAGACACGGCAAATAAATTGGAGAGAGGTAAGATATCTGACCCAAAACACGGCGCCCACAACACAGCCGCGATATTTCAAGCCCGTGAGTAAATACAAAGAAAGTCAAGTTCCGGAAACTACGTGGTACATCCACAACAAAAAACATGAGCAAAGCTCGTCAATCTATTGAAACTGACAGAGGTATTATGTAAAAAAACCCAGAAACGTAAAAAAAACTACAAAATGTCATTTTACAGACTAGGTGTGCAAATAGTTCATTCCGCGTTGCCCGCTATGATAGCTGTGAGCGCCATCAAAAGGGTCCATCTATGGAGGAATTACTTAATGACACGACATGCATTGTTGGTTGCTGAAAGTCAAGTAGTCTGTAGTGTTTATCTCTGAGATGTGAAAGAAAAAAGTTGGTTGAGTAGCAAGATCCCATCTGGATGATTATGTTGTGTATTGGTCTGCATGTGTGTAAGTTCAGTGATATTTGCTATGTGAGAAAATTTTTACTGAATAGGCTGCCAATGACCTATATCGATTAGCTGTGACCGACGGGTTATTTATATGTCCTTTAAATATAACATGGCCACGCAAGACAACTGTTTAAATATACTCACTAGGCTTTACAAGACTATCCATAGTGAAATTTTTCCCGAAACACTTAAAAAATGCAAATGAAAATTGGAAAATTAAGGGATACCAATGGAGAAACATAATAAGGCGTAATAATGTTTGCCGAATAGCTAAAGGTTAGATAAATATTCCCATTGTACGTGCAAGAACAAACAAAGCAAGATTGGTGGTGCTTATGTTTGATGAAGATTTGTATTTTTACGAATTGTTATCAAATTTATATTATTTTTTCGCACAAATTTATTATAGGTTATATATTTGTTTAGTTGATTTACCATATTCATCCTAAAACAGTTAATTTCTTTGTTAAATGCATTTTTTTTATTATTATGCATATTATTTTACTGTAATTTAAATATCAAAATATAATAACAATAATATTCACAATTACAACCAGTAATTACAGTAACCCAGTACATAATAGATGTAAATGCAAAAAGGGCCAACATACAGAAAAAAACTGATACAAGTGCAGACGCAATTGAGACAAAATAATGAACATTAGGCTGTGAGAATTATGAGCTACTCCTGATGTTACCCCAAAATACCTAGGCACACACTACTTATACACATGGAAATCTACAATATAAGCAATTGTTTTATGTTTATGAGCAAATTGTGGACACGAGATATAAATGATTAAAAAATTTTCATAAAACATAAACACCACCAGTCTTGTTTTGTTTGTTCTTGCACGTACAATGGGAATATTTATCAGAATCACCTTTAGCTATTTGGCAAACATTATTACGTTTTAATTCCTATGCTGCTCCATTGGTATTCTTCAATATTCAAAGCTTCTTTTTTATAACATTCTAACAAAATAGCAAAAGTAACAAAAACGTCCGGTGAGCTGGCAACACCGCAAATCCAGGTGACAAGAATAACAGGTCAGCTGCCAAAATGAATGTCTAGCCTTGGGTACCGACGGAGCCATTTCGAACGTCTAGGCGTCAATTTTCCAATTTTCATTTGCATTTTTTAAGTGTTGTGCAACGATTTCGGGAAAAATTTCGCTACGGATAGTCTTGTAGAGCCTAGTAGAGTATATTCCAACAGTTGTCTTGCTTGGACATGTTATCTTTACTCGGGCCAATGATGTAATAACTTTTTTTACGTTTCATAAATATTCCTATCTGTAGCATATTTTCTCACCTATTGCTTGTAATATACTACATCAACAAAGGATTTTCTTTTTTTATCTCTCTCATTTTTTAAATTCAGCAAATTTGCATTTGTAATTTCCAGAATGAATAAAAAAAAATTGGATGCGCAACTAATTTTTAGCTTTGAATACAAGTAAGTGTATTTGAGACAAGAAACCAACGGAATTATCATCAATACAGCTACAGTATACAACTTGTCTTACAGCTTAGACCTCCAGTAATGCCATCTCTAAAAGAGATGTTACATCACATCAGACCCAAACATTGATAGCTGAAGCTTCATGACGCTTAGGCACATACAGCTACAAAACGAGTTCACAACAAGTGGACAACAGGTAGTGCTAAGAGGACATCTTGTAGAAAACCCTACGTTATATCACAAAAAGCCTACAAAATGACTAAAAAACCCACAAAATGACACTTTTCAAGATATGTAATAAACGTGAAACAAACTCTAGCGGATTATAGCATTAGCGCTAATTTTGAATATACAGGGTATCCCAGAAGTCGATGTCAAGCCGGAAATGGGCGATAGGCCAAGTAATAATAGTTATCAGAAAAATATAAAAAAATCTAAGTTGTGTACTTTCCAATTATGGGTTTTAAAAAAAGTCGGAAAAAGCTACACCCTGTGATTATCTTTTAGTTCCCATTACTACAAATTTTAATTGTTTGTTTCACGGAGTGATGGACCGTGTCATTCTACGTAGAGACAGCAAGACATAGTAACGCCACTTTTATTACTTCATGATTGTGTAGTGCCACCATGTCTGTGTACCACGTACAGCGAGTACAATCTCTATAACCCCGGGATTCTCTTCCAAGAGTTGAGTTCTGTCAAACAATATTACAGAGACACCGGGAAGATCTGCGATTTTTAGAGAAAATTTCATTGACTGATGAGTAGACATTTAAAAAAGACGATTATATGAATATACACAACGTACACGAGCGGCATGTAGAAAATACACTTTTGATGAGACAAGATAGATCACAGTATCGTTTTAAACATCTGGATCAGAATTCTAAATGAGAGAATCACTGATCCTTTTGAGCTGTCAGCGTTCTTGACTGGGGAGATTTATTTGCCACTCTGCATTTACAGAGACATGTGTTACAAACAAGATGGCTGCCCGGCGCACTATGTCCATTCAGTTACAGAATATCTATGCTGAATACTCGAGCAGATGAATAGGGCGGCCTGGTATAATTTCGAGGCCAACCAGTTCACCTGACCTAAATCCACTCGATTCTTTTTTACTGGCGAGCGGTGAAAGAAAACGTTTACTCAACGCCAATCGAAAATTTAGCTGAGCTACGGGACAGCTATAAAGGAAGTGGCTGAATTTGTCAATAACCCGATCATTTTTACGATGTCAAGCTTGCATTGCTGCTGAAACAAGGCAGTTTAACTTGTTTTATTGTGAATTTAATAAATACATTCACGAATTAATAAGTGGCGTTACTGCCTTGCTGCCACTACTAGAATGACACTGTCTTTCACTCCGTCTAAGAAAAAATTTAAATTTGAAGTAATGGGAACTAAAAGATCATCACAGGGTGTAGATTTTTCAGATTTTTTTAAAGCCTGTATTTGGTAGAGTATGGAGTTAAATGCCTTAACCTAAAACTAACGCGACATTCAAAAATGTATCCCCAATCATCGGCCGTACAACCACAATGTCAGCAAATTCATGAATGAAGAAAAAAAGGATTTTTTTAATGTTACCTTTCTGTTTCTCGATAGTTTGTTGCAATGTCTCATTCTGTTCAAAGATGTCCTTAGCTTGTTTCTCTGATGCTTGAGCGAGGTTCATGTATTCCTCTGTTGCTTCCTTAGAAGCCTTGAGTTTTACATTCAGAGAATTAATCTGAGATTCTGAATTGGTAAGTTGTTCCTCCAATTCTCTAATTTTCTTCACCTGAAAGAGTGAGAGCGAATTAGACAAAAAAAATTGGAATGGCACAATAAATATCTAGAAAATCGAACATTATAAAAGTGCTTGACCAAAATTGACCTTCTCGAATGAAGTATATACACACATAGTTGTCGTCACCGTTCTTGGCGGGTCAAAGTAAGACTACCAGTATCCCTTTATATATATCCATCTCCCTCATACATACACATGCAACCTACCCCTGTGTGTGAACGTTTGTTCGGTAAGCTCAGACATACGTTTTTTAGTTGTGTGTCTCCGTCTCGAAAATGTTGTCGTTACGTATGAGTGCCCTTCAATCATATTTGTCGGAATGACAACTTACTTGACATCGGCGTGCAATTTGAGTTGTCCTGTTATCAATCTTCGATATAAAATTGTACAATGCCCGGAAATACGATCAATGGACAAGGCTGACAGCTCGTGCTAAATTTATTAGAGTATTTCCAGGAAGAGAATGAAAACAGCGGTCCCCTGTTACCCACTTTATGCGTACTGGAGAGAGTAGCACATGCGCTAAAGATTAGACTACCCAGTATTCCGCCCATGGTACGGAGACTTGATCTGTTTACTTATTTCATATTGCGTTGATGACGTAACCGCCAAGAACGGTGACTATACATTCGAATTCATTAGATTTAAACATTTTCATTGAAGTGTCATTTACCTCTATTATGTGAGTCAACATGTCAACAATCATGACATTTCATACTCATTTTACAAATGAATTGGTCAGTACATAAACCTCATGATTTGAATTTTTCAGGTAAAAATAAAAAAATTGTCACTGAAAGATAAACCAGTTTTAAAGTACTTTTGGGCTTAATGTAGTATTTGTGTTCAAAAAGATCGAAAATTTAAATAACCGTCACAGTTTATTAATAATAATAATAATAATAATAATAATAATGGAAAAAGACCGAAAAACTGTTATAGTCTCACGTTGTTTTTCCAGGAAATAAGTGTTAGTGGCATACAGGATGTAATTTAATTGATGGCTAAAAATACAGGATATGATTCCTTAGCTCATTTTAGGAAGAAAAGTTTATATGAACATATGTCCTAAACCTCTTAACTTTTGAGCTTCTTATCATACTGTTCTAGATATTTTCATGAAATTTGACATGCACCTACTAAGCACCACTAGACATTTTTTTATGTAGAGAATTTTTTAATATTTCTACCAGTAGCATCCGTATACTGGAGATTTAAAAAAAAATATGGTACGATATGACTTTTTTCCGTCTGATGCACCTTTTCGCTAAAAAAATAAAAACCATTTTCATGCATTTGATCGATTATGTTGAGGTCTTATTAGCAGATATGCATTTTACCTACGGACTTGCTGACGGGAATGCGAATGGCTAGGCGGATATATCAAGAGCGATATGCAAATCGTACCATTTACGATGCCAGAATGTGTTCTAGAATACACAGAAGACTACATGAAACTGTGAGTCTTAGCATTGACAATAGTTCCAAAGGGGCACATCGCGCGATGAGAGCATCAGACTTAGACGAAGCTGTTTTAAACACAATTGAGGAACAACTAGAAACAAGTACTAGGAAAACTGCGGTTATGCTTAATGTTTCTCATTTTCTTATTTGGGAAACACTTGTTGATAATTTACACCCCTATCATGTTCAAAGGGTTCAAGCACTAGTGCCGCGTGATTTTCCATTGCGTTTAAATTTCTACCGATGGTTTTTAGAAAAACTTGCTGAAAACCCTTTATTTGATATCAAAATACTATTTACTGATGAAGCTATTTTTACCCGCAATTTGATTCGAAATTTCCATAATAATCATGTATGGGCCGAAGAAAACCAATACGCAATTACGGAGGCACATCATCAGGAGCAGTTTTTAGAGAATGTGTGGACTGGATTAGTTGGAGATTTCCTCATAGGACCGTCCTTCCTTACAGGACGACTAGATAGACTATCGTCACTTTGTTGAAGACGATTTGCCAATTTTGCTCGAGGATGTACCTCTTTTATTAAGAGAAGAAATGTGGTACATGCATGATGGTGCTTCTGCACATTTTAGCATTCATACTAGGGAATTTCTAAATGAAGCATTTACAAGTCGCTGGATAGGACGTGGTGGAACTCAATCTTGGTCTCCCAAGTCCTCTCATTTAAATAGTTTAGACTATATTTGAAAGGATTCGCCAATCCATGCGAAAGAGAATTGAAACTTGTATTCTACAATTATTGTGATAATTAAATTAATTAGTATTAGTTTATTCACAGAAATTGTCAAAACTTGTTGCAAACTTGTTTTTTTTTTAATTTCCATGCATTGCAAAATCGCTAAAATCTCATGTGTGGTGGTTTGTAGGTAAGATCTGTTTTTGTTTAATGTTTATTCAGGTCAAATCAATAGATTAAAATACCTAAAATGGTTATTTACGCGAAAACGATGCATCGGAGGGAAAAAAGTCAAGAGGTCAAATTTGTTGCAAAATAAATGAGGATTTTCATTTTCGGAAAACGCAATGGCATACCATATTTTTTTGAAAAATCCCCAGAATGCATCCCATACGGACGCCACTGGAAGAAATATTAAAAAATATCCTAGATCAAAAAATGCGGTCGGTCTCCGCACGTACCGGCGTAACAACATTTTACAGGAGAGCTAGAAAACTAAAATCAGCAATAAGTCTGCACGTTTTTTTGTTAGACTAAAATTATGTAGAACATTGTTATGGGATGGTCATTTAAGCCGGTATGTGATATTGTTTTCGGAATTTTCTCACTTATACAATTTTTCAAGAATTTTATTTCCAAGCAGCGAACTGATATACAGTTACGTCACTTCGTGAGTTGAGATAGTACAAAAAAATATGTGAACTTACGGAGTAACTCGATTTTAGATTTGTTTTTAACATTTACGCCTGTACGTGCGGAGACTGACGATTGGTGCTTAGTAGATGCATGTCAAATTTCATGAAAACAGTATTGAAGTTATGATAAGAAAACGAATCTTTTCTTAAAATTTTAACATCCTTATAAACTTTTCTCTCTAAAATGAGCTAAGAAACCATATGTGTAAGCTTAGCCATCAATTACATTACATCCTGTTTTTTATTACTTGTTATTGAAATTACACTTGAATATTGATAATCCCCCATGCTTGTTGGGCCAATAAAACCACATGTATTGACAGATCTTATATAGTATCTTATATAGTAAACGTTTCAATCACAAAGTGATTATCTTTAGTACGATGACATATATTTGGTATATCTGTCTTCCAGGTAACAGTTCGTTTGTTTTTCTGTTCATACATGTGATTTTATTGGACAGACAAGCATGGGAAATTATCAACATGTAAACCACAGGATAAGTTCCAGATGTTACGTTAAATATCAATGTTTTAATTCTGCATTTTTTAATATTGTGTTGTGAAAAAATACACTTATTTATTTGTCCAACTTTCTTCAATAATCGGCCATCGGTTGTAGAAGAACCCACGTGCTTATTTAACTGCTAGTAATAAAAATTATTTTTTTCAACAAAAAAGTTGATATTGTAAGTTAGGTGTTGTGGCGTCTAATTCCATCTCTATACTATCTTTATGAACAGCTATTTTAAATAAGTAGCGTTCTTTTAAAGGACCTTCTCAGTCATACAAATGAGAATGTTTGAGTCAATGGTATTGGTGGAAAACAAGAAAACTTAAATGATTTCGGGCAAAGCGGGTTAGGGCTATAATTTTATATATTTCGGTGCACATAGTACATAAATATGACAATAAAACAATACAGGGATACTGGTAATGTTTTTGAAATGACCCATTCAAGTACGGTCGTCCAGTAGAGAGTGCAAAAATTGGACCTAAGATGTTTTTGCACTGAACGTGAATTGCGTAGTTTTATTTATAGTGGAGAGAATGCAGTGACACACGAAATGTTTACCCAGAATACGCATCTACCTTTAATGAAGCGTTTTCAGTAAAAAAAGCACGTTGGCAAAAATGGACTTGCGGTTTTTGCACTGCCGATTCAAATAATTTGGAGCATTTAGTAGCATGTGTCGAATTATCAAACAGAAAATGAAAGAATATTAGTTTTTTCACTTGTTTTCAAATATTTCTGTATTTGAAGTTCATTGACAATGAAGTTAGGATACAAATTTTAATGACAGTATAGTGTAGTGCCGTGTTTTATGTTATCATTATTCACATAGAAAGAGAAAAGCTACTTTTTAGTGAGGCCTCGGTTATAGTGAACTTAAAAAAATAACCTACCTCAGCACTGGTATCAGGCACAGTGAATATTCCCATCTTCAACTTCTTACTCAGCTCTTCCATTTGCTTGGTTTTCTGGATCAGTTCATCCCTAGCTTCACTCAACTCTTTCCTCAACTTCTCAGCTTGACTTCTTTCTTCCTCAGCCCTATCTTGGGCATCTTTGGTTTGCTTTTGCAGGTGTTCTGAGAGTTGTCTGAAATTAGAGATCAATGGATGTAGGATGTCCACTGATACCTTTATATAACGTAATTTAATATGTATTTGGACATTTACATACAATCTCCATCGCCATAGCCATGTTGCCAAGTAATCCTTTAGAAGAAAAATTTGTTACAGACTACACTATTGCTTGTAGAGTGTCTCAATAAGAGCTCCAGATTTGATTTTCAAGAAAAACACAATTTCTTTTCGAATTAAGCGAGTATTTATATTTCAACATGAAGAGGAATAGTTGCGATTAAACATGAAGTAGGATATCCCGTAAATGGCCACCACGAAACCTCTGGCACAGGGTTAGTCTTTTCTTAAAATTACGTTTCGGATAACGTTTTCGCACAACTGTGGCTCTATTTCGTCGATAACGCGCCGTATTTCTTCTTTGAGGCGTTCAACTATTTGTGGCTTGTTCGCATACACCTTTTTCTTCACTTAGCCCCAGAGGAAGATGTTCATTGGCGTTAGATCGCACGATCTTGCTGGCCAATTTTGATCACGAAACCGAGAGATGACACGGTCTGGAAAGTTGGTCCGCAGTAACACCATTGTTTCGGGTGCTGGGTGGCAGGCCGCACCGTCTTGTTGGAAGAACATACCCTCCACATCAATTCGATCCAACTGGGGCCACAAAAAATCTGTTAACATTTCGCGATACCGCACACCATTAACAGTTACCGAAGTTCACTGCATTTTCGAAGAAATACGGTCCAATCACTCCGCCACTCCACAATGCACACCAAACGGCAACTCGTGGCGGATGCATTGGTTTATTACACGAGGGATTTCAGAAGCTCAAATTCGGCAGTTCTGCTTATTGCCGTACTCGTTCAGTTGAAAATGTGCCTCATCAGAGAAAATGATTTTCTTCGAGAAATCCGCATCAATTTGGTGGTGCTCCAGCGCCCAATCAACGAATTCACGGCGCTGCGCATGGTGCGTTGGCTTGAGTTCTTGCGTCAGATGAACCTTGTACGCATGCAAGCACAGATCTTTTGTAAAATTTCGTTGCAGAGTGGGTCTGGTAAGGTTCAATTCTTGGCCACGATGCCGAATGGAAGTGCCTGGATTCTCGGCCATACTTTCCCACACTGCGACTATACATATTTTCGAGGGACCGACCAGGACGGCGACGAAAACATTCAATAACGTGAATTTTGTCTCAAATTTTGTAATTAAATGGCGCTGTCGACTTTAGGCAGCAGCGGTGGCCGCAGTAGTAGACTCTTCGGTCTCCTGATCAGTCGCCGTGCGCTGTGCGGGTTCGAGTCCCGTCCCTGGAGAAATTTTTCCCTTGGCTATGGATGTTGTGATTGTCCGTAGGTGGTAGATGGTCTCTGACTGTCGAACGCGGAGGTACCACCCGGCGGTTCTCGTAGGCGGAGCCAGAATGTGTGCATGTTGCATGCACACGTGTTCCCTCGTCAGAGTCCGTGTGGCGTCCCCCCTTTCCCATGTATCCCCCTATAGCCCCACGGTACCCAATGGGAGCTTAGGCCTTAGGCCTTCGTGGTAGTTGGAGTATAAATAAAAAAAAACTTTGGCGCATTTTTTGCGACCGAAAATGTACGTAATTTGCGAACTGTTTCCGCGTAATTTTCTCCATTTTTGTTTTCACAATAACGTTGCTCGTTTGAATACTGCTCCATGACGTTTAATCGCGTAGTCTGGACATGACAGCTGTCATCAAGTAAACACCATACCATTTGTACAAAAAAAATGGCGGCAAATTCAAATCCGGTGCTCTTGTTGAGACACCCTTTCCAAGATTTGATTAGACTTTTTGAACAAGATATATTTTGTAGCATCAAGCAACAAATTGGTTGAAAAGCGTAAATTGGAACAGAATTTCATTTGGGTAAAGAACATAGTTCATTCCTAGACAATTCACCGCATGTTGTTCACACATCTATATACTTTTAGTTACTGGGTATTTTGGCAATAAAATATACGGATTATTCATAGGAATTTGTCTATTAGAAAATCATTATAGTACATGTAGGATTTATTGATTACGAGGTAAGTTAATAGGAAAGACTGTGATGTTCTTTCCAGTAGGTCTGTTTTTACATGCAAAAATAATTTGGATATGTGTTCCTGATTAATGGATTAACGTAATTCAAATATGGCTGTTTCATTGCCCATTAAATAATACAGTGTTTCAAGTTCTAAGTAGAGATGATTAGCAAAGTCAAAAACTGTTTATCTCATTTCATTCCTATCTGACTTGAAATGTAGTCATGATCATTAGCAGCAATTTTGTTTGTAGAGTTTTTTTACGCGAAGCAAGTACAAAATAAATCCATAGGGTACAAAAAAAAACAACAAAATCCATCTACCTGATGGGCCATTGAACTGTGTCACTTGTCGATATGAGGAATTTTGAAATATCACTAAATAATCAGCTGTTATTTTACCTATACCCTCCAGAGTATCCATCACGGTAGAATGACAGCTGATAATCATCTCAAAATTCCCCATATCAGCACAGGACACATAATTCTGACGGATCCGTCAAAGGCAGGTAGAACCAGGCGAATTTTGTTTATTTTTTTGTGTATGCTACAGCTCTTTTAGTTAGAAAAGTTCATTTTCATACAAAAAACAAAACTTCACAAACAAGTTTTGCTAGATTTATACGCGATCCATTATTGCCAACGTTGCAGACTAACACAAAAATGTCACTTGCTGATCAGCTATTTACCTCAGTAGACGTCAAAGCGTGATGGATACTCGTGAAATAAGGTATATCGATAATCGTAAAAAAGACAGTATGCTGCCTTGAAACCTGAACTCATTTATTTAATACTTTCACAGTATGTCATCCCTACTAATATAAAGCAGGAAGTGTGGTTGTTAGGCAATCACGCCAAAATTACTGGACATATCTGGATGAAATTTGGCACAGAGATACATATATTATAGACCCGAATAGCACAGGCAACTTTTTATACCGGGAAATACCTATTTCACGGGATACAGCCCAAACGACTTAATGATATTTGACATGAGGCGTCTGACGCGGAAACGCTCAGTCTCTGGTCCGACCGAAATGAGTAGGGACATTTAAATAGTGCATTGGCCTCGTACATGTACACGTTTCTTGGAGTGATCTTCTTGACTCAGATTTATTTGGTGTTTTGTTTCATTGTAAATATAATATTGTGGATGCAATGCTTTTATTATGATTTCGAACTTGTCCTGAGATCTAGCGGATATTCCTGCCACCAGAGCATTGCACCCATCGCCTTAACGTTTAGGCAAGTTAGAAGTGTTCAAGTGTGCTTCAAGTCTCAAAACTTTATTGTTTGTTTCGATTTTTGACGTTTTCTGATACTGCTGATAATTTAGAATTTGCAGTTTATTCAGATGCCGGATGTTAATGCGCAGGATTGTGAACTATTTCATGAACAATAAACATTGTAAATCCAAAACAGTGATTTTACGATAAAAGATCATCCAGGAACTGATCCCTAAAATCGAACCAAATCTTGCATAAGAAATTGTGTAATCTAAAACCGAGTTAATAAAAAGCGATTCTGTTTCCTGTTTAAAGGTTGGAAAGATCACCCCTCAATCTCTCTCTTGATTATTCCCAAGACATCGTGTTATCGAAATTTCTCAACAACAAGCGGCAACAACCGCAGAGGTGGCAACGCTGACACCTGAAAGCGGTGGTCGATAGGTATGCAGGGTGTCACGAAAGTTAGGACTTTTCAGAAACAACTAAGTTTGAGGTAAAACAGCACCGAAAACAAATAGAGATTAAAAAAATGTTTACACACTCAATATTCATTTGGTAAGGAATTTCAAGAACTATACTGTTCCCTATCACATGTTTAGTTCGTAAATACTCTCTAAAGTTGTGGGCGTTCGTTTCAAACACGCAGGTTTGTTAAAATTTTCCTAAAGCAAAAATTGGGACTGTCCAGGTGTTTTACTGTGTCCACCTCGACCTCTTTTGCACGATATAAACATACACAGATCCGATTGGAAACATCAAGGACAATGATCTGAATACACTCGCAAAGTATCACTAGCATCTTGAAGGCAAGCACGGTAAACTAACATCATATCGATAGCTGCATTGTTGCTGTAAGAATGTGACAATTTCTGTAATTCCGATTTGGATACTAACGCACGTCGTACCCTTTCACGGTGAATGCTGAGCCGAGCTGGCTCATTAAGATTTTTGTATATTTAATATCGCAATTATTTCAAGGTTTTTGTGTGTTGCTACAATTTGAGTAAGTAGTAAGCATACGTGTTTGGCGGTGCCACGGTATGTACCTATGCTTCTGATGAAAAATATTTTAATGTGATACCTGAAGTGATCTTGGTCCTCTTGGAGACGCCTTCTCAATGCAGCACATTCCCTATGAGCTTCATCCAAACGAGTTTCTAGTCTAATCCTGCTTTCAGCATCTGTGCGTTCTAAGGTTGCTTTGATCAGTTCCATGTTGGATTTGATCAGGTTTTGTTGGTGTTGATCGCGTTTCAGAGATTCGCGTTCCTACAGGGAACAGCATGTTTGGTTAGAATAAAATGGAGCTATACATCATTCCAAGAGGTCAATTATTAAAAACCAGGGAGTAAAATAAGCAGTAGAAAAAATTCTATTACCTTTCCCTACGCCTTTTGAGGTCTGTTTTGATATTTTCCAAATATGCTTATAAATGAATCCATTTCCAGTAAAATAATATGTTCATAGGTGCTTTCAATTCTTCAAATTTCAAAGTGAAACTTGGAGGAATGTTCACTCAACACACAATGTATCATGAAGCTCTACATTTCAAACTAAACAAAATAAATATATCATATTATCATATTTCTGTTTCAAAGGTAGATGTCTGGAAAATATGTGATATTGGTACCCTCTTAATAACAGAACGTCTTTCTCTGATACCAAAAATGCTACATTTACAACCATTAACGCCCCACAACTCCAAACACCATTTTTAAACTACTACTAAAATTTCTGAACTTGAGCAGGGATGTCTGTACGTCGAAACGCGATGTCTCAGCGATTTGTGTTTCTCTTCCGTAGCTCCGCCGCCACTAATTCAATTTTTATGACTTAGCATAATAGTCCTCTGCCAAAGTGTACTTTCCGTGTTACAAAGGGGCTAAGGAATAGGGAACAGACAAACAGCCCTTAGTCACTCTTTCTGTCAAGTAAAAAAAAATTTGTCTGACGGCTTGTGTAGAAAGAGATAGAAGCCGCCTGGATAGCGAAGCTCATCCCCGCGTTGCCTAGCAACGTTGACGAAGCACTCTGACGCGTTGACAATATATCACACCAGTCCCTAATTAAAATGCATATTGAAAATATGCGTTACTTTATTCTTTACGCCCAAATAATGGTTTTATTTTGAGCATACATATTTTTGAATTGTGTCGAAATTGTTTAGGACTGATTCCTGTTCGGTCCTAACGGCGTTCCATTTTAGGTCGAAATGAAAGGTCAGAATCATCACAACTTCTGAAACATTGCATCATTGGTTCGTTTGATAACATCGCATCTTGTAAATTCCAAGGCAAGCTTTCCACCTCCATGATCAATCATAGTTGAGCGATTTTGGTCAGTACTCATCTAGCGCTCCTAGGCGGGTGTCGCCCTGCTTCGAAATGGCTTTCACCTGCGTACACGCAGGTAGTGATAATTTGTAGTCCGCAACGTTATCTGGTACATTTTCTGACCGCAGCTCTGTCGCAAAATGTAACAATGTGTTGATTTTATCACCAACGGTGGAAATCAAAGATAATTCTAAGATAAATTAAAACACAAGTCGCATGAAAACTGAAATAAACAATTCTAATCAAAATGAAAACAAAATATTCAATGTTCGAACAGACGTCGTTCTTGGGTTTGATACTAACCTAACCTATTGTAGGATCCTGTGCGAACACTTTTTGGTGTAAAATATCGGTAATGCGGCAGATTGCACGACCTTCTGCGTCACCGTCGCTAGGCAATATGGTATTGACCTTCGCTCTTCAGCAGGCTTCTATCTCTTTCTATCATGTATTGATAGATGCTTCTCGCGCTTCTCTCCCGTACTTGAGACTCAAACAAATATAGTTTTCCCTGTATTGTACTCAATGAATATGACTTGACTCCATAAACGATCGAAGTATCGCAATTACGAAAATATTCGACCTTCATTTAGCACATTTTTTGTTGTGCAAAAATATCTTAATGACTCAAACCTATATCATTCATTTCTGTCGCTTTGTTATTCTGGATCTACCTAATGGAGGAGCATTTTCGCAACATCAAACAATGTACAAACTTCGTTTTAGGATGTTTCTCAGTTTTTGGCACTTTTGGGCATTAATGGAAGTGTATATATCAATTTTAAAAAAATTACTAATTAATTAACTAAAAAGTAGATTATGATGCACACTCAGAAAGTATTTTTAAGAAATTCACGTGTAGCTATATATGCATACGTGTGAGGTACTAAATACTTTCCGAGTTACAGATACGCTAAAGATTAACAGACAGGCTGACAGACAGACCGACGGAATATAGTGACATGGTGACATATCTCATTTTCTAATTTTTTCGCAATTACAATTACTTCCACACCAGTGTGGCATGGGAAGTAAAAATACAGTTCCTCGAAAAGTAATGGAACCATGCCCACTTTCTAATATTCTACTCCCTTATTTTCAGCAATTAGCACGTAAAAGAATTTTGACTTGTCTTCAGGAAGAATGTTCCAAAAAATCACTAACCTTTAGTAGCCTCTGTTCAGCATCCCTAAGCAGAGCATTCTCCTTTTGCAGATTGCTGAGCATTACTTCGGCTTTGGACAGCTTGGCCTGGGACTGCAAAGTCTCATCTTTCAAATAAGTAGCAGCTTGTTCATGCTTGATGATCGCCTCACTGTAGATCTTATTCTGCTTCTCCAATGCTACTATTTGCTTCTTGTAAATTTCTACGTTGTTTTTCATTATCTAATAGAACAGAACACAACAAATATATAGTTCTCTTCGGGATCTTTGGCGGGTCACACTAAAACTACCGGCATCACTTTTAATCCATCTTCCTCACGCAGACATACGCATCTGCCTTTGTGCGCGGACGTTTGTGGAAGCTCAGACATACGTCTCGCCATCTAGAAAATGTTCCCGCGAGCGTATGAGTAACCTTCAAGGCTTGTCACTGTTAGTGTGACAACCCGCATCAAACAGAGCAGGAAAATACAACTAACTAACTGAAGCATTTTGAGAAAGATAATGGAAGCAATGGTCCTTTAATAGCCAGTTCATGTGTGTAAGAGCAGCTACATTCAAGATCGGTTTGCACAGTTTGCAATTCGTATCGCATGGATGACGTGATCGCCAAAAACCATGAAAAGGACTATACACATTTCCTGCTTCAAAGTTAGATTATCTTTAGGCTTAGTGTCATCAACATTTGACTTCAAAGAACTACATAAAAAATATAGGTTAATGTGATGTTTAAGAATAAATAATTTTCTTTAACAGGTAGATAGGGTATGTTTTTATTACTACTGATGGAATTACTGCGATTCTACTTGGCGACATGGCTAAAATGACAATGAGGCACCTTTTATTCAACTGTGTTACATGTATTACAAACCTTGAACTTCTCCTCGTTGACATCCGCATGCGATACCAACTTTCCATTTAATCTAGTCAACTCTTTTGCTTCTGCTCTTAATGTCTCCAACTGTTCCAAAAGAATCTTCTCATTCGCAGTCTTCTCTTTGCGATAAGTATCGTTCTCTTCCTTCAGCATGTCAATTTTCTTGTTGAGCTTCTCTATGGTATCTTGCAATTCTTTGACTTTATTGGTCAGTTGAGTCTCAGGTTCGCTTTGGATCTGGGTGTCATTACCTTCTTTTTCGAATGGGCGATCTAGCGGCATTTCTTCGCCAGACGATCTTTGAACCTAGGAATAAAATCGAGACAAAATATGCAGAAAATTCGATAAGGTATTTGAGTTTCCAGCAATTAAAGTTCCAATTTTGCATTTTTTCATCATTTTGCTAACATGTAGAGAAACCTAATTTTTATGAAAAATTAAGACAATCATCATGTGGTGTATTGAAAACATCAAAAATAGAAATGAAAACTATTTAGTAGATTCACACAATGTTAAGAATTTTGTTGAAAATGGTTGAAATTCATTTATTATTACATAAGCATTAAAAACTTCAAAAGTCGATTAACAACTTTATTTGTCTCCTGAGGTGTAGTATTTTTGCTGCTCAAGATTGGTAAAAAATAAAAATTTCAGATTGCTTCATGGAATGATTTTGCGAAGGATCAGGGGAATTTAAGAACATCTGTATTTTAAGCTTTTATCAACATTTTTTTTATTTCAATACTTGTTTTTTTTAAGAGCCAGTTTGAAATTTGGCATTTTTGTCTAACATTCACCCATTTTCCAAAATTCAACTCAAGTAATTCTACGTGAGCGAATGATCGCAACAATTTCTATTTCAAATCTATGATACACCATATATCGAAATAAGTGTTGTATTGAACGCAATAATGCCAAAATTATTAATTTAGGGCTTTTAAAAAAAATCAAGTGAAGTAAAAGGTTAAATGTTAATTAAAGTTTAAAATACATATTATGTTCTTAAACATTTTAATGTAAAAATTGTATATATCCCATCAACCTGACATTTGAGTTCTTTTCAGGGCCGAAAGCTTTCCTTATACAACCTAATCCTTTGTAATTGTTTATACTAGACCTCCTTTTTGCAAAAGGCGACGTCCGGTATGACAATGAAGCTACAATTTTTTATGAGTAAACAGCAAAAGTGGAAAGTTGTTCTTCAACACTATTACATGCCAAAAATTTTCATATTTAGCACATTATAAAAGTGATTTTTATAAGGAAACAGAATTACACATTTTGTTCTACTTGTTTGTAGAGAAATTCGACCCTTTTACCTAAATAGTCGGTATTTCATGGCTAAATTCAGAAAATAAAAACATATTCTATCTCAATCCTGTTCAGAATTAGTTTTTTTTGTTACATCAACATCATCTAGTAATAAGTTGTAAGGAACGGAATTAGCCTCATCACATAGAAGAAAGATTTTCGATGAAAAATATGGAGCTAGAATGCTGGTGTCCAATTGAGAAGCTGCACGTCAGGCCGTCTATCATTCAAGAAAAGTAATTATGACTGGAGACTTGCTCCCAACGATACCTCAAACATGACGTAACTACCATAAATGTGACAAGATCATCAAGAACCTAAGGTTACACCATTCTCTGACGTACTTTTTGTAGAGAGAGCTAACCAGTTGAAGTCTGGTTATCAAACTAACCTGCGAATACAAATTCTTGTACATATCCCTCTGGCTTCTCAGTGTGGCCATCATCTTGTTCTGCCTCTCCCTCTCCTCTAGCAGTTCCTCCTGTGAGGCTCTCAACTCCTCCAACTTAGACTTAAGATTAGCAATGGACGCCGGATCGATCAACTCTGCTTCTTCCTGCCTTTCAGTCAACTCCCTGACTAAAGCGAGCAGTTTTCTGTTGGTGTCTTGGAGTTCAGCAATGTCGTTGAAGGTGACCAACTTCTTTGTGATGATGTCAGCTGAGCTGACACTGTCGTTCGTCTCGTTGTCTGTTGAGGTTGAGGAGGAACCTGCTCGGGAGTGCTCGACTTCTTGGAGGAGGTGGACCACTTGGCGAGATAGGTCGGCTACGTCTTTCTTCAGTCTATGGACAAGTATAGATTTAGGATTAAAAAACTAACTAGGGTTAATTTTTTACCGAATGCGCTGTTCGGTTTTCAACACAACCTTCGGTGGAAGCCGAATGTTTAGTCAATCAAACATGTGGGTTGTGTTATAGGAATAAAAGAGCGTTTGTGTCCTTGGATCTGTTTGTTATAAGTTGTTACCTTGGTTGTCATGCAATGTTGCATCGAAACTTATAGATGATTATGAATACCTAACTTCAATACAGTTTTTGCGTTTAGACTAAACAACTAATAAACAAATGGCGTCAACTAAGTTGAATCCACACTTCACACGCCACGCCGTCATCAGTTCATGAGGGATTATGTTCAGCACAAGTTAGACCCTATCGAAATAAGACAGCGCCATAGACCTTTTATCCTAGATAGAGGATAACTGCTATGATCTCATTCACTGTCCCACACACCAAGCCTAGTCCATGCTGATAAGCTGCCAAAAAAGCATGAAACAGCTTTCCTCTGAGAAAAAAAAAATAGTTACCGACATGTATAACAGAGAAATTAAACGGATCAAGTCCGTCAAACAGGTCCATACAATTAGTCCATAGATATTATTTCCCCGCCCTACCCGTAGTACCGTCCATCTTAGAACGTCTCCTTTCCCCAATACCTGATCGCACGGTGCGTCAAATGCAGTACAGTGCCACTCATGCGATGACACTCCTGGAAAATTGTACGTCAGCCGGTGAAGCCATACAGCAGACGGAGGGTCGCGTGCCGAAAACATTTTTCTAATAGGTGTGTAGAATTACGGAGGCTGGGAATGTATTAATACACTAGCATCAAAAAATTGCGATACACCCTAACCGCTTTTTCAAAAATGATCAGGAGCCTCTCAGGCAAAAAAAAAACGAAGTTTGAGCGATTGTTATTTTTTACTTTTCCACCTCTAGCTCTGCCGACACTGGACCAATTATCAAAAACTACAAAGCTTTTTCATCCTTGATGTGGTAGTAACCTTGTGATGCAACGTTTTAATTAACATATACAAGTATATCAGAAAGCGACACCTAAAAAATTCAAGTTCAAAGTATTTTTGGAAAAAATGAAATTCCTGAAATCATTTCTTCTGCTTCGCGTGCGGTTCTGCTAGCAACTCTTTTATTTAGAAAATTTCATTTGGATACAGAAAAAAGGCTTTTAATAGATTTACACCCCATTCATTATTGCCAACTTTACAGGGTAATACAAAGACGTGACTTGCTGATCAGCTGTTCATCTCAGTAGACGTCAAAATGTGATGGATACTTGTGGAATAGGGTTTAAGCCTGAACAGGCAAGATTCTAGGTGTCTTCATATGAAGAATTGAATAAGGGTTGGATGTATTTAAAACTGATGTTATAAAACTTTTTTGTATACAAAAATATCTGCAATAAACACGCACATAAATGAGCATACATCTATCTCTCTTCTACAGATCTATCCGTATATACTTTTCTCTCGAACTATCACCACTTTTCCGAATGTTGGTGCCCTTTTGCACTTTATCTAAAAATTTTGTTCAACTTAAAAAAGATATTTCTTCGATAATGGTAGGTCGCAATTATAGTACATAGCATACAATTGTGAAAAATAATTTTAATAGAAGAAATCTCTTGTAACGATAATATTGCTGCAGGAGAATGTCCATATAAGGCAACACTAATGTTATATTGGGATGTAATTTGATGAAATGATGTGTGTATTGATCTTGGGGTTTGATAAATATGAATGGGAATCAGACTTTTTAAATTCACAGTAATTATTGACTTGTGTTCACTGACAATCGAAAATGATAAAAAACAAGTCACCAAACGGGTTGCCAGAAGCAGTGAGAGCGGGCTTAGACATTCCGATAGTGGTATTGGTTGTGCTATCTAGTGGTAAAAAACGCAAGTGGCGTTCAAATATAAGGAATTTAAAAATTCAAACTAAATACCTTCTACATCGCTCTTTTATTTCCATTCAATCGATATAAAAAAGGCAAAAAATATCGGCAAATTTTCTAGAGAGCTTGGTCTTAAGAAGTTTATATGTAGGCCCGAAAGTGACAAAAGAACTGGGACGTTTTGGATCAAAATTTGCTGGAAAGACTGGGACTTTCGGGAACCGAATTTCACAACACTATACCCAAATTACTAACCTCTCATTTTCCCTCGCAGTAACACCCTCCAGCCTCTTACATTCAGCCATCGCTTCCCTCAATTGCTGCACTTCCATCGTCAACTGATCATTAGCCTGTGTCAACTCTTCATTCGCGTCCAATGTATCGCTGTAATCTTGACGCAGTTTTTTGATCAACGGTCCTTTCTCTTCGATTTCTTTTACAATGCAGCTGATGTAATTGTTTAGTCTAGCACATTCTTCGTCTTTGTCGATGAGTTTCTCGTGAGTTGAGACATATTTGGCGTATACTTCGGAGAAGGTGAGGCCTGGCTTGGGGAGTTTCATGGCTGCTGCAGCCGCGGAGGCCAAGCCTGAAGGCAGAAGGATAAACAAGGTGATAGCACTGGCAACATTTTTACATTTATATTAAAATAAATCATTAAAAGTTCCTATGAATATAGAAAGTACTGAAAAACTATATTTAAAATACGCTCCACACAAATCAAATGGCAATTTTTTTGGTTGTTTGGAGTCAGTATCTTGACGTATGATATTCGTGTCGTCATCACTAATGGAGCGTGCTGGCCAGAATGCCATAAATGCCTGGACAGGCAGTGACAAGCGAATAGAAGCGGCTATCGAGTGTTCTTCTTTGTTTTGACCTCTCGCCAGCTCAATATAACTAAAAGATTGGAATCTTAAATTGTTTAGTTTTCCATACCACATAAAAAAATCCCATAGCCAACCCCCCATAGACGACAAGAATCTTTCCTGACATTCAATCATGCCATTCTTTTTTGTCACAAGAGATATTTCTCGTCGAAGTTTGTTATGGAAGGAAAATAACACCATCAGTTCTTTCTTTAGAAGTATTTGAGGGTGGGATATGTCACTTCAGTACGAAACAGTACGTGCAGAGTTGAAAAGACGTCATTCCTCAGGAAAAGATCAATCCAGGCAGTATCATCGCATCTATTTGTAAGAATATTGCGATTCGTTTTTTTGTATGATTGTTTTAAAAAATGCCCCTTTTATTGAATCTGTATGATGCCAGGTCCAAACTTGCGTCGTTTTTTAAACAAACTCAAAACATTAATCTTTTTTTACTATGGCAAAGTTTTGTTTAGTTTTTTGAGTAATTCTGAATAAATAAGGTTCATATGAAGTTTTCTTCAAAGTTGATAGTTTTCAAGATATGAGCAATTCAATATTCGAAACAATGCAAAATGTGCCATTTTACACTCTGAAAAACAATATGAAAAAACTAAAATTTCATTGTTGCCAGAGTTCTCAAATATTCTTAAAAAATCCATCAACAGAATTCCAAAGCATTTTAGTGGTATTGTTTTTGTAAACATTTGTTTTACTTCTCAAGCCTGTTGGCGAGGAAGTATTGTAATCGTGGAACATTTCGAAAATGAGATATGTTTTTTGGATGTTGTAAAACATTTACATCATTCAACTTGTAAAGTTTCAGATTTCGATTAAATTTTCATACAAGGCTACTATAATTATAAGGGTAAAAAGTTTTGTAGATTTTGAAAATCGGTCCTGTGACCGCGAAGCTATGCTCAAACTGATGACAGTGTTGCATGGGAAGTGCAAAGTCAAGCTACCTGACGCCATTTTTTTCATTTATTGTCAATCAAGCGCGGCTCACATAGAATATACATTGAGCACGCCTTGATTAACAAAAAACAAAGCTTTACAATAATACCCTATAAAATGCTTTGGGATTTTGTTAATGGCTGTTTGAGGAATCTTGATAACTTTAACTACGTTGAAATCCTTGTGTATCCTGTTTTTCGGGGTAGAAAATAACGTATTTTGCACTTTTTCAAATATGAAATCACTTATATTTCAAAAACCAATTTTAGAGAAAACTTCATAAAAACCTTTTTTATGGTGATGTCTTGTTATCATTGATTTTCAAATACTGATTTCATTAAAAAAAAACCTAAAACCCTCTCTAAATGATATGTGAAATAAATTGAGTCTAAACTGACCTTCTAAATCAGCGCGAGCATCATTCGACTTCAATCCCTTTATAACGTCATTTGCAGTTTCTAATTCTTTCTTCAGCACTTCAATGCACTCATTCTTCTTTGCCAGGATTTCTTCATGCATCAGTTCAGATTCCTTGTGTTTAGTTTCTAAATCGCCATACTGCTCAGTTGCAGTTCTCAGCAGTTGTTGGACCTTTCAAAATATGCAATATGTATATCACTGAGAGTGCGAAAACTACGAATTTTTGAACACCTTTAAAAAATTGGAATATACACCCCTTATTTGGTCAGGTAAATTATACAGGCCGACAGCAACCAGAATAAACTTTCCTAAAAGTTTTTGATGTACTGAAACCGGATCCGTGGTTCAAATTTCTCAAAAGGCTCTAGTTTCAGAGACATCCTAATCTAGATTTGCAAAAACAATGATGTTTGACTATATTTGAGTTTATTAAGCATAGCGAATTAATTTCTTTTTTGGTCAGAAACCACAGACTTCATCTGAAAGACAAACCTTACGCTTTCAAATACTTTTGAATGTGCTTAAATATCTACACTGATATATTTTTATGAAATATGAACTACCAACTAAAACATCCAAATATCCTCAACATCAAATCTATAAAATATCTAAAATTTACCCAAACCACAAGCCCACAACCCACCCTACCCTATCAAGGGCGAATTGAACGTTCTTACTCATCAAGGCAGAATTTAACGTTCTTACTTTTGATTGAACATTTTTTCCAAGATCAATAATGATTTCTTCTGATGAAAACTGAACGTGTGGTGTATAGAATATAGTGAAGTTCAGAAAAATTAACATTTCAAAGTGCCATATCCCAACAAAAAAAAAATAAGCAATTTCATCAATACTTGAAAGAGCAAGGCTTGTACTTTGATATGATATCTACGGAAAAAATAATTCGCCATAACACACACCCTGTAATACAGGCAAAAATCGCAAGTTTTGCACTTTTAGGTGGCAATATCTCGGAAACTAGAGCCAATTGAGACATTTGTACCACTGATTTGGACCCAGCGCATCAAAAACCTTAGCGACAGTATACTCTAGTTTCCGGTTAAGATGACCGACTCACTTTTGTCGACCTGTCGCTAACACCCAGTAGTGTTGGCAAATCGTAATTTATCACAGAAGTATTAGAACACTCATAAGAAACTAAAGAATTTTATTAACAATTCTTTTCTATGAGATCAAACTATTTTTTACCTCCGTTAAAGCCTCCTTAATCTCCTCAGCATGCTTATTACTCTCCTCATACATAGCTTTGTAAGCATTGGCCATTTTTGTCTTGGCATCTATCTCGTATATATAAGATTCATTCATTTTCGCGTCAACTTCTCTCTGATTCTCCATTTTTTGCGTCAGTTCTTCGTTCCTTGTCACTAAGTTGTTGTTCAGTTCTGTCAGGGATTTTATATGTTCGGCAGACACGGCTAATTCTTGTGTTTTTTCAGATAGTTTTGTTTCTAGTTGGATGCATCTAACTGTGTTATCTCTGAAAAAAGTTTTCAACAACGTAAAAAAACTGATAAGTAATTTTAGCATACCTAAAAGTAGATACAGACTATATTCAAAATACATGAAAATAAAATATACTTAGATAAAAAAATTATAATTCAGTGTTATCGTTGACCATGGCGCCGCCAACCACCAGTGCTTACAACTATGTAAGTGTTGACCATCTTCTTTAGGTGCCACCATTGCCATACGGACAGAGCACATATTTATAACAAGGCCTTGAGGAAACACAAATACATTCAGCTAATGCACTGAAGCCCGCCAAAAGTAGTGCTGCACGTCGTCTGCGCTTAAAGAGCACTGCTGGTGGTGGCTGATACCCCACCAATTGATTAGCTCACTGACAAATGACGCGCGCTCTTTTTGTCAGTTGGAAGGAGATATGGAATGAAACTGACCATGGTGCATGGATTAGAAGGCTGATCTCAGATCGGAAATCTTGGATTGACAAGATAATGGTGTGGATAGATCACAATACTGCTCAGTTCCTCACAGGACAAGCTTTAACAGCTACCTGAAGAGGGTAGGAAATAGACAGTACGTGAATTGTGTATATTGCAATCAAGACGATATTCCTAATCATCGCGGAAGGCTCAAAGCTGAAAATTTTGCCATGCATATAAGGGAGGGCAGATTTGATATTCAACCAATAGGCGGATGATGCTGAAGAAGGTGCAGGACAAAAATAGGAACCAACAGTAGGTTTCTACTTGCTCAGTTGTACATGGACATATTGAACATAGGTACTAATGCATGTATAAGTACGATGGAGAGTAGATGACTAATACCCTTGGTATAAATACCTATTTTGTTATACTCCAGCTACCACGAAGGCCTAAGGCCTAAACACCCATGGGGTACCGTGAGGCTATAGGGTGGTTCATACAGGGGAAAAAGGGGGGGGACGCCCCACGGACTCGAGCGAGGGAACACGTGTGCATGCAACATGCATACATTTTGGCCCCGCCTATGAGATCCGTCGGGAGGTACCTCCGCGTTCGACAGTCCGACACCGTCTACCACCTTCGGAAAATCACAACACTCATAGCCAAGAGAAAATTTTATCTTGTGACGGGATTCGAACCCTCGCAGCGCACGGCGACTGATCAGGAGACGAGGCGTCTACCACTGCGGCCACCGCCTATCCGCTAAGAAGAATTGCTGCAAACATTACCGTAGTGGAATGTATGGCGAACGACTAAGATGTTTTATTAAATGGGTTTGCTGCCTATGGGCAGGAAAGGCCAACACGGAGATACTGTCCAGCTTCTTTGCCTTTTAGTGGGTATAAAAGATTTCCCTTGGCAAAAAAACTCTCAGACTATTGCTGCAGGTTATGGGATTTTCTTCTTTGTCAAGGATAAATCCTGAAAATACAAAATTTTAGGAATAATTACGAGGGAATTTAAGGGGTTCCCTTTCTTTGGAAGGTGATGTGTTTGAAAATAAACAATTTTCTTCAAAAGGTAAATGGAGTCTGTTTTTATTACTTCCGATAGAATGAGAGCATAGGGTTTAGCATCTTCTTGGACAATATACATGGTCGAACTGATAAAGTTGCAATACCTTCTGATGTTAAGTAGTTCTTCAGTGCGTTGGTTCAATTCCTCTGTCAGACTTTCCATTTGGTTGTTAAGTAGTGCTCTTTCTTGTTCTAATCGTTTTTCCCGATATTCTATGGTGATTTTCATTGATGCGACTTCATCTGCTTGTGCCAAAGCCTGTAGGTATTGAGCATTTTTTTTAATTTTATGTTGGATCATATATAAAGACAAATTCTAAGTACTATGCTATGAAACAAATAACCGGACCACTGGAACTAGGAATACAAAACCAGGGAAAATAAGGTGTCAGCCCTATTCCGTTTATCCCAGTGCGGAATTGATATTAGATCAGCAATCTTCATACTTTTAAAATTACAAATTCTACAAAATAAAGCTATGAGAATCATTTTAAATAAAAATAAATATACTAGGATTAAGTGGTTGAATTTAAAAAATTACATATGTTATTTAGTTCTCATTTTCATATTCAAATTAGTAATTTATTACCACCACATTTAGAAAACTTCACAAATTTAATAGTGTCATTATCATAACTATGAAACTAAAGGCAGCATAGATTTTCATCTGCAAAATTGTAATAGTTGCATAACTAGCAAATCTGTATTTCAAAAGGGAGTACATATTTAAATTTAATAAACTGAATAATGATATTAAACACTGTGCCTGCATAGTGATGTAATTTTAATAGACCAGAATGTAAAATTACAGAAAATGGATTTAAAAAATGTATAAGCGAATAATTATACAAAACTCACACATTAATCCCAAATAAAGCTTCATCAAAAAAAAAACAGATTCACCCTTTGGGGGAGTTTTGGTCGACATTGCAGATACGCGAGGATTTTTGAAAATTCTTAGGAAAATAGGGCTGTCGGAGCCTCCCGTCAATCACAGCGCAAAATAAACATCAATTTCTGCCACACTGACGTTGAAGGCAAGTTGTACATAGTGATGACGTGGGTATATCTGAGCTTTGCCAAGCATGCTTCTAAAGACTCTGTTTTGAATTAAGAAACCCGCAATGCAAAAACAAAAATTTCTGCCACACTATATATACAGTTCTTTTCACGGTTTTTGGCAAAATACCGGAATTATTTTCATACATCTATTTCCCTCGCATATAAATATGCAAAAATTCCCACATTTATGCTTATTAGAATCAGTATGACAACTTGCTTGTCATGGGCGTAGTTTATTTTTTGTTGTTGTTTTGTCAACAGTCTGTGATTAATTGATTGGAGTATTTCAAAGACTTGAAATCCATTTACGTTAAATATATATATAGCTATATCTTACCTCGCATTTAGCATTAACAGCAGACTCCAACTGCTTAGTCAATGTTGCCATCTCTGTTTGCCACCTTTCAATCTCCGCATCCCTCCGTTGCATCATCTTCAGATGCTCGTCTTTCTCGTCGACAGCCAGATTACGCTGATGCCTATACTCCGCTGTCTCGGCTTCCAAAGTGTTGCATTGCTGGCGAAGTCGGTTGATTTCAGAGGTCAGGTTTGCAAGTTGTACCTCGTGTTCTTCGACGGTTTTTGCGGCGACTTCTAGCTTTGCTTTCAGGGTGTCGGATTCTGACTGAAGGCGTTCATTGGATGCTCTCAGTTCGGCAATTGTTTGTTCTTAAATACATAGGAAAATCACTATGAATGAAATTAGAAAAAATCGGACGTACTAATGTTCGCTGAAAAGGAAACCTCTCCTATGTTTTAACATGGATTTAAAAAAACTGCAGTATGATGTGATAGTGAATTGTGTAAGTTGAGTATACTTGAATTTCAACGAGTATTTTCATTTTATTAAAAAAATCCGACAAAAAAATCGTAAAAGGTGTGTCATAATTAGTTTTAATATGAAAAAATAAAATTATCTACGCTCACTTCTTAGAGTAACACTACTATTGCCATGGAAGATTGGCTTTAGAAATCAGACGTGAAAAAAACAACCTTTATTCTCTGACATGGTATGACTTGAAATGTATGATCATATTCTCCCCATATCTGGAAGAAAAATAAATTACTAATGACTGATCCCTTCAGCGGGAAATGAAAAGAACTCAAATGAGTTCTCTTTCAGTGTATCAATTTTAAATATGCCTCTTTCCAACAAACAAATTAACAATAATCATTTCAGCTATTGAACTCGATATTATCTAGGTAAAGAAGTACCCATTTGATAGACTACACAAAAATATAAGTAAAATTATAGATAAATCTATTTCTAAACGGCCAATAATGGTATCTCCAAGCACATGGACAAAAGTATGGTATCCTATACTGGATTTTTTCAACTTGTAATTATCAATTTACACAGAAATATCACTCCCAAGCCAAACTGTAACAATTGTAACCTTAATCACAACAAATATTTAAGTTTGGTACATAGGGAAAATTACAAAATCAAACTAGAATCCACAAAAAATTATGCAAAATTAGAACAAGCTCCAACTTGCAACTTTATTCATGAATTTATTGATGAGAAAAAATTGATAATTTGTACATGTTCAAACATCTTAAGCTCAAGAAATTGTTCAATCTATTTGATCCTTCAAAGTGACTATTAGGTTGGCTATTGTCAGGTAAAATACGGTAATCAATGGCCATAGTTATGACCAAATCTGGCCACAAACATGTTGCTCATTTGGATGTTCAATTAAAGCAAAACTTTTATTGTGCTGGTGACCTCATATATGGCCCCATTCGTGCGAGTTATTATTACACATTAATTGTACAGAATATGTACATTCAAGATACCCAATCCAACTTCTAAACCAAGAGCACGAACATCACCATGGTTTAATAATATTTATTCCAATGGACTACAAATGTATAGGAAACGTCACAACCACAAATTCAGAGCAAATACAAATTTAGTAGTAGCACATGTGCAGGGTGAAAAACTAAGAATGTGATGGACAGTTGTGAACCTATCCATTATAGAGGCTTGTGGCAAAAACAGTTATTACTAAAATGGCCTAGAGAAAACCCTGGAAAATATATTCGATTTTCTCAAATGGCTGCTATGGGGCGTAACTGCAATCTCGAATCTAAAAAAGGGATGTTTCTGTGAATTCCGCTATATTAACCTAACAAAAAAACACCAGCTGTTTAAATTCGAGGATAATCTGAACCTTTTGTGTTTGACAAATTTTTGCTGTATCTCTAAAAATAAAGTGGTACGGATATTCAAAGGTGTCTGTAAAAAACAGAATTAGTAGGCCATGTTTTGTCAAGTGATCCCTAAATGGCAATGTCTTCCTTGAATGTTTGGACAATCAATTACCATTGTTGTTGGAAGATGTGCCACTGGAAACAAAACTTTTTGGGGTTGGATGGAACCCCAGCACATTTTGATATTATTGTAAGAGAGCATATTAATGTAGTAACCTGTGAGCCTCTCGCCGAGCATCAGTTCGAGCTGTGTCTGGTAGTCAACCCACCCACCACATTGGAGTAGATAATTAGGAGTATCCTCCTCTCCATACTTACCCCTACTGAGCGGGGCCGTGACAAATGCTTGTTCCGCAAGTTGTTGTATTCAGTTTACAACTTCTTCCCATTCGATTATTGTACACGCGTTAAGTAATACCTCACTATCAACCGCTGGGTGGCGGTACAAGTCCGCCAACGGGCGACTATAGGTCTAATTAACATCGTTAACACGCAAAAAGAAGGTGGTAGACAAGAACCAGTCGACCGAGCTTTTCCCAGGGTGTCTTATAAATGTCCGCATGCTTCCACACCTAAGCTATGCAGTCGGTTATCTTCCAAAACAAAGAAATTAATGATGATGGATTCCTCGAGCACTGAGAATTCCGGACGTAAACTCACTCCACTCTCGGAATGTCCGGGTGGAGGGTGGGCTCAAGGGAACAACATCGAAGATAAAATTTGTGTTACAAACATCTGCGGGATTAACAGCGACATTGATGCTGTTCATCACTACCTGCAATCCAATCGTCCCACCGTGCTTTTCTTGGAGGAGACAAAAATCTCAGTCTGCACCGATTAACCATCTCAACTTTCCAAACTACGAGGTGCACTCCAATCTGAGAAAAAACGGGGGAGTTGTAGCTTTTGTCCGCAGCAGTCTTTCCTGCTCCAAAGATGTTTCTTTGGAATCAAACTGGAAGGACATTCTGTGGTTTCGCCTCAACTCCAAAACATCACCCAAATTTATTAGCTTCATCTTACAAAACCCCACTGTAGAGAACAGACAAGCCGACGTCGAGTAAAGAAACAAATATAACGAAGCGGTTCGCAATGCAAAAAACCAGCACGATATAAAAGTTAGGCGCAGGGTAATGTCGCAGCACAATGGCAGTCGGTCTTTCTGGTCGCTGGCTAAGCAGACTGAAAAGAACTTCCCACCACCTACGTGTCAGGATGGAACGATTGTATTCGACTCAAAGGCCAAGGCGGAAGTGCCAGCCAAGATCTTTGCTGCCAACTCCACCATGGACGTCCCCCCAACGCCAAAGTGCCGTCAATTCAAAGGGTCCCCTACACTATGCGGGAGGTAACATTCAGGCATAAGACCGTAAGACGAGTGCTCTTGTCGCTCGATATCAACAAAGCTTCTGGTCCGGACTTGATTCTTGCCATTGTACTGAAGAGGTGTGCACCGGAGCTTGCTCCAGTTCTTTCGCGTCTCTTCCAGATATCTTATGAATCCGGCACCTTCCCAGAAAACTGGAAATTTGCTCATGTCCAACCCATCCCAAAAAAGGGATCTAAGACCGACCCTTAGAACTACAGGCCTATAGCTCTGCTTTCTGTTTTAAGTAAAGTGATGGAGAGGTACATAAATGGCGAGCTTCTGGACTACCTCGAACGTCACGGCTTGATTAGCGACAGGCAGTATGGTTTCCGGCACCAACGATCCACAGGGGACCTCCTAGCTTACGTCACTCAATTGTGGAGTAAACTCATCCAGTCTTATGGTGAGGCTCATGTCGTTGCACTAGACATCACGAAAGCGTTCGATCAGCTGTGGCATGCTGCCCCTTTAAGCAAACGTTTCTTCTTCATCCCACAACGACAACGCCGGTGTTCCACAGGGATCGGTCTTGGCTCCGACACTGTTTCTCTTACATATCAACGACCTCCTTTCATGCATGATCAACCCAATCCACAGCTTCGCTGATGACAGCACTCTACATGCAGGAATTCAGAGTGACAAGCCGATCTCTGCCGAGGAGCTGGAAAAAAGAAGGCTAGCGACGACATCCTCTCTGACAAGAGACCTAGAGGCTATCACTGCTTGGAGACGTAACAATCTTGTACAGTTCTATGCTTCCAAAACAGAGTACTGTACTTTGACGAACAATTCTCGCATTCTTAGTTGCCCACCCTGTACAAACAGATTAAATTCATCATATAGAGACAAATCAAAATAGGTATCACACATCCAAAAATTCTGTTACATCATAAAATGTGTTTTGTTCTAAATACTTATATATAGTTATCATAACCATTCTTGGGGTCAGAGTAAGACTCCCAGTATCCCTTTATATATATATCTCCATCTCCCTCATACATACATATGAAACATACAACTGTGTGTGAACATTTGTTCAATGAGCTCAAAGACATACATTTTTTAGTTGTGTGTCTCCATCTCGAAAACTTTGTTGATACATATGAGTGCCCTTCAATCATATTTGATAGAGTGACAACTTACTTGACATTGGCATGCAATTTGAGTTGTCCTGTTATCAATCTACAAAATAAAATTGTACAATGCTCGAAAATATGATCAATGGAGAAGGCTGATAGCTCGTGCTAAATTTATAAGAGGAGAGATTAAAAACACTGGTCCCCCGTTCCACTTCATGCAGACTGGAGAGAGTAGCAGATGCACAGAAGATTAGTTTTTACAGTACTCTGCCCATGGTACTGAGACTCGATCTGTTTACTTATTTCATATAGTACTGATAAGGTAACCTCCAAGAACAGTGATTACAACTATAGTTCTCTTTAAACATTCTTATCTATTATGCTCTTTCAGCTTATAACTAACTTATTATATACCTGCCATATTTTGAAGACTTTTCAATAAGTGACAAATTGTGAGTGTTTCTAGTCTTATAGCTGGTATACCTGCATTTGTAACAAACATTTGAATTTTGTTTTGCATACATTATCAGTTCAGTTATATATATTAATCATAGAGTAAGCAATTATTCCTAATTGTTCTTTTTTAAAAAGAAAAAATCAGGATCAACCCCAAAATAAGATGCCATTGTTTAATTTTGAATAAACTCGAGCATAATAGTAGGATAGTAAAACAGGCTTAGTACACACAAGATACATATATCAGATATCTACCTTACAACAGAAATACTCTAAAAATATCAGTATAGCCAAATACTAGTTGAAACCATATTTTTCAGGAGGGAACTATTTCTTCCATTTCAGACTCTCAAACTATACAGAAACTTGTGGATAAGTCACTTGAAATCATAAAGGGTTCAAGAACCTAGCAATGTGTGTTTCATATTGACCACACTATCAATAATGTAGTTACCTGCATTGAAACATTTAGTTTCCAACAAGGCCTTAGCAGTGATGAATTCCTCGAACTTCTCCTTAACAAATCCTTCTACTTTAGTCCTTATTTCTGCATTCACAGTTTCCCATTCATCCTTGGTCACCACAGGGGTGAATATGAAGGCTCCCTCCATGATAGCGACTTTTTATAATCCTTCAAAATTCAGAAATGTTCAGTTTGGTATTCCTTGATCACCTTATGTAGAGTATTTTAGGAAAACGTGTGTATTTAGACGGAATTTAGCTAAAAAAACATGCCGGCGTATCTAAAATGAAAGCTGCGTTTGCATTTAACATATCACGAACCGCTAGCGAAAATACGGCAAATTTACGTCTAGCGTTGCCAACAATACTTCTTCAAAACCTAGTTTTTTGCAATTATTTGCTGCCTGTGAATAATTAATTGTGTATGTGATATTCCTTACCTATTTTCATTCAAACTGCAGCACTTTTTATCACTTCATTCGCTAATAATAGATAGTAAACCTAAATGAAAAGTTGTGGAAAATCTGTTGAGAAATTCCAAATCACAAAACGGCAAAAGTGGCGTCGGATTTTGTTTTATTTCGTTGCCTACCTGTTTTCCACAGAACCGCTGATAACACAAAGCAGCTCGTATATAGACAGAGCTGTGAACTAGAGTGTAAATGACATACAATAGTGTAAAGAGGGTATGACTAAACAAATTGAGTGGAGAAAAAAATAGGCGTGACCATACGCCCAATTATTGTAAAATGGTTAGCTCCATCACGCTACCACCGACGATAAATGGAGATAGTGTTCTATTCAGGGTATTTGGCGGTTCAACGTAAAACTACAGGAATTGCTTTCATACATACACATGCAACCTACCCCTGTGAGAACGTTTGTTCGGTAAACTCAAAGACATATGCTTTTTAGATGTGTGTCTCCGTCTAGAAAACTTTTTCGTTAGGTATGAGTGCCCTTCAATCGTATTTGTCAGAGTAACAACTTACTTGGCTTCGGAGTGCAATCTGAGTTGTCCTGTTATCAAGCTTCAATATAAAGTATTGTAAAATGCCTGGAAACAGGTTCAATGGAGAAGGCCGACAGCTAGTGCTAAATTTATTAGGCTTTTTAAGATGTACATCTAAAAAGCGTATGTCTTTGAGCTTATCGAAAAAACGTTCACATACAGGGGTAGGTTGCATGTATATGTATGAGAGAGATGGATGTATGAAAGCAATTCCTGTAGTTTTACGTTGAACCGCAAAATACCGTGAATAAAACTATATCTCCATTTATCGTCGGTGGTGTATGAGGGAGATGGGGATATATAAAGGGATACTGGTTACTGCTAGTCTTACGGTCTTACTTTGACTCGCCAAGTACGGTGACTATAACTATAGCTACACCCGCTACTCCAATACAGACAACTAGCCACACCCTTTTTCCAGTTAAAACCCTGGTCATATTAGGCCTTCAGCCACGCCTATTTTTCGGGCGAATGGAATTAAATGAAATAACATGATCACATGATACTGAGGATAAGTTTTTGATATTGATAACGTATGACGTTTTTATGGTAGATGAAATGTCATAATAAAATAATAAAGGAAATTAGTAAAAAAAAAATACTTATTATCTTCAACGATGATAAAATTGGTGATGTTTGCAGAGTGATTGACCGCTTCCGGGAATATTAGAAAACAGAATCAAACCTAGTGCGTGGCTCTGTTTGTAGAAAAGTGTACAATACGTTAAGATGTGTGTGCGATAACGCTATTTATTGCAAAATTACCACCAATTAGTGATGAAACGTTTGTTTGTGATAGTACCAAACGAGAACGTTCTCTATTGTGTAAATAAATGCAGCAGAATGTGGTCGCACCTCGTAAAAAGAGTCAAATGTCAATTACATGTGATGTAAATTCCTCCACCTATAAAGTTTATTTTTGGACGACCCAGGGTATACTTGAAACCAGGAAAAATGACGACCGTCGCTATGGAAGAGTATGAATTAATGAAAGACTCAAAATATCGACTGTATGTAGCAGCAGTTGATAAGGCTTTGAAGAATTTTGATTACACTTCAGAATGGGCTGATCTCATTTCAGCGCTGGGAAAACTGAACAAGGTAGTTTACGATTGATCCAAATTTTATCGTTATGTGTAGAGTATTTATCTGTTACTAATTTATCATGTTTATCAACAATTCTTGAGTTTTCTGGAGAGTCAAGAATTTGTATCCTCCTATACATGTTTCATAATGGTTCAATTGAATATAGCAATGCTGAGGTAGTTTCTTGAACTCCTCCTGTAATATCTCAAAGTCTTGTAATAAAGCCAATCAAGATATCACATATTTATAATAAACTGAAATTTATTAATACACCTTTTACTCAAAATATTCTCTGTAATATTTACATACTATAAAACTGCATTAATTTGATAAAAAGCAATATAACTTAAAAACTATAGGGTACGTAAATGTGGAAAATGCTACAGGGTGATTAGTGAGGATGTGAAATAATTAAAAAATATCTATAGCATATTTCCTAAAGTCCCATTACCAGGATACAGGGTGTTATACATTTGCATACTAGTTATGACTCTAATTAAGGATAAAGCATGAATATTGTTAAGCAAAATACTATTGTGAGATAGGATTACTTTCCTTTTACATTTCATACAATTTTCAATGTCAAACCTCACTAACTTCACAGTATTTTCAAAGTAGAAAGGATTGGAGCTTTTTATATGGATTTCACCTCAAATAATCAAACTAACTTTTTTTTGAAAGGAGCAAGCAGTCTGACAAAAATTGCCTTAGTGAGGTGAATCATTTAAAAATCAGGGTTGAATAAAAAACCAGTTTTTTTTGTTTAAACCCCTATATCCCATACCCCACAAATTTGGTTCTGAAAATGATCAGAAGCATGTGAAATGTCAAGAAATGAAGTATGAGTAATTTTTATTTATTTCCTCTTTTGCCTAAAGATCCGCCGTTAATGAACCGATTTTCAAAAACTACAAAGATTTTTCGTCCTTGGCATAGTAGTAACCTTGTGTGAAAATGTCATGAAAATCTAAGTTGTACTTTCCTAGTTATAGATGGGCCAAGAATTAGTGGACAAACATACCCAAGGAAATGAGTGACATCAAAAAAAAAAACAATATCCCATTTTAAAAATATTTTTTCATTATTACAATAGTTTCTCACCAGTGGCGTAGGAAGTAAAAATGCAATAGTGCTTGAAAAGATTTAGTGGCATAGAATTTTTAATTTTTTTATTGATTTTTATCTGCTCCATGTCTAGTCTCAAGTATGACAATTATTGTTGTTTTTTGTTGTATAAGATTTATTAGCATGATTGCTACAATTACATTCTTCTAAAAAACTAAACAATTACATAATATACAGCCATTCAGAAAAAAAATTTGCATCTCTAAGAATTTTCATTGTCCATGAAATATTCCTTTAATTTTCTTTTAAATATCTTTAAATTACAAGTAGACTTTTTATCATTATTTAGTTTATTAAATTCAAGTAATCCTTTCTGAGATATTGATTTGCTAGTTATATTACTATTGCAATTTTGTAAATGAAGATCTATATTTCCTCTTGGATAATAATTGTGGATTACCACATAAGATTATTCAATTCTATGTAGTGTTCTAAATGTTCTGGCAAAAGATGATTTTTTATTTTAAATATAAAAATAAGAACCAAATATGATATAAAATTTTTCATATTTAACCACTGCAATTCTTGTAACATAGATTTTATTTTGGTGTACTTATTTTTATTCAATATTATTCTCATAGCTTTATTTTGCAAGACTTGTAATTTTGAGAATACAGCTTCATTGGCAGCTAACAAGATAGTTGAACAATTATAGTAAATGCGGTAGAATAATTGTATTATAAACTATTTTCTTGGATTAGGTACCAAGACTATGAGAAACCCTATAAAAGTAATTTGTTTTTTAGGGAATTTTTGAAATATTGTATTCATAGTGATCCTGAAACTTTAGTTTACTATCAATATATATGCCTCAATATTTAATTGATTCAACATTTTCAATTATTTCTCCATTTATCCTAACTGTGATAGTATTTTCATTTAGGTATTTCCCTATTAGAATACATTTTGTTTTAGAAGTATTCAGTTTGAGTTTATTTACATTTAACCAATTTATGATTTTTGCCAAGTCAGAATTTAGCATTTTTAAAGCAGTGTCTATATTTTCATCTGATATGTATATTAATGTATCATCTGCAAATATCTGAAGTTTACAATAATCTAAAATATTACAAATGTCATTAATGTATAAAATAAATAGTAGTGGACCTAGCTTACCACCTTGTGGTATACTAACAGAAATATTTTTTGATCTTGATAATGTAGATACAATTTTGTTTTTTTTACTTCTGTCAATTAAATAGTTTTGTAGAATTTTGAATACAGATCCTTTAAATCCCTAGTGATGCAATTTTGTAAGTAACTTATCCCTGTCAATCCATTGCCAAGTCGTCGTCGTCCGGTCCTTGCTGGTATGCTTCAGTTTTTAAGCGCCCGAAGACCCGCTTTTGTCCTTCCCGTTGGCGGTATAACTCTATCGGGGAGCCCTCCCAGCGTCATACCTTCGGCGGACACCTGGCGAACTCAGGGTCAAGTTCGACGAAGGTGGGATATAGGACTTGTTGGTTCTTATCTTTTGTAGACTGTGGGCGTTTCACAAGGGTTTTATTGGAGTGCAGTACTAGCACCTCACACCCCCCCCCCCCTGGACCCAGTGACCAACCGTTTGGCAATGGACTGGACGAGGTAATGGTTATGGAACGACGATGACGACATGGTGGGATAGATGACGACTTGGCAATGGAAACGGAAACAAAATAAAATATGAAATATGAACAGAAAAGTGCAGAAGGTAGAAGTTACGGTGCAGGGACTCGGAACCCCAGTACCGGTCGGTGACGGTGGTGCTCGCTCTGGCCCCGCCCGACCGTTAGCCAGTGACAGGGCGATAACTCCCGTGAGCAACCAGGCGGGAGTGGAAGAAATAGTGTCTGGAATGATAATAGACGATGAGGGGAACATCAATCCCTTTGAAAGGAGGGACTCCTTACATCGAACGCCTCCGAGGGGCAGAATTCACTCTTGGGCAGGAGATAACTCCATCTTCACTGTCAGTCAGCCGCAGAAGAGAGCGCGGGAGGAAACCCCTCCGAAGGAGAGTCAGAAGGCAGCAAATATGGAACAAGAAAAGCTGATAGGGGAAATGAGAGGTCTGTTGCAAAAGTTGCCACGCTCCGGAAAGGAATTGACTGACATCGTGCCTACAAATACCAAGGCTGAAATAAAAAAGGGAGTCAATGTGATGACCCGAATTGCGGATACGGTGTTGCTAAAGCTACGCGAGTTTGAGAAACTACGTACAGAGCATCTTAACTGCCAGACCTCAGAAGCGTATACGCAGGTCGAAACCACTACAACAGGAGAGACGGGCTGTAGCACCAAGGACGTTGGGACGCAAGTGAACATCGACTATCAGGCAACCAAAATTAACAAGGAAGTAGAAAATGGGAGCTCCTTCGAAGACCGACAAAAAAGTCGAGCACGTCAGGAAACAGTGGTGGTTAAAGGGCAAGGGAAAACTTTTGCGGAATTGGTCAGAACAGTTAAAGAAAACGTTGACATCAAGAAGATTGATGTAAATGTCACAAGCATAAGGAAACAAGAAAATGGTGACCTAGTCCTTGTGGTGGAAGGAGAAGGTAAGGCAAATGCCTTAAGAGATGAAATAACGTCGAAGGTCAAAGAGGTGGATGCACGCACAAGGAACTCGGACGTCACTCTTTTTGTGTTTGGCATCGACCCTTCGGTAACGACGGCAGAAGTCTCGCAAGCCATTACGACTGACACCGGCATTGAGGGCTCTCGCTTTCGGATAGCCGCACTAAAAGTGGGTAAATTTGGTAACCAGACGGCGACGGTGGTAATGGATAAGATACCAGCAAAGCACCTAATTCAAAAGGGACGTATAGTGACCACCTGGTCTATATGGCCGGTGAAGGAGCGGGTCTCGATCTTGCGCTGTTTCAACTGCCTAGAGTTTGGCCATAGAGCTGAAAGGTGTACTGGAGCAGACAGGAGAGGTGAATGCAGGAACTGTGGCCAGGCAGGACACCAGCGGAAAGACTGCAAGAACACCTCGTTTTGCACTACCTGCAAGACAGCTGGACATCGAGCAGACCAAATTAGGTGTCCTGGATTTAGGAAACTGGTGAACCAGGCAAGGATATCAAGCCTGGTGTCCAGAGGATAGAAGGATTAAACAACAGCCACCAAACCCATGGCCTGTATCCTCCAATGTAATTTGAACAGGTCCAAGTTGGCTCAAAATGTGCTTCAACAAGCTACGCAGGAATACGCGGTGGACATGGTCATAATTTCTGAGCAGTACAAAAATGAAAAACATTCCAACTGGTACACAGACCAAACCGGAACTGCTGCAATTTGGGTTAGGAACCAGTCCAACTTCCCAGTATCCGACTATGGCTCTGAAAACGGCTTCGTATGGTTAAAGACTGGAACGAGAACCTACGTAAGCATCTATTTGTCTCCGAACGACAAAGTTGATATATTTCGGGCGAAGTTAGACAAATTGGAAGAGACTTTGCAAAACTTGGGCAACAACGTTGTCTTAGCAGGCGACTTCAATGCAAAATCGACCGCATGGGGCATGGATTGGACCTGTTCGAGAGGTACAGCGATCATTGATCTAGCAGCTAGATTCGACCTAACTATCCTGAACACTGGCGATACATCCACTTTCAGGAGAAGTGGTCAAAGAGGGTCAATTATTGATATCTCTCTGGCATCTTCTTCAGTAGCGCGCGCGGTGACAAAATTTGGCAGTTCTGGAAGATTACTCTGGAAGCGACCACCAATATGTCAGGTTTAGGATCCAGCTAGATGGTGGAAGGAAAGATAAACCTACGCAAACCACTATTGGGGGATGTAGTATTTCCCGTTTGAACAAGGATATCCTGAGCAGACATCTTACCAATATCGAAGTTATTGATACTCAAAATGCAGAAATATCTATGCAGAATGCAGAGGCCTTGGTGGAGAACACAATGCAGCAGATTATTAACTGCTGCGACGCCGCCATGCCTAGAAGATCTGCCAAATGTTTCAGGAGACAGGTTTATTGGTGGAATAACGAGATCGCAGAACGTCGTAAAAGAACTCTGCAGCTACGACGCATTGTACAGAGGGCTAAGAGAAGGGACCAACGAGATGTAGCCATGGAGCAACAATTCAAGGAAGCCAAAAGGCAACTGAGAATGGCGATTCGTGCTAGTAAGAAGGCATGCTGGAAAAGTCTCTGTAATGACGTAGACCAGGACGTATGGGGACTAGGCTACAAGATAGTGATGCGACGTCTTGGACAGCAAGAACCTGTTGGCCCATTTGAGCTGGAAAGAATGAAGGAAATCGTAACCACTTTGTTCCCTGAACACCCGGACAAACCAATTAAGGAATTTCAAGTCCACGGAAACTTTGATCTTTTCACTGAAGAGGAATTGAGAGCCGTCGCTAGCGTAGCGAAAGTCAGGAAGTCCCCGGGTCCCGACTGTATCCCGATAGAGATTATCAAAGCTATAGCGCTCGAACACCCAACTATTCTGCTGAATATGTACAACACTTGCCTCCAAGCAGGTATCTTTCCAACAAGATGGAAGGTACAGAGGCTAGTACTACTAGACAAGGGAAAGGGTCTACCCATAACACCGTCTTCGTTTAGACCACTATGTATGCTGGACGATGCGGGCCAAATGTTTGAAAGGCTTATTCGACAGAGACTACGTGATGCAATCGAAGACGCTGGAGGATTATCCGCCCATCAACATGGATTCCGACCGCGCCATTCAACAGTAGGAGCACTGCGTGAGGTAGTGGAACAAGCGTACACGGCCTGGCGAGGAAACCACCGCAGTCGCAGTATCTGTGTTCTGATCACCTTCGACGTGAAAAATGCCTTCAACTCAGCAAGGTGGGTCGATATCATGAATGCTCTAGAAGAGCGCTTCAAGATTCCGGCATACCTACTACGGGTGATTAACGACTACCTTTCCAACAGAAGTCTGACTTACGAAACCCTAGAAGGTCAGCAGGTTCAGAAAGTCACTGCCGATGTAGCCCAGGGTTCTGCACTTGGGCCGGACCTATGGAATGCGATGTACGATGGGATCCTAAGAATCGAGCTACCGAAATGTGTCCAACTAGTGGGGTTCGCTGACGATATCGTTGCCGTGGTAACTGCCAGGGACATGGAGACTGCGCGCCTAGAAACCGAGTTTGCAGCGCACTCGGTGCACTTTTGGATGAAACAACACGGCTTACAAATGGCTGCAGACAAGACCAAAGTGACTGTGCTTACCAGACAAAGACTACATTCCCTGCCCCTGGTGCTAAACCTTTCGGGAGTCACCATCACCTCTCATGAAATGTGTGAAGTATTTGGGAGTATGGTTGGACCAAAAACTGACATTCAAGCAACATGTCACAGAAGTGGCAAACAAAGCCACAAAAGTTGTGACCGCGCTATCTAGGATTATGCCAAACGTCGATGGTCCTAGAGCAGATAAGAGGCGGGTACTGATGAACGTCGCCAATTCAATGATGCTGTACGGAGCGGAAATCTGGGCTAACGCAATGACAATCGAAACCTACAGAAGAAGACTCGCATTAGTTCAGAGAACAGCAGCTCTGCGAATATCGTCAGCGTATCGCACTGTCACTGAGGGGGCCATTTCGGTAGTGGCAGGCGCCATACCGATTGATCTTTTGGCACTGGAACGTCAAAGGTTGTACGACTCCAGTGAAATACCAAAACCTTTCACTGCAGTCAGGCAACGGACCCTGCGTGGGTGGCAGACAAGATGGGAGAACGATCCTAAGGGCTCCTGGACGCACACACTTATTCAGCAGGTGGAACCTTGGTACTGTAGGAGGCATGGGGATGTAAACTTCTACATCACTCAGTTTCTTACAGGACACGGGAACTTCAACCGATACCTAAACCTGCGTACCATTAAGGATAGTCCCTACTGTCGCTATTGCCAGACGGACATCGATTCAGCCAAACACACCTTCTTCGACTGTAGGAGATGGGCTGTACTGAGGAGCCAGTTGGAACAACAAATAGGATTAACCTTCACACCTGAGTCGGCGGTACCCACGATGCTTGCCAGCGAGAATCACTGGCATATGATCTCATCTTTCGTGGAGGAACTACTAAAACTGAAGAAGGCAGACGATGGAGTACAAACATCCCCGAACTCCTAATCCGGCAAGTCCGGGATGGGAGATGTAGGGTGCGATTGGACGACTACTACGAGGACAACTGAAGAACAAGACGATGAAGACAAGACAGCCTGCGTGCGTGAAGTTATGCCATCTTGGCGGTTCCAGCACAAAGGCGGTTCGTAGACCCACTCGCTCCAGGTTGCGGCCTGGCGACGGTCCTATAAATAAAAAAAAAACTTATCCCTGTCAATAGTCTCAAATGCCCTATTGAAGTCCAAAAACACTGTTACTGTATGTTTCCGATTATCCAAACATCTCCTCCAGTCCTCTAAAACCATTTGTGTTTCTTCCTGAATCCAGCTTGAAATTTGGTTAAAATGTTACTTCCCTCAATAAATTCGATGATCTGTTTGTAAATAATTTCCTCAAAAACTTTTTCCACATCTGGCACAACATTTAGTGGCCGCATATTGGTGTACAACTCAGAATTCTTAACTTTAGAAACAGGAGTTATGGTAGAACACTTCAGTTTTGTTGGAAATTAGCCATATTTTAAATAGTAATTTATCAGGATTAATATTCTTGCTCCAATAATATCAAAACATTCATTAAGCACACTTTTAGACAAAATCTCACTCTTATTTTCATTTGATTTAATTTTTGATATAATCTTCTTGAGACGACGGTAATCCGACAAATATTATGCAGGGCAGTATCGGACTATCGAATTTGTCGGATTAAAGAGCGCCTAAGACCCCCTATAGTCCGGAATTTTTTACAAAAGAGTACCTTGTAATCCGACAAATTACATATCCAATGGTAAGATTATATATGTATATATGTATGAAGTACAAATCATACATAGTTTATGTATGTCGAATTCACTAAATTAAATAACAATAAAGAGCTTACGTTTTATTATAAAATTAAGCATAAATGCACATACATATGTACCAAAATAATCAAGAATTATTAATCAAAATCATTAATGAATTTATCAAATTATGAAGCTTGGAAATATTCATTTTTTTTTGTTTAAGGTTGTTATAACACGAGATCAGAGCTTTGTCCCTCAGTCTTCTCAAAACTAAAAGTTCGTTGTAGGATGTACCATTCTCTTCAGCCCATTGTAAACCTAGCTCAAAGGCGTTAATTGCGTCTTGTGCTGTGACTTGTGGAGCAGTTGCAATCACGTCGTCATTATTTTCCTGTTTCTAGGAGTGGTGACTATATCTGGCCATAACTTTTTCCAAGACGATTTAATAGTTGATGACGGTAACGCATTCCACGACTGACAAAGAGCAAAAACCAAGTCTTTCATGTTAAATTCTTTTAAAGTGTTTTCTATTGGTTAGTCTTTAGTTACGGCTCTCAGAAGTAGGTTTTTCTTATAGTCTTGCTTGGCAAACTGAATGATATTCTGGTCCATTGGTTGAATCAATGCATTGCAATTTGGCGGAAGAAACATCGCAGTGATGCATTTATCCTCAGTTGTTAGTTCTTCTTCAGATGGATGACCGGGAGCGTGATCAAGAAGCAACAACGCTTTTTGAGGAAAATTATGATCTTTTAACCATTTTCTAACTTCAGGTACAAAGCATTCATCAAACCACTTTTTGAAAAGGTCTTTTGTCATCCATGCACTTTTTTGTCCGTAATGGTGTACAGGTAAATCAATGTTTTTGAATGCCCGTGGTTTATTAGATTTCCCAATGACCATTATCTTAAGCACGTGTGTGGCCGCACGTTAGCACATGGTAGTATGGTTACACGCTCTTTACTTACTTTTCGTCCAGGTACGGATTTTTCGTTACAAGAAACGAAAGTTTTGTTAGGCATCACACGCCAAAAAAGCCCTGAATCGTCTGCATTGTACACCTGTGACGGGTCAAGATTTAAATCGTTCACCTTTTGCAAAAATCTTAAAGGGCTCTATGCAGGTGCCATCGTTAGAAAGTTTCTCTCCTGTAATAGTCATTAAACGTATGCCATGACGACTTTTAAAGCGTTCTAGCCATCCTTTGCTGTAGTCTTTTTTTAATTTAGAATCCTTGAACGTCTTTTTTGATTTTTAAATTATAAACACTATACCCTGCATCTCAGTAAGAGGGAATTTTAAGAACCATGTTTATGAGTTTTTCATATATTTCATGCTTCTAGCTTAAAACATGAGTAAAATATATTTTTTTTTCAAGGTGTTGTTAAGCTACACTAAATTCCCAGTAATTCCGAGAAGAATAAAAATAAGTAAAAGATTGGCCCAGTGTATGCATCCTGCTTTACCTTCTGGTGTACATTTAAAAGCATTGGAAACATATGACATTATTTTTAGATGTATGGGTACCAACAGACTGGCTTGTGAGCTCTTCATTTACAGTGCAGGTAAGATTTCAGCAGTACCATGTGGAAGTAACATGAAGTTGCCAAATATCACAGCTAGCCTTTTTCAATGTGAGACATTCAATTACCTCTGGTCAACAAATAATAATTTTCTTTTTATGTTTCTCTATTTACCTAACACTACTATATACATATATAGCAGTTGTAGATTACATATGCTCATAAGTATTTGCCAGATAATCATAAATCGACATACTTTGAATGTATTAGGGAAACATTTCGCAACGTAAAATATTTATAGCAATTTTATCTCAGCGTAAATATTTAGAATTCAAATATTTTAAATAACGAGTAGGATTCAAAGCTCTGTAAATTCTCTTTTAGGCTCATGACCTATGTCATCCTGTGGCCCAGTATCACAGGATATTTAATACTAATCAGCAATGTGACTCAGAAAAATTATACTAAACTAACTTTGGATGACCTTGAGAAATCAAAACAGTGCCAGAATCGGCTTCGCGTAATTGTCAGTTCTTTCTAACAAGAAATTTTTGATTATCCGAAACTGCCAATTACAGTTAGCTCAAGAAATTAATGATATCATGTTGCATACTGAACTGACTAAAGACTGTCAGACATTCAGTGTTGGAAAGAACTAAATGTCGCGAGTTTTAAATAATTTGCTCTCAATGGCAACCAAAGCTCAAGTGAGCTGGAGGCTGATCTGCATAATAAGAGGGTGCCCTTTATGGAATGCATGAGTTGTATTTTTGTCTAGTTGTGTATCTAAACTGTATAATAGGTAATTCACAAATTATTGAGGACAGTAAATGAATCACTGTATTGACATTGAAGGAGCTTCCAAGATAAGAAATTGTAAATAGAATCTTTATACCTGCTGCCTAGGATGCATTTAGAAATCTATGTGTGTAATAGGATTAAATTGTTTATATATTATACCAGGGGTAGTGAAAATATTTATAGTTAATCATAAACTTTCTCAGTTATATCATTGATTAACATATTCTTCAAGGAGATGCCTAACCTTTTGATGTATTTGATGTTCACATATAATTTACACTAGCCCTAACCCTATGCCTAGTGTAAAGTATAGGTCATTCATTTTGCATTACAGTAAAGGAGATTGGTTTTGGCGAAAGAAATGCAGTATTCAGAGGAATGCAATAGTTACTTTAGCAATGGACGTTTTTTATTCAACATTTTGATGCAAAAATAAATTAATATGAAATGTGTAATAAGAATCACAATAAATAATATGTGACATATCTCACAGCCTATATGACATATCTTAACATGTTTCATAACCCAGTACCTATTTATTCACAATACTATACCTGAAGTGAAGCAAAACACCACAAACACCTAAATCAAGATGATAATGCTAAGAAAAAGATCGTTGGAATGCAGTAAATGCAGGATTCAAATTCCTCATTTATACACCCTTGCTTATTTCCGTCAGACCAGCGACTGTGCACTTCCGAGCCAGACACCTCCAGTCAAATTCCATTGAGCCGTTAGGGCTATAGCACGTGAATCAGATATTTTAGTTATTTCGCGGGATATTCATGATTGCACTAGTACCTTTAGAACTAATAAAAACAGACTCTGCTTTCCTTTTAAAATAAAATTGTTTTTTTCTCAAACATGACATCGACCTTCCAAGAAAAGACCACCCCTTCAGAAGTTGTCAACAACGAAAAAAGGAATCCCATATCCTGCATTAACAGTCTGATTGTTATCAATGTTGACATTTGAATATTATACTGGTTGGCAGTTGTAAGCATAAGTGGTTGACAGCACCATGTATTGGGTCAAGCATCACTGAAGCCAACTCTATTCCAAATGTGCTAGAGTTCTTCATAATGGATGTTTCTTTCTAGGTCTTTTTCCTCTGATGAGCCATGCAGCCATGAACATTAGGCCAACACTACTAACAATATATGAAACACACTTTGTTCCTTTGCGAGAAAGGCTGAGGCCTGCACTGAGTGGTTTCCTGAGTGGTATTTTACCAGGGTTAGATACAGGAACTGATCATTTTGATAGGTATATAATCATTAATAACCATGCTGCATAATATATAGATTTAAGATCCTCTAAGAAAGGTTTTTTTGGTGTCAGAAATGTATATGCTCAACTCAAAAAAGAAAACAGTGTATGGACATGTGATCAGACATGCAGATTTTTGTATGAATATTTTAGAATGTATTAATGAGTTTGATGAAAAATACACAAATATTGTGCTATCGAAATAAGAAATTTTTTTACCAGAATCGACCACTACGAGGTGAAATAGCAAACTGTCTCAATAGACAGTACTGTACTTCAGTTCACATTTGATATACCTATGATAAAGGATAGCACAAAACAGCTGTCCATGGTTGACGCTTCTTGGTCGGACCGACTAGTCTGTTCAATGGCGAGTATATCGCATCTACTATACTGCCAGAATCGATAGCACCTAGCTGTCACAGTGGCGACCCGGCTGTTGAATGGGAACTGAGATGTAGATCCAGCTATTTCACTTTCGCAGTGGTCGATTCTGGTAATTGTGCTTTTTTATTTCGATAGACCTTATACCTCAATTAGAGGACAGTTATTCAGCTACCATTCCTTGTCCCCCTTTGGACCAAGCCTAGACCATGCTGATACTTTGCCAAAAAAACAGTCCATGGTTGGGTCGTCTGTAGTGCGGTCCGACGAATGCTACATTACTAGTTTGTTAAATAATGAGCTGTTTAGTCTTCTTTATGGGTTGAGATGCTTGAAATAATAAACTTAATTTTTATATTCTAGGACGAACCAGTTGTTGGAAAATGTATGTGAAGGAGTAGAACCACCATATTTTTATACTTGCATTTGGCAATGTGTGGCAAATAATAGTCCAGTCAGATTGCCTGCTATAAGCTATGTTTTAGCACATTATAGTAGAAAATTATCAATGGAAGATCAGTTGTACTTGATGGGAAATGACATAGGACTGATGGTAAATCGAGATTTTAATTAAACATTATTAACTAGTAGCACTAGAATGTAAATTCTAAATTCAGACGAATATTTTGTTGATATTTGTGTTTGAGTAACAACTGAAATATATGAGGAATATCCTTGAGCGTCCTTGGAGAAAATATATATATATATATATATATATATATATATATATATCTTTGCTGTGCAGGTATCGGGACTTTGTGCAGCAGTGCAAGATTCCAGTGTCCTAGTCCAAAGGTCAGCTCTTGATCTTCTTATGGTCTGTTTTCCAATGCAGAATAAACAGCTGTTGTATGCTGACATGGTACGATTGGTAACAGCTGCGTTATCTACGATTTTAAGAAGAGATATGTCATTGAACAGGTATTTGTCAATAAATATATATTTTTTTGGGTGTTTTTTTGAAGGTATAGATAGTATGATAGATAGATAGCTAAATATGCTTTGTTGTCTGAAGAATGCAAACGTTCTTGATGACAAAGCTAACTTAAAACTGAGTTATAACAAAATTACATATGAGGGTCTTAAGTAAATAAATTGAAGACCTATACATGATATAATATGGTTGATATATAGAGAGTTTTTAAGTTCTTGTCATAATAACTTTAAATTGTTGATTCTTTTGATAGTATCAGGGAGGCACATGTAAATTTTCAGACCATTGTCAATTATTAATTCTTTCACAAGTGTTGATTTATGTACTACTAATTTAAGATCTTATTTTCATCTAATGTCTAACGTATACTTAATGTTTCAAATTTAGATTTATTTTTAACATTAAGGGTTGCTGCTGTTTCTAAATTGAACAAATGTATGCTAGTCAGTATTTCAAGATTTTGAAATGAAGGATGAATGTAGTTCTAGGATTGCTAGCTATATCTAATTGTTTGTTTTTGTAGAATAAGCACTTTTGTTTAATCAATATTGTAAACAGACACACCAAAAGGCAAAGCTAAACTACTTAAGGTTGTGCATTTCCCTATATTATAACTAATTCTTCTTATAATAAAGGAAATATTTACTTGTTGAGTGAGCAATTGGTCTACATGATTTGTAATGTTTAATTTATGATCAATGGTTAGTCCTAAACATTTGATGGTATCTGTTTTTTGTATCAATGGTATAGTATTAGACATCAGGCATTTCGTGTAACATGTATATAATGTATGTTTTTTTCTTCAGGCGACTGTACTCTTGGTTGTTAGAAACAGATCCCAACGTGTCTCTGTTGCAAGTAGACCACAACAATCTTTACCAAAACCATACTCCTAAGCATCAGTCTGTCGCTTACGATCTCTTAAATGACGCTCTGAAGATTATTTTGAAGAAATGTAGTACTGAAGTCCCCTTGGATGTGAAGCCCTACCGTCTTTTGACTTCTCTATTTGACAAGCCTCAGATAGGCCCTGTCATTCTGGATAATGTTTTGTATGATGTGTTCAGAACTTTATATCTATCCTGTTTACATCAGCAACGGCATAGAAGCAGTACTGTGAGGTATGTGATAATATGGAGAGATTTAGAAATAAGATTAGTTCTGCTATGCTCATCTGATTCTCAATAATTTTAATAGACAAGAATGTAAAATTACAGAAAATGGATTGAAGAAAAATATGTAACCGAATCATTATACAAAATTGACATTGTAGCACTAATGCTAAATAAATCTTCAACAAAAAAAAATTAACGGAAAATAAGCATCATTGTCTTTTAGGTGCCAGTAGTTCCTCTTCTCGGACTGTTGTTACAAGTTATGAAATTTATTTTACCGGCGTTGAGAAATTCTTATAATATGGAAACTTAAGATGCATCTCTAACTGACAGATGCTAAGATGTAGCCCAAAGATTAAATTTCCAGTAACATTGATATGTTCACTAGAAGTCGATCATGATCAAGAGATTTCAAGATAAAGGTTATTTTCTAGCCTTGATAGCCTTTGGTCAAGTTGCAGTAAGAAGTGGATACAGACGTTCATGACAAATATCTACGGATTCCGAGTTATGGACAGAGTGAATACAGTTGGCTCAGTGAATTGAGTCTGTACTCGGTGGCCTCGAATGAATGAATGAATGAAAACACGAAATTAGAGGCATACCGGCCCCCATAAAGAGCCAGCGCATAGGCCACTCAGACGGGCCCCTTGTGCACCTCCACATTTCTTAGACCTCAAATCTCGCCATTCTAGTGAAGTTGAATATGGCCTTGAGCCCAAGCTCCTGAATGTCCTGGGGGTCCAAAGTGATGGACCCCAGTATAGTCTGCCTGTAGTAGCTAAGAGCCTCGCAGCGACACAGAACGTGCGCCGAGGTCTCTTCTTCTACCCCGCAGCGCTCACACAAGAGATCCTCAGCCACCCCCATCACGTGCAGGTGGCGCCTTAATGTGTTATGGCCAGACAGCAGTCCCACCAGCAACCTTAGGTTGGCTCTATCCAAAGATATGCATAAACGTCCGTCCTTAGCATTGGGCCCTGCAATGAGTTCCCTTGCCTGACGTAGGTGTCTGGAGATGCTTCTCCATTTCTGAGAGTGTTGTCTTGCAATCCACTTCTCCGTTTTCCTCATAACTCTTAGCGCGGGCACCCCTAAAGCTGGCTCAGGACCAACGAGCTTGCTGGCTGATACTGTCTTTGCCAGAGCGTCCGCCGTTTCATTGCCCTTTATTCCAGCGTGTCCCGGTACCTACACACTAACGATACCGGATGCCTCGCTGCTAGACAATCCAGAGCCTCCCTGCATTGCAACACAAGGCTTGAAGTAATCTTACAGGCACTTCATTGCGGCCTGGAGAAAATTGTTATCCTTCTCCTAGGCCAACCCCTCTCCAAAATGAGGGATACACAAGCCAGAATCGTAACGATTTCCGCTTGGAAAATCGTGGTGTATCCACCAAGAGGCAGAGATAGCCTAGTCCTAGGCCCCGAGACCCCGGCGCCAGAGCCCTCTTCGGTGACCGAGCCGTCCGTGTACCAGACTTGCCCACTGTCCCAGTGAGCCTCCGGTAGCCGGTGACCCACTCCTCCCTCGTTGGATACTCCACATTAAACATGCGGTTGAAGCGATACTTAGGGGTAAATACATCGCCCCTGCTCAGAAGGACAGGATCATCTCTTTGCAGTTCGACCAGGATGGCAGTATGACCCTTCACGGGATTCAAGAAGGCCCAGCTGCCCTGACTCCACAGTCAATGTGCGACTACTCTCGCCTCTCTGCGGATCACTGGATCCAACGGCGGGAGATCCAACCGAGCTTCCATTGCTCTCAATGGCGTTGTCCGCACTGCGCTTGTAATGCTAATACAGGCCAGTCGCTGAATTTTATTGAATTTTTCCTTATTCTTCTTCTGTTCAAGGCCACCAAACCAAGGAGCCGTACAAGAGAGATGGACGCACTATTGTCGTGTAGAGCCAGTAAACCACGTTGGGTTTGAGCCCCCACCTAACACAAACAACGCGTCTACAAGCCCACAATGAATTGCGAGCCTTGTTTACCTTAAATTCAACATGCTCTCTCCAGTTCAGTTTACAGTCCAGGATAATTCCTAGATATTTTACTGACTCTGATAGAACTAATCTGGTCCCAAAGAAGGTCGGCAAGACAAGCCCGTCAAACCTTCTTCTCCTAGTGAATAGGATCAGCTCGGTATTTCCAGCGTTGACCGAAAGATCCACTTACCTACACCATGACTCCACAGCTCGCAAAGCGCGTTGCATAATCTCAGAGACTGTTCCACAAAAACGACCTCTAACTACTGTGCTTATGTCATCAGCATATGCTTACACTCGGTGGCCTCAGTGCTTATTTAACGTCTTTGTTCCGAGTTTGATGTGTTGGAATATATGAGTGCAAGGGCCTACCTAGCTCAAAACGGAAGGGGACTCCTTAAAAAATTTTTTTGTTGGAAGTTCCATAAATCATATCCACTTCACTACTATGATTTATATTTTTTGTTCTATTGGCAGTTCATTGTTTTATCCATTTATATAGAGTCTTGCATGATAATTTGACAATTTATATGGATATGGAAAACTACTAGGATTACTTTTTTCAAACAATGAAGCAAATATTGCACGAGATGCATTTTAAGTAATAAAATACTTGAAAGCAACACTTGAGATAATATATGAGGAATGTTTGCTATACTGCACATTTTATATACCTATTTTTTGAACGTACTTGTCCCTCAAAATTCAACAGGTTGATCATTATCTCAGTCAAATCAATAGTCCAGGGAAGTACTGTTATCACAAAAAACTCCAAATGGAAGAAGAAATCTCAGATATAACATAGTACATTGTCTGTCGCGTTCAGCTAATCCGTGGGCATTACTGGCAGAAAAATATTTATAGTTTTTGTTCATCGGTCCTGTTGCGATAAACTAAGCTTCAAAAAACTACTTTAATCATTGGCCCTTCAATGACTGGATTTTGAAGAAATTTTGAAAGGCCTGTCTAATCATGACCAAAAAATTTATAACTCCCCCAAACTTGACATTATATTGTTTTTTTTTTCGTTTCTGATGATTTTGAACTCAATCAAACATTTTCTTGGAGGAGTCAAAATTCAGAAAGAATTAAACTTTATTTGTTGATATATTTTGAGACGTAGTCAATAGTTTATTTGGAGAATTCAAATATTGTGAAATCCGGCAAAACTCTTTTTTGCAAATTCGAATCAACCAGTCACTTTTGTGTAACTCCAAATACAGCACGAGCAACACGAAACTGCTGATCTAGAAACGTCACAAAACATTTGATCATGCCAAATGTGAACCCTGTTGTGCAGAACGATTTATATATCCTTAAGAGTGAATACTCATCTCCAACTAAAAAATGCTCTCATCAACTTTTTCATCAAACTTTAAAGTTATGTCTATTGCACAACTGGGAAATGGACGTAAATACCTTCAAAATGAGAACTAATGGTATCTTCGGTTCGCTAAAACGGCTATTTGGTTATTGCAAAAAATCGTTCATTATTTGCCGAGTGCATAAGTTTAAATATGAAATAGTAGCCAAAAGTTGAAGCTTTTGTAGTGATTAACATAAAGACAATCTTCAAAAATTGTCAGGCTACCCAGCAATGCAACTGCTGCAACAAATTAGATATGAGTTTTTACTATAAAACATAATCAAAAACATTACATATTTACAAAAATTGTGGACTATATACGCTTCCTACCTGGAATATACCGCTGCCTACAGAGTGATTCATACCAACATGACAACAGGAACCATTTTTTAAATGGAACACCATACATATCTTAGTATATTCTAGTATGCCACTTCAAAAGAAGAAGTTTTGGTACAGCCTGGGAAATAGCATATTATACTAATTCTGGGAATTTCTGTTTGTCGATATTTATTCATTGATCGTTCATACAATTACTTGAAATTTCATCATATAGAAAAAAATAGTTTTTTAGAAAATGTACCTAGTTTGTTCTAGAATGATTTAAAAAATAAATTTCTTATACTTTCACCATTGTGATCTGTGATTTTTCCAAAATCGTTTCTAATTTTTTCTGAATTTAAGATAGGTTTTCAAACTGCACATTAACATTGCCACCTTTTGTTCTCTGCAAGGTGGCATAAATAGAAAATTGATATGGTTTTTTGTTTTGTATCCCCCATCTTAATTTTTATTTTTCTCATGTATGCCATTTTTGCATAGGCGAATAGCTTTTAATCCTGATTTCAAATATTATGGCATGTCATACATTATTATAAAAAAAATGTTTCCTGAGTAAGCCTCGAAATTATCATAAGGTCATTTATTTCATAGAATATCTAAGATGATAACATGTTACGCATTGATATAAAATTTCAAGTGTGTCATATAGTTGGTTGATACTCATCGAATGAGGAACAACATAACGTAACTCATTTATATTAAAGGTTAATAATGAAGACATCAAAAACGGTATAAATTCAAACTGAGAATTGAAATGTGAGATCGAAATTCTAATTATGCCACCGTGTAGAAGAAAAAAGTGGTAAAGTTATTTGTAATTTGTTTGAAATTTGTAGAAAATGCAGATGTTTGAAAATTTTTGTTTCGAACTAAGGCCATAAAAAAATAAAAACGACTTAGTGTAAATTCGGAAATACTTCGAATTTCCAACTGTCCAAGTACCATTTTGGCGCAACTTTGCCCCCATAAAGTACTCCGTGTCATTTAGGAGAATGTCACAAGATCAGTATTTACTGTGATCAGTCGATGTATTTATCATGAAATGTGAATTTTAATGACAATTATTGATGCATAATATTACGTAGAAATCCACTGATGGTACGGACCAGTAAATACTGATTTACCGTTTTCGATATCCCAACGGCTAGGTTCGAATATGAAACACACATAATACGAAGTGATGTTCACAATATCAATGCTCGGTCCCGGAAGCTGATTCCCAACCACGTTATCGTACATCTATGTTTAATACGTCTTTTTCTCATTTTATCTATCACTTGTACAATCAAGTCCCCATAAACCTCATGTCTATGTCTGTGTCAGCTTTCAAAAGAAGTAACAGAAAATTTCTATTAGATGAATTGTAGTGTTTACTTTATATTGTTTGCTTCCTTTTTATATGTATATATGAGCATGCAAGTGTAAGAGTATGTTTTTCTATTAAATCTACCTAAAGTGATTTGACCTTTTCCGTTAAATTATATTTTTTATATAATTTCCTTATATTTTTTTACGCTTTTATTATTTTTAATATCAACTTATATAATTTGGTTAAGAACTCCTCTGTTGCTATTTTTTCTCATCTAATAGATATTGATTCAGCTTTTGGAGAACCCTTAAAATGAATAATTTAATTATTGTAAAAAATGTTGTCCCCATTTAATTTTTACCCAGGTAAATGCGATCAAATACTATACATTGAAAAAGGTATATACGTTATTTTTGTTCGAGTTTGACCTACGGACGTTTCAGCTTTGAAAAGCTTTCCTAGATGTTTCTGTTTTTACATCTAACGGCACTCTATTAATACGGTATTCCTGCTTGCGGTCCATTCCAGCATGGTTTATGTTAGAAATGCAGCTTAAGAGATAATTGCGAGCGAAGTTGAAAGGTGATCTTTCTTCAGAGAAGGGTTGAGCATCTATTTGGAGAATATATTAATGCTAATATTGAAAAGTGAAGATAAAAGAAGTGTCCTTAAAATTAGGTCTAATCCTATTCAAATGTTGTTACAGAGTCGTCTCCTTCAATGGTGATCTGACCAGTTTAAAGAACGAGGATGGATGTCTAAGCAAGCAATTCGTCACAAAGCATTGTCAAGAACTGATCAAGAATGCCAATTTGCTGTTCAATACTTTGCAGAGCTACTATATTTGGTCTTATATTGAAAAACTGTACATCGACGCAGTAAAAAACATAAAAAATTGCAAGTTTAGGGACAAGTGTCACGTCAACGAGATAGGAAGCGGGCATCCTTACGTGTTAGAACTCTGCATCCTGACTGATTTTCTGCTTGATATAATACCAATAGAGTCTTATACTGAAAGTACATCAAGTATCTTACCAAGTTTATTCACGAAAATAGTTTCTACGTTGAGGGCAAATATTGGGGAGTTGAACGATCGTGAAATCACTCATAGTTTGCAGCTGTGTACACGAATTTTGTCAAAAATCCAACCTATTGCGCTTCAGAAGAAAATGGAGGAGACTGTAGAAGAAGGTATGTGATTTGTTCATGCAACAACTGAAACTTATCCTGTGGTTTCATGATGATAATCCTCCATGTTTGTCTGGCCGCTAAATAAAACCACCTATGTTTGAAATACTGTTTACTGATGATGACGTTTCGGCAACAGCGGTGGCATTTTTCAAGTGCAATTTGACAATTCTGACAATGTATTTTGTTTATCTGTCATCCCGGTGGCGTTTGTTTTTACTTCTAACTCCAACGGGCGATGAGGTATTGCAATCCCAGAAACATTCGAAAGTGAGATATGGTCTTTTGGATGTTATATGGCATGTACACCATGAAAAACCATATCACTTATTTCCGTCGGCCTGTCTGTCCGCTAATCCTTGGCCCGTCTTTAGCTTGGAAAGTACTACTCAGATTTGGATGAAATTTTACAAGGTTACTACTATGCCAAGGATGAAAAAGCTTTGTACTTTTGGAATATGTGTAATTGATGTGAATAAATTATTATTATTATAACTATTATTATTATTAATATCGGAACTTGATCATTTTTGAAAAAATTTTCAAGTGCAAAAAATTTCGTTAAGTAGATCTATTTCCAACGCTTTCGGAACAACTTCTAGCACAATTTTCCATGTAGCGCAATGGTATCAAAGAGACGTAGGTTAGGTGAGAACCATTGGTGCATTATTTGTGCTTTTCATAAAAATATTCGATAAGATGAAGTGTCTTCAAAAAAGGTTGTAAAATAAGAATAGTAAAAAATGGCGTCAAGTATGTTAACTCTGCACTTATACTCGACGTCGTCATCAGTTCATAAAGGATTTAAATTTAATTTAAATTAAAACAAAACTCACAATGCTTTTTGACCAATCATATTCATTATATCACATGTAAGAGTTTCCATAGCCGACCAAAAGTTAACGTTCCAGAAAGTTGATTCAGATACTATCATATCACATATCATCATGCGTATTCAAAGCCAATCATCAATTTATACCAAATTCATAATGCTTTTTTTTTCACTGATATTCATCCTATTCTGCGGCCTTATGCCAGAGTTCAACGATTTTCATAGCGGGTAAACACTAAAGATACGTACATCGTGCAAATACAAAGTCCATTCGTCCTGAATTGCATGGGTCAGTACAGAATCTACCACTTGACGCCATTTTTGTTCATGCTGACATGCATATATAGTGTGTTATTACAATAGTCGAAACGGTCATGTAACATGCTCAGATTGTGCGAAGTCATTATTGCAATTTCAAAATGGCATCGCGCAAAACCAGCAAAGCCCAGTACCGCCTAGCGACAAGCAATTATGAGGGTAACTGCCGTTTTTAATGTACTAGACACACAAACTCCTTCAAAAACGCGAAAACCCACCCAGAACATGGAGGACTATCATTTTTTAATGTTTCTTATGTATAAAAATGAAGGGTGCACCAAATGCTACTTCTTCTTACAGGGAAATCACTCAATGACTCATCAGAAAAATCGGAACCTGTGACAGTTCCAGAAGATGCAAAATCCGAAAGTGGTGAACATAAGCTAACATTAGAAAAAAGCAAATCTGACTCTAGAATTAACGAAAACCTGAATAATGGTGTAGAAAAAATGGATATATCAGCTGATGATAGCAGAGAAAGATCTTACAGCAATCAAATGTTGAAGAAAAAACCTAGTCCGAAAATCGACAAGAAATCCAAAAACAAAAAATCAAAATCGTCCTCCAAATTGTACGACCTCAAAAATGGAGAAATTGATAACACTATAACTGAACACGTTAGCACCGATAAGAGTGTTACAGATAGTTTACAAGAAGTTCAAGAGAAAGCAAAAATATCGAATGTAGAGAATAAGCACTTTGTAAAGTGTATAGAAGAGTACAAAAAATTTTATGTACGATTTATAACTAGTAGGATTCTTCCCAATGTACGGTTGAAAGAAAGTTTTGAGAAACTAGTTTGTAACAAAGAAGAACGGACTGAGTGTCTAATATCACTGTTAGAAAACCGTCTTAGAGAATATGCAAACTGCGAATTTGTACCAGTAGACTATGCTAAGATCTCTCTAAAAAACACAGAATTTCTAAAACCACATTCACCTTTAGGCCAATGTTCTCTAGAGTACGAAAAAGCAATGTCAGTAGCTTCAAATATCCTACTGGAATTTTCAGCGTTTCCGAATGTTCTGGACGCACATCCAGAAAAGTCGGTACCGAGTTGGCTAGAAGCATTGATGGTAGCAGCTTGCAGTAAAGAGTCGAGCACTGAGGTGCAGATTACGGCGATGAACACGCTTTTGGAGACTTTTAGTCTAGCTCATAATCAGTTGATTAGTAAGAAGGAGGATAGGAATACTAATATTGTGATAACTAGTATTGTAGATATTGCGCATGTTAGGTATATTGAAGCAAATACTGTGGTAGTAGAGGTAAGTTATAATATTTAAAGGGTTCTTTAAAACATGAAATCATAAAAATAATCAAAGGTACATTCATTTTTTGTAAATTACTTTTTTAAATGTTGATCGTCTGTGCATCTTGTGATTCTAATTTTTAATGGCACGTCCCTGAATTTCGAGCGATATTTGGAGAATAAGGTGATTAATGCTGATTCTTAATTCCTATATCATAATCACTTATCCATGTACAAAAGTATATAGACCAATTAATATTGTGCTGTATTTCTTTTTTAACTTGTTTTATTAATACACCAACCTTTATAAATAATTCGTTATAGCATAATACTCACTTGTACATAAATAAATTCATTAGACTCCCTTCAATAAAAAATTAATTGATAAAACCTGGAACTATGAAGGACAAAAATATATAGACAAAGCAAAACAATTATAGAAAAAAGAAGCAAAGTTCATTGAATTATAGAAAACCAACCATGTTGTGTTAATATTTTGTAGCATAACCATTATTATCAATTGTAGAAGTTTCTTGATATAAGATTCATCAATCTGTCTCCACTTTTGCTCTAAAGCGGCAAAAAGTTCATCCTTGTATGAATAATTTTTATCTCGTATTTGCTTATCTAAGTATTCCCATAAATTTTCAATGGGGTTTATGTCGGGAGACTGTGAAGGCCATTTGAGAACTGGTATTTTTTCATCCAGAAAGAATTTCTTTGCGAGATTTGAAGTGTGCTTCGGGTCATTATCTTGCTGGAAGATTGATCTTAAGGGCATATTGTCTTCCATATAGGGTAACATGACATGCTTTAGTATGTCTGTGTATACAAACTTATCCATAATGCCACCTATTCTATGTGAAGGCTCCATCCCAAACCCCGAAAAGCACCCCCAAACCATATCAGACCCGCCTCCATGTTTGACAGTGGGCAAAGTGTACTTGGGGTTCAATCTTTGTCCACTAGTAATGAACACCATCTGATCCAAATATATTGAACTTGGATTCGTCACTGAAACATAGCCTTTTCCAGTCACAGATGCTCCAATCAAGATGCAACCGTGCAAATTGTAATCGGTCCTTAGGGTTTTTCCTCGAAATTAGCGGCTTCTTACTCGGGCGACGTGCAAATAACTTCAAATCATTTGATCTTCTACTTATAGTTTTCGTAGAAACACTGTCAATTCCTTTTGTCTCGATTTCGGCTTTTATTTGTCTTGGGGTTTTTAACGGATCTTTGGACGAAATTACTTTTATTAATCTAACTGATCTAGCATTTAGTTATCTAGGCCGACCACTTCTCTTAGAGGCTTCCACGATACCTTTTTGTTTATATTTGTTCAATATTGCCCAAACTGCTTCACGCTTCAGCTTCAAATTTTTGGCAATGTCGACTTGACGTTGACCATCTTTGTATAACTCAATGATCTTAGTTTTCACATCGAAAGAAATTTCTGGACCACGCGGCATGGTCTTAAAATCACTCAACTTATTCCACAATACTTGCTGAACACAAACTAATCCTCTTATGACCCGAAACTGTACTAAACTAATGCCGAAAAGAATTTGTCTACATATTTTTGTCCTTCATAAAACGGTGAAGTATGAATTCGTTTTCTAAAGGTATTTAGGTAAATATTCATATTTGTCTATATACTTTTGTCCATTACTGTAGATATAGGTCCAAACGAAAAGTTGTGAAATGTGTGGCATAAGACTAATAAGGCGGCAAATTTATCAGCCCCAAAATAGAAATTATTATGATCCGACCGGAGCTTCGGTGATATTTAGTCAAAAATACACATTTTGATGTTTCAAAAAATCAGTTCTCGCGAGAACCTGTGCGGAAATTCCGAATACTGAAATATTGAAAATGTAGATACTCAGTCATAAAATTCTTAGATGAAACACCTTCCAAACGGTATTGTATGACTAGCGGTTTTTAGTCCATATCCCTTTACTAGTACTAAAGCCATTTTACTGTCGGTTGCTGATATGCTACTATTTTTGGCTCTGATCTCTAATTATTGACAGTATTGAAATCCGTTTCATAATTAGTTTCAAAACTGTATGCCCACCTACTGGTTTGTGTTTTCTCAAAAATTCAGTCCATAATTATGCGTTCAGGTCGACTTTAACTCAGTAATTTATTCTACTGTCAAAAAATAAAGTTACTTTGTTTTGAAAGTGTTCCACGCAACAATTATATTACATGTTAAATGTAATAAAATCATCAAATCGGTTGTTTCCAATGTATCTATGTGAATGTGTAGCTAATTTTAAACTCTATTCCAATTGAGTAAGCAAACGCAAATAAAGATATCACCGATTTCATTACCAGAAGCATCGAGTGTATAGTTGTTCTGATACCAATGGAGAAGTTTCGTGATATTCAGAATCGCATAAGTAAAGACATACCAGCAAAATATAGACTAAATATAATCAGTCAGTGAAATTACAGAGAAATTGATACTTAAATTTGGTGCATTATAGCGCAAAATCATTGCTGCCGTTCGTTCGCGTCTGACGTCACACTTCTCTAGTGCCCAGCGTCTCGTCGCGTAGGTGTTCGACAGCGTCTGTGCTTTTAGTCATTAGTCTATAGACAATTCATAAGACATACCTGTGCGCTCGGACACGTGGTTTCCAGTTGATAACTATTGAGTACTGCTTAAGTTCATACCATTTAGGACGCCGCATGTGAAGGTACGTAGAAAAAATGTTTATTAGGGGTTGTAATTGTTATGCTCGAACATTTTGGAACGGTACAGTATTTATAACAACCTTTTTTTTTTCTTATTTCGCTCATAACCGATCGTATATGCAGTCAACTAATCAAACAAATGGGGGCGGAAGACGCTTAGTCTACCATATGTCCCGCTGTATGTGTGCCTATGCATGTGTTTAGGAGATTGAGTCGGCTGCGGACGTTGCAACTGGATATTGAAGTGTGACGTCACGCGTAACGTACAGACAGAATAAAAATATTCTCGAGGGGAGCAACTTTGATAGGCTGTAACTTTTTTGTTTTTAGATATACAGGTAAATTGATTATTTTTTCTACCATCTTGTTTCATTTTTCCCAAAACTTTCATTTGAGCTTATAACAAAAAAATGTTGAACTTGTCCATTGAAACAGCAAAAAGTAGGAGTCGCCAAAAAAGGTGTGAAGTCCTATATAGATAATTTCGCATTCACATATTTGGTCAACGTAGTCCAACCCCAGTGTGTGAACGCTATACCAATGCACATTGGCCGGGGTTGAGCAATGTTGTCTAGCATGTTTGAATGCGACATTATAAATACTACACATTTTTAGGAATTCTCAGTTTACTATAAATTAATTCGAATTCTAAAACTTGTGTCTTTCTCTGGTATACTTTAAGTAGCTTGGTATTACTTACCAGAATATTGAATATGTAGGATATCTACTGATATGAAGCGGATCTGGAGGCTCAAACATTTATTATTTATGTTAACCATCGCACATCCATTTTTTCAAGAGCCTGTATGGAGGAGCATTCTTAATAATTTTCTGATTGTTTCATAGTGTGTATGGAGATGAATGAAAAATAATGTTACCCATTTCTCATTTTCATTTTTATGTATTTTTTCAATCATAACTCATTAACAGAGCATAGTACAGCTCCAAAATTGTATTTTAATATTCCACTTTTATAGTAGAATTGAGCGGATGATTACTTTTTTCGTATCACTTTTTTTCTTAAACAAATCATTGTTTGCCTTGAAAATTCGATTTGCTGCAATTCTACCAGAAAAGTGGAATATTCACATACAATTTCAGAGCTATACTATCATTTGTTTATGAGTTACAACTGAAGGAAAGTGCTCAAATAAGTTATAGAGTAAACACATGAAATAATCATAATAGTAGTATTAAGAATACCAAACAGACAGTTTAAAAAAAGGATGTGTGACCTTAACCCAACCCTCGGTTCGATCGAAGGTTGTATTAAAAGCCGAACATTGGCTATTGCCAAATAACTGACCCTAGGCTGGACCCTAGAAATTAGGTGCTCGTCGCATTATTGATGCAGTAGAGTCGTGGCTTCTCAGGCTGTGCTGCAAAACCAAATGTTCTGAAGATCATGCGGTAGAATTTCATACAGAAAGTAATGTTTTTATGGCGTGATGACGGTAGCCAAATACCACACTAAATACTCGATCGCGTCTTCGAAACTGGGAAATTCAGAATGGGCGGCATTAATCGCACTAACAGTCGGCTAAATAATAATATCTGTTATTCATTGCAGGAAATATCCCAAATTCTATGGCAACTCCTGGGCGTCTTGAGCAATCAAAGTCAGTTGATGACTTGTGTGACTTTACTTTACCAAATCCACAACACCTTTGATAGCAAACAATCCGTAGAACACATAGTATGTCATTTCCTCACAAAAGAAAATATTTCAGTAGCATATATGAAGCAATTCTTTTTGCTGTGGCACCTGGGGAGAGATCTTAGCATCAAGTTGCCACCAAATAAGTCCAACATCAAGAATTTTGACAGGTAAGCACATTCTTATCGATGTATATTTAAGTTTGGGTCTACAAGTATGCAAAAATTCATAATCTTAGATTAAATCCTGAAATATCAAAAGTTATTAAAAATTTAGAAATCGGATAAAGGAAAATTCAACTATATCATTAAATGGTGAAATTATACAAGTATGTGAAACTGTAAAAATATAGACATTTCTCGTAATGAATGTCTAAATTTTATTATATGTAAACAATGTTACCAAAAGTTGTTTTTTAATGCTTCGGCAATTATACTTGAACAAACAAATCCCGGACTACAAAACTAAAAACATTATCTGTGAGTTTTAAAAAATTACATACTGCGGCATTGTTTGTCATCCGTTTTTAGGTTCAAGCGCTTGCAAAAATTCAAAATTCATGTTGTAGATTAATTTTTAACTTGAAAAAATGTTACCACCTTACCTACTCGTTCATAAAATTGGAATGGTTCAATATTCCTAATCTATTTAAATTTCATCTACTGTGTTACGAGTATATTCATAATCTTATACTTATCTCAATTCTTCCATTTTTGAAAGATAAGTTAAAATTTCATGGTTCTATACACTCACGAGGTCTTCGCTCTATTGATACAATAACAATCCCTCGTCACAGAACTTCATTTTTTACTAAATATTTTACTTATAATGCTTCTATCATATTCAATGCTTTACCCTCTAATACCAAAGTTTTACATTTCGAGAATTTCAAAAAGCATTTAAAAAAACTCATTTTCGAAATATCATTAACTCCCTCACGTCTGCTTATATACGTATGTGTGTATATTATGTACATATGTGTGTATATTACGTTCATATGTTCATATTTTTGTATATATAAATATTTATAATGTATTTATATTATTGTACATCTGTTTTATATTATATACCTTAACATCATTCTATAACTATGTATAATGTTATATCCTTTCCCTTTTATCCAATTCAGTAATTTGTTTTACTCAATTAATTTGTTTGTATGTTGGTTTTATTATTATTTTTCTTTTGCAGACTGCTGCTGAAAATTTTGGATAACCTCCAAAATGAAGAACGTCCAAACCTTCAGCTATTAGCGCAGTGTTTTCTAACGCATAGCTTGTTGCATAATGACATTCCAAGATTGATAAACCCTATGTTGATGAAATTATTGGCTTCAAATACGGCTAGGGTTTCCATAAAACATGTTAACATACAAGATTCTGATTCGCAGAGTGACACTGCGTCACATGATAATAGTAAGATAGATGATATCAAGACGAAAAGGGTTTACGCGGTAGGTGAAATCTTAGTTCGGAAAAAATTAATCTACTTGACGGCACTTTTCTCTGTAGGTGAGCAGTGTAAATGGTAATATAATGTACCACATAGCTGATGGCCCGAGTCCAAAACCAATGAAGAAAAAATGGTTTACGTTTGCTAAAGCTGGTAAAAAATATACTTCGTCCATTATTAACATGACAACTAGCATCACGGAAAATTCTAACTTTGTTACGAAAAAGAACAAGGATTTCAAGGTAATCACTCAACATTGCAATCTGTACTTCTTCAAAACATGGGTCGTGGAATTCCCACTCCATTTTGCAGGGTGTTTAAAGTCAATCTTTTACCAAAACATTGTATGTCTCTGGTGCCTAATGAAAATAAACATAGTTTTATATTATTTTTCTTGAGAGTGTCTCTTGGAATTTAACATTAAAAATGCTCCAGGTGGATTACTATCACTTAGTAGTGACATAGAAAAAATAACACTCAGTAATAATGAATTTATTACAAATATCTTCTAGATATGTGTTTGATTAGGTCACGAAAAAAAAAACTTTTTTTTCAACCATACCGAAGTGGTTTTTATGAGATCGTGTTTTCTTACACAAAAAAGTAAGTGATAGTTGTATTTTGTAGCTAGAGATTGGCATTTGATCATCGAACAATACGTTGTAATGCGCTGCTGTAATTTGTTCATTATATCTAGAGTGAGACTCCGTGAAAATTTTGTACAGCTTAGCGAGTTGAACAGGGGGCGAATAGTGGGTATGTGTGGGACTGGTTGATCCTTTAGAGAAATTTTCATCAGGCTGCACATAAGTCTAAATACGGTGGTGGTTTGTTGACGGGCATGGGTTGTACACGAAGAGTTAGATGTACAGATCGCCGCCTTAAACTTTTGGCCCTACGAGACCGCTTCTCAAATCAATTTGTCCTACCTCTCACTCCAAGGCACCAAAGTGATCGACAGGCGTGTTGCAGATAACTGGTTTCTCGAAAGGAACACCATTGCCTTTAGTGATGAATCTAGATTCTGTTTTGTGATGAATAATGACCCTACAAGACTGAGAAGCCGACGCGGTGAAAGACGAGATATGATATCGGGAGATGTTGCTGATAGAAGCAGGTCAAAGGCAACATGGCCGCCGTGCGTTACATCCTGGAGGCGAAGGAACAGTATGTTTTGCCTTATATATTGACGCTCACCAACCCACTTTTCCAACAAGATAATGCACGACCATATGTATCAAGAATTACGTTGGTCCATTTTGAAGATAATCAAGTCGACTTGTTGTCTTGTCCCCTAGTCTGACATATTATGGGAAAAATATTACTCCATTTACCCCGTCCTCCACAGATTCCAGCAGTACTTCGACACGAGGTACAAGTAGCCTGGGATGGGATTGTAGTCTGGTACAAACACACTGTATAAATATTGTTATTGTAAACTGTCAGAAAATGTTAGGTAGTAGTAGTAGTAGAAAGGTATTGCAAATAATATAGGTCGCTGGAAATCCTGCGGTAAGCAAAGCATCTATTTCGCAATTCGTACCTACAAAGATAGAATAAAGCTAACTATAAACGAATTAAGGTGTTTTACTGAGGATTTAAAAGCTCATAGAGCTTATAAATTTATTACAACATACCTCAAGAAGAAATCGACGATCTGATTAGGGGTATGGCCGGATGTATTTTTGAGTGCATAAGACATCGTGGAGGTACAACAAATTGTTAATTTTTTACTTTTTTCAACGGTTGGACTTTTCTGAAATGTTGATCAACCCTAAAAGACATGTATACAAAAATTATTGTAATAAATCCATTATTGCTGGGTGTTCTTTTTTCTATGTCGGTATATTTTTAATAACCATAAACAGATTGATGTATTGAGTAATACATTTTAATTTCGAACAAAAAACACCAACATGCAAATTTTCTACTAAAATAAGCCTAACTTTAGATACTGATGCTAACTTTTTGACTAACTTAAAAAAAATGTATGCTCGTATTATGTCGTTATGACCTTCGATAATTACTTGTAAAATATCTATATCATTCTATTTTCGAGAAATATAAGGTCTGCACTTGTCACAGAGAGACAAGTTTTTAAAAACGAAGCATATTACGGACTTGTGTTTGTATGGACTTTTTCATATTTCGACAGACTGGATCTGTTCAACTTTCCTGCCAACATTATGTAAATCCTTGAATTGTACAGAAGAACCTTGAGTATTGCCACTTTGAAATAAACCTTGAAATAAAACAGTCTGTATTTTTAAGGGTTACAATCTATCACCCAAAAGTGAGAAAGAGCCAAAGAATGTAAAATTGATCATCAACCCATTGAGTTCGAAAGAGGTATACCCTGTAGGTGTCGACGGATCTTATAGTAAAAGAGGTTCGAACTCATCATTGGAAAGTTTGTCGTCTAACGAAAACGAGGAGCCCCAAAAGACCCCTCAGGATAAAAATAGCGTTGACAGGGACTCAGGGTTTGACAGTTTGAAAAATAAAAGTCAACCTGAATTGTTGAATATGATCAATAGTAGCAAGGTAAGTCTCCAGCATTAAGGTTTTACAGTGTATTGAGGTTAGGAAACATTTTAATTCCAAACCGACGATTCTCTTTTGATACTAAACTATATCGTGAAAGCCTCTACCTGGGACGTTAATAGCTAATCAGCCATATGTCAAGTTACGGGTCTTATAAATATTTTTTTCCATTAAGTTATACAAAGGCTACTATAAAAGTTTTGCAATATGACTTAACACACGGACACAGGTGGCTGCATGTTGAGATATGTCCATGAGTGTATAGTAACCGCCAGCAGCACATCTATTATTTAGTTGTTCATTCATATTGAAAGTGGAAAGTGCGGACTATGGAATCGTGGTCACGTAGTGAGATAAGGGCAGTTTTACGGTATAACTTTACGCATGGTTTAAACATAGACCTGTGCTTAGAAGAAATGACGACTATATTCAAGTGGTACAGAGAATTCCAAAGGGGCAATTTCTCTGTGGAGGACGCTGAGAGGAAAGGAAGGCCACGAACGTCAATAACAGAGGAAAACATTACTGTTGTGAGGAAAATGATTGACGAAGACTGGAGAGTGGCATACCAACAGATAGAAGAGACCTTACACATTCATGCTAAAGCAATTCTAAATTACCATTTACACGTAATTAAACTTTGTTCTCTGTGGGTACCGCATAGTCTGACGGAAGAGTAGAAGACGACTTGGTTCCGAAAGATGCTGAAAATGCGTGATAAAGGGAATCTCAGTATGTGAACAGCATCATGATAGGTGACGAGACTTGGCTTAATAAAAAAAGCTTATGAAAAGTTGAATCCAAACTTGCACAAATATACATGGTGTTGCATTTGTAATTTTTGAGAAAAAGTACAATTCGCGTTTTTGACCACCCTATGAGCAAAAATGAAAATTCGAAAAAGTAAAAAATAAGATAAAAGCTGAGGTGTGTAAGTTTTTTTGATACAAAATTCAGCACTCCAAATTTCAAAATGGCGGATTGAGGGGTTGCCGAAGTGGACGGTTTTTCTGGTCAAAACACCTTACATCTCAGTAGCTAATTACCAAAACCCCATAGCATGTTATATCAATCTTCTTCTTTTGAATTGGTTTATCCAAATATGCAATAAAATTTGAGACATTCCATTTAAAAAATCATAACTTTAATATGTAGGTCAAAATTGGGACACCCTGTATAATTACCAATATTTTAGAAATGTGCCCTCAAATGTCATATATACTCGTAACATGCCATAAATATAGTTTCCCAAAATGTATTTGTTTATGAGTAATATTCCGCCGGTCCGCTCATCTTCACGTGAAGCAGATGTAGGAGGTTAGAAGGGACGTTCCGGTGTTTGTCCCCAAAATTGCTTTTCGTTAATTTTTGATGTGTTCGGGAGTATTGATATATAGTGTTAACACCTAACGATGGTTTTCGTCGTTATCAAAAAACCAATGTGTCCGTCCGTTTGGTTTTATATTATTTGTAACAAGTGCTTTCATCCCCGCGTTCGTTTTGAAACACCATTTGGCTGCAACTTCAACGACGACTCCTGAAGAAGGCTCCATAGAGAATGCCGAAAGCTCGAGATTACCGTTAAAAGAGTTTACTAAAGCCTAAAAAGTTTGCCAATTTCCCAATTAACAATTAATTGTATATACAGGGTGTCCGGAAAGTTGGGGTTTTCCTTCTCAGAAACAACTACCCTTGAAATAACAAAGGTAATGCGTAGTGAAACGAGGGCGACCAAGTAAAAAAAAATAAAGGAAAAAGTACTCACTCTCCAGTTGACGAGAAGGGCTAAGTACGTCTCTGCCCGAAATCATACCGCTCCAACAGAAAATGAAATCAGCTGATGCGCTACCGAGCAGATGCAGGCAAACAAGGAAGGCAAAATGTTGCGTAAAAAGTCTAGGTATTGCATCCCGTCCAATCGATTTGGGAGAATAAATGGTCCAATGAGCATACCGTTCACCATGCCAGCCCAAACATTCACCGAAAATGTTTGTTGAAAATGTGCTCAACGAACAGCGTGCGGATTTTCTACTGACCAAACATGAGTGTTGCGAAAGTTATTCACCCCATTACGCGTGAACGTAGATTCGTCTGTCACCAATATGCACTTCAAAAAGTCCGGATTATTGTCATGTTGATGCAACAACCACTCACAAAACTGCACTCTTGCTGGAAAATCCTCAGGTTGAAGGGCTTGTACACGTTGGACGTAAAACGGATACAGCCCCTCTTCACGCAGCGTTTGCCACACTTTAGTTTTTGATACTTGCACTTCTCTAGCCACGTCTCTAGTGCTTGTTGAGGGATTCTCGTCTACTCGATTACCTCTACACGCGTGACCGTAACCGTCGGTTGAAGGTTGCATAGTGACCTGACACACTGACCTCGACCCAGTTCTGTCGTCGGGTTGAGCTAGTGTCCTAGTACCACTCGGGGATGTCGCGGCTACAGGACGGTATTCAGATATTTTTGATGTTGCAGAGCCCTTTATCTCGGTTCCCTTAAGACATTGGTGTATATGGTACTAAGAAAAATTGCTTATGTTTTCAAGATCTACACGTCGTGTAAAGGAAAACCCCAACTTTGCGGACACCCTGTATATATATATATATATAATCAAAATCCCATTTACCCTAAAGGGTGTAGGGTATATAAATATATATATATATATATATACAGGATGATGCATTTGAAATTTTTGAAAAAAACTAAAATTTGCGTTTTTGACCACGCTGTATGAGCAAAAATTAAAATTAGAAAAAGTGACAAATAAGATAAAAGCTGAGGTGTGTAAGTTTCTTTTGATACAAAATTCAGCACTCCAAATTTCAAAATGGCTGACTGAGAGGTTGCCGAAGTGGGGGGTTTTTCTAGACAAAACACCTTATATCTCAGTAGCTAATTACCAAAACCCCCATAGTATGTTATATCAATTTTCTTCTTTTGAATTGGTTTATCCAAATATGCAATAAAATTTGAGGCATTCTATTTGAAAAGTCACAACACAACACAATTGATATGTAGGTCGAAATTCGGACACCCTGTATAATGGCCAATATTTTAAAAATGTGCCCTCAAATGTCATTTATAACATGCCATAAATAGATTTTCCCAAAATGTATTTATTTATGAGTAATATTCCGGCCACACATGGATGGGCCACCCTATATATATATATATATATATATATATATATATATATATATATACAGGGTGTTCCTTAATGATATGCGAATATTTAAGGGTGTGAATCTACATAAAAAATTAAAGTTAGTTCGCTTTATAAACTATGGTCCAAAAATGTTTCCTTACAAAAACTCGGGGTTTTGAAGTTTTAGGAAAAAAATGGAAGTTAATTAATATTTTCAGAACCGCTTCAGATATTTCACTGATATTTAGTACGTAGTGAAAGTTAATAAAGTTGCATATTTTTCAATGCTCATTAACACTGTAGAGGAATTATGAGAAAGGATAGTTGCAGCTTGTGATAAAAAACACTCCAGGGATATTTCAACGAGTGTCATGAGAAGGAGGGCGGAAGCATGCATACTAAGTGAAGGGGGCCATTTTCAACAGTTTTTGTAATCATCTAGTTGGTTTTAATGTTATGTTTATGTTGTCAGTTATTGTTGTTCATTAACCCTAATGTGTTTAATTTTTCCAATTAAATTAATAATAATTTTGCAAGTTAGACAATAGAACGGTTTTTATTTGTTTACTCAAAAATGGCGCATCGAATGAAAACAATTCAGGATAGATCATTTGTTTTAAATTGAACGAGGACTTAAAAATAATTTTCATTTGGCAAAAAACCATTGACGTACCATGTTTTCCTTAAAAAATATCGTTAAAGCTAAAAATTATTTTTGAATTGAAAAATATGCAACTTTATTAACTTTCACTACGTACTAAATATCAGTGAAAAACCTGAAGCGGTTCTGAAAATATTAATTAATTTCCATTTTTTTTCCTAAAACTTCAACACCCCGACTTTTTCTAAGGAAACATTTTTGGTCCATAGTTTATAAAGCAAACTAACATTAATTTTTCATGTAAGCTGAGTAAAATGGCTATCTGATCCATATGATGGCCTCACAGGAAATAGTTATTTACCTAACAAGTGGGGAACGTGATACTTTTTCGCACGCGACGGCCTCACGGACGGAAAATACACTTTCCGCAAGTGTTAGGTATAAGATTTTTTCTAACAGTACAGCGCGAAAAAATAAAAAAACCCAGAATTTCAAATATATGTTAGTTCCTTTAATAATAAAAATAAAATCAACAACAACATGAATAATTCATGTTATGCGTGCGGAAAAGTGCTACTTTCTGCACGCGTGTTCAAAGTGAGTATTTAGTAGAAAAATGTTTTCAAACTCGTGGACCAAAAACAAGGAGGCAAAAATTATGCAAAAAGTTGTCCTTTCACTATTTACAAAGATGGTTTCCAGGCGGTGAGATTAGACTAAAAAACTAAGGTTCGCGCATAGAGGCCTACTGCAGATGTATGTGTGAGGGAGATCGATATTTGAAAGTACATAATTCCTGTAATTTTACTGTGACATGTCAGAAACTGCTAATTTTCTCGCAGGTACGGCCTTTAATCGGGTTGGGTATCGTCTGGTGGAATATTTATGTTAACCATTGGAATTGCCTGTCTATTATCCGTACAAATTTGTCTGCAAAGTAAGTAAAAATAACCTATTTTTTAAGGAGTTTGCAACAAAGTCTCTACTAGAAAGCATGGAACCCATATCTGACGGAATCAAGGCCCAGCCTGTGAATGGAACACTATCGAAAATACCAAAGTCGTTCAGTTTTGATGAAAAACTAGGAATGGAAAAAACTACAGAGAGCTCCTTAGTGCAAAGCTGGTCTTATTGTATTTCTGATTCGGCTAATTTGAACTGTGAGTTGGAAATTAGCAAGAGTGCAGAAGAATTTTTCAGGTAAGATATACTCTTTTAGTTACAAAACTGTTTATCGCAAAAACTAACGGTCCTTGTAAAATAAAGTAATAACACGGTGCCAAAAGGTGGATCAATAAAAATGTAATACTTTAAGATGCAACAGAATTATAATATTTTGTCGCAGAGGTTTGAAATTGGCTAAAGACATATTCTATACCACAAAAAACCATGCCCCGCATTCACGTCGTATGCTTGGAAGCACCGCTCGGATTTTGTTGAAATTTTGATACAAGATTATTAATATGCCAAGGACGAGCAAACTTTTAGTTTTTGGAAAAGGAAAAAATACAAATCGTTATTTTTTTAAGTTTCAGAAATCCTTTTAGAAAATTGATGGTGGGGAGTTGTAAGGGGTGGGCGAAAGTATATCTCAATGTTCTGGCTTTAGTATGTATATTTCACACTGCACATTTGGCAGGATGAAATTAAGAGTATTTTTAATACTCGCGCCGAACGCTACGAAAATATGAAATTAAACCTGTCGGGAGCTGGCCGTACGCTGGCAAGGTTCACTCATATGTGGGGCAAAGGAGAATTTTTTGATCGCGTCTGTCTGAACGCGTATCGCGTCAAATACTACCTAAGGGATTTCACACGGTCATCACCAGTGTATAGAGGGATTAATGAAGAAGGTTTAGGTGTATACTTTATCAATGTTTTGTGTAAATTGACTGCAACCTGGGGGATTTGTTACCCAAGGTATCAAAAATGTTTCTATAAAAAGTCATTATTTGGCGTACGCTGCAAAACCTACTGATGTTGCAAAAAGTATGGTACTATATGTTTATAGTAATCATCATGATTCACAAAAAAATTCGCAACGCAATATACGTAACTATTATCTTTAAGTTGCTTAAGAAGTGCAGAGTCAACCTACTTGACACCATTTTTTTTTTCTAAGAGGAGCACAATGTGCCGAATATAATTTTTTATGAACTGATGACAGTTTTGCGTGGGAAGTACAGGGCCAAGCTATTTACCTCCACTTTTTTCGTAAATTTCAGGGGTAGAGGCGAAGAAGAAGCAATAGCAACAGACATTCTGAACTCTATAATAGACAAAGTATTTTCTGTAGCATCAGACACCACTGAAAGTCCGAACCGACCCTCGGACCTAGACCTGAAACCAAAGGTTAACACTACCAGAAATATCGTCTTATACCCTATTCACTCTCATATGTGCCTTTACTACGAGGTGTTCGATTCGAACCAAGTGCTCTATGCATTGAGGACGTTGAGGAACTGCATTTTGGCTGATAGTCACTTGTTTATAAAGTGTTTGGCGACTAGTGGTATCAAGAATTTGAAAAATAATGAGATTTTGTATCTGCTTGCGAGGCACAGGAAGTCGATGTTAGGTGAGTAAAGTGTAGTAGTTTCTTATGTATGAAGACTGGTAGGTAGGCTAGCTTTCTCCCTTTTTGGCTAACAACAGCACTAAAACTTATATACAGAGACATTATTAAAACTTCAACGACGTCAAACTTGCAAGCCTTTCAAACAATGGTCACAATATTCATAGAAATCTTCTCTCAACTTCATTATACAATTCCAAAGCTTTGGTACATGATATACATGCACAAGAAGTAAATTGATGTTTCATCTTCTGAACTTTCGGAGCAAATAGGATTTTTTCACTACTAATCTGAAAAAATCTCCATTATGAGGGTGGTCTCAAAAGTATCCGACCTAACAAAGATACAAGAGATTTTTTTCTGATTTTTTTTTATTTTTCAACATAGTCTCCTTGTAACTACACACTTCTCCCAGCGATGCTCCTATCTCTGTAACCCGTCCAAATAGTACTCGGCGTTTTTCTCTGCAAAATAATTGTTCACGAAGGTGATTGCCTCTTCATTTCACGAAAATCTCTGTCCTCTGAGCGCAATTTGTAGATGAGGGAACAAAAAGAAGTCGCTTAGGGCTAGACCTGGTGAGTAAGGCGGGTCAAGCAGTTCAAACCGTAATTCGTGGATTCCCGCCATGGCAACCGCTGAGGTGTGAGACGGTGCGTTCTCTTCAGCTTGTCAAGTAATGATGCGCAGTATGCTCGTGTATTGGTTTTCCCTTTTTGAAGATAATCGATCTAAATAACTTCATGACTATACCAAAAAACAGTCGCCATCTCTTTCTCAGCCGAAAATAACAGTTTTTGCTTTTTTTGGACCCGGTTCCCCCTTTGAAGTCCACTGTTTAGACTGTATTCTTATTTCGGGCGTATAATGGTGTACCCAAGTTTCATCTACAGTAATTAATCGGCGCCAAATCTCGATTTATTGCGCCTAAACTGTGCCAACAGAGTGTCGGAAATGTTCATTCGAAAACATTTATGGTCTAACGTGAGCAAACGCGGCACCCAACCCTGTCAGCCTTCTCATGCCTAAATGTTGATTGAATATGTGAAAAACACGTTCTTTTGACATGTTCATAATCTCTGCTATCTGTCCTCTCCCTACGCAAATAATGAATGTGTGTGTTCATGTGGAGCTTTTTCAGCTTGTTGGACACATAATAGGGAATATTTACATGGTTCTTATTTATCCTCTTTTGAATGATAGTAATTTTATTTTCTGCGGAACTATTACCCCAAATTGTTATTTGATACGACATAATAAAATACGCAAGGCCTTAGTAGGCAGTCTGCACAGCTTGCAAGGGCACATGACAAGTGAGTACTCGTAGTGCGTAGCATGATTAAGTTTTGTAGCCATAATCTCAATATGCTTATAAAACTTAAAATAGCTATCGTATGTGACACCTAGGAGGTTTGTATCATCCTTGACGCATATAGGTTCATTAATTAGGGGTAGATCTTTGGTGGCGTGGCTTGACTGAAATAGGTATGTTGAATACTAATTTATTCACCTGCAGCCAGCTTTGAATATGGTTTATTTGTGTCTCAATCAAGGTACGAATATCAGACGTTCTTTTATATGGTATCAAATCATCTGCATAAATGAAACTTACAGTTTTCGTGTTTTTCGTGGTGGTGGTTATATTATTGATATGAATATTAAACAAAGTTGGGCCCAGTATACCTTGAGGGACACCAGTATGATATGTCCGAGGGCCAGATGTTATACGTTTTCAGGTTTTGTTCAAAATTACTTTCTGTTTTCTATTACAGAGATAAGATTTAAGCCAGAAGTATGCATTCCCGCGTATACCATGTTTATAAAATTTATTTAGTAATATTTCATAGTCAATGAAATCAAATGCTTTTGACAGGCCTACAAATAAACTAGCATGCTCCTTGATTTTCTCAATATTCATGGATCGGTGTTGCGAAATCAAACAGTGATGTGTTCGCACCTCTACCTTTTATGAACCCATGTTGGTTATTGGTAAAGTATTCCATTGATTTGAAAAAAATTATAACATGATTGTTATGTTGACATTTATCAACAAGCTAATAGCGCGGTAGTTGTCCATATTTGCAATTCTAACATAGAGTTTATCAGGTTTGTTTTAAGTTTTTTTATGCTACTTTGGCGTCTTATGTCTGAAACACTAATTTGTTGAAATTCATTAGGCGTTGATGGAAAACGGCACGGGTATTACGTATCCTGAAAGTGACATTATGCCGATTTTTTTTGACATTATATTGGTTTTTGTGACATTATGTAGGTTTTTCTACAAGATGTTAATGTAGCACTAGCTGATGGATACATTGGGAACTCGTTCTGTAGTTGTACGTGTTGCCTAAACGTACATGAGGCTTCAGTTATGAATATTTGGTTTTGATGTGATGTAAAATCTGCTTCACAGATGGCATTACTGGAGGTAACGACAATGCATAGATGCATAGTGAGGATTTGTGTGCTAATAATATGTGTTGATGATGATTCCATTCGATTCTTGTCTCAATTACACTTACTTGAGATTCAAAGATAGAAATTAGTGGCGCATCCACTTTTTCTTATTTGTTCTGGAAATTACATATGCAAATTTGATGAATTTCAAAATTGAGAGAGATAAGAAATAATTATATTCACTGTACAGTCGAATTACAAGTCATATACATGCTAACAGTAATTACACACAACGCGGACGCGATGGTGACTTCCCGTAATTCTCTTCAAAGTTTTTGAAAACACAAAAAAACGTAAAAAATCGTAATTTATAACTTTGAACATAGAACTTCAGAAAGGACAGCATAAAAATATACCCGTCAGGTATAGCTAATAGATATGCTTCATTGGCGGCATATTCAGTAATGATTGTCTCATTCAGCAAATATCACTGATTTCATACACATGCAGACCAATACACACAATCATCCAGATGCGATCTCGCTATTCAACCAACTTTCTTCTCGGAGATGAAAATTATAGACTACTCGGCTTCACAAAACGTGAAGTTGAGCCATTCCTCCATAGATGGTTGCTCACAACGATCCCAGTGAGCAAACGTGGACTGACTGAAACTACCTAGTCTGCAAGATGACATTTATAGGTTTTTTACGTTTTATAGGTGCCAATTTCGTACATACATGTATACTGTGTTTTTTGCCTTTAAATGGTAATCATGCTTGTGTCTGGACCATAGAAATGATAGTCGGCAATTACAGAAGTTAGTGCAGATAGTAATCATGATGATAATGTTATTATTTATTTCATAAATTAAAATCATGACAACGTATTTTATAAAAAAATTAATGTTGAGCCATTTTAACGTGCTGAGCATTTGATTGATTAGCCTTTATTTATTTTTACGTAGTATTATTATCATACATTCATTTTGTAAAGTTTGTAATCTTTGGAAAACGGAATCATTAGCCAGATATAAAACGTTTGCACTATACCAAAAATTTTGGCAGTACAATTGTATTATACATGATTTTAATCCCCCATGCCTGTTTGGCCAATAACACCAAATGTATTAACAGAATTTTCTTTATTGAAAACGGTTCAGTCACAAAGGTGATTCTCAGTACAATGACTATATATTTAATTGTATTTTCAAGTTTCATGTTACATTAATAAATGATTTTCTTACTGTATAGTGTTAAACTCTAGAAAATACGTATATGCCTACTTTACTACTAACTCTACTGATATTTTTTTCATAATGTAGTTCATAATTAAAACTATTGTCAAATATTATGCCAAGGTATCTAAAAGAACCTACCAAATCAATGTTTTTGCCACTACTTACGTATAAATTTTATGAATAGCTTTTGTTTTGTCTGTGTTCAATTTTAATTTGTTAGATATTAGCCATTCTAATACATGTTTTAAATCACTATTTGTGACATTGTCAGGTTGATACTGGGTGTTTCAAAGTATTTATGAAATTAATATGAAACCTCATTGTTTGTTTTACATATAGGAAAATGCCTAAATCACACTATACAATGAAATTAGGTTTAGAGTAGTGAAACGTACCTCATTACTTCTTAATCGAGGTATGTAATTTTATATTTCCGTGTACATTCTTAATGTTTATTTTTTTTTGTTACAGGTTTTGGTTTTACTGGGGACTTGAACGCAGACTATGTCAACTTCTATCGAGGTTACACGTTTCTAGACGTAATCATTACCGTCTGCCTAAACTACGCTAGAACATTCCACCCTTTCATGGACGAATCTTCTATCATGGTAGACGAAATCAACAATAATCTTAAGATCCAGCTAGAAAGCCTCGAGATCCTTGACATAATCATCCGAAAACTCATTTCCATGGTTGCAGAGAACTCTAAAGGGTTGTGTAGCTATATTGGTGATCTGTTGCTGAAATGCAAATTACAGAAGATTCTGTTGAACTGTCTGTTGACTTCGGTGAGAAATTTCGATGAAGAGATGACTTTTGCCGAGGAGATATTGGCGTTCAATAAGTTTCAACTGTCAGATAATTCTGGTGGGTTTGGGGAGCAAGTGGAGGCATTCCAAATGCAAATTCTGAGGTAAGTATATTAGACTCAACGATTTCGAATAGATTAAGAGCCAAGCTTACATTGCATTGTTTGTCACCAATTTGCCTACCATTGCCTACTAAAGTAACAATCCAGTACATCGACGTACATTCTTTTCCCTGGAAAGGATATTCCTGTAGTCATTCGTATTGGGCGTACTCACGTAGAGCAAGGCAGAAATACTATCTGTGTTGCGATGTAAATCGCTCAGTTATTGTTAATAAACAGGGATAAATTAAATAAAGCAAAGAACCGAAAGTAAATATTTATTAACGGTACCGCATATGAACAATTCTGCTTAACTCATGATTATGCAAGGTGAACAATATGTAACATTATCTCCATCAATCAGGAACAGTCACGGAATACTTGATATTGAAAATAGTGGGACACCTTGCATAAGTTCTACTCGGTTCTTCTAAATATGTAGTTGTTGTGATCCTAGAAGATTCTTGTTTGTTGAACATATTACTTAAAACTTGTTGAAGTTCTACAAAAATAGCTCATCAAAATAATGAATAATAAAGATTATACTTACCCCAGTAATCAATTATATTCTGAATCCAAAATCTTGGATATTCGTCAAACATATCTACTCGCGCTCCTACAATACCAACAAAGCCACTTACACAAAGATATATCAGTTTCCTTACTTTTTATACAGGGTGGTCCATAAGTCCTTTGAAATTTCAAATTTGAATAAAATTTAACGGGTGAGCGTGAGCGGCGCGGGCGAGGTGGGGGCAGTATCTTCAGTGTCTGGGAATTCAGTCGCCATGGAGTGTTTCACTGGAGCGGATCGTGCTTTTTGTGTGCGCGCGTTTTTTCAAAATAATGATTCGGCAACCATTGCGCGGCGTAAATATCGAGAATACCACAATTTACACAATTTTACAAAGTGTCCAACAGCTCAAACGATTAAGAACTGGGTTGCTAAGTTCGAAGAGACTGGTTCGACGTTAGATAAACAGCGGTGGGGTCGACCAAGGACAACTCGTATTGAAGAAAGCATCAACATTGTGGCACAGTCTGTTCGTCAAAATCCTACCCAGTCTACTCCTAAGCGTTCCAGTGCACTAAACGTACCCAGAACATCTTTACAGCTGATTTTAAGGAAAGATTTACGTCTGCACGCTTACAAAATTCAGTTAGTGCAGGAATTAACAGATAATGATGCTATTCAGAGACTAAACTTTGCGAATGAAATGTTGAATCGATTTTCTTCGCTCAATAATGTGTTGTTCTCGGACGAGGCTCACTTCCATTTAAACGGGCATGTAAATAAACAAAATTGCCGTTATTGGAGCCCCGAAAATCCAAGGCGTAAGCATCAGAAGCCCTTACACAGCCCTAAAGTTACAGTTTGGGCTGCTATGTCAGCGCATGGCATCGTAGGCCCTTATTTTTTTGAGGACGACAGAGGTCGCGCATTAACTGTTACTTCGGAGCGGTATGTAGCAATGATAGAGGAGTTTTTGACAACAGCGTTGCAGAATTTTCCAGGCTATAATACGCAGACCTGGTTTCAACAGGACGGAGCAACTGCCCACACCTCCAACACTTCTATGTCCGTCGTCTGTCAACTTTTTCCCAGCAAAGTAATTTCTCGAAGAGGAGACATTTCCTGGCCACCACGTAGTCCAGACTTGACCCCAATGGACTTCTTTTTATGGGGCTACCTCAAGAGTAAAGTGTACGACACCACTCCGCGATCAGTTGATGTCCTGAAAGAAAATATCCGAAGAGAAATAGCAAGCATTACAGTGTTGACTTGCCGCGCAGTCATCGACAATTTTAGACGTCGTTTATATGAGTGCCGTGATCGTAATGGATTGCATTTAGACGATGTGATTTTTAAAACATAATTCCCATTCAATAAAGATGATAACAAAATATAATGATTCTTCATAATGTAACTAGTTTGGTTTTATTCCTTTTTTTCCAGCTCAAAGGACTTATGGGCCACCCTGTACATCTGTATTCATTTTTTTGTTTTTTTTTTTTATTATGTACATTTAACTCTCCTGCTTCCGTGTAAATATTTTGATTTAAATGTATCATCTTCATCAGTTATTATTTTAAATTGTATTAATTTTTTGAGTATGCATAATGCATCTCAATAGTGTACAAGTTTAACTTCAATGCCGCGCGCAAGCTTTTGGCTTCAGTGGATATTGTATGTTTATTTGTAGTTGATTGCAAGTATAGTCATATTACTGTATTACTGACACGACGAGGATGTAGTGGTCCTTGATCCATGACACGAGGATTCTCTAATGCACAGATACGACAATTCTGGTTATTAATAAATCCGTTCATATCGTAGTGGGCGTCATCGCTCATTATCAGTTGTCGGTAAAAATCGTTATTTTGGGTATTAAGCTGCAATATTGCATGGCTGTATTGTCGGCGACTTTCATGGTCACTAGGCTGTAGTTCTTGGGTTAACTGAATTTTGTATCACCGCAAATGCAAGTTTTTTTTTTAAATAGTGCATAATGACGTACGACTAATACCCAGATCTTGAGAACGATGTCTGGTAGATGTCTAAGGGCGCTTCACTACACTCACGATTTCTTTCGACATTTTCCGGAGTACGAACAGCTCAAACCTTGGCAAGTCTTTAACTTCACCTGTTTGTTCAAATTTTCGCACCAACTGACGAATGGTGTTGACACTGGGCACATTATTTCGACCCAAATCTTGTCGTAGCTTCCGCATCGTTGCAATAATCGACTCATTATTTAAGTAAAACGTTTTAACATTAAGGACGCGTTGTGGGATCGTGTAGCGCTCCATGATGAATTGGACATGGACACATGTGCTTTACACAACTACTAAGGCTCCACCTACTGAAATGCGTGTATCAAAAATGACGCGCAATTCAAATCAGTCAATTATATATTGGCCACCCTGTACTTTCAAATAAGGCAAAGTAACTGCTTAAGGCTGTGCTTTTCCCTGCTTAAGGCTGTGCTTTTCCCTACATTGTAACTAATTGTCCTCATAATCGTTGAAGTTGAAAAAGCAATTGGTCTAAATGATAAGTAAAACCTAATTTATTGAATTTACATGAGGTCATTTTATTTTCATTACAGGGTGATACACTCTCTCATCATCCTGGAACATTCCGTCTTCACTCCAAAACCACCTCCAGAAGGTAGTAGCACAACCACAACAGCGACCAATGAGCAAATCAACTCATCAGTAGTGCTGATACCACAACAGCAGATCTTTTTATCAGCCATCATGAGCGCTTTGAGACATTCTAACATGAAGCACATCCATGAAAAATGGCTCAACATGGTCACGTCTTGCTTGCCGTACTTTGGAGACAGTCTAAAGCAAATTACTATCAGTGTTATACATCAGATTTGCAGTAATATTGAAGAGATTGCTAGTAGTTATAAAAAAGTTGACTTAGAAGGTTAGTAGAGAATGTGTAAGCAATGATTAACGAAATCTCTAAGAGGATGACCAACTCTATATTGTATTTGACACTCTAGTCTCCTTTTGCAGAAAATTGTCTATTCTTTGACATCCCTTCTAAAGAAGGATCACCCTTCAACCTCCCTCGTATTTGAACACTCTGCTTTTGTCCGTCCGACCACAGACTGCCAACCATGAACAGCTGTTTTTTGCTTTTTGCAACTCATCAGCATAGTCTAGGGTTGGTCTCAGGTGGGCAAGGAACAAAAGCACAACAACTATCCTCTACCAGAGATATAAGATCTATTGTCAGATTGCTATGTTGTCTTTTTTCTATAGATCTCATACCTCGGATAGAGGAAAGTTGCTTTGCTTTCGTTTGTGGTCCACCTGGCTAGACCATGCTGACGAGTTTCCAGAAAGTATGAATCAGCTGTCCTTGGTTGGCTGTCTGTGGTTGAACGGACGAAAGTAGCTTGTTTGATTCTTGAATAGCGAATAGACCACATCTACTACACCGCCAGCATCGTCAACTTCTAGCGGTTACACTTTTTTCGATAGATCTCATACCTCAAATAGAAGGTAGTTGCTATGCTTTCGTTCATTGTCCCCCTGAGATCAAGCCTAGATTAGTCGTCAAAAAGCACGAAGCAGCTGTCCATAGTTGGCTGCCTGTGGTCGGATGGACGAAAGCAGTATGTTTAGTTCTTTAGTGGCGAGTAGACTACATCTACTATCGTCAAGCGGTCAAGCGCGGATCCAGGGTGAATCTAATTTGAGCACTAATATTTATGACTTTCGAATCTCTTTGATAAATTTAAAGCACTTTTTTATGAATAAATATGTACAAACATTTTTTTTCAACATTAGTTTAGTGCAGTTTCGTGTCAGAAGAGGATTAGCTTGTGTTCATCAAGTATTGTGGAATAAGTTGAGTGATTTTAGGACCATGCCGCGTGCTCCAGAAATTTCTTTCGATGTGAAAACTAAGATCATTGAGTTATACAAAGATGGTCAACGTCAGGTCGACATTGCCAAAAATTTGAAGCTGAAGCGTAAAGCAGTTTGGGCAATATTGAACAAATATATACAAAAAGGTATCTTGGAAGCCTCTAAGAGAAGTGGTCGGCCTAGAAAACTAAATGCTAGATCTGTTAGATTAATAAGAATAATTTCGTCCAAAGATCCGTTTAAAACCCCAAGACAAAAAAAGCCGAAATCGAGACAAAAGGAATCGTCAGTGTTTCGACGAAAACTATAAAAGTATAATATTAAATGATTTGAAGTTATTTGCACGTCGCCCGAGTAAAAAGCCGCTCGAGGAACAACCGTAAGGACCGATTATAATTTGCACGGTTGCATCTAGATTGGAGCATCTGTGACTGGAAAAGGGTATGTTTCAGTGACGAATCCAAGTTCAATATGTTTGGATCAGATGGTGTTCATTACTAGTGGACAAAGATTGAACCCCAAGAACACTTTGCCCATTGTCAAACATGGAGGCGAGTCTGTTATGGTTTGGGGGTGCTTTTTGGGGTTTGGGATGGGACATTTACATAGAATAGATGGCATTATGGATAAGTTTGTATACACAGGTATACTAAAGCATGTCATGTTACCCTATATGGAAGACAATATGCCCTTAAAATCAATCTTCCAGCAAGATAATGACCCGAAGCACACTTCAAATCTCGCAAAGAAATTCTTTCTGGATGAAAAAATACCAGTTCTCAAATGGCCTTCACAGACTCCCGATATAAACCCCATTGAAAATCTATGGGAATACTTAGATAAGCAAATACGAGATAAAAATTAATCAAACAAGGATGAACTTTTTGCCGCTTTAGAGCAAAAGTCGAAACAGATTGATGAATCGTATATCAAGAAACTTCTACAATCTATGCCGAGACGATGCCAGGCGGTGATTGATAATAATGGTTAACTTTGCTTCTTTTTTCTATAATTGTTTTGCTTTGTCCATATATTTTTGTCCTTCATAGTTCCAGTTTTTTCAATTAATTTTTTATTGAAGGGAGTCTAATGAATTTATTTATGTATAAGTGAGTATTATGCTATAAAGAATTATGTATTCAGGTTGGTGTATTAATAAAACAAGTTAAAAAAGGAATCCAGCACAACATTAATTTGTCTATATACTTTTGTCCATTACTGTATATACATAATAATCCGGTTTTCAGTATAAAAAAACGCGTTTCATTGTCAGGTTTCTCCTAAACGGTGATCAACTTTAACCACAGAGTCATATATGGGTTAAACAGAAAGTTTTAGTTAAACTGAAACATCTAACATTTTGCTTAAAATATGACTGGAAATAGAAATACCAAGCATCATAAAACACTTATAAAACGTCAGAAACAACGTCGCCGCATTAATTACCCCGGTCGAAAAAACGGTGAAGAAAAAACATTTTCCACAGGAACATTGATGAATTAGCTTATTTTTTCAGGTGAGCTGTGCTCAGACTACGCTGTAACCCAACTGGAATCTCTAACCGTTCTCTGTCACTACTGTCTTCTGGACTCATCGCAAACTGTCAACCAAAACGTACCTGTTAATCCCAGCACGCCTGTATCCAATCCTGGAGAAATTATCAACAACTTGTTTAACGTCTTTTTGCCGCCATTGAGTTCTGGAAGTATGGCTAACAAGCAAAATTTTGATAATTACCAAAGTGCGAGAAAAGCGATTTTAAGGTATGTTTTTGTGGAATAAAAAAATGCAATAATGAATAAATGAAGGTGGGTATTTTTTGATCACTAAATTCTGTGACAAATTCTAATGGATGACCCTACGGTATCTCGCTTTATTTCGGATTTTTTTTTTCTTTTGACGGGAGAATTTAGCATTATGTTAGGTATCTTCAGATAGAATACGTTAATCAATGATGTTGGCTATTTTAGGCGTGTTCTGATTTTTAGTTATAAAAAAACTTTAGGCACATTGCCAAGGAATAAAAAATTTTCATATGCCTTTATTTTGAAATATAAATTAACCTGCATTTCAAAATGTTTTTCAGTCACATGCCGAGAATAATCTCCAGCATTGCTAAGCTGTGGCAGACAATTATAGACTTGGAGAGTGACTACAACGGCTTATATGGCAATTCGAAGACAGTAAAGCAACAGTTGTTGGAGTTTCTCAGTCCTATTTCTGTGCATCACAGTACTAGCTTTTTGGCAGCAATTGCTGTCGCTTGGTATGAAAGGAGGAATCTCTTTAGTAGTGTTAAGACAGTAAGTTTTTTAATATAACTTTGAACATAAATTGTAATGGATCGCGCACATGATACCTGACATTTTGGAGATCAATTTAATTTTCTGAAAATATGCCACGTTGTTCATTTTACTCCCTTCGCCACTGGCGTGCACAAATGTCGCATTCACTTAAATACTTTTTCCGTTGATTGAATTTTTCCAAAATCTTTGAGATCACTGGCAGCACGGTGATTGGTCTTAAATGACTTGAAGCTTTTGGATTATGTAATAACTATCTTTTATAAATGAGTTGTATTTATGTAATGAGTGTGGAGAAACAATAGGAATACAGAGCTGTAACGTATGTAAATTTCATTTAATTTCGCAAAACAGAGGCAGTTTGGATTTCAGTTTATTCTGTGAATAGAATAATACTAAACAGTAGATTTGTTCACAATGAACCAATTACATCAACCGACTGCAAAAATTACTTGTTTGAATCATTAAAACATTTAGGAAGAGTATTCCTGCATTTACGGTAAACATTGAATTTCTGCAGAGTGGCCCATATTTTATTATTGCTACCTGTGCCTCACATACTTAAGAATATGTGACCAAGTTTTGGATAACTGAGCGATGTGTGCGGTAGGGCGCTAGTAGTTCGCAATGTTGTCAAATCTGTGAGAACTAGTTGTATGAGCCTGTTTGGCTAACATGATCCATTTCATTCCTTCATTGTACACGTGCATAGTCAACGTTGCCTAAGAGGGTCTATCTTGTGCCGAATATAATCGTGTATGAATTAATGACACCGTTTATATAGGATGTGCAGAGTCAACCTACTTGACTCCATTTTTTAGTTTCAAGAATAAAAAATGTTATATTCAAATGGTTTCCAAAATCCCAGTTATCGTATGTGTGATTATTTGGTTATATTTAATTTAACGTTTTAAATTTTGTTTTAGGTGCTTCCAGAACCGAATGCTGGCCAGACGAACCTAGTGGCACTGATATTAGCTATAAGAGTCATTCCATTAGATAATTTAGTACAAACTGTAACCGCTGTGATAAAAAGCCCTCCACCAATTGAAGGGCTCAGTGCTGACCTATGTCTGGATGTCTCTGTCTTGGAACTGTTTTATTGGTAAACATTTATTTCTTTTGTCTATATTTATAGATACAGACAGTATAGTAGCATGCCTCATTTCACGAAATTATTTGTATATAAACGATTTGACACAAATCACATTTTTTCAATTTTCACATTCCTAAAGCGTATCCAAATCAAAGATAGATTAAAAGGTAATAAACACGTTCGCTCAGCGACAGGTGGATAGGGAAGCGCGCATTGGTGAATTCGATACCCATTCCTTGATCCGTCTCGATCAGTACCAGCACAGAGAGATTCGCGTGACGTTTATCGTGCTCTGTTGCAAAAATCCAAATAATCCTTTTACGCATTACCTGCATTTATCCTAAAAAACTGAAAAACTAATGCATTTCAGTCGTAATTATGAACATATTTTAATAAGGAATATTGACATCCTTCAGTCATCACAAGATTCCACTCTATCTTGGAATTGCATTCCTTGATTAAAGTATTCTACCCGAAGCCTAATACTATATTCCCACGTCTAAAAAATTATCCAAGATAAAATGAGATACCGTAGCGTCATCTAGGAGAATTTATCACTGCTCAGTTTCTCCTCTCAGCACTAATTAGAAATCTACTTTGAAAAGATTAGTGTCTCATAGATAGCGCTATAGCTAAATATTTGCTTTAACTAATATAGAGTTGGCTACAGCGCCAACTATGAGACCTTTCCAAAGTAGATGTCTATTATATGCGAGAGGAGAAACATAGCTGTGACAAATTATCATAGATGACGCTACGGTATCTCATTTCATCTCTGATAATCTTTTGGATGTATTAAGTATATATAATATTAAGTTGGCTGTATTCAGGTAGTTAATCAATGTTGGTCTTTTCTTAACTACATCAACGTCAAGAAAATTATTTTTTTCAGTTATATGAGGAACGCTTCGGCAACACAGCTTTCAGAAGCATGGGGTTCAATCCTAGGGTTGATTAGAGAAGGTTGTTCTCTATCTCCTCCTGCTCAGTTTTTGCTTGCAGCTCTCCTACATGAAATCATGATTAAGTGTTGTCCTTTAGAAGATAGAAAAGATCAGAAGGATCTGCAAGATGTTACTGCAAAGGTAAGAATGTATAAAGATCGATTAAAGAAAATTGTGTGTCATAGTACATAAGCTTATTTTCGTGCGGGTACGGCTTTCAATTAGGTATCTTCTGGGATGTATATTGATCAATGTTGATTCATAGTACCAATTTTGTCTTTAACAGTAACTATTGCTGTCATCTGGGTTGCTATTTTTCATGTAAGAGCTGTACCATTTGTTTTGGTCGCATAACTTATTTGCTTTTAAGAAAAAAGGGGGTACACGGAACTATAATACAGAATATCGCGAAAGCTAGTGAATTATCCTATGATTACTTTCAACATTTGCTTAATGGGTTGTTTTTACAGTTGATAGATTGTGTGTCCCAAGTATGCGGGTCTTGTCTAGAACAAACCACGTGGTTGAGGAGAAATTTTGCAGTTAAGGAGCAAGAAGAAGATACCATTTCTGAGCCAAGTATAATCAGTGGTAGTAACAGCGAAATATTCGTTAACTCCAACTATAGTGTCCAAGCACAATTGGTATGTAAATACTTTTACTGTAAAAATTACGATGTTTTATCCTTGAATGCCTGCTGGAATAAACGTAAATATCGAAGTGAAGCATTGATTCTGCTTTTTATACCTGCTGTCACCAAACTAACTATTTGGGTCTGCACACATAGCAAATGGCAGGAAATAATTTTTTCTTTGTTATTTTATTGTTTTTCCAATACCCGTCTTAAAATTAATATATATATATATATATATATATATATATATATATATATATATATATATATATATATATATATATATTACAAAAGCAACACACAGTGCAAACGATAACATAAATCACAAAAATAAAATTTTAGTATCATATGCGAGAATGTTTCATGCGAATCCGGTGTCGAAACGAGAACACTAATTTGCAGAAGCATTCGACATTTTTCTGCGACAAATATCGAACGCAAGATTTGAGAAAACCTCCCTGAGTGACTCCAGTATCTTAAATCAATAGATTTAGAATTTTTTTTAATTATATATTCGAGGACTGTAGCTACACTCCGTTACAAAATGATTTACAAAGATTACAATTGATTTGACGAAGTCTAACCGGGTATTGAACAATAGAACAAGTGTGCAAGATCTATTTATACTCTAGGTTATGCTTACAATGCATCTCTAGGCTCAGGAACACGTGGCTTTCGGCTGAAGATGTATTGTAAGTATAACAGTATATAAAAGGGAAGTTATGATTGCTGAAGAAGGGTGATGCAACATTGTATCAACTGCGTAGTTACTAACAGTTTATAACAGAGTATGTTCTTGTATTTTTTCAGGTTCTTTCCGAAATCCTATCTCCAATTCTGGACATCTGTTTTGGTTCCTCAGAAAAAGATAAAGTGAACAATATCCTAACATCCCTCATGTGCAATATCGTACCTTACCTTAAAACACATACAGCTAAAAACATGCCCAGCTTTAGCGCCTGTTCTAAACTGTTATCCAGTCTAAGTAGTTACCAGTACACGAGGAAAGCTTGGAAAAAGGACGTTTTTGATCTGTTGCTGGACAATCAGCTGTTCCAAATGGACTATGCATGTCTGAAGTTCTGGAGGGTGATAGTAGATAATCTGATGACACATGACAATACTACGTTCAGAGATCTTATGAGTAAGTGTTTTTAAGAAGGAAAAAATGCGTCGCTTTTCAGTTAATTTATAGATTTGTTCATACCTTGAACCTTCACTAAGATGCCTCGATGTTTTAGAAAGTCCATAGCTATTTGCCCTTCCAGTTTTCCTTATTTCTGTACATTCTTGAATCGCTACTCATGAGAGATTATCAAGTCTGCCTTTACCCCCAGTGAACATGAGTATGGAGGGGTAAACGCCATGATAGAGTTTTTAGTGCAACAAAAATAACGAATCTTTGAGCCTTCCGTTACGATATTTTTAACAGTGATATCAAATAAGGATGATTAGGAAACAAGAGTTTTTATAACCGGTAAAGTGAACCGTGGTAATTTGAAACTACTACTACTGACACTTATAACACTTTTTCGATTTAGACGTGAAGCTAACCCCAAAATTTGTAAACCATATTTAATTTAAAAGGTTCTGTAATATTTGTGTCCAAACCAGACAAGAAACAGTTTTAGTATCATATAACCACAGAATTAAAAGTGACCACAAAAGCAGCAGAACTACAATAAAATGCTTCATTGCTTCATTGCATATATAACTAAAACCAGGACAATTCATTTTTTACAACATTATATACTTCTTGCATCTATTGTTATGCGTAATCTAAAACTCATATCTCTATTATATTTCAACCAATATATTTTTATAACCTGAAATTATTTTAATTTAGCTTACTCGGCTTTACGAATTCTGGCAACATACATCTATATATGCAAGTCATTGAAACATTTAAAAGGGCAGTATCAGCTGTGTCTCGACTATATATTGGTAATATTGTCTGCAATGTATAAACATAGTACTGGTCAGAATTCCTCATCAGAAGGAATACAAAATGAGGCAAGAATGACTGACGAAATTGTACGCATAGCGGCAACTTCCATTACTAATGTTACAGTAAGCAGGATTCTGATGATTTGTCAATATAACAGCACTACATCAAAAAAAGGAAATGTCAAAAAGTATGACCGTGCTAGAAAAATGTTGCCCGTTTAGAAGCGCTATTAAGTAGAAATGTTTAAAGTGAAAGTCAGAGATAATAGGAAGGTAACTTTTCAGAAACTCGAGAGTTTCTTTTCTATCATTGACAGTTCCTGATTACCTCATTCCTTTTTTTAGATCGTGTATCAATGAACCAAAGCGGCAGTTTAAGCATATTCTCGTCGAGAGAACAAGAATATGAGCAGAAAGCGCAGTTACTGAAACGATTAGCGTATGTAATATTTTGCAGTGAGATGGACCAGTATGCGAAGTATATGCCAGATATTCAAGGTAATTTTTAATACATGTCTGACTGATTTGTTTCTCTAATAGCATGTATAAAGACTTAAAAAGGCTGTGAGAATGTCCTTTGCATGTGACTTAAATATACTTTTTTTTTATTTACAGTCTATAGTGCTACATAGTGACGCATTCATCCTTAGTTTATACCTTAGCGCTATAACATTACGAGTATTGATTAATAAAAAATGGACAAAATTAGCGACTTGTCGACCAGCCAACCGTTTGTTGATAGGTTACTCCGATTTATAATGGACGACGTTTGTTCGTTGACTGTTAACCTGTCAGTTTGATGTATGAGCTTTTCAATATACCGTATTTTTAACGAGTATCCATTACGATAGAATAACAGCTGATTATCCAGTAATATTGCAAAATTTTCCATAACAAGTGACGCAATTCTGACGAATCCGTCAACACCAGGTAACAGATGTCGGACAATTAACCAGAAACTCGTGTCTATATTATTTTTACATGTATAATTACAGCTTTTGGAAACGTTAACACAGTCCTACTTAGACTTACCTCGTAATCAATAAATCTTAGATATACTACGCGCTGTACATATCAAATTATATTGATATGTACAGCGCATTTTTAATTGCGGATTGGTCCCCAATTCGTGAAATGAATGATGTTAATGAAGCATGTGATTATTGTTATTCAATCATAAGAGCAATTTTCGAGAACAATGTTCCTAAATATAAAATGAATCCTCGTTCATATCCTCCTTGGTTTACAAAGAAAATTATTTCAAATATAAGAGAAAAGCATAGGTTCAGGAAAAAGTACAAAGCAATCCAGTCAAGCCACTGTTACTTGAAATTCAAAGAATTTCGAGCTATGATCAAAAATCAAATTATAGTCTCCTATTCAGCTTACATTCAAAATGCTGAGGATAGAATCAATAAGGATCTCACTAATTTTTGGTCATTTGTAAATGCAAAAAAGAAAAAATCCAGAATTCCAGGGAATATCACGTTTAATGAAAACACTTGTACCTCGCCACAGGACGTTGATGCTTTTGCAAAAAAATTTTCAACTGTGTTTATAAATTCTGATACTTCTAATTCTGAGTTCATGACTTCAAATTTAACTAGTATGAATATATCTCTGAACATGCTTCCAGAAAGTTGAAGAATAAAATGACCTGTATTTAAAAGTGGCGATAGAAGTAATATTTGTGACTATAGGCAGATTGTGATACTAAGATTTTTGAAGTTATTATTTATAATACCATTTTCATCTCTGTCAAATGTACTTTTTCTGCTAACCAGTACCAGTTTTGTTGCTGGCAGATCAACAGTCACAAATCTGACCTGCCTAACTCAAACTATCTCTGAGGTATTAGATGATCAGGGTCAGTTGGATGTCATTTATACCGACATTCAAAAGGCCTTCGATCAGATAGATTATTACTTGCTTTTTGCTAAGCGTGAATTGATTGGTTTGTCTAAATCTTTATTGAAGCTTATCAGATCATATTTATTTGATAGAAATCTCTACGTTGAGTTTGGTGGTTTTAAATCTAAGTCTTATACAGCAACTTCGGGAGAGCCCCAAGGATCCAATTTGGGCCTTTTGTTTTTTGTGTTGTTTATCAATGATCTGTCGGTGGAATTGCCTGGTATGCATTTACTTTATGCTCATGACCTAAAAATGTATACTGCTATTCAGATCTATCTCTCTTTAAAACAGCTTGAACTTGGTACATTCTTGGTGTTCCAGAAACTCTCCCACGATTAATGTATTGAAGTTCAAAGATTTGGGTGTTGTATTCGATGCCAAGCTGTCATTCAATGATCACATCACTCAAATGGTGAATTCAGCGTTTAAGATGCTAGGCTTTTTTTAAACAATTGGTCAGGATTTTCTAGCATAGCAACTCTAAAGCTTTTATATTTTACATTTATTAGAAGTAAGCTGGAATACGCTTCATTAATTTGGTCTCCAATCTACAACAATTCAAGGGTTAGTATTGAATATGTGCACCGTAAGGCTTTAAAGTATTTGTATTACAAATGATATGGCAATTATCCTGAAAGAGGTTTCGACCATTCTATTTTATAAACATCTTTGATATAGAGTCATTGCATCTTAGACGCGATATATCTGCGCTACATCTTTTGTACAAAATCATACACAATCAAGTTGATTATTCATTCATATTAAGTAAGCTTAATTTTCGTGTGCCTAGGTTGGGAAATCGTGTTCAAATCACTTTCTATCCGGTTATTGGTAATACTAATGTAATGTCTAGATCTCCGGTAAATATGATGTGTACATGTTTATGTTTCAATTCTGTTTGCAGTTCCTGTGACTTATTTTTTGATAGTGAGAACTTTGTTATGAAGTGCTACAGAGACTAGTATCTTTGTCAGTGAGAGTTAGCTTTTTCTTTTTCTTTTTGTCTTCAACGTTACCGCTGTTGCTAATTATGTAACTTTTTCTTATATTTTTCATGTAATTTTGTGTTACCTGTTGGGAATAGATAAATCATAATTATCTAATAAACATTTTTCTACGCGTACTTCGTATATTTTATTGTTAAAATTCCCAGTCACTGAAAGTATCTAGATATGTGAACAACAGCTCTGAATACGTTTCGGAGTTTTACCCGATTTACGCCTGATTCATTATTGCCACAACGTTACAGACTAATATCAGTTGCTGATCAGCTTTTCACCTCAATGTATGTCAAAACGTAAGGGTTACTCGTGAAATAATGTGTAATTTATAGCAATAAACGTAACCTCTAATTCCTTTGTAAAACTCACCAGGAACTTAACCAAAATAATCATTCCGCAAATCATGAGTCATGAACTCACTGCAAAGCGCGCCAAAAATGGGGCATTTAAATCTACCTCTTTGGAGTTTTGAATATTTAATTAATAATAAATACAGACAATTCCATGACTGAAACATGTGTGTGCGGTGTTATATTAACGTAAATAATATACAGAAAATGCATAAAAAATCACACATTCCCCCTATTGTTATTTTTTACAGAACAATTGACGAGCAGCTTACGCTTGAGCGTACCAAATGTCCAGGCGCAAGTATTCTTGTGTTTCCGAATTATTTTGATTAGAATGAGTCCCCTACACGTGACATCATTGTGGCCAATCATAATCAGCGAAATGCTGCAAGTGTTCCTACAAATAGAACAGGAGCTCTCCACAGATACTGAGGAATTCAGGTACTGTATTTCTCACTTTTTCTTAGCATGACTATATTTGTGGGAACATATGAGATACCACAGTGGATTTTGGTATTATTCCCAAACAATAATTTGACTTTGCAAATGTTTAGTATAATCAGTTGTAATAGTGATGCGACTTAACAGCAACCTAGAACGTAGTTTTAACAGATATGCATTTAAGGCCCTGTATTTTGACTAATATTAATTTGTTTTTGAAATGCTGTGGTACTGGATGATACAGAGCGAACAACAGGTAATTTTCCCTTTCACTCTTTAGCATGCATTTAGTAGCTTCCTTTTAGTTATTTTTTATTACCACCATTGGTTTCTAGATGTAGCTGCTAACATTTTTTCACCGTATGTATCTCTGCTTCACGCATAGCATGACCTCACTATGATTATTTTCGAAAAAAGGCGGAGCCGTTGACCCAAAATCTACACCAAACAACTTTTTGTGGGGCAGTAGAATTTTAACCAGATTTCAAGCTGGATTCAGAAAGAAAGAAACACTCAACTGAAACGTCAGTTGCAATGGTTTTAGATGACTAGAGAATATGTATGTACAATAGGAAACAGAGTGGCAGTGTTATTGGACATCAAAAGGGCGATTAAAACCATTGATTGAGGGATAAATTACTGTTGCATAATTGCATCACTATGGATTTAAAGGATCTGTATTCAAAATTTTCAATTAACTGGCAGAAGTCAAAAATTTGAACCTACATTCTACATTATCAAGTTCTAAAAATATTTCTGTTGGTGTACTAGGTTGTAAGCTAGTTTCGAAACTATTTTTTTTCATACATTAATGACATTTCTGATATTTTAAATTATTGTAAAATTCAGATATTTGCAGATGATCATTAATATACATATCAGATGAACATATAGTCACTGCTTTAGAAATACTAAATTCTGACTTAACAAAAACAATAAATCGGTTAAATGTACAAAAATTAATGCTAAAACAAACATGTAAGCTTATAGGGAATTCTTAAATGGGAGTACTATCACAGTTTCTATTAGATATTTGGGTATATATGTATGTTGATAGTAAACTGAAGTTTGAGGATCACATTATGTATTTCAAAAATTGTCTAAAAATAAATTACTTTTATAGGGTTTCTCATAGTCTTAGTGCATACTATAATACAATTATTCTACCTCATTTTTTGTTGTTCAACTAACTTTGTTCACTGCCAATGGAGCTGTATCCTCAAAATTACACAGTCCTCCAAATAAAGCTATGAGAATAATATTAAATAAAAATAAGTAGATACACCAAAATGCAGTTACAACAATTGCAGTGGTTTAATATAAAAAAATTATATATTTGGTTTTTATCTTTATATTTAAAATACAAAATCATCTTTTGCCACAACATTTCATAGAATTGAATAATCATTACCACAATTATTATACAAGAGGAAATATAGATTTCCATTAACAAAATTGCAATAGTAATATAAGAAGCAAATCAATATTTCAGAAGGAATTACTTGAATTTAATAAACTCTTTAATGACATAAAGTCTTCTTGTAATTTAAAGATGTTTAAAAGCAAATTATAGGAACATTTCATGAACAGTGAAAATTCTTAGAGATGCAAGTTTTGTTTTTCTAAATATTTGTATGCTATGTAATTGTTGTAGTTTTCTAAAAGAGTGTTAATTGTAGCAATCATGCTAAATGAATCTTAACGAAACACTCCCAGGCGATCCCAAGAAATCTAAGCAAATCTGAAAATAAAAATTCTGTATTTTCCGTATTTCAAACGTGTTGCTACCACATAAATGAAGGGCTTGGACAATAAGGTATTTAAGCCACATTTACTTTATTTCGTGAAATCTAAAATTGAAGTTTTATGTAAATCCAAAATTCACATTTCTTGCTTAATTGATTGATTGAAATGCTACAATAGGTTTACATTTTAAGTAACAAAGATATGACGATAAAGTCGGAAAAATATGCATTTGCGTCAAATAATTTCATTTTTGAAAATGCTATGGCTCGGTGCCTTATTGAAAAGAAAGGTTGTACTTACTTCAAAGCTAATTTAAGAATGGTTTATTTTATAAACATGTAATTTAGATGTTTATATTTAGACTTGAAACACTTAATTAAATTTGACTAACTCCATTTATAAGTTAAAGTTATTTTTCGTGGCAGATGTGGAGCCAAATGCATTCTGATTTTTCATTATGCCTGTGTCAGGTGCGTTTTCTTATTGTCCAAGCCCTTCAAATATTAAACACTATGCAGATGCTTTGCTTGCTTGAACATAATCTGTATTTTGTAGTTTTTTGTAGCTTTTTTATTTTTTCATTATCTTATTTTTTCCTATTCGTCTATCAGTTCTCACATAAAACTAATGTCATCTCTGGATGCAAGTTGGGCAACCAATAGCAACAATGGACTACATGCACTGGGACACCCTCATTGGTTGAGACTACAGCTGGCCACTGCAAAGTTACTAGATCTGGCACTCCTGCTACCCGCTACTATGTTGCCGCAATTCCAGATGTAAGTGTTCTTATAGATTGATAATACGAGTAATACTAATAATAGTGGTAAAGGTGGAGTTCGCAGGGTATTTGAGGTTAGGGTTACATTTAAAACTGACAATTCTCTTTTGATAATAAACTAAATCGTGTAACCCCCCGCGTAGGGCTCTAAAAGCTTATCAGTCATGGGACAACCCATAGGTTTTACTAATAACTTCTCGGCCTTTGTAACTAGTTGGGGCAAGTTCGCAAACATTTCAGGCCGCGCCTCGCACTGTGATGAAAATTAAATTGTGAATTTCAGACCAACCAAAATGATTTCAGTATACAAAACATCAAAATTATTTTTGGAGTTACAGAATTATTCGAATAGTCAAACCAATAATCAAGCGTTTTTTACTTCTAATGATTTACTTCTTTTCTTTGCTCTATTTCTTCTTTCTTTCTTTCCTTCTTTCTCTTTTCCCCTTGAACATATTTGGTATCTGGGTAGCCAGCCCTGACAGACTAACTAGACCTACGAGACTTTTAACTAAGACCAAAGGTCCATCGAACCGGTCTGATGAACAACGGCGAATAGTTATACGAATAGTGAACAGCTGATCAGCAAGTGACATTTTTGTGTTAGTCTGAGACGTTGGCGATAATGAATTGGGTGTAAATCTAGTAAAACTTGTTTGTAGCGTTTTGTTTTTTTATACAAATGAACTTTTCTAAATGAAAGAGCTTTTAGCAAGTACCAAATGAATCTGTAGCGTACAAAATCCAAAACAAAATATGGCTCTGTCTAGCTGGCATTGACGGATCCGTCAGAATTATGTGTCCTTTGCCGATATGGGCAACTGTGAAATGTTACTAAATAATCAGCTGTCATTCTATCTTAATGGATACTCGTGAAAAAGAGTATGGCAAAGATCCGAATGATAAGATCAACCTCAAATTTGTTGTCCCTCTCCGATTCGGTGTTAACTTATCTGTGATAAAGTTACATCTGACAACAGTGCATATTTACTATATTTTTATGGAAATTTCGCCTGCAACCACAAATCACACAAGTTGAGATGGTTGTTTATTTTACTTCATACCGAAGTTATACGAATAAAAAGGCAAATCCAAAGGTATAATCACATGTATTCCTATTTAGATTGATTGAAAGTGATTTATTCCTTGTACCATTATATTATTTGCAATATTTATCATCAGGTATTCATATGCCTAAAAGGCATCCAACTTGATGAGTAGCTACAAAATATTCATCACACGAGCATTTAATGAGGAACTTGGAAGAATATATATTCCATATCAGTAGTTTTTAATTTTCCAACAACTTGGCAGACAGTCGCCGTAGGTCAAATCATAAAAATGTCATACTGGCAAGTTAGATTACAAAATTGAACTTAACTAGAGGCATTCTTCAATTTAGTTCAACCCCCTCTTCAGGTTCAACTCAAGCTTTAAATCTACCTCTGTTGCTACACGTACATACAATAACTAAAATATATGAAGTACAGTGTGAATTTGGATTGCATTGTAACTGTGAAAAATCAATTGCGAGAGTGTTCACTAAAGTACTTACGAGTGCGTATTGATGAGAATCTTAATTGGAAAGAGCTTGTAAGTTATGTTACAAAGAGAAAATTATTTATTATACTCTTGTTGAATCCTCTATGAACTTGTAAAAGATTCTTGGGATTATTAAAGTTGTTATATTTTATGCTATGACATGGTAATATGGGGTAATGCTATTTCATCCATTCTTTCAAAATGATCAAAAGTAGCACAAAAATGGGAATAAGATATTCTACAGATCTAGTATTCTGACAATAATGTGCTAATGTTATAGTATAGAATTACTGATTAGATCCGGGCTATAAGGACTCGCGACTTCAAAGAAACTATAAAACACGGTGTGAATACTAGGGATAGAGAAAAGGGGGATATCGAGATGCAAAATCCAAAACACGATCGTTGTAGAAACCATATTTATAGTGTAGGTCCTATAATCTTCATTGATCTTAATTTAAAAAATATTCCCTTTTTCTTGCACAAGAGATTTGTTGTAAACGAAATATAAAGAATGGAAAAATATCTAAATAGGCAGAGTTAGGATTTTGAAATTGAATAACAATAAAACGTTACTGCTTACCAAACCAATTTTTATTTCATTTGATAGACCATATATATGCGGATATCTTTTCTTTGAAATTATATCATCGAGATGACCTCCATCACGTCTCACGTACTCGTGGAATCTCGTCATTGCATTTTGCGTGACACGCCGGAGCAAGGCAGGTTCGATGTTCCTAATCTCCTGGCGGATATTTTCTTTGAGCTCAGAGATAGCCGTTGGATTACTGGCGTATACTTTGCTCTTAAGATACCCCCACAGGATAAAATCCATGTGGGACAAATCTGGTGATCGCGGAGGCTATGCGATATCACCAAACCGGGATATTAATTTTCGAAGCTGGTCCAAGGGTCCTATTGCAGTGTGGGCAGTGGCTCCATCTTGCTGAAACCACGTGCGTGAACTATACGTAGGATGTGTAGACATTCAAAATTATTTTCAAAGTGTCTAGTTATAGATGAAGCCGCTATCAACCTGCATTCTTGCACTCTCTTGTGATCTTTATTATTCAGGAACTGCTCAAATGTACGTTGTGACTCTCTGGATCATAACATTATCAATTTTTTTACCATCCTACATTGTCTGGTGTCGGTTTAATGCGAGTTTAATGCAAAAAAAAACAGAAACGATGAAAATACATAACCTAACAATCTTGACACATTGTCATTTTCGTTATCACTACTATATCGGAGCGTATAACACCGAATAAAAGCTGGTGCGTGAGGGGGCAGGGATTTAAAAAATGAGTCGCTCAGGTGCATGACACTCTAGAGTACTGGAACAGAACTGACAGGTGGTGGGTAGCTCCAAATAACACAAATGAGACACTGGAAAGCAGCTCAGAAATTAACATATTTGTCAGCTTATAACATATAGATATCCAACCTAAGTAGCGCAATCTGCTTCTAGCTTTTCAGATTAGCCCCCATTCAAGTATTTTAAGTATATTACTGTTACAACAGGTATCGTTGGGCATTTGTCGGCGATGAGGCCGTCAAACATCACGACCCTTACACCGGACAGCCCTCATTCGTGCCGCACGTTGTCAGGATTGCGGAACTGATGGACAAACGTTACCCAGATGGGCAAATTGACGTTCTACCAATGAAGAGGAACGAATTGTTGCTGGTTACGAACAGCATTTCGCAGCTAAAGGACTTGCACAGCTTCTTCAAGACGCTTAGCACTTGTTCGAATAGACATCGAACAGAATGTACTAGGTTAGTATTGTTGAAAGTATCTTCTTTTAATGTGCTGATCATACTAGAAAATACAATAGATGTAGAACTGATTTCAGTGAGCGGAAATCAACTATGTATACTTGCGGGACTTTTAAGGCCTTACGATCTGTATTCATTGTAGTCCGTGCTAGTAGAGTTCATAGATAACCAATAACATAATTACTGACTTTCAGGCTACAAGGTCAGTAAATAGCACATTCCATGATCAATATTGACGAATCACAGTGGATACTGCTCGTGTGACACTTGCTTTAGGCACTGTTCTCACCAAAACCAACCCGACGGCAACCCGACTTCAACTCCATTTCGACTTCGGTTGCGTTTTCGCAACAGCAACTGGCAATAAACACCCAGTCTCGTTTTAAGATTAGACAGGCTGCCGGAGAACCTTCTAAACGGTTTCAAAGAGTTATAGAAAAGACGTCTGGATCTATAGAAAAAAGTGTTCATTTCGGAGTTAGTCATTTATACTATTTTTACAATTACCAAGTTTTGATCATGCATTCAAGATGGCGGTCATTAGCATCAATACACTGTTGAAGACGACACCTGAATCTCTAAACAGCTCATTTACACTTATCATGGGAAATAGCATTCACTCCCTCAACAATCCGCTCGCCTTGCTCTAATAAGATGCGAAGAGGATGCCTAAGTGCCTTTTCCTTTAGATATCCCCAAAGAAAGAAGTCGCAGATGCTCACAGTTGGTGCCCGCGCAGGTAACCGCGCCTCTCCTTTTAACGTGACCAGACGTCCTGGTTACATTTCTCTCAAAACATTCATTGAATATTAGGCTGTATGCATTGTAGCTCTATATCACAAGTAATCTAATCTCAATCTAAATTTGAAGAGCTCGTTGAAGAAAAGACTTCTTTCTCTGGGAATATGCGCTTATGGATCCTACTCACATCCTACTAAAGCTAGAAAAGCGGATTATCCAAGAAGTGAACGCCATCTCCATACAATATGTGTGTAACCGAGCTGTTCAGAGGTTCAGGAATAGTTTCTAACAAGTTGCTGCCAATGGCCACCATCTTAAAGACATTATTTTCAAAACTTGATAAATCTAAAATCCTATAAATTGCTCACTCCGAATTTAAAAACATGTTTTTCTATAGATCCAGCTGCCTTTTTATAACCCTTCGAAACTACTAAGCTGGTTATGCCGCACACTGTAAATTAAAGCCATTAACTTTGTGCATGTAAATAAAAAGGTGGAATGTAAAGAGTCATTTTTTTCTCAAAACGACTATTTAAAAAATCTTATAAGTAACGTATTTTACAAATACAAATGTGATATCATTGGCGATATTCTTTTATTTACTAAATAACTCCCAATATATAATTTCTGGGAAGAGTAACACTTTGTACCCAAATAGTCTGATGCACACTTGTACACTATTAATTTACTTGTTACAATTCTTGTATCGTCCTTGGCTGGTTTTCACCACTGCTGATTCAACTGAATCACTTCAAGGAACACAGAAACACGATACAGAAGTATTTTTATCTGATTATAACTTAATTTCTTGAGGATACGACAGAATGTTGACTGAAGTGTCACAGTGATATCCATAGATGATATACGAATATATGATATGTGATCACCTGGGCTGCGTTCATAAATTATTATAGTGTACTTTGTACTACTCTGTAAGAATTTTAGCGTACATAATTATTGTTTGACGTATCTATTCCATGCGTTCGGAAATAGAATAAAGTAATCCTTCTGGATCGTTAAAGGTGCGCTTTTCTTCCCGTGCTCAAAACCTAAGTAACATTGCCGTCTTTTATTGCCGTCTTGTATTGAATACATGTCCAGTCGGGTAGCCGTCAGGTTGTGGTTGCCAGTTGCTCTTGGTGAGAACGGTCCCTCAGAGTTTTGCTGTCTTTTTATATTTCATATGAATTTGTCTGTTAACAGGTCGCTGACATGTGACTATGGTTATTCTGAAAGGACTCCTGACAAAGCTTTAGACGTCGTACTGGAAAAAATAGATAAAGTGATTGAAATGGATTTCCTCGACAGAATAGTCAAGTGATAGAGTTAGAATGGAGTCTTTGAAGAATTTTAGTTCAAGACATAGAAGTTTTAACCAAACCAAAAAATATGGAGTTTTTCATATGAATTGGCTGAGACTTAGAGGAATGTTGTCAAAAACAACTGTTGAAATTGAAGATTTGAAACTATCAATCAAAATTGGTATTTGAGTACTGAAAGTATTTGGAACTATATTTTGAACGCGTAATAGAGTCAGTGAGAAATATTTTGGAGAAGGTGGAAAAGCAAAAAAGGAGGGAATCCATAATTGTCAAGGAATTAAAGAACTATTCTAGATGTTGAATGCCGCTTCATTGTGAAATCTTACCCATTTCATATGAACAAATACTCGTACTGTCACATTATTTTCAATGAAAATGTTTGTTTAGATGGAACTAATTTTATAATATTCAATCACTTGTTTGACAGTCTATCCTATAATATTATAACCAAAAACTACACCTCCTAACACAACTGCCATATACAAGTAGTACAATTAATAAGCACTACTTGAATCCAAATTTAAAATATATACGGAAATATTACAGATCACATCTGTTTTTTATTTTAAGAGAATGAGCTGCTTTCCGGAGCATTCAATTTGAGAGTTTTATGCTCCCCAAGTGTTATACAGCCCCACTGTTCTAGTAATTAATTTTTTTATGATGCTTTTGAAGAAGGGAATTTCAAAATTAAGTAGTTAAAGTCCATTACATTATATGCAGAGGAACAATATTGACATGTGCTGAGTACCATTGAGTCATTCCGAGTAATTTAATTGGGTACTGGAAAGCAGCTAAATATAGGAAAGGCTTACCAAAGACTGTTAGGATTTTTTGTACAAACAAGTAAGTAAAAGTAATATTGAGGCATTTATCTTGCTTATAATACTAACCAGAAAGTCATAAGAGTAGATATGCTTTTGTTGAACAATTATAGAAAAATGTATTGTGAAATCTCAACTCAGCTACAACATTATTAGTATAATTGCCAAAATAGAAAAAATATCAAAACAGGAAGTTTCCTAAGCAGTATCAAGGCCTGAGAGCGGTTTGATATAAATATTTGCAGCAGATTGGTCGAGTGATACAAAGTCGGAGGGGAACAGCTAATTAATACATTGTCAAAATAATGAACTTTAACATGCTCTCCCGTAATTAGAAAAATCAATAGAGGGGCTTTTCATCTTTTTATTCCCGGTAAACTCTTTGGATATAGTTTCAGGGTTATTGATAAGACGGAAAGTTGAAATTCCACCAAAACTATAGCGCGAGACGTAGGCAAAAAAATAAATTCTATTGAAAAAAATCAGTATTAAATATACTAAAATGCATTTTATTTGTTGTGAGTAAATGTTGTACTTTATTTTTACTTCTGTCATGCCTATCAACATATCAGTGTTTATAATAAAGATGTACTTTGTATTTTAGTAGTCGTATATTTTATGCTTTCTTTGTATCTACATGGAAAATTCGCAATACTTCTAAGAAAAAATAACACAAAAGGATTCATATGCATATAAAAGGGGAATGAAAAATATTCTATCCGCCATTCGGTTTTCTGAAACAGCTATTTCATTTTTAGATAAGCAACTTTAATTGTACATAAATTGTGTCTCTTTATAAATTTTTGTCAGACCCTTTTATCGAAAAATTGGTTTTAAAAAATTGAATCTGTTCTACTTTAAAAATTACCAAAATTTGTGAAGTTCAACATCACAAACTATAAGCAGTTTATTAGATTAGAATTAGAATATCCATGTTTTGTCCTTAGTGAGTCACATCAGCATAGAAATCTTCAACACCCTGTAACTGGGTAATGGGGTAATTTTTGGCAATTTTATTACCTCCAGTATGAAATAATGTATCTCCACAATCTTTTGAGTAATTTTTTAATATGTTTATGTTGTCTTTCTGACCCATTGTGCTTCAGCTAGCCAGTAATTAAAATCACTCTTTATCTAGAATAACTTTTTTTGACGTTTCGGTTGGAGACAATAGTGCAAGGGTTTCAAAGTTTTGTTTGCCTCCAATTTCAATATTAGAATTGCAATTGAAATATAAGTGAAGCGTGTTATGATTATTGAGTCAGCTAAAAACATGAACTACAATATTTTGGTAATAACCTAACACCTGTATCTAGGATGTTAATTTGAAAACTTCCCACACCGAAACACCTCAAAAGATTTGTCAAGGGGAACAACTTGTTAACCAAAAACTAATTCACTCCCTTTTACCCTCTGCCCCCAAGGTCATCCCCTTGAAAATTTTAAATGACAAGGGGTATCGAGTACTAGCTTGTTTGAAAGGTCATTCGAAGTCCTTTAGTTTGACGTTTGATTTTTAAAAATCGGTCGATTCGTTTTCAAGAAAGAAAAATCTTTATTTATCTTAATTTGTTCAAATAAGTAACAAAAACACACGAAAATATTACTTTTTATTTCAATAAGTGTTCAAAATGTTTCCCGCTATTGGCCAAACAATGATATAGGTGATGCTCAAATTCCTGACGGACATTTTCAAAAACATATTGTGGGATATCATGACAGCTTTCGATTATGCGTTGACGAAGTTCATCCAAACTTTCAGGTTGGGGAGTAAACACAATAAATTTCAAATGGCCCCATAAAACAAAGTCTGACGGCGTCAAATCAGGAGATCTAGCAGGCCATTCTATAGGCCCTCTTCGCCCTATCCATTTATCTGGAAACTCGTCGTCTAGCCATTGCCGAACCGGAAGAACATCGTGAGGACGAGCGCCGTCTTGCTGGAAATATATTTCAGCCTCATCAAGTATAGGGTTTCCATCCTCGTCGATTTGGTTTTCAATGGTTTCAGTGATAAGCGGATTGATGGTATTTTCCAACATATCCAAATAAATATTTCTATTCAAATTTCCATTAATAAACAATGACCCAATCACCGCTTCCTGCCCATACCTAAATTTTTTAGGGATACTGGGTATATACCCTTCTACAAAAGCATTAAAATTTTGATTGCGCCAATGCCTGCAGTTATGCTTATTAACAAATCAATTCAGATAAAATGTGCATTCATCACTGAAGCAGATATTCTTTATATGAATGGTATTATCATTAATTGCTTATTATTTGTTCACAAAACTCAACTCGCCTATCGAAATCATCTTCGGTTAACTCTTGCAATATTTTCATTTTGAATGGATGACATTTATGGAGTTTAGTAACTGTGTGTACAGAGTCTAATGAATTGCGTAGTGAAGTATTAAGATTTATTCCAAAATGATCCAAAACTTCAACTTGAGCAGCTTCATCCAAAACTCTCCGATGATCACTTTTTTTATTTGCAACAGATCCAGTTTGAATAAATTTAGTATTAAGATCCAAAACATACCTATGCATTGATTTTGGGCACCATAAATTAGAATCATTTCCACTCTTTCGGCTAATGTGTAAACCATTTTGGAAGTAAAATCTGAATCAATAAATTAATTTTCACTATCCCCAAGATTGTCACAAAGGTAACTGACAGCAAATTAAACTATTTCTTTCCCTTAGCAACAAATAACTAAACAGGTATAACAATAAATACAGTTCGCCCAGGGTATCTGTTTTTATGAAAAAAATGCGGAAAAAAATTGGGTTGTTATTTGGTTGTTGCCACGTCTAATCTTCCGAATTGCTGTTTATGTTGGTAGTTTAAATTATAAACGAATTGTATATTTGGCAAACCCTAACGGGCAACATTTTGAACACTTTTTGGAATAGAAAGTGATATTTTAGTGAGTTTTTGTTTTCTATCTGAACAAATTAAGATAAATAAAGATTTTTCTAATTTTCTCGAAAGCGAATCGACTAAGTTTAAAAAATCATACTTCAAAATAAAGGACTTCGAAAGACCTTCCAAACAAGCTATTACTCGATACCCCTTGCAATTTAAAATTTCTTAGGGAATGATCTTGAGAGGCCGAAGGTGAAACGGGGTGAAGTAGTTTTTGGTTAAATAGTTGTCCCCCTTAACAAATCTTTTGACGTTTTTCGGGGTTTTTTCATTTAATTAGTGTTTTTCGATAAATCCGTGGTGGGAAGTTTTCAAACGAACACCCTGTATGTTGTGACATTATCAGTGTCTTAAATGTTGAATATAGTATCAGAATTTCAAACTTCCTTTGTTAAGAATGTTGGTTGTAGGCCCTCATCATAGTGTATAAAAGCATAGTTCTGATTTTTAACACGCTGTTATTAGCTTGACCAGTATGTATGTATGGTAACAGCATCTTTCAGCCTAATTGTAACCTCTTTCAAGAAATCTGATTAACTTGAACATTTGCACAGGGGTCAAGCTCCGACGTAAATACAATAATCTTGGGAAAAAATCGAATCAGAATATTTTTAAAAAACTTGAAAAAAATGGGTTTGAAAAATAATTGGAAAATTCGGAAATTTGGTAATCAATTTCAAGATTTGGAAATTTGGGAAAAAAGGAAAAATTTAGATTTATTGTCAAATATAATATATATACCAAAAATCGAAACACTCGATTATAAGTACTTTTGTTGTCGTTTAGACACTAAAAATTCAGAAAATAAATTAAACTCAAAAATCGCTTTAATAGCAAATTGAACTAAGAAGTAGAAAATAAATTTCAAGTATGTTTATGTTACGGCAATAGAAAGCCCAACAATCAAGTATGAATAATTAATGTCTACTCTACTTACATTTTTTTGTTAATATCTTGATGTTTATATTGATATTATTCCAAATTAATTAGTCAGACTTGATTGTTGGACTTTCTATTACAGTAACACAATACTAAACTTGAAAATTATTCTCTACTTTTTAGTTCGATTTTTTATTAAAGCGTGTTTTTGTAGTTTTTTAACTATAATTTATTGAAAGTTAAGATTACCCTTATATTCTGATAATCCTCGATGTTTGTCTGACCTCTAAATGATACCTCATATGCTTGAAATACTATTTACTGACGATGACGTTTCGGTCACCATGGCGGGCCCTTCAAGTCCAATTCCAGAGAATTCTACGTTTATATTATACCGATTTCGAAAGTTTTGGATGACGCTGATAGTGACAACAAACCACAGAAACACTAGGCAGAATTTTATATTTAAAAAATTCTTAATTTTGGTTTCTAATTTATTTTTATTTGGATTTTGTCTTATTGCCAAGATAATGTTTCTCTACATTTTGATTTGGGCAAAAATAAAAATGCTTTTTTACATGAAGGTGTATATATGTAGGTATGTAAAATTGAATTTAATATGTATTTTTAAATAGGTACCAATTTAGAAAAATATGCAAGGTAGGCGTGATATTGTTAAATTTTTTGGGATACTTTGTTTTCTTTTTTAAGTACATTATTTTATTGAGTTATAATTTGTAACTTATTGTTGTAATTTTACGTGCAATTTTATTGTATATACCATGTAAGTTCATAAAATTGTGATTTTATATTGTGATTTATCAAGAAAAGAAAAAGAATATGTATAATCGCCTAATTGTTGTATTATTTGTATTTTAACAGATCTAAAATTGTATATTATAAATTTTGCTACAATAAATTATGTTGTAATAATTATAATTATTTATTGCCAATCATCTTTATCAATTTCAACACAAAAGCTCATATTGTCTCAGAATTGAGATGAAAAAGTAATAAGGACTCTTTATTGCTTTAATCTAGTCGAAGTACCCAAGTAAAGGTTGAAGCTTTTCTCACCTGACTATATCAAAAAATAGGAAAATAATGGGCGAAATCCGCAAAAAGAAGGAAAGTGGATTTGAGCAGAAAATAGGATAGGTAACTCCAGGGATACGTATTTCTGCTGGTTGGCTTCATCAGGCCCGAAATGAATGCACATATGTAACTACAAAAGTAGATACACATGGCCATACATCTGGATACGGGTGTAACCTGGGGAAACGAAGATGGTGAGGGAAAAAATCACACACACGAAGTCCACGACAAGAGCCAACCTACACATTGTAGTATACAATGGTTAGAAGACCTCGAATTTTCAATGCGTCATCTAACCACAACCACGCGGCAGGTTATAGCCACTTGCCATGGTACTTCAAGTCCAAAGGATCTACAAAAGAGCTATAAATTTAATATTATTATATTATTATTTCGATATGATCTGGTGTAGTTTGTGTGAATCAATAATGAAAAGGAGTATGTTGTCGTAAAAAGAAGCGACCGATGATTATTTATTTATGAAAAAGCTTCAAAATGAATTTTTAATGGTGGAAGTATTTATAATAAACGGAAAAATATTTAATGTTGCTATGTATTTTACGCTGCTGAGATATAATCAATACATCCAATCTGAGCAGTGTGAAAAACACCACACAAACCTTCACTCAATCACAAGAATTTCGGTATCTTTGAGCAAGCACATGAACATATTTAAATGAGAGATTTAAGAAACATTATTCATCAGTAATACTAAACCATTTTGCAAGAATATTTTTTTGTTCTTCGATCGTTCTAAACAAATTCATTTAAAAAAAAAATGTATGAGTTGTCATGTAATTATGAATCATCACATTGTGGAGAGCGGCATATTTTCCAAGTAAGGAGCGTATAGCTACCTACAATTTTTATAACTAACTTTGCTAGGTATTTAAAATATCCGAACTACCGACCGCTTACACATTATGTATGTGTATGTGGAAGCATTCTAGCTGATGAGTCGTTAGAAGTATCAAGTTTGATTGCGGTGCTTTAACATTGTGTAAGAATTTATTTTAAAACTTTTCCATAAATAAATAGTCATCAATACTTCGTTGCTTCTTTTTGAACAATCCTATTCATTTTCATTATTGGTTCACACAAACTACTCCAGATCATATCGGAATAGTATAATTTTTTTGATTGCAAATAATACCTGCGGTCGTTGGCAGGGTATGTGGAACTACCGGCTGCGCTGAGCACAGCGTTGCCAGATTCGTCGCGGGGAATTATCGTACAAACACGTCAAAATTATCGTACATTATCGTACACCGTGCCTTAGATTCTCTCAGGATTCATGATGAAGGAAAATTTCCGTCTCGAGGGGGGGGGGGGGGGGGCTCTTTTGTTTCCCACTCTTTTATACAGGGTGGCGCAGAGGAAACGCACGATTTTCACCTAAGCATAACATTTTTTATTTTCAAGATAACTTTGTTTCAGTTACAGCTAAATAAAGTAATGATAGTGCACTTTCAAACTAATGATGGTAAATAACGTCACTCAAGTGTCGCCCTGCTTCGCGCTCGCACATCTCCAACCGCTCTTGAAAGTTGTGCATTACACGTAAAATCATTTCTTGTGGTATTCTTGCAATTTCTTGACGAATAGCAATTTTCAGTTCCTGTAACGTACGAGGCTTGTGAGGGTACACTTTATCCTTAAGGTAACCCCACAAAAAGAAGTCGCATGCGGACAAATCTGGGGAGCGGGGGGGCCAAGGGACATCGCCGAAACGGGAAATCACATGTTCAGGAAACATCTGTCGAATCCATTCCATTGATGCTCTCGCTGTGTGAGCTGTGGCACCGTCTTGTTGGAACCACAGCTCTCCCATGTTTACTTGTTGCCGTTGAAGTTCGGGTAACAGAAAATTTTGTAACAGGTGAACATAACGTGCTGAAGTAACTGTTACTGCTCTTTCTTCCTCTTCAACAAAGTAAGGACCAACGACACCTAATTTACTGATTCCGCACCACACAGTTAATTTTTGACTATGCAAGGGTCGTTGGTGTAGCTCTCGTGGATTTTCGGCCGCCCAATACCTACAGTTCTGCTTGTTTACATATCCTGTTAAATGGAAGTGTGCTTCGTCACTCATCATTATGACGACGTCAGGATCGTCAGCAAAAATGGCCCGCATTCTCGCACAAAATTCTCTACGCTGTGCAATATCGCTTTCCGTTAGCTCTTGCACGATCATTATCTTGTACGGATGATATTGTAAATCGTCATGCAGAATGCGTTGTAACGACCGACGGGACATACGCAGAGTTGGAGCTTGGCGCCTAGTGGACCGTTGGGGACTATCAAGGACCGCTCTTCTCACTGTTTCGATATTGCCTGGAGTCCGCACGGTACGGAGAAGGCCAGGTGGCTTCCTCTTCATTACGGATCCAGTACTTCGAAATGCTTCAACCCATCGGAGTATTGTGTTTCGATCTGGAATTGGCCCGTGGCGTTCAACATTGAACTGTCGACGGAATAAACGTTGCACGATCACTACAGAATCATCGTTTCGAAAAAATTGCTCGACGGCAAAAACACGATGCTCCGTCATCCACGGTGCCATGGCTGAAACTGCATCGCATGTGTTCTCTGCTGGCGGTGCGGCGAGGTGATATCCCTATTCTGTGCGAAATACCATTCGGTCAGAAAACATGCGTTTCCTCTGCGCCACCCTGTATAAGCTTGCTGTCTATGTTTCTATGTTTGGTTTTCTTCAAAGATTCCGCTCCTTTTTTTTGTTTTGTTTTCTATATTCGAGAGTATCGCATCTAGTCCAGTTAAATAGCCGAAACTGAGACAAAAGTGATAACACAGCCACAAAGTTATGTCCGTTGGCGTAATGGTGTTATAAAGCATTGCGAATATTGTTGTATGAATTTGGTTTTCCGGAAACCAGCCGTTTTTTGTAAAACAGCGAAAAACCCAAAAAACCTCTTTTTCGTTGAAACGGCTGAGGATATCTGGGATTTTTTTACACTGATATTTTTCTAATTTTTGGGTAATCAAAAAAGGTATCTGCAAATTTTTTGCTAAATTGCTTAGTTTTCGCGCTAAAGCTTGCTGATGACTTGATGGCGAGGGGTTTGCGGGGACAGGGACGCGCGTACACATAATATCAGCTGTCGCACCGTTGAAGGGGACGATTCTCTTTTATTTCGGCGTCCTCAGTGTCTCACTCTCGGTGATAGGCCAGTCGATTTCGAATAATAAGCTCGTTTGTAGTTGTGGCGTTCACCGACTTATGCATATTAATGAATTTTTGAAATTTATGCGTTTAAGTAGAGTTCCAGATGCAGCAATTTGTTACTTTACATTTCATACATAAGGTGTACAAAAACCCTCACTTGAGCCAATGAAACCTACAATAGCATGTAAGTGGAATTGAAAGTATATACAGCTCAATGTTATATCCACCCCAATCTATTACAAGTAGGATAAATCATTGAAGATCAAAGTCATTAAAGTCGTAGCCGACGTCATCTTCGTTAATTTCGTCGTCGTCGGTCGTTGCATCTTGGCCGCTTGATGAGGTCTCATCATCTTCTGTTAAGTCATCATTATCGGGTTCTACGGTAGTTTGCCCACCGTCCTCCTCACATGCATCTGTAGTCGTCGGAGTTTCGCTCTCATGGTGTTCTGTAGCAGTCCATCTCTTTGAGTTGTTGCGCGATTTTCCGCGGCATACTTTGCAAGCAGAGCTGCACTTTAGACCGGCTTTTCGGCAGTTGCATCGCTTCGATTTGCAGGGCCCTCGGCATCCACAGGAAGCCTGACAAAAGGTTATTATAAGAATTATTATAATCTAAATATCAGTTGTCTTGTAAGGGAGATCAATGACAGGCCTTTTATAGTACTCCATAGATCAGTCTAAAAATTTGTTATTTTGACTTTAAACTGGATCTCACATTTTTCAAAAATTATTTTAATTCCGATCAGACAGTACATGAGATCAAAAGTGTGGTAAAAAATTAGTTACAGCAAGTTGTATTTAGTGCTTCAAATTGAATACATTTTACACATACCTCTTGTAACAGTTCATTTGGTGCGGGATCTGCTTCAGACATGATCGGAATGAGAATATTACCCTGTCTTGTCCATCCTCACAAGCAGGGATCCAATCTGTGTTGCAGCCACACCTGGATTTACAGTGCTGAAGCAAGGCAGGAGATTTTGGGGAGACATTCTAGGGGCGTTTTCTTTTTGCCTTTGCGAAGTTTGTAGAAAACAAATTGTATCTGAAAGTCCCGAGAGAAGCAGACTGTTCTTTGTCTTTGTATAGTGCGAGAGTAATAGTCTCTGCACATTGCAGCAATTCGTCTTCCAAGCGGTCCGGCTTGTAAAACTTCAGCGCCAGGATTCTAATGCTGTCGTTCTGCATCAGCAACTTCAACAGCTTCATCTTCCCTTTCCCAAAAAAACAGCTAGTAGTGCTGCAGCCCGCAAACGCATGAGCGAAAAGTAGAAATGTTTGTGATCCCGTGTATCGTACAATTGGTTCGCCTTGCCCTCTGGCCCATCTTGTAATAGTACATGCTCTCTGAGGCTGGAGTGAGTCCAATAAGTAATATTAAGAGATCAACATCCGGGCCGACGACTATAACTCGTGATTTCCCGTGACGAAACAGTTCGTTAAGAGTCTTCAGAGCTGCTCTCACAATCTCAACATCCGCATCCTTTTTCGCATGGATCACTGTAAAACTGAATTCCTCATATGTTGCAAGAGTTTGACCAAGATGATAAACAAATTGAGCCTTGTTTTTCACGTTGGACAAAAATTTCCTTTGGTTCAATGGGAGGAGATTGTCTGGTTCAATTTCAACGTCCACGCTACAATGTCTTTCTTGTCTACAGTCTCGCGCGTATGATTTGACACCTATATGTTCATCTTCATATCCGTCGAAAACAATAATGACGCTCCGACCAAACCGCTTATCAAGGAAGTTCTTGTACATATCAAAGATTGCACGGTATATCTTACTATGAGGCCAAACGAGGCTTTGAAGCAACCATCCTCCGCCTACATCAAACTGAGAATCTTCAAATAATGCTCGCGAGGATAGGGTAGTAGTGAACATTTTATATAACTGTGACTTGTTTGTCTTTCGCATTGATCCTTTCCCGTCGAACAAACTAAAAGCTTTCGCACACTACGTCGTATCGTAATCGTACCGTAATACGCGCGTAGGACGAGAGCAAAACGAGCTCGTATGTGTGCTAACCAGTCCGCACACGAAGCGGTGTTGGAGCGAAGTGTATGAGATGTTCAGTCGTATTACGATAGTCGTGGCGGTCTTATTATCATCTTCTGAAAGCTGAAGTGCAGCAATAAGCAATCTTTTCTTCTTATTACTTGCGATGTATGGATGGGTCCAATGAGCACGTTGCCTTCTACTTCTACCATAATCAAACAATAAAAAAATCCTCTTGGTCTGAAGAAAATGTAAAATCATCAATGGATACACCAGAAACATATGGTACCGTTGACGCCATGATTTCAACTGAGATCCTACAAAGCGATACGAGTACGTGACGATGCGTGTGTGGGACACTGGAGGTCTCGTAAGCGTTGCGTCGTAACGATATGCTTAGCAAACGATTACGTTTACCATGCGTGTGCGAAGGCCCTAAGTGGAACAGGAGACATTTCGTAGTCGAAGGAAGATTTACTCAACTCTTTTCTTCCACGTTTAGCCACAGACAGACGTTGAAATAATAGAGACACTGGCGCTCCCACGGGGGGGGGGGGGGGAAAGGAGGTAATTACCCCCCCCCCCCCCCGCTAGATGACTCGAGCAGTCTTTGAAACTTTGAAAAGGTGGTATAAAGTAAACGTCTTATAAAAAAATCTGCAACTTTAAGAAAGGATAGCGGCAACACTGCCAACCCGCTCAGTGCGCATGCGACTAGCGGCTACTCTCCCACCAACAGCAACGGTGTGCGCTTCTTCCTGTTCTAACAGGTATAGTCTAGTCTTTTATGATCTAGTCTAGTGTCTAAATTCTGTACCAGTCCGGAGTCCGCAACAAAAATTTTCTGAGAATTGAACAAGCGGAGTTTTGTTGATCTGGTTCGTATTAACGCTATTTTCTATGTTCTATTGATTTTTTATTTTCCACGCATAAGCCAGAAAACTAATTTTTGGTTGTTTTTAATTTTTATACTATAAATAAAAGAATCGTGTCTAAAAAATGAGAGACGGAAAAATGGAAATTTAGTATAATTTCAATTACGAGATGTTTGGTCCATACTCCAGCTATCATTATCATCTATGTCTATTTTGTCTCGGAAGTCCCTGTATCTAAGCACTTCAGTGCATTTCGTTCATCCGAGATGACAAATTACATATTTAGTTTTTTGAAATTGCGTGAACTTAAGAAATCTTGTTTTCCAAACAGAAAAGCTTCTTTGTTATAAGATACGTGAATGCGTGGAAACCAATAATGCCGTTTATTTGACAATATTTGTGTAACTTTTAGTGCTGGTTGACGGCTGCTGTTAGGATGAATAAAAGGAAACAGAATACCACCGGTTGGTTCCTTTCTAAACAAAACAAACTGTCTGATCCACCGGCACAAGAATTACCGGAAAAAACTGATCATAATCCTACAATTCTACCTGAGCCTCTTCCACTTCAAAATTTCTTGATGTTGTACCGTATACTAAACCAAGTGTTGAACAATTGGGTGTGAAACCTAAAGGATCCAATTTTGTTGAAGTTGCGCCATATGTAAATTTCAGCGGCAACTTGTCTTCCCATGAAAAATATACCTTATTGAGGTATGCAATTATCCCTAATGACTCTTTCAAATATCCCTATTCTACACACTTGAAAAATGATAAAGAAGTGAAATGTTACCTACATAAATCAACTAAATTGGGAAAACTTGTTACAGTACCACTAAAGAGATTTTCGAAATTGTATGGCAAAACCGGTGATTGTGAGACACATGAGAACTCAATGGGTGATATGCATAAAGGCGAGTGGCTACTTTTGACTCGCATTTTTAAAGTAGCCACTCCATTTGATATGCATAAAAATGTAAGTAGAAGCTCACACTCATAAGTTCCTACTCTTTCCGTGAGGCTGTACTCGCTCCTTGAGTGCCGACTTTAATTTTTATATGCATAAAAGCGAGCGTCCACTTCGACCGCTGAGTACATACTTAAAGAAATGCGAGATACCTTGGTAGTAGACTCAGCTTTATAAGAAGTGGATGTCTTCACGAAATGGCCGAATTTATGCCTATTTATCAGCCTACGAAGGTGTTTAAAGATCGTAGGGAATCAAGGGAAGTAGACTATCGGGCCTTATATCGATTTAGTAAAGTTAAAATAAGTAAGTTAATTAAGTAACCAGTTTTTGTGTTTTGAATCTTCTTCCAAATCTGCCCTTCATTATATTTAACTTCTAATTCGGCTTCTACCTTTTCTTTTATTTCTTCAACCGCCTGACGTCGTTTATTTTTGATTTCCGGGATGTTTAATTATATTAACAAATACTGTTTGATTTTCAGATAAATGGCCTTCAGAATAGGTTGAAATCATGTAAATGAACAAATAATAATCGACCTAAACACCACCGACACAAACGTTGACCGGTATACAGTAGTAACTGCTCGCAATAGAGAAATTGCCAATTCGGCGAGACAACAAAATACAAGTCGGAACTCGAAAACCAGAGTGCCTACTCAAGTATTTCATTAGAACTTGAGTAGCCTCTCCGTTTCTCGATAAATATTTTATGCATACCAAAACCGAGTAGGCTCTCCCTAACAGGAGTAGTTACTCGCTACAATATGGAGTCGCTACTTCTGAGAACCCACTTACCTTTATGCATATCACCCAATATATCATACAGAAGCAGTTTTACAAACTTTTTAAAGATTTACGAAAATCCAGATAATGACATAAGAAATATAATAGGTTCAGAGCGAATTAAGCAAGTATTAGAGAATCGGTAAAGATTGACTCCTATAATAGAATCTATAATTTTTTTAGGACGCCAAGACATACTATTTAGAGGGCATAGAGATAGGAGACGACTTTTTTCCAATGACATCACGAATGACGAGAATGACCTTAATAATGAAGGGGATTTTAGAGATCTAATACGGTTTAGAGTCGAGAGCGGCGACAATTTATTGAAAAAAAAACTTAGAGAACTCAAAAGCGCATGCTACGTACATAAGCAGCCGCATCCAAAATGAAATTATAGAATGTTGTGGCGAAGAAATCTTGGATATAGTTTTAAGTCGCGTCAGGAAAAGTCAGTATTACAGTATTATATTTGACGAAACTACAGACATTAGCCATAAATCACAAATGTCAATCGTATTGCGGTATTGTTATCAAACACATATTTACAAGGACTTCATGGGATTTGTGGATTGCTACTCAAATTTTGATGAAGATAGAATGGAGTCCAAACTCACAGGTCAAATTCTTGCTCAATCAGTCAACCATTTCATTAAAACCAATAAATTAGACTCAAAACTATGTGTGGGCATTGGTACTGATACGTGTAACCTAATGTTAGGTGAACAAAGGGCGCTGTAATAGAATTGCCAAATGCCCTAAAAAGCCCATGCGCAAATCATGCCTTGAATCTTTCGGCTTCTGCCCCTCTGTGAAAGTTGATGGGTCTGCTGACACATTAAAAACATGATGACTTTTGAAGCATACACGTATATCTTTTCCCCCCATTATACTGCACTCAACTTCCTCACCGCAACGTTTTTAATGTGATCTGCTACAGTCCTTCTATCTATAGAGTCATCATTCACTAACTTCGACAAATAATGAATAACATTTTTGTCCTACTCAAGAACTTGCCACACAGGTTCTTGCAATGAATCGATTCTAGACCAGTTTAGATCTTCGATATTTTTTTAAACCATGCGCATTGAAATGAGACATGCATGTCCGGTGATATCTGCCTTGTACCCGAATTAAGTAAATGTTTTGTAATCTTTCAACAACGCTAATTCCCAAAGAGTCATTTCTTCACAAATGAAGCAATTATCTGCGTAATTGAAATCAGGAACCTCATCACTTGCAGCTACGATATTGTTATCGGGTGCATTCAACGCAAAATTCTGAGTATACTTTCCACTGACCGAGTATGAAAGTCTACACTTCTCATGGCGATCCAGTTTTTCCTTTTTCTCCCAATCCAACCATTTTTTGTCTTCCACGCGTTTGCTCTGTGTGATTCCCTTCTTCCACACGGTCCTGCAATTGCCGCGCGCTAACGGATAACTGCCAATGGCGCAGTAACTATTTTGCTGCATTTTATTCCTATTGAATAACAGAAACAATTTCGGTGAGAATCGGTTTCCAGTAAGTGTAATGCAATTTTCGATCCAGTCAGTCTAAAATGTGTGATTTTTGTTATTAATACCAGAACATAGTGCTAATGGAATTCGAAAACATGCTGAATTTTGGACAAGATATACTGAATTTGGACTGTACTATTTATTACTAAAAAATACAATACTAACATTGGAAAATGAAAACCAATTCCGTTGAAAAATCCATCGTGGATAACTTAAATCACTTATCCAGTCAATCGACAAGCAATTGAAGAGAAATTACTCCACATACTAAACGCATAAACTTCGAAAATTAGTTTTTTCGGAAAAGTCGGTGAACGCCAAACTGTCAAGCGAGCTCAGGGTTCGAAATTCAACTGGACTATTAGTCAATAACCCCCACTATATAGTAAGAGATCGTCTGCGTCGTCAACACGTGGGCGGTGCGACGGCAGGTTGGTGGTATGCAGGTACGCCGCCCCTGTCCCCTCAAACCCCTCGCCGTCAAGCCATCAGCAAGCTGTAGCGCGAAAACTATGCAATTTAGCAAAAAAATTGCGGAGACCTTTTTTGATGGCCTAAAAATTAGAAAAATTTAAGTGTAAAAAAATCCCAGATCTCGTCAGCCGTTTCTGTGAAAAAGAGGTTTTTTGGGTTTTTCGCTGTTTTACAAAAAACGGCTGGTTTCCGGAAAACCAAATTGATACAACAATATTCACAATCCTTTATAACACCAGTACGCCAACAGACATAACTTTGTGGCTGTGTTATCACTTTTGTCTCAGTTTCGGCTATTTAACTGGCCTAATCTTTTGTTGTGCTTCTCTCTTCCAGAGCAACTTGATTCGGAATCCGACATATAATCGTTGTTGAATTGAAACCGGTTAGATATCGAAAATAACTGAATACGATCTTTTGATTTTTAACTTTCAAAAGTCATAAAAACGGGAGACGTCGCATTCGTTCATCTAATGCACATGGGTAAATAAAAATATGTGCGTCAAGTCAATACATATACTAAGTGACATATAAATCCGAACACCCAGTTTAAATGGTTTTATTTTAATAAAATTTTGTATAAGTACTTAATGAAGCATAATAAGTAAATGATAAAAATTTCAAAATGATTCCACTGCTTTAAAGCCCTTTGACCGTTAATAATGTGTGGATGCACCCTGATGTGCTACGCATTCTCCAACGCGCCTAGCCATGCTTCTGAACAGGTGGTCCATGTCCTCCTGTGGTATCTCATTCCAGGCAGTCACCAACTCTTCTCGAAGTGCTTCTAGAGTCTGAGGAGGACGTTGCAAATTGAGCAATCTCCTACCCATCATATCCCACACGTGCTCAATTGGGGATCAGTCGGGAGATCTTGGTGGCCATGGTAACAATGTGACATCATTATGTTGAAAGAAGTCTATTGTGACTCTTGCAACATGTGGTCGGGCATTATCTTGTTGGAAAGTTGGATCTGCCAGGGTGTCAAGATAGGGCAAAAGATGGGGTTCTAGAACTTCGTGGATATAACGCTGCGCGTTCATGTTACCTCTGATGAAGATTAAAGGTGACCTGGAACCATAAGCTATAGCACCCCAAACCATAATCCAACAGTGTGATGAACATGTCTTTCAACAAAAAACTGTGGATTCCTCCTTTCACCACGTCGCCTTCTAACCCTGGCACGACCATCGTGCATGCCTAAACAAAATCGAGACTCGTCACTAAAGACAATACTGTTCCATTCCTGATCCCAGAGTGACCGTTGTCTGCACCACTCAAGGCGATTACGTCGGTGTTCTCGAGTTAAAGGGAGGACCCAGTGTGGCCGGTATGCAAAACAAGCCAAAACTTCTCATTCGTCAGTAAACACTTCGCATGCCAATAGGTCTTCCGTGTTCTGCAAACCATTCATTTGCAATGGACCTGGTAGTGGAGAAACGGTCCCTTAAGGCCAATAATCTTAGGCGGCGATCTTCACGGTCTGTTGTTCTACGGCGGCGTCCAGTGCCCCTTGCTCTTTGCGTACGGCCTTCTCGAAGCCATGCCTGACAACACCTAACCACAGTGTCTACACATCTTTGCACTCTAACTGCAATTGCCCGAAAAGAAAGTCCAGCTTCCCGAAGTCCCACTATACGGCCCCTATCAAACTCACTAAGTTGACGAAATCGTACAGGTCTCCGTACTCTAAGCATCGTAACCGATCGTAAAAGATGTCAAGAACCAAAATCCGCCTACGTTGATTCTTTACTGCGGCTGAAATATTCATTTTTAGAGCGTTAGTGAATTAAAAAAAAGCAGTATAAAAACCGGAGTGTCCAACTGATAAGGCTGAAAATTTTTTCACTTGTTATTTCCAGTAAGATAAATACATTCACCAACTTTTATTAAAATAAAGCCATTTAAAGTGGGTGTTCGGATTTATATGTCACTTAGTATAGAACGTGAGAACTGTAGGACGGCAATTTTTCCCGTTGATATTTGCCGAGATAGTCCGCGTAATGCTAGGCAACCCATTATACAGAGTGAGGTACGCGCGCTTGTCTACCAAGCGGCAACACTGACAGTGGGACCAGCATGTGCTGTACTTGAGAAAAAAAAATAGATTTTGATGATTTACAAAGCACTTGTGGTGCCCCTTTTGGTATATGGCATATTTGTGTGGGGTGGGATGTACGGTTCAAATCTTGGGCAGCTAAAAGTGCTGCTGAACCATATTGTGAGGATTATTCTAAAAAAAACCTAGATTATATCACACTATGCAAGAAATTAACAATATTAAAATCTTATAAATATATATATCGTTGCTGTATATGTAGTTTTATTTTGTACATGCAAATAAGAAATTAAATACATATTATGTGTCCCATAATTATATCTTGCACCTAAATTTTACAATTTGATTCCTTCTAATATCAGGAATATAAAAAATAAAAAGTTTAATGTTTCGTTTAAAATGATCTGTTGGGAAAATCGTGGACAATTTATGCGTTTATTTTAAGTTGCTTTCAGGTAGGATGATCTGTCTGTTTGTTTCTTTTCTTTTTTGTGATGAACTTGTGATACGTTTTTTCTGATGTTCTAATGTTTACGTAAATGCCCAAAAGAGATTGGGTGGTGGAAAAACGCCTAAGTAAATTCCAACCAATGACGACGCAGAAGGAATAGCTGTACCGGCGCACGTACCGGCGTACTACACGCTGCGGGCTAACGTGCGTCTGTTCAGTTGGCGGTTGGCGTTTGTGGAGCGTGGTGCGCCGAGCCCTCCATGCAACGCTCTGCTTCTGTTCCACATGTGTGCCGGGAAGTCTTTGTCCGCGATTTTCCGCAGTGTCGTCATGTCGCGATGGTGGTGTGAGTGATTTTGTGGTAATTGTGTATGAAAATGTGTTGTGGTTGTTCATAAAAGGCGAGTGAAGTATTTTCACGTTGGATATTGAGCATTTTTCCGACCTTCCTGAGCTGAATGTCTTTAGAGCAGACTAGGTGAGTTAAGCATAGTCATCTACTTCTGTGTTAGCTTTGAGCTCGTAATGTCAAGGTTGACTTATTTTGTTGTGGTCAAAAGTCATTGGCAATTTTTCTCTTAAGTTAAACGTTTTCATGTTAGAAACGATTAAAGTTAAATTTCGCACATTTTCGTTCAAAACACCGAGGAGTATTTTAAGATAAATATATCTTAAAGTATTATAACTTAATTGTTAGCAACGCGAGGTGCGTATTCCAATGCGCGTTATTATTATTAACAATGAAATAGCAGCATTTCAAAGATACGCTTAGTAGGAGAAGGTCTGAAGTTTAATTTAGTAACATGAGAGAACAGTTTTAGGGTTTTTCAGATATTCAATCGCTTATAACTCGAAAACGACCCTTTTAAAGTGAAACTATTTTTATTCACAATGATCCAAAGAATCTAAAAACACTTTGTACGGGCCAAAAAGATATTTTTTGTAGTTTGTAATTGTTTACACTTTGCAGCGAATTCTATCTCTCGTATATAAAGTTGTTTACATTTTTTTGTAAGAAATAAATACCTCCATACAATCGATATTTTTAAGAGGATGAATTTTTAAGATTTGCCATCCATTGCACTATATTCTGTTGTATCTGGGCTTGCATCTACTACTTAGCAGCAAAAGTGCGAACTAAAGAAAGGGAATTATTTGCCAGAGTCCTATAGGACTTTGTTTATTATTGGCAGCAAGCCCAAAATCCCAGATCTTTATTTTCAAATATTCTGGCAATATTATACATCACTCTTTTTAATTCTCTGGGTGGAACTTTTCTTTTTGAAGTATGTTCATTAAAAAATCAAAATAACTAATTCTTTGACCTTAAATCGTTTTCGTTTCGAAAGTACCGGGTGAATAAGAATTTTGAATACGTAACGTGTCGCAAGTATAGACCGACGAATACTTCAATCGTATTATATATTGTGTCCCAGAAATTACACGTCAGAGTGACATGGGAGCTAGATTGGCTTCAGATCAATTAGATAAAATCAACATGATGTAAACGTTTTCTATTTTTGGAGATATTGCCACTTTCAAGTCTTTCTTATTACACGTGTGTAGCACTAAACACAAGGAGCAGTACTAAATTAATCCTGCGCATGTGGTGCGCAGGTACCACCTCTGTTTCTTGTGGTGACATAGTGCTACCACCGAACAATGAATGTGAGAGCGAGATAGTCAATGACATGTTAAGGTCGGTTCATTTCCTAGTGATTTGGTTACAAAAGACGGCTGCACTTATCTTTAATTTGCAGTATTTCGCAAGTATTACGACTTCAGTGATAACACTTGGGGTTATTCATTTGTTAGTAGAAAGAACCTACAAATGTTATACTATTTTTGAAAGAGCATTACACATTGAAACAAAATGTAACAATTTATTTTTTAGCATACCGTGCTAGTTTTCAATGAAATGAATACTCGGTTATCTCAACCTACTATTAATGGTAGCTCAGGAATGAACTATATGTTAGAAGTTCTTTATAGCCATAACAGGCAAAAAAGGAGCAAAAATTAGTGATGAAAAAACAAAGTGTCAATATTTCGAACACTAGAAAACTTTCACTAAGGTCATGTTGATCTGAAGCCAATCTACCTTCCATGTCACTCTGATGTGTTATTTCTGGGACACCCTATATTTGTGTTGTCACACGATTGTAACGGTTATCTCACGGAAGATCTGCTTTAGTAGACCTTATGCAATATTAGTATAAATAATAAACAGTAGTATGTAATAAAAACTAAGCTACAAAAACCCAAAAGTTTTTTTTCTTATGAAACTAGCTGTCTTTATAATTTATACTGTTAAACAATAAAAACATAGGTTTCTGTAAGATTGCCGCTAAATAGTGGTTTCTGAAATATTCGGAAATATTTGTTTTTCTTTTGCCAAAATGCTCCATAAGGACAAGGATACAAATACAGGAAAATAAAGTGATTATTTATTGTCTGACGACAATTTTTCATTTTCATATTTTGATAATTTATTGGCAGTGGCTCATCGTTGGTATCTACGACATCCACGGACATGCAAGGGGTATTTTTCATGTGCGTGCAAACCGGTTTTAATAAAATGTGCTAATATATAAGGGGCCGTTCAAGTATTACGTGAGCACTATGGGGGGTCTTTGCTTATTTTGGATGACATGGGGGGTAGGGGAGTCTAGATGATGATTACGTCATCGGTAGTTATTTACTTTTTTACACGAATATCAACCCTCACATTGTCTTTTCTAGAAAACGAAACGCATTTTCGGGGATTCCCGCAAATAATGCATACGTTTAGTGAACAGCGTGCGGTAATTCCCCTACTCGCTTTAGAACCGAGTAGGGGAATTACCGCGCGGAATGCTTTGTATTCTGCCAGAGATACTATGCCAAGCCGTGCTGAAGTTGATAAACAGATCATTAAGTTGCGCGAGGAAATAAAAACAGCAAAACAGTCTTTAAACAGGAAGGTTCAAAACACAGTTGCCCAGAAGAAACACAGGGATGGTATGAAAAGAAAATTAGAAGATATTTGTCATGAAAATCCAGAAGTAAAAAAATACTATACTCATGCTCAGGATTTCGAGACGCTTCTCGAACTTGAAGAGTTTCGACCATTAGCTAAAACTGACCATGGACTAGTAAAACCAGTGGTAATCATGACGGTTGATGGAGGGCCAGATGAAAATCCACGTTATCAAAAAGTCATAGGGTTTGCTATACAATACTTTAAGCGACATGATCTCGATGCATTGTTTTTAGCTACCAATGCTCCTGGAAGAAGTGCGTATAACAGAGTAGAGCGCAGAATGGCTCCTCTTAGTCGGGAACTGGCTGATTTAATATTGCCTCATGACCATTTTGGGTCTCATTTGGATGAACGTGGCGTTACAATTGATGAACATTTAGAAAGATCTAATTTCGAATTTGCAGGAAATGTATTAGCTGAAGTATGGAGTTCAATGGAAATTGATGGCTATAATGTTAATTCAAAATATATTGGGGCAGGTGAACAAGATCTTCCTGATTTTACAGACATTAAATGGTATTCAGAACATGTGCGTGAGTGCCAATACTTGCTTCAAATTGTAAAATGTAGAAATACAGAATGCTGTCGTCCAAGAAATGGCCTATTTAGATTACTAGACAATAGGTTTCTTCCACCACCTGTAAAAGTAAAACAAACAGTTGATGACTTGGTTTTGGATGAAGGAGGGCAATTTCTTAATCTTCCAGTCAATTTAGCTCTACGCTTAAGTGCTTCACACAAAGATTTCCTGCAAATGCCCTACGATTATTTTTGACCGACGGTAAAATTAAGACTATCAAGTCCGTCGATTCACTAAATCGTCACATCGAAAATATCCATAAAAAAGTAAACACGCACACTGATAGGAAAGTTAGACCTGTAAGAGTCGCTGCTCGTCGTGCTAATGAACTGATGTGCATTATTCAAAATTTAGAGCACCATGATGTTGAATGGCTCGATGAGAACGACGTAGACATTCCAAAATCCGATGAAAGCGAGCAAACTCACAACACTGGGCAGCAATCGAAGCAATCCAATGTCATCGAAAACTTAGAATAATGGATTCGGGTTTCATGGACTGAAGACTGTTAATTTGAATTTAATATACCTGTATGTACCAAAAATTTAAAATAAGTTTGTTATGTTAGTAAGATATAATATGTTTGTCCTTTACTCTATGTTGAATACCGTATCAGTAAAATATAATCTCTATCCTAAATCTATTTTCTTATTTTTCAATTTATAATTATAACGTTATAATTATAATATTAAAAAAACAATACATTAATTTACAAATGTTTACGTAAGCATGGGGGGAGGAGGTAAGAGCTTTGCTTACTTTTGCTGACACGGGGGATGGGGGGGTAAATAATTGTAATAAATCTGCTTACGTAATACTTGAACGGCCCCTAATACGCAACTATTTTATTTATACAGGGTGTCCCAGAAATAACACGCCAGAGTGACGCGAGGGGTAGATCAATCAGATAAAATCAACATGACCTTAGTGAAAGCTTTCTAGTTTTGCAGATATTTCCACTTTTGTTTTTTCAAAAAAATCCCTACTTTTTGCTTCTTTTTCGCCCCTTATGGCTATAAGCTTTTATAGCATGCGAAAACGCTCGATAGCTTAATTGTACCACTCGAATTTCCTGCCCAAAGTGTCAGAGTGATATATTTAATAACGTAGCACTTGTATACTCATTTTGTTTCTACTTGTTCCAGGGACTAGAGCAGTTTGCTGAAATGTAAGTGCATTTAGGGTTTTCTTACTGGTGTCGGGCTTACAGGCGACTACGAAAGAGAGCTGCGAGGTTGTAAAACCTACTGGTTGACGACTCAGGCAGGGTGCTCCATTAGATAGTTAGGAATCACTAAGAAAAGCCGTCAGTTCAGTAGAAAGGTCAGGAAAAATAATAACAAAATGCTATCACACGGTTGGAAACTTTGAAAGTAGAGAGAATCGGAAGAATCATACAAAACGTACGCTTCAGAAACTCCAAATAAGTGGTCGGTAGTAGCGAGTAGATACGGAAATGTTAGGGAGTTTTGTTTGGGCACTCTGCGATGTGAGGGCACGGCGAGAGGTACAGACAACATGCCCTTGCTCATTTATGCAGGGGCACATTCGAGGTAAATGTGTTTTCATCAATATGACTTCTGTGTAATATATTTTGACAATTTATCGAACATTTTTTTTCGTACTGCGAGACGTGCAAGCGATATTTTCCACGCGCGTGCAGGTTTTATAACAGGAGTCAATATATTAAAGCGTACTATTTTATGTATATTCATTTGTTTAACCAGATATTCGAAAACATGAGTACAATACAATGGAAGCAATTAAACTACGAAAATAATACCAGCGTAACTTTTTTTTAGATAGAAGAAAGCTTTATAGCCGTTCGCATGGGGAAACGCTTTTTCTGTCCAAACTGTGATAGTGGGAGCTGTAATAACCTAGTATTGCTGTTTATACTTTTTACAGAGACTATAGCAGTTTGCAGAAATGAAAGTGTATTTAGGATTTTCTTCGCCCAGACATGGTGCCCCTTTTTGGGTGGGCATTCTGCGATGTGGTGCCACTCTCCATCATGTCCTTGCTAATCATCAGCGGTAAATATATTTTTTGATATTTTATATAGGACTTCTATGTTTTAGGTTTTACCTCGTACATTTTTCTTAAGTACCGTTGGACTTGGTTATTGCATTCAACTAGCAAAGCTGTGATAAACTTCAACGATTGCACAGTGCAAAAGTCCGTCAAGAAGGGGAAAAGGTGAAGGAAGGAATTCCTCTGGGTACATGGCCGAGCTGTTAAACAGGGATCCAGGATTTAAAAGATCATCGTTAGGTATTAATATGGTGTTAATGTAAGTACACGCAAGTATGGTCACAAGATCACGATACACTCCAGCTACCATATTAAAAACAATTATTACTTTTTTGTGAAGAAATGTTACGCGAGACATGCGGTTAATCATTTTCGGAGAGACTTGGAACACATGGCTGACGTAAAATCGTCCAGTGTTTCTGAGGTATGAGATATGTGAAAAGTTCAGGTTTCATAAGTGTGTCCGTAGATGATAAGTAAATAGATAAGAAGGTAGTAGTAGTAGTAGTAGCGGTAGTAGTAGTTCCGGTAATACTTACGAATATTTGGTATCCACTATTTCTATTTTACTATCAACAGCTGGATAAAACACCTTTATTTATTGAAAACACATATTTACAAGTAAAATGGTTCTCATTCTTAGGTATTTCATAGGTATGTTGTCTATGATTATTTATGCTTTAAAATCGTAGCGCAAGTGTTATTCTTAGTTTGTTTCAGCTTTGAGGAGAGAGTGAGAATATTCCGTATTTCAGGAAGTTTAATGAACTATGATAAATATTGATGATAATGACTACATCATTATCATTTTAATTTTAACTCACATTTGGTTTTTACTTTTTTTTTAGGTGTATATTTTACGAGCATAACTATTTTTAGCTAAGATGTGATTGCACATTTCCTATTTTTACGTATTTTACAGAATTGCTGTCCTAAAACTTTCAGGTTCTCTTTCAAAATAATAGCCCAAATATTTTTATAGAGCTTTGGAGGGGGACACTCCCAATTTCAGGAATGGTACAAGTTATAGACACTCCCGAGCGTGATAAACGTGATATAATGAATATTGATAATAATGGCAGCTGTCCCAAAAAATGTTCTGCCTGGATAGCTGGATGAATGTTTCATGGTCACACACGAGTAGAGTGAAGAGGAACAATAAAAGCATGTTAAGAATGATGAAAGTCCCCGATTTATACATCAATATATGAAGACAGCAATCAAACGGATATCAAAATTTCTACAGGGTAAGTATTGGAGAGTACGGCATGAACAAGGTTGGTTTTGAACTTCGCGAACCCCTGAAACATATATACGTAAAACTGTTGAGGATCTTGAAAACGTTCCCAAGAGATATATTTTCGAAACTTAGGCCAAACGCTTTCCACTCAAAAATGTACTTAAATTTATGCTATTTTCCACGAAATACAGATTCAACCTTCTTGAAGCTTCAAAATAAGCAGAGGTGTTATTTAAATGTACGTATGTGAACTCTCTTTGCAGATAAATGTGTGGAAAATAGTAGTATGGTCTACTGTCAATATATTGATTAAGTTTTACGAAATATTTGTAGCCTGATTTCAAGCAAAAGCTTCTAAAAACGTTCACGATTTCCATACGTTTGAAGAAATTCAGGGACATATTAATTAGGAAACCTAACATAATGACGCGAAAAGTTATATTTCTTCACGCCCTTGAAGATGATTGCAGGCTGATACATGCAGAACGAACATCAATTGAAATGATGAAGAGGTATTTTTTACATAATCTTGAACTTAATTATTCTTCATGTTTTACTGACGTCTTACCCGCTTATCAGGAAATACAGGGTATTCAAAAAATAGAGAGAGATATTTCAGAGGGTGATTCCTTGTTAAAAATATGAAAAAAATTAATTATTGTTTTATTAATACCCCAAAAAGCATTTACGATTCTATTGAAATTTGACAGTGTTATTTTTTGTATTAAGAGGCTTATTTGGCCCTAAATAGATGAAAATTATTAGGTCCAGTGGCGTTCCGGGGGGACCTTAGCGAATATTATTGGCAAACAAATGTACGCCACTGCCTTTTTTGTAACTGTAATATTTGTTGCCTGATTAAGCATCTAAAAATACAACTCCCTTGCCTCTTGTATTTTTTCGTATCTCACTTCGTTTTCAAGAAAAAAAATATAAACCGTTTTATTGCATGTCACTGGACAGAATTGGTTTATTACTTTGTATAAATAATTTTAACAAGGAAACACCCTCTTAAATATCGCCGTCTATTTTTCGAACACCTCGTATAGCTTTTGAAACCTATTGCAAAAAGCAGTGGCGCCACAGAAGAAAGCATTCACCAAATTTTATTTTTCTAACACCTTTATCAGAAAGAAGTCAGTGAATTACGAGGGGCGTTTTTAAAGTAAGAACCAATTGCGCGCCGTGAATATCAAAGGTATTGTAATTTTTGGTGACAACAGCTGTCATGTTTTGCTGCGGGCAAGCTCGACAAAACTGCTGACAGGTGCTGTGTTACTAATTTTTCCATCTAGAAACCATTTGTAATCCAAAATTGCACGTTTGTAACTGGTAGAAATGAAAATGAGGGAAATAGTCGATATGAAAACCACAGGATGTATATTGCTCAATAAACTAGTCATGATGGCCGGAGAACAGGTGTTTTGGGAAGAACAACTAGAAATTCTCAAAAAACTGCCAGACCCATATAATCTAATTTTGTTGTTGTTATTTAGAAGTATGAATCCTACGGATTTGAAGAATTTCAATTAGTTGCGTGAAATTATCGTCGCATTACCAACAAGTACCAAAACCTGCATTTTGCCTTGATTTTTGGCCATAACATTTTTCCTATTAGCCGGATCTTTTTACGTGTGGTTTAATTTTGTAGATCTCATAAATACGTAAGAATCTTATATTAAAAGTTTTTTCTTTCCTGTCAACACTTTCGATTGAATCCCAAAAAACACGTTTTCTCATTCTTTGTTGTCAAATAAAAAGTTTTCCGACAAAAATTGGTCTACCCATTTTATGCCTCCATGTTTTAAATACCTCCTTGAACAACTTGCACCAATAAAACCAAACCTGACAATTATTTCGGACTAGACTAAATGAAGATTTTTTTTCAACACACCTGTGGTTTAGATTGGCCAGGTGCTGTGTGATTATCATGAGTGCATCTAATTTTTCTGAAAAAAATCGAAAAAACACCTTGCTAAGTAATATTCTTCAAGAAGCACGAGTGCTAGTGGCAACAAAAATCCGAGTTGAAGACGAGGATTTTTGCAACTGCACACATGTTTTTTGTTAAAAGAATATTACTTTGCATTGTGTTTTTTGTAGATTTTTTTCATAGGAAAAAATTAGATGCCCGAATGGTATTTGACAAGACTATTTCATGAGTAACAGATTATTCTGCATACACATAACTACATACTACCATTGTTTAGCGTCATTTTCTGGTGTCCTAGGGAAAAAAATAAAAATGCTCAGATTTTAGTTTGTGATTCAATTTTCATTCATAAAGAAAATTTCTCTGATTACAAAACGGTTCTTACTTAAAAAGTAGCCCTCGTATAAACCGTTACTTCAATGCTACTTTTTTTAGGTTAATAACTGTGGCATGCTGGCAATTTTCGATTGTGCAAATGAACCCAAAATTATGGAGCGACTTGATATTCCTTCACCTGATACAATTGATCTTAGCAGTGACGGTTGATGTTTTCTAGGGGTTTTCCTCACCCGAGTGCGAATGCAGTAACTAAAAAACCAGTTTCCCCTAATGAATATTTGATAAAATGAAAATTGTACTTATCCTATTAATGATCATGTAATTTTAGATCAAATAGTCATTAAATATATTTATATAATAAAATTGTTTTTTTTTTCACTTGATGAGGGAAGTCCCGTATGCATAGGCAAAAAAGTATTTTATCCTATACAAAACCATATATAAAACTGGGAATTTATAAAAGTGTTTAGAGTCATAACGGTCTGTCGCAAGTCTGCTCAGTATTCATAGCATAGGTTCTCAAAAAATTCATTCAGTGATAGAATTGAACTTGCAGAAGATTTCGATACTTGTCATTACTTAACGAATAAAAACACTTTGAACTTGAGAAACTGGCATTTGCAAGTAATTTGGTCACAATGCTGTGGCAACACTGTTGATGAACTAGGGCTATGTTGCTATATGGATGTGGGGCTATGGCTATGTGATTCAGTATCCATCGTATCCATATCAGGCTTCGCGTGGCGTCTAGGTTAACCTAGTGTATAAACAAACTGCATTTGAAAAACTGAAACTTGAATATTCATAGAGCAATAACGTAATTATTATCGATTTGATATGAGCATCATCTTCCGCGAGCGTACTCAGCACGTCAGCGTCGTCATCGATGTTTCTTTCCGTGACAGCTGCATATACAGGGTGTTCATTTGAAAACTTCCCACCACGGATTTATCGAAAAAGATTTGTCAAGGGTTTCAACTTTTTAAGCAAAAACTAACTACTTCACCTTTATAATTTAAAACGGTAACTACCAACCACCTGATTTTTTTCCGGATTCTTTTCATCAACACAGATATCCGGAGCGAACTGTTTTTATTGTCATACCTGTTTAGTTATTTGTTGCTTAGGAAAAGAATGAATTCAATTTGCTGTCAGTTACCTTTGTGACAGTCTTCGCATAGTGAACATTAATTTATTGATTCAGATTTTACTTCCAAAATGTGTTCTATAACTTAATATACGATCGTTTATGTATTATTTATGTTTTAGGGCCGGTTGTTCAACTCCAGTTTAAACCGCTGTTCAGATTGAACTAAGTTCAAAGTTGAAAATCAGTTGTACAAATAAAGCTCAAGGCTTGAACCCAGTTCAAGTAGGCATAGAACCTGACCGGTCGATGTCCCTCGGTTAAACTCAGTTCAATGTGAGTAACATAAATATCGTAGCAAAGTTTAGCGAAGGAGTTGTGTGTTAAGTTTAAAAATGGACATTCCCGAAGAGATAACTGATGACGAGGACTTCTTAGAATTAATTACCATCGTACATATACCCAGGTTACCCAAAACTTACAAACAGAGACCTGGTAATTTTCGGATTTGGAACGACACTCAATTCTTGCAACGTTTTCGGTTATCAAAAAGTACTGTTAGATCCATAATTGACACAGTAAGTTCATTTATAATTACTAGGTATCAGAGCCATTCCTGACGGGTGCATATTGTGCTCCAAATTGAAGAATAAATATCATTACCTATTTCAAATTTTATATCTTTTATATATATATTTTTAAACATAATTTTTTTTATAAATTTATACAAACAACAACTTATGGGAACGCTGTGTTGCATCGAAATTGAAAAATCGTTCTTTCATTATCGGTGAATTTGCAAAAACCATCTGAGCTGTTCACTCTACATGAATGGCCCTGGGTTGATATAATGCGGGTGGGATTTGGACAAATGTGTATAAAAGCTATTTTTTTATAGAAATCATGCCCTCACGCCAGATGATATGGTCTTTTTTACGCTTACCTTGCAACTGGGTCCTTTTTGAAAGTAATAGGGGATGTACAAGGTATGGACAAAGGAACTGCAAGCAGGGTTGTGTCGAAAGTTATAAAATCATTAGCAGTCCATTTTAAAGAATTAATAAAAATGCCTGAAAATGGCGAAGAGAGAACTGTGATACGTCAAGAATTTTTCATTATTGCTAGGTTTCCTAGGTGCATAGGAGCCTTAGACTGCACCCACATTAAAATAAAATCTTCAGGTGGTGCAGACCCAGAAAATTATAGGAACAGGAAAGGTTTCTTTTCCTATAATGTACAGGTGATTTGCGATGCCACTTTGAAAATACAAAATATAGTTTGCCGTTGGCCAGGTGCATCACATGATGCAAATATATTTGCAAATAGTAGAGTTCGAGCCTTATTTGAAACCGGACATTTTGGCGACAGTTTGTTGGTTGCAGATAGTGGTTATGGTATTAAGCCATATTTAATCACACCACTAAGCCGACCTGAAACTCAGAGTCAACACTTATTTAATGAATCTCAACTTCGCACTAGGAATCCTGTCGAGAGATGCTTCGGGGTATGGAAAAGACGTTTCCCCATCTGAGCATTAGGAATTCGTGTAGCGAAAGAAAAAATTGAGCCAGTAGTTGTTGCAACAGCAGCCTTGCATAACCTAGCAATTATCATGAAAGACCCACAACCTGCGATGAATAATGAAATTGAAGCAGCAGTTGAATTCATTAACAACTTTGATATTGTACCAGTCCCAGTTGGAGGTCAAGATGCATCTAATAATAGGACACGATTATTGTTAATTAATTATTTCCAGGATTTATTGTGAATGATTCAAAATTTCAGTTTTTAGTATTTTTCTAATGTTATCTTCATTTCATACTAAGTGAAAGTGAAAGGTATAAATGATGCAATAAAGAATATTGGAGATTTTATGTATTTATTCAAAATAAGTAAATAAGCGGGCAAGATTAAGAAAATCAAATTTTATATTTATTTAACAGATACTGTTTTTCCATATTTAACATTTCCATTTTAATGTTATGTACCTCATCATCCCTCTTTTTTCTCTCTTCATACTCTAGTTGCATTATTTCCAGTTTCTTTTTGTCTTCTTTCATCAATAGCTGTTTTTTCATTTCAAATTCATCCAAAAGGCATTTTTCTTTAGAATCTTCCAATGATTTTTTGGAATCGACCCATTTTTCCATTTTTGTGCAAATAGCAACCCCTTTTTTTGAGCAGTTGGTCTTCACTAAAATTAAAATGTTTAAGGAACATCTTATTGTGATCCACATTTACTAGCAACATATAGTATTTCATTACTAATTTCATCAACAAGAACAAAAAAATTTACAGCACAACATGCAAGAACTTTCCATTTTAGTACTAGAAGTAACAATTCCTTTTTGAAATTTGTAATGAATATGAAATATTCCTGGAGATTATAATGTAGATTACCTTCTGCAGTTCTCAGAGCACTTGATTTTGGTGTGCGCAAAAGGGATGTACTTAATTTGCTCCAGTCCCTCGTTTGATATCTACTGGATTCTGGACCTTCTAAACGATGCGCTATTTGGTTTTTGTTTATCTGTAAAATCATGAATAAATGAGGATGCCCCACAATAAGGTACATATATTTTGTGTATTTACTAGCAACAGGTAGTATTTTATTACTAATTCAATCAACAAGAACAGAAAAAATCTACAGCATAATATGAAAAACTTTCCATTTAAGTTCTAAAATAGGTTTTTTTTATTTTCATAATTCAAGATAAATGTCATTATAAAAAGCATGCAGTAATGACGATATAATAGTTCTGTAGATTTTAATGTAGATTACCTTCTGGAGTTCTCAGAGCACTTGATTTTAGTGTGCACAAAGCGGATGTATTTAACTTGCTCCCCTCCTCCGCCTGATGACTGCTGGCCTCTGGACCTTCTAGATGAGACACTTCTTGATTTTCTTTATCTGGAAAATCATAAATAAATGATAACATCAAAACTATTTATTTTATTAGTACCACTGTTTTGAACTTCCTGTGTCTCCTCTGAAGTGATTGCATCTGAAACACCTTAAATTAATAAAAGTACATTATTTAACATACATTCGAAACTTACATCCCTCAATAATTAAGTCCCTGCATGTAGCATTCTCAGGTATGTCACAGACAACTAAAAATAAAATTAACTTAAAAATATATTCACTCAACACAATCCAGCTTCCTTACTCATGTCATCATCATACGCTGAAGGGTGTCCTTCTATTCGGACACCTAAAATGTCTTTGACTTGTTGATCAATATCGGTGAAATGAACTGTTTTTGAGGCACCTCCTCCTGTAGCAAACAGGGAAGACTTCTCCTGTGAGAACTTCTTCTTTGACCTTTTTTTGATATTGTCTTATTTATTCTTCAATGTTTTACTATCCCTGTAGGTCACCGCTCCACTGTTAAACTCTTTTGCAATCATATTCCATGTCTTTGCTTTTGAAGAGTTTGTTACTGCATCCGTTTTACGACATTCAATAACATCTTTATATTTATTCAGCAGTCTAATTAAAAGGGATTCTTCTTCCCTGCTAAAGTTACTTGTTCTCTTAGGTGCACTCATTTTTCAAATAAATCCACTACTACGAAGAGAAAGAATCAGCAGCAATTATATTTTTAATAAATATAACATAGCAAAGATAATGAAGCAATTATATACCTACTCGCTCTCCTGCAGATGTTGCGATATATTTATAGTCGAGAATAACAAGCTAACTTCAAAAAATCGCCAAAAAATGATTCCAGATTGAACCTATCGCTTCGGCCTATAAGTAAAAGCAAGTGAAAGTAGGGTTATGACTTCGGTAAAAATCACGTCAAAATGACATTATTGACAAGTCTTATCATTCCGTGCCTAATAACATAGTGCCTATGGTATTACCAACTGCTGCATATTTGAGGTTCAGTGGAACCGAGCTTGACTGACAGATGAACAACGCACATGCATTTGAACTAAGTTCATATTTTAACTGGAGTTCAGGTGATCTGCAGTTTAACCGAAAGTTGAACAACCGGCCCTATGTCTTCTAAAATAGCCCTTACTGTCCGTTCATGGTTGTAGCACTCCTAGTTCACAAAAAAGTGGAAACACTAAGAACGTACACTACTCAAAAAAATTCAGTAACTTTTGACTGGTTGTTTTTCGATGAGAAATGGTTGTAATTAGACTTCGAAAAAAGCATTAAGATTCTAGTTTTCAGGTGTTTTAGCTGAAAAATGTTAGGAGCAAAGTAACAGCGTAAGGAAACATTTTCGGACACAAAAAACGGTTTCTCCGGACCTATTGGTCGAAGTTTGAAAGAAATCAAACGAACAACATTTTTGTGTCAAAACTACCTGTAATCTGGTTGAACATGGAAAAATCATTTTTCATCTTCTGTTGTCACTATTGGATATCTGTAATACCTTCAATTTTGAAAATAGCAATTAGAAAAATGTTGTGTATCCATGGAATATTCCAAAAAACCAAAAATATTAACTAGCGGTGGATCTAGAAAATATTCAGCCGAAATGAATAGGATCCGGCAATGAATTTGCATCATTTTCAAACTTTAAGCATTCAATCCGGAGAAACCGTACAATGGATCGATCTGCCGTCGTTATTAGTTGTACATTGAGGTACATAAAACCAGTAACATAATTCTCTAGAGCATCATATTGCTCAATAGTTCTACTTACAGCGGAAATCAGTGACAGCCAACTGGTCTGTGATGAATGCAATAATTTGTGGGGTTTGATGTTAAAAAATGTTTGAAATTCCAAAAATCTTTTAAAACTGCGATGCATATAATTGTATACGCTTCTTACCAACTTTTGGTTGCATTTCTATATTTTTTCATTGTATTTTTCAATTTTTTTGCCACAAACCTTTCAAAAAATCACTATAAATATGACTTTAACAAAAGCTTTCACTAAATCACAAAACTTTCTAGTGAAATTTCACTAGACCTGGCAACATTGACCCGAAGCACTACTGCAGCGTGCTGCACGCTAATAGCCGTTGTAGGGTGCAGCGCCACTGTCAACCCAGTGTTTTGTACTTGAATGAATGGTTGTCGTCCTCGATCATTTCTTCTCTCTGAGATTCTTTATGTTCTATAATTATGTTATTTAGGTATAGGCTTGAGACATACGACTTTTTTCTCTGAGCTCTCTCATTTCGTTCATCTCTCTTCACTAAGTCGTTCATTTGAACGATCGGATTATCGACCGACCTCGAAGCTGACGAGAGTATTGTGTTGCCTATAGTAACGATTCACTGAGTCAGAGAATATTAATCATCAGCGTTGCTAGATTCGTCGCAGGGAATTATCGTACAAACACGCCAAAATTATCGTACATTATCCTACACCGTGCCTTAGGTTCTCTTATGATGAAGGAAAATTTCTGTCTCGGAGGGGGGGCTCTTTTGTTTCCCACTCTTTCCTATAAGATGTGCTGTCTTCAAAGTTTCCGCTCCTTTTTTTTGAGCAACTTGATTCGGAATCCGACATATTATCGTTATTGAATTGAAACCGGTTAAATATCGAAAATAACTGAAAACGATCTTTTGATTTCTAAGTTTCAAAAGTCATAAAAACGGGATACGTCGCATTCATTTCATCTAATGCACATGAGTAAATAAAAATATGCGCGTCATGTCAATACATAGAACGTGAGAACTGATTGACGGCAATTTCTCCCGTTGATGTTTGCTGAGATAGTCCGCGTAATGCTAGGCAACCCATTATACAGAGTGGGGTACGCGCGCTTGTCTACCAAGCGGCAACACAGAAAGCTGCTTAATGGTGTTAATTGCACGTAGTTGTTAGATTGATTCAACATCTGTGAGTAAAAAAGCTCATTTGCAAAATTATCGTACATTCAGCTATTATCCTACACATAGTATCGTACATCGTATAGTACTTGACATCTGGCAACGCTGGCTTAGCACTAACACTTTAGCTCTTTCATGGTTTTACTGGAGGAATTTACATTTGACTTTCTCCGCCGAAATGGCGGCCGTTTTTGACAGTGACAGGCGACTTTCATAGCTGATTGTTATCTAATGCGGGTCCCACACGATGCTTTTAACGTTCTATATAACGTTGTGTTCAACGTTCGACACCAAACAATTCAATTGGCAAGTGTGTCTCCTACAAATGGGATGAACTTTTCTCGGACGTTCGACGCATGGTGGCGACAACGCCACCAACATCTATTATCGGTGTCAGTGTCGCGCTTGAACCTTTACAACTGAAGGAAAAATTGTACAAAATGAAAGATGAAACATTTTTTCGAGCGCTGAAAGATAATTTCAGATCTGTCTTATAATGAAGCAACTGTAAGCACTTGATAATTTATAATTTACTAAAATACATATCCTTAGGCCAACCATAACTCACCTCACCTCACGAAACGTACAAAATACCTATTAGCAATATGAAAAAAGTGTTGTTATGGCAGCCTATGCTTTGTATGTATGCTAATTTAATTCATTCTATTCAAAAGTTGGTTACGGGACATTATTATGAATAGATAGAATAGAATCAAAATACTTCCCACATACCACTACTTCACCACAATCACAGCAAACACGTAAATAATGATTTTCGCCGCTACTGGTTCTAACCTAAAACCATCAATCACATTACATCTCGTGTGGGAGCGTAACGAACCATCCTTCCAACGTTGTAACCTCCTTTAAATTCACCGACAAGAGCCTAACCGTGCCATGTGGCGAACGTTGGACACATGTAATCCGTCAGCGCTCTCCCACACGGTGTGGCGAATGGCCATGTGTCCAGCATTGTAAGGCAATCGCTACATCGTGTGGGACCGGCTTAAGCTGTGACTGTGGCGAAGTTCCGCCAAAGTGTATAAGCCTAGTGTTGCTACAGGTTGTCCGATATTACCAGATCTGGCACTTTTTAAGACATAGTCGCCCCTTGGACACTCTTTTCGAATTCTATGACGCCAAAGAGACGTCTATATGATGCCTACGAGGCGTTTCTTAGATACTTACCAGACGTCCCTCAGACGCGTGTCTTTAATGCCTGTTTAAAAACATTAATAAAGACGTCTGTTAAATTTTTGCAGACGTGCTTTCGTCTCGGAAGTCAAAATCGGACATCCATCTCGACTTGACCTCTTCTATTCATCAGAGTAGGCTGGGGGCCTTTTGGCCAAAATTTTGTGAGGTTTCAACAGGCAGAAAAGCGAATCTCTCTATCAAAAAATGCCAAAGATAGATTGTGTGATAATAAAAATTATATGGCAAAAGCTTATACCTACATACAGGTTGTCCAATAAGTACCACGACAAACTTAACGAGAAGGTAGGCTTTGGACTGACCTCCCAAATAACAAAAATTTACCTATATAGAAGTGTCACCGTTTCTGAGATATTGAATTTTTCCTTAAATTTTAAAAAAACGAACTTTTGATCTGTGATGGTCTTTAGCTGCATTTACAAATAAGGTTATACTTTGTTCATTTTTTCTATAAAATACTTCTTGATAGTTGCTTTTTATCATATACAAATGAAATGTAGTTAAAAGATATTAATGAATCATGATAAAATAAGGACTGTTTTGGGATTTATAACCGTCTGATATTGTTTCCTCAACTTTCATAAAATCATATCAGGAGCAGGTAATAATAATGTAGCTTTGTACTATTTAGCATGTCACTGATCGGTAACCAGTGCAACTTAAATTTAAATCCAATAATTACGTTGTAGTGTGTGTCAGTCACTTACAAAAGCAGCTATCACTTTTTTCTATTCCAAATAGTATGTGTGGTGCCTTTCTGGAATCTGTATTCAATGAGCAATCTTTTTATTCAATATAATGCAGTTATAGCCCAGTACATTTTTGTTTCACCACAGATGGTCAAAGTTAAGGAAAAAATATCGGAAGGTTATAAATCCCAAAATAGTCCTTATTTGATCACGGTTACTTAATATCTTTTAACTACATTGCATTTGTATATGATAAAGACACTATTTAGAAGTATTTTATAGAAAAAATGAGCAAAGTATAACCTTATTTGTACATGCAGCTAAAGACCATAGATAAAAAGATTCGTTATTTAAAATTTAAGAAAAAATTCAATATCTCAAAAACGGTGACACTTTTATATAGGTAAGTTTTTGGTATTTGGGAGGTTAGTCCAGAGCCTATCTTCTCCCTAAGTTTATCGTGGTACTTATTGGGCACCCTGTATAAAAAAGCATAGTCAAAATTTAAAGAAACAAAAGAGGAATTATAGTTTAAGATAATCAGATTGTTGAAGAACTGCTAATGTAGGGAAACTGTTTCTGAAACAAAATAAATAAATAATAAATATCAAAAATATGGAACTATTATTTTTTTTTCTTTTAGATATCCGGCATATTTAGCTGTAGCTGTAGCGCTTAATATCAAAATTACAGTTTTGATAGAATTCCCATAGAAATTTTGTTGAAACGATCATTTTTGACATAAAGGGCTACAGCACTGCAGTTCATTGGATGCGCTCCCCATTGTAATAAGTACGATACAAGCAAGTATATAGGCAAGTTGAAGAATATTCTACACAATAATTTAGTAGTTTAATCTCGAAAAAGAAGTTCAAAAGAGTTGGCCAGAACTCCAAAAATGTAGTGATGTTTTTACGTAAAATCTGGCACGGAATTTTTAGAGCCTATGGCAACACTCGTCTAAGCAACTTGACAAATGACAGGTGACGTAAAGCATCTCGTGGCGGTGGTGATAAAAATTAAAAACGTCATAATTTGTCAAACTCGAAAAATTTGTCTACTAAAGTATGATACAATAAATTGAGCAATTTATTTTGTAGGTAAAATTAATTAAACAAAATGGTATTAGCGGACCTAGGTCGGAAAATCACGACTGCTCTGCAGTCCCTGAGCAAAGCAACTATTATAAATGAAGAGGTAAACACAAACAGATGTTGTCAACAAGGGGGCACAAAATAAATGTTTTTTCGTAGGTTCTCAATGGGATGCTCAAAGATATTTGCACCGCCCTAATAGAGGCTGATGTGAACATAAGGCTAGTAAAAAAACTCAGAGAAAATGTCAGAGCGGTGATAGATTTCGATGAGATGGCTGGGGGGCTTAATAAGAGAAGGATGATCCAGAGTGCTGTATTCAAAGAGCTCATGAAGGTACTTCACTGCATAATTATGATTATAAGAACAATCTAACTGAAAACAAATATGACCAAGAAATTATGTTTTGACTTATGGCTACCCAATTTCCCAAATTTTGAAAAAGCAAATAATACCATAAACAAATTGTAGCTCGTAGATCCTGGTGTGAAGCCTTATCAGCCAGTAAAGGGGAAGCCCAATATCATCATGTTTGTTGGTTTGCAAGGTTCTGGTAAAACCACAACATGTACAAAACTGGCTTATCACTATCAGAAAAAGAATTGGAAGTCATGTTTGGTTTGTGCAGATACTTTCAGAGCTGGTGCTTATGATCAAGTTAAACAGAATTGTACTAAAGCGAGAATACCCTTTTATGGAAGGTAAGGTCAATTAGCAGCTTTTTAGCCAATTTAAGTCAGTAAAATTGAAGTGCAGATTCAGTATGCTTAAACGTGTAAAAAAATTCATATAAATAAACATAGTTGAATAGTTAGGTAAAAGGCAGAAAAGTCTGAAAATTTACTTGATTTAAATAAATGGTATTATAACATAAAAAAAATGAATATTGCAATATTACTTGACTTCATAGTCATTTCAGTGGGATTTTAGATCATAATTTGTTAAGAGCTAAAATAAATGATGTTCGATCTGTAATTGTTGCAAATCAAAATCCAGTAACATATAATTTACTGCATTTATACTCTGAAAAACCAAAATTAATGCCTTTTCCATAGTTTTCATAATATATTTAAATGGTTTTTTCGAAGGAAAAAATGCAGTAATGTAAAATGAGAATTTCATTTTATTTTAATATAATTTATTGATATTGAAATTGAAATAAATGGCACAAAAGTCTGTTCAACATTTAATAATTATTTTTTTAATTATATAATTACATCTAATAATTATACTCAGCAGAAATAATTATATTAATAAAGTAAAAACAGCATGTATTCTAATATAAGTTGAACAAAAAAAATATTTATCAAAATTAATCTTTTGGGGCAACAGTACTAATTTATAAATAATGAATATTCACAAATATTAAAAAAATAGATAAAAGACAAACATCATATTAGGTAATATAGGGTGAAAAGGCAGTCAGTGCTTGTATCAGACAGAGAATAAAAGCAGTTTGAAAACTACTGCTTTGTTACTTTGATAGATTGATTTACTGCTTTTTAATTTAGGAAATGTAATTAATATGAGTTATTAGACAAACTGAAAAATAATACTATTGGTTAAATAACATCTTCAATGATATATTTTGTAATTCTAACCATAGTAATGTATTGGCGTCAAAATCCAAAAAAGGCAGTAAATGAATTTTAGTGCCCAAGTAGGGCAGCATAGGTCTATGCCTCATTCCCATAAACTTAACCATCTCTGATAGTCGACCTTATACTTCTTGAAAACAGTTTGAGATATTGAGAGGACTTTTGTTACGCTAACATACTGTTCAAAAAAGGCATTAAGTTCTCTCTGCACTTCCTGAGCAACACAGTTATCAATTCATATAGGATTATATGCAACAGAAGTTAGTCCCTCTGCAACAAAAGTTACCTACAAACATGCATAACAAAAAAATTCAATGGATCTTGTCAGTCAAACAGGTCCATAGTCCCCACCCCTGTGACAATGTTGTGATCTAGAAATTTCTTCTCTGCTCAATCCACAGTACTAACAACGAAACACATATTGGTCAGATGGGGAATCAGAAATATCTAGAGAACCGTATGATGAAAATATTTCTCTATCATTCTTTTAATGGAAAATGTATGGAGATATAAAATATGTCTGTGTGTGTTCACCGACACCTACAGCCCTCGTCCCCGGTCATAAACCCTTACAAAAATTCGCTTGAAAATGATCTGCAGCCTCTGAAACGTCAACGAGGTTGAGCAGTGTTCTTTTTTTCTTTTTTATACCCCTAGCTCCACCGCCACTAGACCGGTTCTCAAAAGCTACAAGATTTCTTTGCCCTTGATGCCAAGGGCACTAGTGAGCTTCAGTGGCGATTTCATCAAAATCCAGCTGTACTTTCCAAGTTATAGCAGGGCAAAGGATTAGCAAACAGACAGATTGACAGAAACGAGCGACACGGATTCTCGTGATGTACAGGGTGGCCAACTAAGAATGCGAGGTACTGTATCTGGGAACCTCTCCATCGTAGAGGCTTGCGGCAAAAAAAGTGCTTACTAAAACGGCAAAGAGAAAAACTTGGATAATACTTTTAAGTTTTTGAAATGGCCTCTAGGGGGCACAACTGCAATCTTGAATCTAAAAAAGTGATGTTTCTGTAAATTCCGCTATATTAACCTAACAAAAAAATACCTGATCTTTAAAGTCGAGGATAATGTGAACTTTTCTGTTTGACAATTTTTGCTGTATCTCTAAAAATAAAGTGGTGGGGGTATTCAAAGGTATCCGTAAAAAAACTGTATCGTCAAAACGCCGATTTTAACAAACTTCGAGGCATTCTTGGGCTACAAATTTTATAATATTTGTTAGTTTCACATGAGCCCGTTACAGGTTTTTTCCGACAAATGTTTAATTTTCTCAAGAAAATTAAATGCGTTGGTATGATTTTTTTGATGAAAAAGTAGCTACGTGATGTCTAAACAAACTCGTGAAAACTGCATCTCGATATCTTGTTCCTAACCTGAAATTTAATCCAATGAAACTTTTATATGGAAATCCCTTAAATTTTTTATTCCACCGAACTAATTTTTCTTGAATTCTTTTTTATTCATATAATCGCCCTTATTGAAAATATTACAAAATATCGCTAAAAGGTAAGTGAGGACTGCTCATAATAAAAGGCATAAAGTATTTTTTGTTTAAATTCATATTCACTTTGGGTATATGTATATCTAAAAGACATTTAATAGAAACAGGCCATGAAATACAACAAAACAAATACCTAATCTAAACATAAATATTCCTCAAATTGTCAATAGTTGTCAATAGTTTCTCGTTACTTTGAGCAATTTTTGTGCTTACCAAATGCGATTTACGAACGATGAAGCTGTTGATATGCTTTCAGTGCACAGGGTAATGTCGCAGCGCAATGGCAGTCGGTCTTTCTGGACGCTGGCCAAGCAGATTGAAAAGAACTTCTCACACAGTAGCCTTCCACCACTTACGTGTCAGGATGGAACTATTGTATTCGACTCGAAGGCCAAGGCGGAAGTGCTAGCCAAGATCTTTGCTGCCAACTCCACCATGGACGTCCCCACCAACGCCCAAGTGCCGTCAATTCAAAGGGTTCCCCATACTATGCGGGAGGTAACATTCAGGCATAAGACCGTAAGACGAGTGCTCTTGTCGCTCAACATCAACAAAGCTTCTGGTCCGGACTTGATTCCTGCCATTGTACTGAAGAGATGTGCAGCGGAGCTTGCTCCAGTTCTTTCGCGTCTCTTCCAGATATCTTATGAATCCGGCACCTTCCCAGAAAACTGGAAATTTGCTCATGTACAGCCCATCCCAAAAAAAGGATCTAAAACCGACCCTTACAACTACAGGCCTATAGCTCTGCTTTCTGTCATAAGTAAAGTGATGGAGAGGTGCATAAATCGCGAGCTTCTGGACTACCTCGAACGTCACAGCTTGATTAGCGACAGGCAGTACGGTTTCCGGCACCAACGATCCACAGGGGGCCTCCTAGCTTACGTCACCCAACTGTGGAGTAAACTCATCTAGTCTCATGGTGAGGCTCATGTCGTTGCTCTTGACATCACGAAAGCGTTCGATCAGCTGTGGCACGCTGCCCTCTTAAGCAAACTTCCATCCTATGGCCTCCCAGAAAAGCTTTGCAGATGGGTGACTGACTTTATCTCTGGCCGCAAGATATCCGTCGTAATTGACGGATTCTCCTCTTCATCCCACAACGTCAACGCGGGTGTTCCCCAGGGATCGGTCTTGGCTCCAACACTGTTTCTCTTACATATCAACGACCTCCTTTCCTGCACGATCAACCCAATCCACAGCTTCGCTGATGACAGCACTCTACATGCAGGAATTGAGAGTGACAAGCCGATCTCTGCCGCTGAGCTGGAAAAAAGAAGACTAGCGACGACTTCTTCTCTGACAAGAGACCTGGAGGCTATCACTGCTTGGGGTCGCAACAATCTTGTACAGTTCAATGCCTCCAAAACACAGTACTGTACTTTGACGAACAAAAAGCGTCCTAGCGCTCATACAGTTTCGATGGACGGTCGAGTTCTACCAAAGAGCCATTCATTTCGGCTGGTCGGAGTCCAGATCACCGAGGACCTGATCTGGCACGAACACATCTCTTCAATAGCTGCAGCTGCTGGGAAAAAGCTAGGCTATTTGTTTAGGGCTAAGAAGTACTTTTCTCCGCATGACATTCTCACTCTATACAAGGCCCAGATAAGGCCTAGCCTCGAGTATTGCTCACACATTTGGGGTGCTGCCGCCCCGACTACATTGTCCATGCTCGATGCTGTCCAGAGGAGGGCGGTCCGACTGATCGATGACTCTTCTCTAACAGACAGTCTCGGGACTCTTTCGCACCGGCGGGTCGTCGGCGATCTAGCTCTTTTCTATCGCTACACCAACGGGCTTTGCTCCTCAGAGCTCTCTTCCATGATGCCGCCGCGCGATGTGCCTGCCAGACAGACCCGCCTGACTTCGGCGTCCCATCCTAACCGTGTCAAACTTCGTACATCCAGAACTGGCCGATACGACCGCTCCTTTGTCCCGAGGGTGTCTAGATTGTGGAACAATCTACGGGAGGAAGCTTTTCCCAGTTCTACTAACCTTAGGCAGTTCAAAAATCGTATCAACAAAATTTCTTTGGGATCATCATAGCAGCCGCGGTGTTCCGGCATTTAGGCTTCTGCCTGCGCGGCTGTTTCGATATATAAAAAAAAAAAAAAAGTTTATTTTGAATATCTCCAGAATGCCGCAGTAGCAAAAAGAGCTTACGCGACTCGATATTCAAATCGGCGTCTTTGCGATGTAAAGTTTAACCCCGATGACGAGCTTACGAACCAATGGTAGTTTTCGGCCTACGTTTCAACGGCAAAGAATTGGAAGAACACAAGAAAATAACCACGTACTGGAATATATTGAAGGAAATCCCCATGTTAGCACAAGCGCATTATCCCTTGAGTTAGGCATATCACGAACAACGCTTCAAAATATTTTGGTGGACTATAGGTAAGTTCTAATGTCCATCAAAATACAGGGATTTATTTAAATTTAAATTTTATTTAATTTTTTTTATTTACTTTTAGAATGCACCCATATCATGTCGTTTTGCATCAGGCCTTGAAAGAGGATGACTTTGATCAGATGTTGCACTATTGCCGTTGCCATTGTGATACGCGAAAATAGAAAATTTTGATTTCAAATTCTTTGGACTGATGAAGCCACCTTCAATAGTGACGCGAGAGTCAATCTGCACTGTTGTGCTTTATTGGTCTGCAGAAAATCCGCATTGGTTGCTTGCGTGAAGGGCAGCACCAAGGGCGTTGGAGTTTAAATGTGTGGTGTGGCATACTGGGATGCAGAATTATTGGGCCATATTTTTTCGAGCAGTTCCTAAATGGCAATGTCTTTCTTGAGTTTTTGAGCAATCAATTACGGTTGTTGTTGGAAGATATGCCACTGGAAACACGGCAAAACTTGTTTTTGCAGTTGGATGTTTGCCCAGCACATTTTGCTGTTATTGTGCGAGAGCATATTAATGCAGTATTTCAACAGCGCTGGAGTGGCCTTCGCGATCACTAGACACAACTTGTCTTGATTTTTATTTATGGGGACCGTTAAAGGACATGGTGTTTCAGACTCAACCTACAACCAGAGAAGATATGTAAAACCAGATTCGTAATGCAATACGTAAGATACCGAGAGCCGAAATTGAAGCTGCAGTTTTGTCTACTCATGAGAGGCTTCAGGAACGCATAGAGCGTTTATGGGGACATTAAAAACCTTTCTTTTTTAAATCGATCCTTCTTAGGGCCACAGCTTAATAATAAAAAGAAAATCCAGAAAAATTAGTTTAAAATAGAAACAATTAAAGGGGTTTCCATATCAAATTTTCTTTGGCCTATATTTTAGATGAGTAACAAGATATCGAGATGCGGTTTTCGCTACTTTTTCATTAAAAAAATCGTTTTTATAATGTGGAACATGTGAAACTAGCAAAACTTCAAATATTATAGCATTTGTAGCCCAAGAATAGCTCTTATCAACTAGCCCAAGTTTGTTAAAATCGGCTCAGCCGTTTCGAAGATACAGGGTGTTTTTTACGGAAACCTTTGAATACCCCTACCACTTTTGTAGAGATACAGCAAAAATTGCCAAGCAAAACAGATTTAGATTATCCTATTAGGTATTTTTTTGTTAGGTTATTATAGCGGAATTCACAGAAAGATCTCTTTTTTAGACTAAAGATTGCACTTGCGCTACCTAGCCGCCATTTCAGAAACTTGAAAGTATTTTCCAGGTTTTTCTCTTGGCCGTTTCAGTAATAACTGTTTTTGCCGCAAGCCTCTACGATGGATGAGTTACCAGATACAGTACCTCGCATTCTTAGTTGGCCACCCTGTACATGTCATATAACGTCCAAAAAACATCTCATTTCTAGATTACAATGCTTCCTCGCCAGCGGCATGGGAACTAAAAGGTCAGATTAACATGTGCAATTTTTTTTCTGAAGCGTCTAGTGCTGCCCAGTATCGATATTTATATTATTCTGCAAAAATTAGTGCAGTGACCAGATTGATTCTTCTCAAAAACTGCCCTTTGGAGTTACAAAAATAAAAATCTTTTATGAACCAATATATTAATCGGTTTATTGTTAATAGATGTTAATCCAGCTGAGACTTTATTTAACGATCATAAATAAAGACTTCAAGAGACACTTTCAAGCAGAACATGGCTTTAAAAAAAGATACTTATTTTTGCGGAAAACTTGACGCATACAGTTTTTCGCTAAACATAAGGTTTAAACATGGTTATTATAGAATCGGGGAATTTCCGGACCTACGTTTATATGAGCTATTTTTCATGTTTTTGCGTGCTGAATCAGCACTCAAATTTTTCAGACGACATTCTGAAACATCATATAAAGCAATGTTACAAAATATAATTAAATTTATCTAATTTAAATTTGATTTGATGTAGTTATACAGAAGTTGATCCAGTTGTAATAGCCCAAGATGGTGTGGAAATGTTTAAAAAGGAAGGTTTTGAAATAATCATTGTTGATACCAGCGGTAGACACAAACAAGAAGACTCTCTGTTTGAAGAGATGTTGGCAGTTTCAAATGCAGTGGTAGGTACTTGTTTTAGTAATATTAATAGTTTTGAAGGTAAATGAAAGCTAGTTTTAAAGAAAAATGAAGACTGGCATGTTTTGAAACATAAATTCAATTTAATTTATTTTATTCATGTCAATACACAATATGCCTTGTTCAGTAACTCAACGTTTTCCTTTGGACATAGGTAGATTCAAATTTCTGTAATTGAAATCTGATTTAATCAAAAACTTTGGGTCGTAGTAGTTTTTACTGTCGTGAGTCGTACAATAACTATTTTTAAGCTTTGTTTGTGCATGGTATTGTATTCGAGGAAATGGTTCTGTTGATTGTAATTACTTAGATTTTTAAAGACGAGTTCCTGTGTATATAAGATGTAAACACTTGGAAATGTTAGTTTTTTTTTTCAATTTGAAGATGTCCTTGATATCTTATCTTTTCTGTTTTTGAAAATAATGAGATTTATTTTCCGTTGTAATTTAAATATTCTTATACTATGTGGCGAATTATTCTTTGAAACAGGGCTGTTGCGTCATCTGCAATGCCCTGTCCAGATCATTAATAAAGATCAGTTACAGAACAGGGCCAAGAACAGAGCTAGGACACCATGACGCTCGCAAGAGCTGTTTTTATCCATTTATTTTAACATATTGTTTGCGTGGGTTTGAAGTAATTTGCAAGAAGCTTCATCTAAGATCTAAGCCATAACAGCAAACTGTGGGACATACAATTGAAGGCTTTACTCAAGTCACACAATTTTTAAACCCGGATATTGTTTTTTCAATAGATATTTATTGCGTAAGAAGTACACTTTTTTACCTAAATCCAAACTGCTTCTCATAAAACAGTTTATTTGTTGTGAAATGACCCACTAGTTGATTTTTCAACACTGTTTCATAAATTTTAGAGATGATTGGCAGTATGGAAATAGTGCGGTAGTTCTTAATTGTCATCCACGGAGCCATATTTGTGAATTGCCATAACTATGGCGGTTGTAAAGATTTTATACAAATGTTAATTAGTTCAGTTAAATATATGATTATTACGTTCTTCTGGCTTATCAGTAGAATTGCATTAAAACCGCCATTACTTCTCTTATTTTTTTCATCATCAAGACGAATTCCAGGAAGCTTGAGGTGTTAAAGAGGCCAGACTATTGTGCAGATGTATTATCGTTGTTTGTGATTTTCATATGAAATATTGCTACTTGCTACGTGGAGACGTAGTAATATCAATAATAATATCTATTGGATTGCATGGTTAAAATAATTTTGGATAAAATTACTAAAAATCTGATTTTTAGAAACCAGACAATATTATTTTCGTGATGGACGCCACAATCGGTCAAGCATGTGAGGCGCAAGCTAAAGCATTTAAAGATAAAGTAGACGTTGGTTCGGTTATCATAACAAAATTAGATGGACATGCTAAAGGAGGAGGGGCTCTTAGTGCGTGAGTATTTCATTTTTTAAATGTGGCTTGTTTTTAAATCTAGGATATTTAACACAAATGAATTTGTTTCAGCGTCGCAGCAACGAATAGTCCAATAATTTTCATTGGTACAGGAGAGCATATAGACGATCTAGAACCATTCAAAACAAAACCTTTTGTTAGTAAATTATTGGGCATGGGGGATATAGAAGGCCTTATAGATAAAGTAAACGAATTAAAATTGGAAGATAATGAGGTGTTGTTAGAGAAAATTAAGCATGGACAGTTCACACTTAGAGACATGTATGAACAATTCCAGAATATTATGAAGATGGGTCCATTCTCACAAATTATGGTAAGTGAAGAGTGTGATTCAGAAAATGATAGCAATATTTTTGGTGTAGAAAGTAGGTCCAAAAATAATACGAACATATCCTATAAACATGGGTCGTAAAATGCCAATTTATCAAGATACAGGTTGTTTTAATATAGTACTAACAGCATAGACCCTTACGAACAAAAATTTTCTTGCCCGAGTTCCATCAGTTGCGTAGAAGTTGGTAAATTTTGACCGCTACTGAAGAAAAAAGAAAATTATTTTTGTCACTGGTTTTTTTGAAACATCTCTTTTAATTAATAGGGTATTCAACTAGACATAAATTGCATATCTTGAGAAATTTTTTTCAGGCTACTCCTTCTAGGGAAAATTTGGCTTGAATATTTGAGGTAAAATCTGTTTGAAAATACGCTGAAGTTAGTGAAGTTTGACGTTGGTAATTGTATCTAATCATCATAGCTGTTTGCGTCATTTTCATATATTATATTTTCCTGCACCGTTCCTTCTTTCCTTATGCTTGCTACTGAAGAAGTAGCAGATCCGCGTGTGCATGTGCATGTCGGGTTAATAATCCATCGCGAATCTCATTATTTCTTGTTTTTCCGCATTTTTCTTCACTGCTCACGCAAGATACCATTGGGAGGCATCTTCCAGCCACAGCAGACCAGCTACAAGGTAACCCTACGGTAACCACATGGACGGTTCGGTCACCGAAGAGGGCTCTGGTGCTGGGGCCTCTGGGCCTAGAACTAGGCTATCTCTGCCTCTTGGTGGATACGCCACTATTTTCCAGGCGGAAATCTTTACGATTTCTAGCTTGTGTATCCCTCATTTTGGAGGGAGGTGGCCCTAGGAGAAGAATAACAATCTTCTTTGACAGCCAGGCTGCAATGAAGGCACTAAGTGCCCGTAAGATTACTTCGAGCCTTGTATTGCAATGCAGGGAGGCTCTGGATTGTCTAGCAGCGAGGCATCCGGTATTGTTAGTTTGGGTATCGGGGCACGCTGGGATAAAGAGCAATGAGACGGTGGATGCTCTGGCAAAGACAGGATCAGCCAGCAAGCTCATAGGTCCTGAGCCAGCTTTAGGGGTGCCCGTGCTAAGAGTTAGGAGGAAAATGATGAAGTGGATTGCAAGACAACACTCAGAAATGGAGAAGCATCTCTAGACATCTCCTTCAGGTACGGGAACTCATTGTAGGGCCCAGCGCTAAGGATGGACGTTTCTGTTTATCTTAGGATAGAGCCAACCTAAGGTTGCTGGTGGGACTGTTGTCTGGCCATAACACGTTAAGGCGCCACCTGCACGTAATGGGGGTGGCTGAGGATCCCTTGAGTGAGCGCTGCGAGGTAGATCAAGAGACCTCGGCGCACTTCTGTGTCGTTGTGAGGCTCTTAACTACTACAGGCAGACTATACTGGGGTCCATCACACGTTAAGGTGCTTGGACTCAAGACCATACTGAACTACGCTAGAATGGCGAGGCTTGAGGCCTAAGGAATGTAGAGGTGCATAAGGGAATGTCTAAGTGGCCTAAGCTCCGGCTCCTTATGGTGGCCGGTATGCCTCCAGTTTCATGTTTCATTCATTCATTCATTCAACCTTACTTAGTTATTTATAGCAAGTGCCTATTCCACATCCCTCAGGTCATTTGAATCTACCATTTATATTTCACATCGCATCCCAACAGTGTGTAGTGTCTTGATCCTACATACCAGGCGTCAATAATAGCGTTATTTAAATAATATTAATGCTTGGTCGTTATTCAGCCTGATCAGTGGCGTAGAAATCTACAATATATTGTATCTTGGTAATGGGACATTTTAGGATATAGGAGAGGGTGGAGGTGAAGCCAAAAATGTCGAGGATGAAACCATAGCCATTGCGTTAGAAATGTATGCAGGTTCTGCACATGCGGCATATCTTTCATTTCTGCATTTCTATCGCTTTATGCCAGAACGTCTACGCCCACTACATTTCTGAGATCGAAGCCCGTATTGGCTTCATACGAATGCGTGTCTTTTTTAGTGCATGCAACATGCGTACATTCTGGCCCAGCTTTAGAAATTGCTGATTAGTAGAAAACGTTCCAAGGAAGCTGAAGTTCAGAGAATTGTAACAAGTTAATAGTGTACAAGTGTTCATGTAACGTATTGGTAATTCTTAGTAAATAAAGGAATATCACCAATGATCACATTTGTATTTGTAAAATGCGATACTTATAAGATTTTTTAAATGGTGCTTTTGAGAACCAGAACAGTCAAATAGTCAATTTATATTCCATTTTCTTATTTACAAGTGGCTGATGGTTTTAACTTACATGGTGCGGCATGAACAACTTAGCAGTTTCAAAGAGTTATAAAAAAGCCATCTGGATCTATAGAAAAAAATGTTGGAGTGAGCAGGATATACGAATTTCAATTTATCAAAATAATGCATTTAAGATGATGACTAGATTTTATTAATACGGTCTTTTAAATGAAATAGCTGCTACATAATATTACAATGGATATAAGACAATTCATAATTTACACTCTTACAAGATATAGCCACCACAAGCGGTAAAAACTCGGTATTTTGTGAATTACATATTCGTGTTTCAAAGCCAACTGAGTTACAGTATGAGGTATAATTGAAGTATGTTTTTTCCATATATCAGGCGACACTTAAGATTATGATTACAAAAATTTCCAAGTAAAATATCTTGAAATTTTATCATATTGCTACAATTTACATAACTCTTTATAGCTTGAATTTTTCTTTTTATTCAGTAGTACTTGAAAATTGCAATTTAAATATATTTTTCATTATATCTCCTTAACAAATACAGATATTGAACTGCGGTTTTTGCCATTTTTGGGGCAATGGCTTCTCCAGGCGCCCCCTGCGTGCGCCCATGATTACGAGTCAGGTTGAGTGGTGACCTTCCCTTGGAAGTTTGCTGTCATATTTAGTAATAAACTGTCTTTCTTAATTTTAAGTGAATTACTGCTACTCTACTTGGGCATAATAAGTTAATGAGTGCTTATTATCGTCGATCAATCTCCCTACATTATAAATAGGCTCAAATTATGAAGGCGTTTTTAAGTACTTTTATGTTTTAGGGTATGATACCAGGTTTCAGTCAAGACTTCATGTCAAAAGGTAGCGAACAGGAATCCATGGCGAGACTAAAACGATTGATGACTATCATGGACAGTATGAACGATCAAGAGCTTGATAGCAGAGATGGCGCTAAATTATTCTCGAAGCAAACTGGTAGAACTGTCAGGGTTGCCCAAGGGTCAGGAGTCACAGGTAAAAAAATTGACCAACACCATAACATTTTGAATAAAACACGTAGGCTCTGAACACATGTTGCGTCTCGATTAATGGTTTGTTAATTCTTCTTTCGCTCGTACACATTAAATACGGCACCTCAATGGTTCTCTGCCGGTCCTGCATATGGTTGGATCAAACAAGAGTTAATGCGGAATATGAAATATGGCGTGATTCTTCTGTCGATTATTTATATTGACATCTTATCGTGATCGTATGTAACTCCTGAAAATTATCCTGCGGTTTTCATGTTCAAAGGACTCCATTGTCGGGCCTAATCAAAATCATATACATGTTTAGATTTCAGCTTATTGTACCACGTGGTCTTTTTCAAGTACAATATTGGCATATGTAACAATGTACATATTTTGTTTTCTCTCTTCCAGGTGGCATTTTTTTTACATTTTCACATTCCTATACAGCAGCGGTCGGCAACTCGCAGCCCGCAGGCCTAAACATACTAATCAAATGTTTATTAGAATTACGTAACCAAATACATAAAAAAATGCTATATAAAATAAAATTGAAGTCAAAAATAAAGTAATATAATTCATTTTTAATTCCACCTCATGGTGACATGTGTGGTCCATCAAAAAATGACATAACATCATGCTCGCTTGTCCTTTTGTGAGCGGGAATGCTTGCTTCAGGTGGTCCTGGGCTTTGATGGTTTTGCGCGGCGCCATCTTAAAATTGCTCTGATAGCGTATCGCAATCTCAGCATGTTACAGAACCGTTCAGATTATTGCAGCAACAATAGGAACGTGAAAAAGGAATCACGAAACGAAAAGTCACCTTGAAGACAGAAGACAAAATTTATTGTTACATAATATATGTTAGTTAGACTTCAAAATGACCATAGATAATATTGTATAGTATAGCATATACAGGGTGTCCAAGATAAGGATCCTATGCATGGGGATCTCAGTACCTCTGGGAGATACAGCTTAGGATAAATTAGAAAAAAGCTGTGTTCCATGGGGCGTAATTACATGCCGTTGAGAAACTTGTAAAAATTTCATTGCCTACAGAGATATTTGGGAAACACCAAAATTTGCCCAAATAGTTTTAATTTTTTTCTGACGTTATTTTAAGAAATATCAAAAAACAAATGCAACTTTTGCATTGTCACTTTTTAGGCGCTACATGATGGTGTTTTTAAATTGTGTGCCATTTCTGGTGTAATCATACTAAATGCTTCGATCACACATTCTCGTAACTGCTGCTCAGTTTCAAAGATATGCTGATGAACTTGGTTTTTAAGATAACTCCAAACAAAAAAGTCCAGAGGAGTTAAATCCGGGGAACGCGCTGGCCAGAACACTTCACTGAAGTTTCAAATCCACCTTCCGGGTATTTGCTGAGAAAGATACTCTCAAACTTGCCTAGAGATATTTGTAGGCGCACCGTGTAGTGAAACCAACATCTATTAACCTGTGCCAAAGGTCAATTATCCTGGCAGCCTTCTAGATCATGTTGCAACAATTGAAGGTACTGTTCTGCAGTTAATGAGGTGTGGTAAATAAATGAACCTAATATTTTGGTCACTAGAATTCCACACCACATATTAAACCCAAAACGTTCTTAATGTCTGGATACTTTTTTGCCCGCAGATTTTCTTGACTAATGGGTGTTGCGGCGATGAAATATACCATTATTAGTGTCCATTCTTTCATCGGACCATATTATTTTTGAAAGGAAATTAAAATCTTCACACGTTCGTGTGTATCACTCTAAAAGGTCCTTGGCAAATTACAAATTTATAGGAATGATATCTATTTTTACGAAAAGTAAATTGGGCTGTGGATTTGACTACTCCTACATTTTTCTCAATTTGCTTAGTTGATATGTCAGAGTTTTGAGCAACAGCTTGTGAAACACTATTATGAGTTTCCTCTAAAGATTTGTTTTTTCGATACGTAACAGGCTTTTTGAATGAACCATATTCACTTAAATTTCGATCCAACTCTAAGAAAATGAACTTACTTCGCTGCCTTCTATCGGAAGACTTATAAAGATACAATCTTTATAGTATTTGTGTAGCACAAAAAGCACGTAATGAGGTGTGGTAAATAAATGAACCTAATATTTTGGTCACTAGAATTCCACACCACATATTAAACCCAAAACGTTCTTAATGTCTGGATACTTTTTTGCCCGCAGATTTTCTTGACTAATGGGTGTTGCGGCGATGAAATATACCATTATTAGTGTCCATTCTTTCATCGGACCATATTATTTTTGAAAGGAAATTAAAATCTTCACACGTTCGTGTGTATCACTCTAAAAGGTCCTTGGCAAATTACAAATTTATAGGAATGATATCTATTTTTACGAAAAGTAAATTGGGCTGTGGATTTGACTACTCCTACATTTTTCTCAATTTGCTTAGTTGATATGTCAGAGTTTTGAGCAACAGCTTGTGAAACACTATTATGAGTTTCCTCTAAAGATTTGTTTTTTCGATACGTAACAGGCTTTTTGAATGAACCATATTCACTTAAATTTCGATCCAACTCTAAGAAAATGAACTTACTTCGCTGCCTTCTATCGGAAGACTTATAAAGATACAATCTTTATAGTATTTGTGTAGCACAAAAAGCACGTCAACGTGTCGAACTTTTTTTCATTGCTAAAATGACCGCCTGGCATCTTTAACGATAATAAATTTTTCCGTATAACCAAGAAAATAAATGTAGCATGTGATACATCGTTGAATTTATATAGAAATATATAAAAAAATGTTCATATAAAAAAATAAAGTTAATCTTGTATTTATTTATATTTTTATTTACCAAATTCACGGGTGACCCCATTTTTACAAAATAAAATTACAAAATGGGAATAACATTTACAACATGCAGGCTCACAAGACATAATTATAAAAATCACAATATAAAAGATAATTTTTAAAGCCTGAGTGTGTACAGGTAAAGATGTCAATTATCAGACTGAGTCAAATAGATAACACGAATTGGTCTATCGACTGGAGAGTGCTGACCATAATTTCTAGGATGGAACTTAGGCCCGTATCGTCAGTCGTCCCTACAATTGTAGGGCGCGTTTACGGCCTCCTTGATTGTCATAGTTTTCTACTTCTTCGTGTCAGAGCTCTATTTTGAGGTTATGTCACAAACATCTATTTGCGTCAAATTGTGCTTGCTTTTGAGTTATATCATGTTTTATCAGCCTGCAATTTCCTAAAATTTAAAAAGAAAACATATCTTCACAATAGGAGAGCGCTGACGCTGACACAGGACAAGTGTAATCTAGAAATTTTTGAACGAGAGAAAGAAGTATGACAATCAAGGAGGCCATACACGCGCCCTACAATTGTAGGGACGACTGACGATACGGGCCTTAATCACAAGCAGATTACTATTACGCAGTGTTCTACGGGGTACATTAAGATTTATTAATGTTGACAAAGTTTCGCAATCGGTGAGCCACAATAAAATCATGAAAGCGAAACAACGATAAAAGACCAAGCACCTATGCTCCAATGGAGGTAAACGCAAATTTTCATGACAGCTCTATGATATTCCATCATGTTTAAGTTCATCTTTAATGCTGCAAGATGTAAAAATTTATACTGGACACGCTCTAAGTCATCTTTATCACACAGTTACTGAGTGGACCATACTACTGTGGTATATTCCAGATTTAATATTACCAAGGAGCAATATAAAACTTAAAAGGTATTAATTGAAAAACACTTTCACACACAATTTATTCAAACAAGGCCCACCATCTGTATGCCGTTTATACTAACTTTGAGAACCTGGTCTGGAAAGTTAAGCCTTCCATCAAAAAGCACTCCAAGATCCCTGGCAGTAGCCTAATAAGAGAGGACTCTATTATTTAATTTATAGCCAGTTGAACTTCTACTCCTACTTTTGAAGAAACTTATGGAAAAGCATTTATCAGAGTTCAGATACAAGTGAATAAGCTGTGCCCACTGCCACAGCGTATCAAGGTCCCGCTGAAGGCCCACCATGTCAGCTTTCTCCGTAATTGTCCTGTAAATTTTCAGGTCATCAGCAAACATAGTTCCTTTAGAATGACTTAGAACATCAGGGATGTCATTCACAAACAATATAAAGAGGAGAGGATCACAGTGGGTCTCCTGAGGAACCCCAGATGTAACCTTGAAGTTCGAAGTCAGATGCCCACTGATTTTTACTAATGAGTCCTACCTTTAAGCAAGCTCGCTAACCATCTTATAGTGTATTCTGAAAAACCATAAGCTGCCAGCTTTGCCAATAGAATGTCGAAGTTCACTCTGTCGAAGGCCTTGGAAAAGTCGGTGTAGATTGCATCCACCTGGTGACCTCCTCCAACAGATCATCTTTATAAGACACTAAATTACTCACAGTTGATCTACCTTTAGTAAACCTAAATTGACAGCTTCTTACAAGCCCACAGCAAGACTAGTTAAGTTGATTATATATCAAGCTATCCAAAAGGTTTCGAAATTGATGACTGGGTACATACACCTCTGTATATATAATATAACTGTGATTCCAACTGTCAGGAAAAACACATGTTTGGATGGACATGTTAAAAATAATATGCAAAGGTTTAGTAAGTGTAAAGATACATTCTTTGAGAAAAAAACCTCAGGAATTTTTTCAGGACCCGAGCTAAACGTCACTGGGAGACTAACGATTTTATTAAATACGTCCTCAAGAGAAAATTTGTTTCGTAGTATATCTTATGTCTTCTCAATAAAAAAGAGTGTACAGGATACACAGAACTATCATATACACCACTAAAGTACTTTGCAAACAAATTACTCATGGTCATCCCATCTTGCACTCTAACTCCCTCTATTAGGTAAGCTACTTGAATTTCTCAAATTCTTTACGTATCCCCAAAAGCGCCGTGGATCGGCTACCCAAGATTCCTGAACTCGATCAATATGAATTGCATGACATTGCTTATGTTCTTCTTTACCTATAGAGCGTAACTCAGAGAAAGTCACATAGTCCTCATATTGGTTTATTTCTGTAAACATCTTTTGGGCAATCTTTTTTCGACAGACTAGAAGACTAGATCTTTAAGTACAGGGCTGAACCATTTAGGGCAACGGTCATTTTTTATCCGCTTTTGAGGTACAAACCAATCTAAGCAATTTTGTAAGACTCTATAAAACTTTTAAACTATCACATTGACACCCACATCACCTAATAATGCATCTCAGTCACAAGATACTAAATAATCATCAATTACAGTGAAGTTAGCATTTATAAAATCATAAAAGAGCTCATCAAAATCAGATTGAATATGTACACTGTAGTAGTGCCTAAAAAGTGTCAATGGAAAAGTTTCATTTGTTTTTTGATATTTCCTAACATAAAGTAAGAAAACATAAAAATGATTTAGTCAAACAGTAGTTTTTCCCAAATATCTCGTAAGCCATGAAAGTTCTTTTCAACGGTATCTAAATACGCTCCAAAGAAAGCAGCTTTTTCCTAGTTTAACCTAAGCTGCATCTCCCACATGTATTGAGATCCTCATGCATAGGATCCTTATCTTGGAGACCCTGTATAATACATGAGTACGTATCAAGAACTATTATAATCGCTTATCAAACAAACAGTTTTACACCAGAGCTCCAAAGGAGGCTACTGTGTACAGTCACGTTTATTGTTTCGTAATGTTTCGTATTGTAATCGTTTTATTTTACAGAACGTGAAGTGAAAGAACTGATCACGCAATACACAAAGTTTGCTGCGGTAGTAAAGAAAATGGGCGGTATCAAAGGACTATTTAAAGGCGGCGATATGGCGAAGAACGTCAACCATACGCAGATGGCGAAGTTGAACCAACAGATGGCCAAGATGATGGACCCGAGAGTGTTGCACCAAATGGGCGGAATGTCTGGTCTTCAGAATATGATGAGACAGTTGCAAGCGGGAGCATCAGGAGGCTTAGGGGGATTGGGGAATCTGATGGGAGGTTTTGGCGGGAAATAGGTAAAGTCATACTTCACTGATCTATTTCTTTTTTTACCGCTATATCAAGGGACTTTGCTCCGTTGAGCTTTCTTATACGATGTCTCCACGCGTTAAGCCTGTCAGGTGACCCCACCGGATCTCCTCTGCTCATTATATCTCTGTCGAAATCCTTAGACGGTACGACAGATCCTTTGTTGAACAATCTACCCAAGGATGCTTTTTTATTTTACCTTAAGGACCGTTCTCACCGAAAGCTTTTGACTATTTGATCCAAAATTTCTCTAATGTTAAAAGATGGAAGTCATATTTCATGGACGAATCAGCCTTCATTTCTAGATATTCTTCCTGAACTTCTTCTGGTAATTGTGACACATCGACAACAAATGGATTTCTTGTCTTGTGTCATATTGGTGACTCTGAATTGATGTCTCGATAGTATCGGCGAAATTCGCCTTCCAGCGCTTGCAAATGAGTTTCTATGTCCACTATATTATTTTTAATTGCTTCGAACAGCAGGGAAAAAGATATAACATATTCAGAAGACACTTTTTGATTCCAAAGTTGAAGCTTTGATATGACCCTCTGAATATAATCTAATTGCTTATTATAGTGTTGTTTCTGCCCTGAAGTTTCAAGTTTAGCTCATTCAAGGAGTCAAATATGGCAGTTAAATAAGCCAACCTCCACTGAAGTGTGTCATCTTTGAACATTGTCAAGAAATCGTGTTTTTCTTTGAACTCAAGAAAAATAATTACCTCTTCTTTCAATTCATAAAAGCGAGCCAACATGTTGCCTTTGGACAGCCAGCGTACTTCTGTATGGAACAGAAGAACTTTGTGATCAGAATCGAGATCCTCGCAAAGTAAAGTAAATAACCGACTGTTCAAAGTGCTGCTTTTGATGTACTTCACAATCCTTATAGCCGAGTCCAAAGTCTGGCGTAATTTCGGTGGCAATGCTTTGGAAGCCAAAGCTTGCCGGTGAATAACACAATGCGTACTAACCATTGCGGGATTTTTTTCCTTGAGCTTTTTAGCTAAGCCCGATCGTACACCTATCATTACAGGTGCGCCATCTGTGCAATGTCCAATGAGTTTCTTCCAATTCAAATCATTTTTTTCAACAAAATTTGATATTGAATTAAAGATATATTCAGATGTAGTACCTGCTGTCAAAGATTGGGAGTACAAAATCTCTTCTTGAATGATATCTCCTCCGATGTAACGAACATAAACTATTAACTGTTCACAATTAACGATGTCGGTGGATTCATAGCAACTAATGGCAAAAAATGGTGATAATTTTACTTTGTTAATTATCTGTGACTTTATGTCTGCTGCAATGTCATCGATTCTACGCTCGACTGTGTTATTCGAAAGAAAAATAGACTTCATCTTTTGCTCTGCATCTTCTTCTAAAATTATCTGCGTGGCTTTTAGGACACATGGTTTTATTAATTCTTCACCGATAGTATGAGGTTTCTTTTGCTTTGCTATCATAAAATCTATTTCAAATGAAGCTTTGAGATGCTGCGATACACCTGTGTGATAACTTCCCGATTTATCCAGTCTCATCCTCTTGAGTGATTCTGCTTTAGAAGAAAAAAACTCTTTCGTCTTCAAAACCAGAGTAGGATGTTGTTGCTTCAAATGCCTTTCAAGGCGATTGGGCCTCATGCTATCATGACTTAAAACATTCATACATATCACACACTGAGGCAATTGTAACTCGTCTTTTTCTATGAAGGTAAATCCAAACTTAACGTAATCTTAGGAAAACTTTATTTTTTCGCTGCCACTTTGCACCTATAACAATAAAACAAATAAGTAATAAATAAATAAGCAAAATACCTACATGTAATTACTAATTATATGCCCATTATTTTATCTTAATAACGTAATGTATTCAACAGTATATTGGCCTCCGAGAGATTTATATTTTTGTATGCAGGTTTTCGTTATAACAGTAATTTTAAATACATTCGGAATCAATATTAGATACTTAAAGTTCGTCGTTTCAAAATTATTTCGCCAAGTTGGTTTGATTGTGATGTGGTAAAAAAGTCCCAATGGCCGATCTATGAACGCGTCTCCACTCAATCAACAATTAGTAACAATAGTAACAAACTTACCTTTTAACAGTGAGACACAATAATTTGACAGACTCAAACAGATTTCTCAACAAAACATGTATATCGAAGTCAAATTTTTCAAAGTTTGTGGGAATGAATGTCACAGATGCTCAACCGCGTCTGGTAGGTACACAATTGTTTTCTAAGTGATGAATGTTAAGCGGAGCGCGGAGGGGGTGCGCGCGGATTTCTTGTTGTGACTTGTCGAAACTTGTATAAACTGCGATTGGCGACGCCGGGTTTTTAAACAGCGGTTGACAGAATAAGTGAATATGATATTTAATTTCTAAGTTTATGCGTGTAAATTAAACATTACATCGTAATGTTATTTGTTTATTTTTTGTTTTTTTCTTTCTAAAATGCAATCTCTTTCCGCCCCCCTGGACATCTCTCTATGCCCCCCTTGGCGCGCGCGCCTCCCTGGTTGGGAACTCCTGGGCTAAAGTATTTTTTCATATTCCCAGAGATGTTAAGATAAAAGGAAAGTGGTATAAGATTATAAAAAGGAATATCACCAAAAAGTAATTCATATTGTTGTAAAGATCATTTTGAGATAAGTACAGAACACAGAACTACCATTTTGCCTAAATAGTATAGTTTTTATTTACATTAGATTACAAAGATTATGTATCTTTTTTTTTCTTTGCGAGTTAAAGAAGATAATTCTATAATACTATGAACCACTTCCAGTCATTGTTGATTGCACTCAGGAAAACTATATCTCAAGAACTAAGTCTGTCTGTGGTCTAAGGTGCTCGAGAAAGTTGTAAAGACAAACTGATGAATCAGTGTATTGTCTCGAACTGATCAAATACCGAACTGAGAGGTTGACAATCAACGACAGCGAGAACAAAGGCCTGCGATTTTAAATCAGAATCACCCTCCAACAAAGGGGTGGCTGGTTACATGTCGAAATGGTGAGGTCGTGCCAATAGCGTTGCGTTTCGATATTTTAAATTTACCCACTTATTTTGTCCATTTTACTTCCTACGCCACTGGACTGAGAAGTATGTATAGGCACATATGTTAGAAAGAGATAGAAGCCGGCTGGATAGCGAAGCTCATTGCCACGTTAGTAGCCGTTGCTTGGGAGTAAGCCGTAAATGCGAGTCTTCACATATCCCCACAAAAAGAAATCATTAGGCGCCGAGTCAGGAGATCTCGCTGGCCATTGTATGTTGTCATCTGTAGAGCTCAGGCGTCTGGGAAAAATTGATTCCACAAATTCAAGATCCTCCCTCGCCTTGTGAGCAGGACAACCATCTTTTTGAAAGTTGAAACCAAATATCATCAAGGTTGATGTCCAGGTTTCGTAGAGTCTGGATAATTTCGCGTTGATGCAGTTCCAAATAATGCGAAGAATTTAAGGAACCATTAATGAATAAAGATCCAAGAATGTGGTCCCCTAAAATACCCCATTAACTTTTTGGGGATACTGTGTCCTTAATGGTAAACTTAATGTTTGTTTACTCTTAACCAATACCTTAGATTTTGGAGATTATGATGTCCATGGAGAAAAAAGCTGGATTCGGCCGAAAACAATATATTTCAGATCTTCATCATTCTCTCGTTGACATGCTTTATGTCGACAAGAGTTGATGCAGCCGTGATTGACAAAGTTTCAGAAAATGCTCCTAACCGTGGTCGGACTAGGGTAAGGCTGGTCAGGGTACGTAAAGACAACCTACGCAACGACAGCTTCTGCACGTGTGGCCTTATTGTACAATAGTATCAGATTCACTTTTTGTTCGCGAGTGTATGTGAAACTCATTGTAAAAATATGTGGCGTCCACTGACGGTTGCGTCTGAAGGAGTGACGGACCACGAAATAGAACAGCGTCGAGAGATCTTACAGTGTTGTCAAATGTAAGAAAGCCTATGCTGCCGTCGAGAGTCATTGATCTCAGAGGTCATTTGGAGGTCAACTTTTTAAATTCAAATAGTAACCACTATTTTTATATTTTACATCAGAATGCATTTCCATACATGAGGTCAAGCGTCATAAGTGGCTCAATCTACATGACCTACTGTAACGTCTGAAAAGTACATGAAAACGTGGCAACCAAGTATTTTTTTGGAATGAAGGTTTTAAGAAAACTTTTAGGATATCTAAAAAGCAACTTGTCGATCACCTCAAATATGACCTAGAGAATGACCTCAAATGTTTGAATCACATGCATATTTCCCATTAACAATTGTTTTGATAACATTTTGACATTGTCGTGTGTAGGCAAATGCTTTTTTTCGGTTCATGTCTTATTTTGTTGGTGAATCGACCTGAAGAATTGGTAACATATTCGTCACATCCTCGTCACTTTCTTTCATCAAAACGCACGAATATGCCTCTTTTTCTTTAACGTCTAATTACTAGATACCGAAAGTGCTAATAAGAGGATTAATCCTTTGTATTTAAATACCATTTTTCAAATTAATAATGAATGAATGTGAATTTAGTCATATTACATTGATGAAATTTTATAAATTGGGTTCCGAACCAATTATTTGACAAAATACCTTAAAAATACCAGAGTTTGTGAAGTCCTATAGTTATTTATGGTATATAAAAGGCCTTCAGAGTATATTTTTCAAGTTTGCATCTCAAAAATCGTTGACAATTTGAATTAATACCGCTCATTTACAACTGCGCGCCATTGCCAGTTACCAGTTGATGAAAGACGTCATCTTTGGATGCCATTGTGGAATTTCAGCTAATTTTCTGGCCGTACCCTTAAAAAATCGTTGATAAATAATGGGAGGTATATAACCGTCGTGTTATTGTCTTCCTTAAAGCGGTCAGTTGGAGCAGCAGTGTGGAAAAGAGTCCCGGAGAGCTACAATTGGTACAAGAAGTGACAAGAAAGTTAATAGTGTACGAGAGATCACCAGCCTCAAAACGAAATTGAAGTCAAAATCGTTGAAGTCGAGTTATTTTTTGTAGGAACAGTTCTTGAAGCGATTTCATTGAAAATACTACAGAAAATACTTCAAAAACAGTAATTATTTATTTAAACTTATTAAGGCAAAATTAAAAAGAGTATTGAACATCAACCAGATAATGTAAGGTAATAAAAGTGACGAAACTGTCGGCTTGATTAGGAAGAATACTATCACGGTCAGGATCGCCACTAAATCGAGTATTATCGCCAGTACCCATGCCTGAAAATAAAAGGAATTCATATAATACTGATTACTGAATTGCAATTGCTCAGAAAATAGTATATGACTATTGTTGGTCTATGTTGTAACTCATTCCTTTTTATTCATTTTATTTGTAAATCAAAGTTTTTGTAAGACCAAGATCCAGGCGAAACAATGATATTCCTGAAGTTCTGCGTAAGGCTGAATATTTCCAGAAGTTGATAGTCTGCTTACCATAATAATGTTTTTTGAAATAAACAGAACAAATCTCCAAGACCAGCTAAGTGCTACTGTCATTCCAAAGAGTACCAGTGATATTTTCGTTATTTCTGAAACATCAAGAATACTACATATATATATATATATTATCAACGCACCATACCTCCCTAAACGCTATAGAAGGCGATTGAAATCAGTAGTGGTACGAGGATAAACAGCATCATCATTGAAAAATGTATGTAAACAACCTATTCCAACTATCAAAAGTGGAATGTCGTTCAAGTAGAAAATACCTCGATATGGATACTTTGGTAGTGATAAACTTTTACAAAGCATCCAATACTTACTGTGCAACTTGTGTTCAGTATTTCCATACTTTATGATCAAAAACGATGAATATCCTATCAAACTATATAGACTAATCCAAGCCATAGTAAAAGCAGCATTTGACATAGTCCACTTTGGTAACACTATCACATCTTTGTCATTGTAATATTGCTTATATCCTAATAGAATCAGAACTTCGCCAAAATTCGGTATTAAAATGGCTGAGATGGCTTGAACAATATTGATTTTAGTAACGGGATCCATCATCACGGGGTACTGTTGTATATACTATTTTTTATAATTACTTATGGAACAAAACTTGAAAAGATTTGGTTATCTGCTAGAAGATCCAAGATATAAAGATAAAAATATCGAGCGTATTTTATCAATGTTTTGTGATTGATATCCTAATGTCGTTTAGTGTGATCAGATTGAACAATGCAATGAAAGCGAATCGTTTTTTAAACTTGATACAGATATTAAAAAATCGCCTGTGTAGTCAAGTTAATGTATTGAGTAACATATTCTCCAAGATGTCCAACCTTATGCTGTATACGGATGTTCACATATAATTTCCATCGAATCATCCATATTGCCAAGTAGGTTCGCAGGAATTCCATTAGAAGTAATAAATACTTCATTTTCTTTCCATAGAAAATTGTTTATTCTTAAATATGACATCTGAGAGCCTCGGTAGCTCGGTGGTCAGCGCGTCGAGCTAGTGACCCGAGGCTCGCGGATTCGAATCTCCATCTTGTAAGTTAATTCCTTGTCATAGATGTTGTGTTGTCTATATCACGCACGTGGTGCATATTTCGAAGATAAATTCGCTGGCGTTTCTTATGACTTGCTAGCATAGCAGGCGTTGTGTTGGCAATCTCTTTCTGGATGTTGGTTTTCATATCTTGGACATTTTAGATAGACATGGGCTTTCAATAAAACCCCATAGAAAAAAATCATAAGGGGCCAAATCGGGAGAGCGGGCCGGCCACTCCAAATAGCCCCTAATTGAGATGAGGGTTTCTGGGAAGTGTTCCCCCAAAACATCCATCGATGCTCCTGACGTGAGTGGCGTAGCCCCGTCTTGTTTGAACCAAATCCTCAAAGAGTGACGGGCCAATAATTCCAGCGGAGGAAATTGCACGCAACACTGTGACTTTAGAACAATTCAAAGGCCTCTGATCCACACAAAGATCCTGCACTATTTGCCCTCTTCTAAGATGGAAATGAAGATCATCATGAAGAATTCTCCTCACAGAACGATGGGGAAGTAATGGGCCATGGGACTCTTCGTCTTGTCGCAGTTTTCTAAACGTAGTGACCCACGTAACGATTGATTTCCGGTCCGGAACCGGGGTTAAACTAAAGCGATTCCGAAAGGCGTACTGCGTTGAGATCACCGAACATCCGCTCGAAAAGTAAGCCTCAACGGCAAAACATGCTCCTCACTGTGTAACGCATGATGGCGACTGAACTATGTCGTGACAAAACTTTATGGTTCCGCCTCTCAAACGAGACCACAGGCGACTGGATGGCGCACATTTTTAAAAAGGAAGTTGTGCTCCCTCACCCTGTATACTATACAATGAAAATCAAATTTGTCTGATGGCTTGAGTTCAATTTGTACGAGAGAGAAGTGTATATAGACACATATGTTAGAAAGAGATAAAAGCCGCCTGGATAGCGAAGCTCATCACCGCGATGCCTACCAACGCTGATGAGGCAATCTGCCGCGTTGCCAATGTGACGCCAGTTTCTTGAATTCAAGGATATGATGCATATTGAAGATATGCGTTAGTTTATTATTTACTCCCAAATAATGTTTTTATTTTAAGCGTACACATTTTTGAATTGTGTCGGCTCTGTTTAGGATTGATTCCCGCTTGGTCCTAACGGCGCTCCATGTTTAGGTCGAAAAAAAAAGGTCAGGATCGCCACAAATCCTGCAACATTGCATCATTGGTTCGGGTGATAATACCGCATCTACATTGCAAGGCAAGGATTACACCTTCATAGTTGAGCGATTTTGGTCAGTACCCAGCTCGTAGGGGAGTGTCGACCTGCTTCGAAATGGCTTTCACCTGGGTTGCGTTCACGAATTAGAGCAAAGTACACTCTGTAACAATTTTAGCGTTCGTAACTGTTTGACGTACATGTTACATGCGTTCGAAAATAAAACAAAGTAATCCTTCTGGAACGTCAAATAATAAGAGTTCTGCCACTCGTAATTCTCATGGGTCATTGTTTGTTTATTTCAAACTGCTCAAAATTGGTAGAATATATATTTTATGACAGTAACCTAACCTATTGCGACAGCCTGTGCTAACATTTTCTGGTATTGACAACGTGGTAGATTGCACGACCTCGTGCGTCACTGCCGCTGGGCAACGCGGTGATGACCTTCGTTCTTCAGACGGCTTCTATCCCTTTCTAGCATATGTCCTTTAGACACTTCTTGCGTTTCTCTCACGTACACATTTAATTCAAGTCGCCAGACAAAACTGGTTTTCCCCTGTTTGTTCTAAGCATAAGTGGTTGGCGGCACAGTACATATGCTCATTTCGCGTAGGAGTGGCTTTAAAACGTAATCCTTCCTTCATGTTTGAAAGGCAAAGACTACTAACATTATTCTTGTTTCAGCCTATCCTCAGATTAATCGCAACCTAAATTGGAGGAATGATACCCTGGAGCTACATTTCCTAAACCAATTTACTTTTTCTATGTTGACGTATTATCATTATATGTTATTGTAATAAAATATATATGAAATTTTCCCACTGCATTTTTATTCAAAGCCTAGTTTTTCTCTATTCTGGATCTTTTTAATATAATACCTAATAATGACTCTACCTGCATTCATTACCACAGGATTGGGATAACCTACTTTGAAGTCTATCGGGAGAGAGCCGTCGAGATAAACATGGTAGTTATACAAGTATGTTTAGGGATATAGGTCCTTCGTCATTATCCAGAAAATATAAAAATTTATTAACTAATCGCTATCACTATCAGTATAATTTGAAGATTCTGAATAATTTCCTAAGTTAATAATCACTGGTTCTACCACTCTTTCCATACATTGGTCAGTTGTCAACATTTTTTTCTTCCTCCTTCTCAACATGTTCGATTGCTTTTTTCCCATTTTCCGCAGTTACATTTTGTACCGCTGTGTAAAAAAGCCGCTTTGCATCTGCGATCTTGAAAGTTGTGTTTTTTCTGGAAACTTCGTTTTTAATTTGCGCCAAAATTAACTAGATTGGGTTAAACTCGCAATGGTAAGGAGGCAGGCGTAAAATAGTCCGATTGGTAGATTTAGCCATTTTGTCGATGACATATTTATCAGCACCTTTATTGCCCTTGACCAGATTTAAAAGTTCTGCTTTGACCATATCGTTTGCAAAGGGAACATTCCATTCCTGTATTTCCTCTTTTCTGTTTCCTCTGTTTGGTGCTTTATCAATACGCCTACTGTGGTATGAAGCATTGTCCATAACAATGACAGAGTTATCTTCTAGATGGCTTATAATATTTCCAAACCATCCTTCAAATAAATTGGCATTCATATCGGCGTGGTAGTCTCCTGCTTGTTGTTTTGATTCAAATACCAATAGTCCGTCTTCCACGAAGCCATTATTAGATCCGATGTGTAAGATAATTAGCCATTTTCCTTTCTCTGAAGGATTTTTCAATCCCGTGGAGAGACCTTCCAGGAAGGCTTGCCTAGGATGCTCAACTGATGAATCCACCCATACGTTGCTACCAGTGTGCCCTGCATTGAGCCAAGTCTCGTCTAGGTAGTATATCTTCCTGCCTTCTTCTCTATACTTCCAGATTTCGCGTAAGATTCTACGTCTCCAACATACTATCTCGTCCTTTTCTTTCAAGATGCTATTCCGCTTCCTTCCTACAAAACTAAAAATTACATTAAATCTTTAAATTCGTTAATTCAATGAACCATATTATACGAATAACGAATTTCAGGTGATTCATCTTAACAAAATTGCAAATTTAGTCTAGTCATAAAGTATAGATAAAGATTGATAAAAAAACTCTAAACTATTTTTGTGTGTGAAAATTTTACGGAACTTTTTTGGTTTTGTATTTTACTTTCGAGGAGAAATAAAAAACAATAAGTTTTTTGTACAACACTTACTGAAAATTGAGTTCCTTCATTAATGTAGCCAACGTCGATCTTTTGAAGTCTGGCAAGTCGTCGTTGTTTATTTATAAAATTTTGTCCAATGTGGGTGGTTCGTTTCGGAAGAAAAATTCGTGAATTTTTCTTCAGAATAATGCCTTAGTTTCTTGTGAAACGTTGTCCAAAACTACTCTGGCTCTATGGTAACCTTTGGGAGGAAAATGACTGTTGCTCCTTTTGTGCTCTGCCAAAATTTTATATACACTGCTAATTGATGCTCCTGAAAACAAACTAATACATTTTGCATATATTATATATACATGCATTAATAAATAATAAAAATAATTGAAAATAAGTTTTAGAAATCAAAATGTGTGCAATAGAAGTAGCTTTCATATTAGTGGGTAAGGTATTTATCAGAAAATTACTATTATTTAGAATAATACATCAAACTACAAAACATTTTAAAATATAGTTCAAAGCTAAATCCTCACCTGATGCTATTGAAACAAAGGCTACACGTACTGTCTGAGTTTCAGTTGGATAGCGCTCCCGAGAAGCTATATAAATATTTATGATAGTTTCTTTTTCAGAAACCGATAAAGCTCCTTTTGCCCGTTTTCTTGGTAATTGGCCCTCGTCTAATAAGGCACTCATGTCGAAATATCCTTTTAAAAGTTGTCTTACAAAAATGAATGAGGCACACCAAAAAAAATTCAACCGCACGCCAAAGTCCTTCTGAAATTCTTCTTCGGAAGTGCTATTGTGAACTTGGGGGCTTATTTATCGAAAACGAACCAATAGGAACGAGGCGCGTGATGATCAGATGATTTATTACTCCGTACGTTCGTTGGGTAGATTTAAGTACATCTAACACTATAGAAAGAAATAAATCATATTTATTTCAGATATATCGAAATTCCGTGTGAATATCATATCTAACAGATGCAAGATTAATTGTGGGTATCACAAGCTTCTGAATAAAAAAATGATATTCAATGATGCCAAACATGTAACGTTTACAATCCTCCATCCAGCGCCCGGTCTACTGCCCATAATTAGCTCTGGCTGCTGTGGCAGCAGAAACACCCCCAGGCCGCAAAATTTGGCGTTACGGTCATGCCGACTGGGAGGGACTCGGATACTTTTTCTCGAGCTTTCCTTGGAGATATGTTTGTTTCGCTGACGCAGATGCGCCGGCGTTCTGTTCATCAATAAACGTTGGATGGAGGAATACATCGCTCATAGATTGAAAGTGCCTAAACCAGGGTCCAACGGCTGGTTCAAGAAATCGTGTGACACTGCTCGCCAGCAGAAGTTCAAGATCAGCACGATATAACAATTAGCCACAGGGTAATGGTAATGGCAGTCCATATTTCCGGATGCTGGCTAAGCAGATTGATAGAAACTATGTAGTATTCCACTTCCCTGCCAGGATGGAACGATTGTAACCGACACAAGGCTAAGACGGAAGTCCCTGTCAGGATGTTAACTGCCAACTCCATCATTGACGTCCCCCTCCCAACGTCCGATTTCCGGGAAAGTGTTCCCTGCACTAGGCGGGAAGTAACATTCAGGCATAAGACCGTAACATGGGTGCTCTTGTCGCTCCTCATCAACAAAGCTTTTGGTCCGGACTTGATTTCTGCCGTTGTATTGAAGAGGTTTGCAACGGAGCTTGCTCCAGTTGTTTCGCGTATCTTCTGTATCTTTAGAATCTGATGGCACCTTAGATTAAACTGGAAATATGCTCATGATGTCCAATCCATCCCAAAAAAGGGATCTAAGAGGCAGGCAGTATGGTTTCTGGTACCAGCGATCCACAGGGGACCTCCTAGCTTACCTCACGCAATTGTGCAGTAAACGCATCTTATGGTGAGGCTCATGTCGTTGCTCTTGATATCACGAAAGCGTTCGATCGAACGCTGATCCGCTACGACATATTGCCCTCTTATGCAAACTTCCATCCTATGGCCTCCCAGAGAATCTTTGCAGGTGGATGGCTGACTCTCTCTGGTCGCAAGATACCCGTCGTATTTGACGGGTTCTCGTCATCCCAAAACAACAACGGGGGTGTTCCCAAAGATCGATCTTGGCACCGACACTGTACCTCTTACATATCAACGACCTCCTTTCCTGTACGATTAATCCAATCCGTAGGTTTGCTGATGACAGTACTCTACATGCAGGAATTCAGTCACAAGCCGATTTCTGCCAGTTAGCTGGAAAAAAGAAGTCTAGCAGCGACTTTCTGACACCTGCACATTATTACTGCTTGTCTACGCAACACAGTACCTGTACCTTGACGAACAAAAATCGTTCTAGCGTTCACCCGGTTTCTATGGATGGCCGTGCTCTTCCAAAGAGCCCTTCATTTCGGCTCGTCGGAGTCCAGATCACCGAGGATTTGATCTGGCTCGTCAATAGCGGCAGCTGCTGGGAAAAGGTTATGCTATTTGTTTAGGGCTAAGAAGTATTTTTCTTCACATGACCTCCTCACTCTATACAAGGCCCTGATAAGACCTAGCCTCGAGTATTGCATACATGTTTGGGGTGCTGCCGCCCCGACTACATTATCCATGCTCGATAGTGTTCATAGGAGGGCTGTCCGACTGGTCGATGACTTTTCTCTAACAGAAAGTCTCGGGACCCTTTCGCAGTGGCGGGTCGTCGGCGATCTAGCTCTCCTGTATCGCTATACCAGCTCCTCAGTGCTCTCCTCTATGATACCGCCGCGCGATGTGCCTGTTACCCAGACCCGCGTGACTTCGGCCTCCCATCGTAACCGTGTCGAACTTCGTACATCCAAAACTGGCCGATACGACCGCTCCTTTGTCCAGTACTACTAACCTTAGGCAGTTCAAAAATCGGATGGATAAAGTTTCTTTGTGATCACAAAGCACAGCAGCCGCGGTGCCCTGGCGTTTAGGCTCCTGCCTGCACGGCTACTTCGATGTAAAAAAGAAAAAAAAGCTAATCGTCATTGGCATAGTAGCAATTTTGTGTCTAAATTTCATCGGTACCTTCAAAGTTGAAATTGCTTCATTTTGTTAAGAATACAATCATTCCTAATAACAAAGCTAACTTAGAGAGGCTAAAGATTAGCGGCCAGGCAGACAGTCTAGCGAAAATGTCTGACATGGTTCTTTGTTATATAGATGTCAAAATATATCTCATCTTAGAAATTTTTCACAGCCAGTTGGTACGGGAAATAAAAAACAAACTACCACACATAATCCTTTTATTTTCCAAAAAATTACAATAAAGCAAACGTTTCTACGATAAATTATTCTCAGAATAAGCATAAATACTTATATAGAAAAAATTTACAACTGCATATTGTTAACCACAACGAAAACAGTATCATTTGTGATAACTTTTTCACCTAAATGTTCAACAGAATAAAGTTCTATTTAAACCAACTTCAGTCCTTTATAAATACGTTTCAACAATTAATCTATTGTTAGAAGGGGACTGCGTAAAGAGACGTCAAATTTTTATTTGGAGTCTACTTTGCTTTGATAAGAAATTCAATAAAAAAATATAAAATATAGAAAATGAGGGTCCTTAATAGAAATGAATACCAAAATTTTTAATCTATAATTATCTTTCAACAAATCTTTTCATTATTTTTGAGAAAAGAAAGATATCCAAGTGAACAACTCCAAACAAAAGTTCGACCTAAAAGTATGAATATCAGCCATTACCGTACAATTTTTTGAAAAGGGTAAAATCTAGGCACTATAATTTTGTCTAAGTATTATTCAACTTTGAATACAGATATCTGTTCGACTTAAGCCATAACAGAGTTCTGCATGAGGACGTAAGCCTGCATTATAGCTGAAACCCAACTGCCAGATCGGTTGGTGCATCCAATATCACTGAAACAATATCCTGAAAATGACAGACTTTTTCCTTATACTGAAAACTCTTATGTAGCAAGCTCGACACCATCTTAAAACATTTTAGCTAAGCTTGATAAAAATTCATAACCCTCATAGAATTAGTTCAGTATATAATATGTATGTGAAAATATTTTATAATAAAATGTACACTTATGTTTAGAATACTTGTCAAACTTACAATAAGTATTAAAATATAATAACGTACGTACTTATTGGTCTCCTTTAAAATTAAATAAAAAAATAATTTATATTATATAACTTGGAATATTTTGTAAACAATATTTGATGTACAATAATTAATTGTATATAATAAATAAGCATACAACAGAAAAAATATTTGGAAAATTACATAATGAGTCGGATCTCAAGGAAAATGTAGCGCAAATAGTATGGTAAACAGAAAAGCAGGTACAAATGTAAGGATAAGGTGAAACTAACATTGTCTAAGTTTTTATTTAAAGGGGCATATATGATTGAAGATGGATATTTATTATAGTGAACCTTTGAAAATATAGATTTTGCATTCATTGTCTAGCGCATTTATTTCGTCGCAGAGACAAAAAGAAGTTTGTATTTAACTGTATTTTGATTCTGAAATCTGTTACCCGCACTATTTCGGCTACAAGTACCTGGACTATCACTGAATATTCAAAGTAAATCTCACTTTTAAAACGAAGTTTCACGACGAAAATGTTTAAGTAGAAACGTAGTACCTAGGTATCTCTGCCAGGTAACCAATTTAACTTGACATTTGTCATAAGGTTTCGGTATCGTAAGAAGTGTGCGTTTAACAACAGTCACAATACAGCGCTGAAGCTGCTGAACGATTTTTGACATATGAAGCTAGACACATCCGCTATATGTAGCTGCCATTTCCAACGGCCTTACAGAAGAGCGCTGCAAAAAGTCTGCTTTCATAAAGTTATATATCACAATGTTTGAGCTCTCCGCCACTTTATGAAAATATAAGTATAGTTTAGTACCGAAAAAGAACCGACAATAATTAGGAATTCAATTTTTTCTAACCTAAAATCCCCGACACACCCCTGCGAAGGCCACAGGGCAGATAAAGTAAGGGAGAAAGAAGGAGAAGAAAATTTGGTGGGATGTCTTGCCTTGGTGAACTAGAATATTAAAGTTCTGTTGGAAAATTGGTTTTGAACAATGAGACTAATAACTGACAAACAGTATCCTCTAGGTACTTTCGTTTGTACAGACACACATAATTTGACAGATATCAGCATCTTCCACTGACTTGTAATTTGGCCCTGTACATTGACCTCTTATAGGGCTAGCGTCGCAAAGTTTACAGAATAAAAAGTAGTTGATTGGCAGCACTGGTTCCTTTCAAGGCCTAACTGCAATCGAAAAGCTACTCTCAACCAGAGATTTTTACAAAAATTATAAGCGAATGTATTAGCCACATTCTTCCTGCATCTGAACAGAGTAGCACCTATAGAATATTGAAACCTCATTTGCTCCGCGTTACAACAAACATGAGAACTCAATCGGGCTTCTATTCGTTTGTTGCAGCCTGCCCAGGCATTTGTTGCTCGCTGGCCAATGGGAGCGCGCGAATTTGAACATCGCGCCCCGATATTTGTTTTGACAGGAAGTAAATGAGAATATTTAAAGCATATGCTTTAGTGCGAATTTTACAGTCGCAACTGTCAGATTGCATTTTTACATAATTTCCTCATCTAAATATTTCTAAAACTACGCATCATTGAAACAAAGTTTCAAACAAAAGGGGTGTAGGGTTTCCAGGGGACAAAACGATGGTGACCTTTAAGGCCATTTCAAGGACAAACGAATATTTTCAAATGGGCCTCCCCTTTTTACACCGGTACTGGCAAAGAGGAGAAAATTTCACCCCCGAATATGTCTTTGACTGTGATCATCACCATGACATTCAAGGTCAAGTCATCACATTGCAAACAATTGGCTCTGTCAAAAATGTTCGAAAACAGTTGTAAGCTTTGTGAGGATCACCCAAAGGCGACCTTGACCATCACATTCCCTGCTCTTTCCAATTCCAGAAGAAAATTGAGGGGGGTTTCCTATGAAAAATTTAACTTGACCTTGAACGTCAAGGTCACCTTTGGGAGGCCCCCACCAATCACAAAACTGTCCACTTGGATAATTTTGCTAGAGACAATTATTTTAAATGTCTGCTTGAGCTTGAAATGGCCTTGGAGGTCATTGTTATGATCCAGGTCATATTCGGATGTAGAATTTTCCCCTCTTTCCAGTTCTGGTGTAAAAAATGGGATTCCACTTGATAATATTCCATGACCTTGAAATTACTTTAGGTCGTGGTGAAGCCCATATTCAAAGATACCATCATTTTGCTCTGTATAAGGACTGATCGGTGATTTATGATGTTTTTACTCCGTAAGCTTTGACCTAGATGAGAAACAGCGTGTAACCTTAATCATTATATAACTTCCTAAACGGATTCTTCGTATCGTACGAGTCACAATAGTGACTTCAATGTGGGTTCCGTTCCTCTGTCATGAACTGATCCAGGACAGTTTGAATGGAATGGTGGAAATCTCCTTCGCTAGCGTCATGAGGTGAGACTACTGTATGTTGACTGGTCGCGGTTCTGATCGTCCTGGATATCCTGGAATTTTAAAATTTTCAAAATTTTGCAATCAAACGATTTAAAAATAAGAAAGTCTTCATAGGTTAATCATGTGCACATTTTCGAAATCTCTATCTATATAGTATTGGCACGGGTATTATTAATCTTGAAAAGTGACATTTTGTCGTTTGTTTTCATAGGTTTTTGTGACATAACGTAGGTTTTTCTAAAAGGTGTTAACTTAGCACAAGCTGTTGTACACTTGTTGTGAAGCCGTTTTGTATCTGTACGTGTTGCTTTAAACGACAGCGAACAGTGCATATAGAGAGCAAACGGAATTAACTACTTGCACACTAAAAACTACCTAGTCTGCAAAATGACATTTCATCGGTTTTTTCTACGTTTTTTAGGTTTTTTACATAATACCCCTGCTGGTCTTTCAACAATGATGGATCGATGTTGAAGAGTATGCCCCGATTACATATAAAGGGCTTGGAGCAATAAAGTACCTAAGCCACATTTGAATAAAAAGGACATTTCCATCTAAAACCACGCGTGGCGTAGGTTTCTATGTCCGGAGTTGATTTTATGACAATTGATATATATCGCTGTAGTTTTGAAATGGCGTTTTGAACAACCAAGATATCCCATATTTTTACACCAAGGAGTTGTAAGCCAACAATGGATGTTTCACTGATACAGAGAACAAAGTCGATTCTGCATTTTTCAGAGGATAGGGTGGACAGATATTGTCCTTCTACTGATGGTAGTACTGAGGGATTTACTCAAAAGAATATATAAATTTGTGAAGTATAACTTTACTGTCGTTATAGCTTTTGTTATGTACACTGAGAAAAAAAATTAACCAATAAAAATTTTAATTGGGCGAATTAAAAAATCTGTGACAGCTAACACGTTGAATTACTTTAAACAATTAATAATTAAACTCCTATAATACATTAATTAAATCAAAACACAATCCTTCAATTAAATTTATTAAGCCGTTTACCTAGTTCGAGTACACCAATTTATTTAAAATTATTGAACTATTAAAATGAGCTTACCTGCTCCAAGTAAAATAATTCAATTGTAATTTGAAAAATTTGATACTGGTAATTGACATTTTCGAATCAAAATAAAAACTGCCAATTATATTTCCCTGATTATCCAGAAACATGTAATATATCACCAACCACTAAGAAGAAACTCTTTAAATTCAGAAGGTAAGGAAAAGGGGTGACTGAAACTGAATGCGGCTACCTGACGTGTACAAAAATTTTATTGCTAATAATAAAATAATATTGCACCCACACGCCTTCAAAGCATTGAAATATAAAAATATATTCAATATCGCTTTAAACAAACTAGGATATTTTCAAATACTACAAAGTGTTCACCAACAGGAGGATCCACTCCATATTCAATACAGAAGTATATTATACAACATAAAGAATCCATCAGAGATTTTAATCATTGTACCTATATTGCATTAACGGTGATACACCACTGGCGCAAGTCTTTTAACGTTGTACGCTATAAGAACATCAAAGAGGGCTATGAATCGATATCCAGTTATATCTGAGAATTGTTTCGAAACGAGATTTAAATGCCCTTCATTGACTTAAATAAGACTGCGCAAATAAAATTTTGAAGTTCTTCCCAATCTGTCACGTCAGCAGTGACTCACCCATACAAAGTATCTCATTTCGAGCAACAAATATTCTAACCATTGTTATGGCTCACTAGGTGCCTTATGCTCGAGTTTTTTAATTAATCACCATAACTGATCCACTTCACAGATACTTCACCAATAACATATCAACATTCCAATTGAAGCTAGTCACGAAAATCATAAGTGAAACTGAGGAGTTCGAACCGCGTCACCGGCAATGCGCCCGTCGCATACTCCCGATCATTCACGAATAAAGGACCGAGTCCGCGATTCAAATAAACAGTTTAAATGTTTTTATTAAAATGTTTATTTGTTTTAAATGTACCTTTTCTACATAAACTAGATTATCTAAACTAATTAAACAGTTTAATGAACAGGTGTTATTTCCAATTAAGCTGCTTCCAGAAAATTCAGTTTAATTGAATCGAATAATTTAGCTACTTCGAATAATTAAAAAATTCATTGTGAGTAATGAAAATTTTTCGGAAAAACTGTCTAATTGACCACATTTTGTCAGTGTAAGAAAAATATTTTTTTGTATTAGTTTCACAATACTATTCGATAATGGTTTCAAACCATATATTTATCAAAATATATCATTATCCCTGTTGAGAACGTTTATCGCAGATAAATTGTCAATAATATGTATCTTTGTGATGAGTGACCTTCCTCACTCATTAGGAACATTCATAGTTTTTGCGAAATAGAGAGCACATCTGACACAGTTCTAATTGAAAAACAGAAAGTTTACGGATTTGGCTCCATATCCGTCACCAAAAAGACATTTAACGTAGATAACGAGTCCGACAAATTTAATGAATTTTCCTGTTTTAAGTCTAACAATGAACACTCAAATTATATGTTTATAAACATAAAGCACTAAGCCACAGTACTTTCAAAAATGTGTTTACGAAAATGACTTATATTTTATCGATCCTGTTGTCAGTAAATCTTTGTTTCTCAAACTGTAAACTATCGTAGCATTTCAATTGAAATTAAGAAAGAAACGTGATTTACATTTTTTGGATTGGTCGAAAATAGAGTCAATGTGGCTTAGATAGCTTATTGCCAGTTAACCGATGTTATTTTCTACACATAATGCCACACACAGACCTTTCAAATAAAAAAATGCCACAAATACCTCACAGCTTATTTCAACATCGAACCATCCTTATTGGAAAATGGTCTACTACTGCCAGCTATATCTTGTTACTTGAAAAATGGAAAATAACTTATTTTCAATAACTAATAAATATTTATTATCCTAGTTCGATTTCTAAAAAACTCGCCACAAAGACTAACTAAAAACAAATGGAACATATACTAAAACCATTCCTTAAACTAACGTCTATACGCAGTTGTTAATATGCAGAGTGTAAAAATCGTTATTTTTATTTAGGGCTAACCCTTTACCAACGAATTCAGACTAGGGCGAAGAAGCAAGCCTAAGATTTGTTTGTCTCCAAAATTTCAGTTTGTAGTCAGGATGAAAGTGGACTTCGCATAAGTTAATTTTTTTGCAGAAATCGTTTTGTATTAATTAATACTGAAGTGATCTACTTACTTAGCCCCAGTGACTGGATCTATCTCTTCCGTTGTCGTAATAGTATATTGAGGTTCTTGCTGATAAAAGTCTTCTAAAAACACATACACAACAACACATGAATTCTAATCTACCCAAAAATTATAATGTTTTTCTATTACGTGGATATGAAGAAATAATATTCATGTAGGTATCATTAACGATTGCCAATGATAACTTTATCATACACCACGTTAAGGTTAATTATATTATTTCACCATAACCAGCTATCTCGATGTTTTGTAGCATTTAGGCCAGGCTATGTCATGAACTTTGCATGCTTTGGAAAAAATGGTGAATCTCTAGTTCTCAGACCTAATACTCTCTCGGCGAATTGTTATTCTGAAAGAAACATCGCATTAAAAACCTTGTAGAAAGGTGTTGGTAGATGTCATGTTGATCTTGACCAAGATCCTTAGTAGGTGAATTATATATCGGTGGAAGACAGATATAACTACATAAAAGTCATTGCTTGACTGTCATTAATTTGGTTTGTACTTTGGAAAAGGCTGCCGAGGCAACCAAAAAGTCACTTAACTAGTACATTGAACATCTGTGGTTTGATTTATTGGCCAGTGTAAAGAATCCTGTACGTTGCAACAACTTAAAGCAATGGCCATACTTGTGCGTTTTCTCTTCCATCTTCAAAATGAACGTGACCTTGATTTAATCTTGTAAAGTTCAAGATCAAAGACAATGAGACAGCTGCGACCTTTCTGTGCCATTGAGAAGCGAACTATCCTATTGAGTCCTCCGAATTCACAAACAACTCGTGCCTGATGTATTACAGAATGAACATCTAAAAATCAACTTGACCTTCCTTAAATTGACATTGAAAGAATTATGTTCAGCAGCAACATGACACCTTCCTACAAGGTGTTTTAATGAAATACTTCTTTCGGTCAACCGATTTTCTGAGTTTTTGGTCTGGGAACTACAATACATACTCCATTTTTTAGATCGGCAAACTTTATCCCACCATTTCTCAGACGCTATGACTATGCTAAAAGAGACATCCGCAGTACTGGAACACATTTGGGATGACAGGTTAGATAATTCATCAGATATGCACCTATAATAAAAAAATTATACTTATCTATGTCTACAGAGTGTCCCAATATTCCGTGGACATGTAGAAGTCTCACGTACTTTTAGACCCAAAATAAGTCGATTGGACATGATTTACCTTTATGCAAAAGTACTTCGTTTGTCCGTCAGATGACGTCAACATTTTCATTTTAAAATACATTTTCTAAGATATTTTACCGATAGTCCGATTTAAATGAAATTTGGAACAGACATGTTTTGCTAGACGTTCTAATATTTGACTTTTACGAAAATCTCTAAAGGGTTGGAGAAGGGTAAAAATTACCCCCACCCCTACATGAATTATAGCAGAGTTTTTTGGCAACTTTCCAGACGACTCTGAATTTTTTTATTCAGTAGATCTTTTTGTTTACTTTATTTTTTGTCTCCTATAAAAACAGGCCATCTTGGATAGTTTTTGGAGAATAAATGAACTGCATTATGAGGTTCCCAAGCGTCTTATAAATTCTTCAAGTGTACTTAGCGAAAATAAACAAGTATGATATTATTTATTACAATTTTATTTAATACAGGCAATAGTGTGAATCTTTCATAGAAGGTGTTCAATATCCCCACCATTTTCGTTTCTGCACACAACAATACGGCGCAAAAAATACTTGATGTGATAAGAGTTTTTTTTAGAAACCAGCTATGAAAATCATTTTTTCTGGAAAATTATGCGAGATGTCCTGTTTTTATAAGACATAAAAAACGAAAAGAAAATAAAAGTATCTATTAAATCAAAACATTCGATGGGAGAGTTGCGGAAAAATTCTGCTATAATTTATGTAGGGATGGGAGGTAGTTTTCACCCTTCTCGAACCCTTTCGTTTTTTTTTGTAAAAGTCAAATATTAAGACGTCTTGTAAAACACATGTGTTCCAAATTTTATTCAAATCGCACTATCGGTTCAAAAAGTATCAGAAGAAATGCGTTTTAACAAGAAAACTTTGACGCCCTCTAACGGACAAACGAAGCAATTTTGCATAAAGGTAAATCATGTCCAATTGACTTATTTTGAGGTCAAACATACGTGGAACTTCTATGCCCACGGAATATTTTTGACATCCAGTATAGAAAGTGTTTCGGATTTTCCTCAGGCACTGCGACTGGACAATGTCAGCTACTCATTATTTTTTGTGTACTTGCATGAAATTGGCTACCTGTAAATATTTTTCTCTTTATTTTTTGCTTGGAATAGTGATATAACCTTCGACCTTTGGCGGCAAAACATCGAAATTCATGCTTCGAATATGTGAATTGTTTAAAAATTCTACGTCAAACATCAGTATGTAAAGAACAGTGATATAGCATTATACGTGACAACTATCTCTAATTCTAAAGTGCAAGCAAACCAGCAAAAGTACTATTATGAGCTGCCGTCCACTAGGTCACCGATGGTAGCCACTAGTGTGAGACAGCTATGAGCGTCATCGTGGCCAGCCTAAGATGTCATTATATACGGTTCTTCCCAACAATGAATTTCTGTAAGTCCTGAACGGTCATTCACACCAGATCAAATCAGTTTAGTACGTAACAAAGCAACATCATTTACTTGTTTGGATGTCTGTATCCGACAGTACCAGATAAAAATTCATTTTTTGAGAGAATCGAAAAAGTCCGTACTTTCCAAAGAAATTTCGATAGTAGATCAGGCTTGATTTACTTCAGGTATCTCTGTCATAAAACGGATACGGACTTTTCTTTGCATTTTGGGCTTGGCACAGTATTGCCTCACACTAGAAAACCAGTGACTGGTACTATATAGTTCACATCATCAGTATTAGTAGTATTCTATTAATCCCTCATGCTTGTCTGGCCAATAAAACCACATGTATTGACAAATCTTTTTTACTGTAACAAACATTTGGATCATAAAGGTGATTTTCTTTAGTATAATGTCATATATTTGATTTATCTGTTTTCCAGGTGACAATTTTCTTTTCAATATCTCATTAATATAGATTGTGCGAAGTCATCATTTCTCCAAAATGGTATTATATACTAAACATAGTCCAGGACCGCCTGGGTTAGGCATTCTTGTCAAAAGGACGTTCAGCCCTCCAAAACAACAAGCGAATATGAGACGTTTTTCAATGTAACAGACACGTCACTTCCGTCCATCGATCAGAAAACGACAAAAGCCTAAAAAAAAAAAAAAAACGCAAAAACTCACCCACAACTGTTGTCGCAACACACCGGTTAACTGTTATGCAATTATCGACTAAAATGTTGTAAGTGCATTGTTTTGCATCTGAAACGCGGTATTACTACTTCAACATCTAAAGGGAACCATGTTGTTCGTCCTGTTGTTTGATCTCAAACACGCAGATGTTCTGATTTGACATTTCAAGGCCAAATTGTTGTGTCTTATATTATTTTCTCACAGGACAAACCACAATGATTCCCTTTAGATGTTGAAGTTATATTTCTAGCGTTTCAGATGCCAAAAAATGCTTTTGCAATATTTTAGTCGAAGATTGCATAACAATGAATCGGTGTGTTGCGACAACAGTGGATTTTCGTGTTTTTTTTTTTTTTGGAGGACTTTCGGTATTTTCGGGACGATGGATGAGGGTGATGTATCTGGTACATTAAAAAACGACATATAGCCTCGTTTGTCGTTTTGAATGGCTTTATTGGGAACTGGAATGTCTACTCCATGCGGTCCTGGGCTATGCTGGTTTTGCGTGGGGCCATCTTAAAATTCGGAACGATGACTTCGCGCAATCTCAGCATGTTATGGGACAGATTATTGCAGTAACACGCAGGAATGTGATAATGAAAACAAAAACAAACGAACTGTTCTGGAAGACAAATCATACGTCATTGTACTGAAGAAGATCACCTTTGAAAATGTTTCCCACGAATAAAATATTTTCGTCTCATCTAATACAAATATAAAATGTATGCAAAATGCAATTCCTATGTATGCCGGTCACTAATGACTTGCCTATGGTCGCTACCGGTGGCAAAATGTGTAGCAGCCCTAATAAACATGTTCTTTGCATACAGATTTAAAAAAGTGCAAGCAAAGTGTAAAATGTATTATATGAAAATCATGCCTCATTTTAATATCGATTAAAGGACAATTCATGCACAAAATGCAAAATCAAGACTAATCAATTTTCAAAATGCATGTTAATGCCTAAAGCATAACTTTTCAAAAATGCTTACGGTATGTGGCCATTTAGACATTCTAAATCGTTTACTAAAATCTACACTAAAGGATATACAGAAAAACTATGTCTGCATGAATTTTGAATGCATTTTATTCCTAGTTCAGTATGGTAACAATCTAACCTATCCCGAAAAATCAATAGTTCAAATGCAGTTCGTATCAAAGATCATTAATAGAGAAGAGTTATAAGCCAAGATTGTCTAGCGGCAGAATACCATAACTTGGTTCAATTCTGGTTCGAAAATATATTTTGTGAAATAATTTTGACTGACATTTCAACCCAAAAATACATCTCTTGACAACTGTATAGTGTATTTCGCTATGCGTTAGGTCGGCCATGTTACCAAAGAGACGTCTTGGAAGTTAGGAGTGGAAAGTATACTCGTATGTTAAGTAACCTGTAGATACGCTTGATTCATATTTTGTGGTAACGTAGGTAAGTAGATAACTTAACGCTGACAACAATATATGTACTTCACTATTGTCAACAGGTATTTTTATTGAGATATCTGTATTAAATTATCCCAGAAAAACTACTACCTTCGATCTAGAATTAAATTATATGAGTTTTTCTTGTATATCCTGAACTTAATGATGGATTTGTATAGATGAAAATTATGAAAAGCACTATTGCTAATTGTTACTTGATTGCTTAGTTGCAAAGGCATCTAAAGTTGATGATTTATTTTAGAAAATGTGGATGTACTTTTTGAACTGAGATGTGGATACGTGGTGAAATCATTACTGACGTGACACACCTTTCCGTATTTTCATCTGCAGTTACATTTCAACAGCAGGCGTCCTAGTTATTATTTTTATGCTAAATTGAAACGGAATACGAATGCGCCTTGTCAATAGTAAGATACTCTCCAAATTATTTTCGTTTCAAAGAATTGTGATACTGCAGAGTTATAAAATTCAATATGTATTTAGGCATAATTTGTTAGGTCTTTAGAGCTGGAAGGTGTATATACATACTTGTCTGCCATTTTGATCTGTTACATCCGAGTATTGAGATCGATTAGGGATATCAATAATGATAATTAGGTGTAACATACATATACTTCCCTTAGATTCGTCACCGTTTGTCAGAGCGGTCGGTTGGACGAGAGATGGTCGATATCGTTATTTTTGAATATATACTAAGTGACATATAAATCCGAACACCCAGTTTAAATGGTTTTATTTTAATAAAAGTTGGAGAATGTATTTATCTTACTGTAAATAACAAGTGAAAAAATTTTCAGCCTTATCAGTTGGACATTCCGGTTTTTATTCTGCTTTTTTTTAATTCACTAACGCTTTAAAAATGAATATTTCAGCCGCAGTAAAGAATCAACGTTGGCGGATTTTGGTTCTTGACATCCTTTACGATCGGTTACGATGCCTAGAGTACGGAGACCTGTACGATTTCGTCAACTTAGTGAGTTTGATAGGGGCCGTATAGTGGGACTTCGGGAAGCTGGACTTTCTTTTCGGGCAATTGCAGTTAGAGTGCAAAGAAGTGTAGACACTGTGGTTAGGTGTTGTCAGGCATGGCTTCGAGAAGGCCGTACGCAAAGAGCAAGGGGCACTGGACGCCGCCGTAGAACAACAGACCGTGAAGATCGCCGCCTAAGATTATTGGCCTTAAGGGACCGTTTCTCCACTACCAGGTCCATTGCAAATGAATGGTTTGCAGAAGACGGAAGACATATTAGTGTTTACCGACGAATGAGAAGTATTGGCTTGTTTTCATACCGGCCACACTGGGTCCTCCCTTTAACTCCAGAACACCGACGTAATCGCCTTGAGTGGTGCAGACAACGGTCACTCTGGGATCAGGAATGGAACAGTATTGTCTTTAGTGACGAGTCTCGATTTTGTTTAGGCATGCACGATGGTCACGCCAGGGTTAGAAGGCGACGTGGTGAAAGGAGGAATCCACAGTTTTTTGTTGAAAGACATGTTCATCACACTGTTGGAGTTATGGTTTGGGGTGCTATAGCTTATGGTTCCAGGTCACCTTAAATCTTCATCAGAGGTAACATGAACGCGCAGCGTTGTATCCACGAAGTTCTAGAACCCCATCTTTTACCCTATCTTGACACCCTGGCAGATCCAACTTTCCAACAAGATAATGCCCGACCACATGTTGCAAGAGTCACAATAGACTTCTTTCAACATAATGATGTCACATTGTTACCATGGCCACCAAGATCTCCCGACTTATCCCCAATTGAGCACGTGTGGGATATGATGGGTAGGAGATTGCTCAATTTGCAACGTCCTCCTCAGACTCTAGAAGCACTTCGAGAGGAGTTGGTGGTTGCCTGGAATGAGATACCACAGGAGGACATTGACCACCTGATCAGAAGCATGCCTAGGCGCGTTGGAGAATGCGTAGCACATCAGGGTGCATCCACACATTATTAAAGGTCAAAGGGCTTTAAAGCAGTGCAATCATTTTGAAATTTTTATCATTTACTTATTATGCTTCGTTAAGTACTTATACAAAATTTTATTAAAATAAAACCATTTAAACTGGGTGTTCGGATTTATATGTCACTTAGTATATATGATATGGTGCAAAATGATTCTTCAATATATTTAGGCTCGATATGATTCTGATGACAACTCTAGCAATACGGGGTCCAAAATCTATTCTTCTAATAACCTATCGTTTTCTACAAGCTTTCAAGATGTTTTTCAATTGTCTATTTGTACATTTATTTACGTACCTTGTCTATACGATAAGTCCTCGGTAACATCTTAAAAATCAAAAAGTAGGTAATGTCAGTAGTGAGACAAATAAAAACGTTTCTCAGGAAATAAACGACTATGTTTTACATTCAAATGAGATCCAGGGATCCTCCTCATGAGCATCACACAGACAAGCATAATATATATGGGAAACAAATTTAGCCAGTTGCGGCTCAATTCAGATGTTCAGCAATAGATAACGGCACGAACCATCTCCTATCAAGACTACTATATATGCACTAGCATTGCCGAAGTAACTATATCTTCCAGAAAAGTAGATCGACCCAATACTTTCCTTTTGGACAAATTAACTTTGTATACGCATCATGTATCTGAGTCAACTTTCGTACGTTCTGGTATATTTACTATTGGCCGGCTGTGAAACCTTACAGCTGGTAATAGAATCCACATAATTAATTTTTTTAAATAATCGAATCTGAGTATGCATGAAAACGTCTGTATACTGACATGCGGTGTTCGAAAAAAGTATTGAAAATAGACAATATAATGCATTCTTCAGCCTTCGAAATTTTCTACACTAGCAGTTATTTCACACTATTACACTTAATTACTACCGCCCTAATGATGTCACCATATCTGGACTATTTATATTCAATAAATTATATTGCACCTGTAGTAGCAATAGGGAATATACTATACATGTGCTTCAAATACCGCTTAATTATTTTTTACTTACAGTCTACCTGTATATTGCTACAGAATGATGCGCTTGAAACTATTTTATACTTGAGCGGTTTAAATTACGAGTATTAAAAAAACATATAAAAAATCCGCGATAAACTAAAATATCGAAACGCAACGCTATTGAGACTTGCGACCAACCAACCCTTTGCTGATTAGTCAATCCCATTTGAAATTGCAAGCGTATTGCTGGCACTAAAAAAGTGACATATACACTCTCCACCCCCCACAACCGCCAACATTTAATTTTTAACCCCTGCAAAAATCGTTCTGGAAATGATCGGGATCCTCTGAAACGCAAAAACTATATTTGGACGATTATTTTTTCGTTTCGTAAAAATTACAAAGCTTTCTTGACACAGTAGCAACATTGTATGGAAAATTCATTAAAATCCGAGCAGTACTTTCCAAGTTATAGACGGGCTAAGGATTAGCGGACATACAGATCGACACACAGGCCGACGGAAATGAGTAAAATCGTTTTTTGTGCTTTTCATCTTATCGTTTGTTATTTGAGCGGTCCCCAGGGATTTTTCGCGCATACATACTTCCACGCCATTGGCATAGGAAGAAAACGGCGTAAACCTAAACGGGCACGTATGACGCCTTTGCGCTCATAGTTCTATTGTATTACAGTTTAGAACTTGTTGCATTACTGTGCTAATATTCCTGGTAGCTAGAATCAAGATGACAGACAAGTAATCTTTCCGCTCCTCCACTTTGAACTTACGCCTTTTCGTTTTGTTGAATGTGTGTGATGTGGGATGTGTGAAAGACAAAAAAAATGCTAAAAAAATTACCGTTAGTTTTGTGCGAGCAGTGCCAACACGATCATGCTTGTAGCCAATGCGAGAAATGACCACACTAGTGGGTAAAGTACATGCCAGATCTCTAAGGTTTTGCTTTGACAGGAAGAGGGGTTTGTAGCTAATAAGCAATATAACAATCAATCAAAACGCTTGTCAAACAGAACAGTTGGCACCATCTAAATTAACATTAAGTTACTCTCGCAACATTTTGTTTTGGCACTCACCCTGGTTTTAGTGTTGTGTTGCTTTTGATTTTGCTGATAAGATAAATGATTATAAATTTAATTTTTGTTTAATTACAGACAGACAAGATTTTTACCCAGAAACACGATATACTTTCCCGAAGGTTTTTGATTCGCTGAATCCGAATCTGTGGACCAAGTCTCTCAGTTGGCTCTAGTTTCCAAGATATGCGAACCTAAAGGTGCAAAAATAGAGATGTTTGCCTATATTTCAGGTTATGTAGCATGGCGAATTATTTTATTTTTCAAATTTACTCATTTTTTTTCTGTCGCTGATATATGGCAGTTTGAAATTTTCAACTATTTGACTTTAGCTATATTTGATATAGTTGTAGTCACCGTTCTTGGCCGGTCAAAGTAAGAGTTACCAGTATATATTTATATATCTCCATCTTCCTCATACATACACATGCAACCTATCCTTGTGTGTGAACATTTGTTCGGTAAGCTCAAAGACATACGTTTTTTAGTTGTGTCTCCGACTCGAAAACTTACTTAACATCGGCATGCAATTCGAGTTGTCCTGTTATCAAACTTCAATATAAAATTGTACAATGCCCAGAAATACGTTCAATGGAGAACGCAGACAGCTCGTGCTGAATTTATTAGAGTATTTCAGGAAGAGGATGAAAACAGCGGTCCCCTGTTATACAATTCATGCGCACTGGAGAGAGAAGCAGATGCGCTGAAGATTAGTCTGAGCAGTGTTCCGCCCATGGTACGGAGACCCGATCTGTTTACTTATTTGTTATGGCACCAGAAGTGTTTCTACCGCCGTATCAGCCGTATCGATGATATGGGGCCCGCAGCTTACGCAGGCCCTCACGTTCGAAAAAAAATGCGTAATGTTTTTCACAATCTCCCAAGTTTTTAGGCCGTACGTTAAATTAAAAATTATCAAGCGCTGAACCTTAGATTGTACATCTAGGTGACAGTAGAATGCTTCCGATTTTTAACCCTCTAGATCTAGATCCCAACTGCAACTGCTGAAACAAGCTTTTCGAAATTAAGAGTAATTAAAATATTTTAGAACGTGTATAAAACAACTTTGACCATCAAGTATGGTAATGCCTTCAGAGGCTAAAAATTTCGAAACAATAAATTCGTCTTCCGCTATGGATCGTTTAATAAAAAAATATCGGAAAAAGTGGAAAGTAGATTGACTTGGCATTTCGTAAGCATTCAGCTATGCCTATTTTAAAATATTTCATGAGTCAAGATAAGCCTTTTGATAAAGAAACAAAATGCTCTAACCTGAAGCAATCAGATACGATGAAATCAAATGATCGAAATTTTTAAAAATACTAACCTCTCTACAAAGACGCTTTATTATCCTTAAAAATGTTCAGATCGTCGTAAATCATACAAAACAAACTTCTAAGTGCTATTTCAACGTTTACTCATAACACCGCTGCCATTTGAACGATTTTCTCCCACATGCATTTACGTATTGTAGACATCGCAAAACAAAAACCATATATCCGAATTTCTAAAATTTTCTCATTTACGGTACTTTGCTGTGCCTAGCTCTTCAAAAAGTTTTGAGGGTAGGTACACTTTTACAGAAAGTTATCTCTTGCCGATGATCCACCCCCTCTGACTTAGAAATCTTCCTGCGGGTGCCCATGGTCACTACGTAACAATTCATATTATTCAATGCGAGCGTTTATCTTTCCTTTGTAAAAACCTATAATTCAAATTTTACCCCCTATTTTTGATTCGCCACAGTTGGGCGGGGCATCCTTACAAAAGTTGATATGGGGCCCCTGTGGAGCAAGACCTGCCAACCAGAGAACCCATAAATCCTCAACACAAAATCCATAAAACGTCAAAACGCACTCAATCTTAAAAAACTTCAAATATAGGCAAACATCTCTATTTTTGTAGTTTTAGGTTAGGATATCTCGGAAACTAGAGCCAATTGACAGATTTGGACCACGGATTCGGATTCAGCGCGTCAAAAACCTTCCGGAAAGTATACTCTAATTTCTGGGTAAGAGAGACGGCTCACCTTTGTCGGCTCACCATGAGATGAGGCCTGACAGTTGATAAAATTCTATTAATTATCATGTGCAGCATTTTTACCTGGAACAGCTTCGACGAGTGTTAACAAATCCCCACAGTGCGCACGAGCAATCAAAACTTGAAATGTATCTTAATTTTTTTTTAATTCTTGGGTAGCCGCAATTTCAACCAAAATACGTTTTTTTTAGATTCCGAATGCGATGTCCGTTTTTCGCTGAGATTGATGAAAAACATCAAACAGTCCATTTACATACTTCAAAAATGGCTCCGAGACACTTTGAGATTTTCAATGACCGTACTTGGAAAAAGAATCCCAAATTACCCCTGTGTAGTAAAAACCTTTATACAGGGTATCCAAAAAGTATGGTATTAACAAAATGTCTTGAAAAAAAAATGTATTCCTAGAGAAGAATGTTGTTCAGCCCATACTGAATGTTTGTGCTGAATCCCCCTGTATAGACCGCGCAAGAATGGTTACTGCCAGAGCCCTCTTACGACGGGCCTCCTCGCATTCCACCGCTAACTTCGAGACAGTGAGTTTCTTTGTTTTCATACAGTAGCAATCGAGTAGGCAGGAGGATAAATATCAGAGCCTCGATATTAGGAGCTTAAAGAAACGTTGTTAATCCGATTTTTGAAATGTCTAAGGTTAGTAGAACTGGGAATCGCCTTCTCAGGTAGATTGTTCCACAATCTTGATACCCTAGAGACAAAGGAGTGGGCCAAAATCATGCGGGTCTATCTGGCAAGCACATGGCCCGGCGGCATCATCGAAGACAGCTCTGAAGAGCAAATCCCGTTGGCATAGCGGTAGAAGAGAGCTAGATCGCCGACGGTACGTCAGTGCGAAAGGGTCCCGAGACTGTCCGCTCCAAACATGTGAGCAGTACTCGAGGCTAGGTCTTATCTGGGCCTTGTACACAGTGAGGAGGCTAGGTGGAATACAGTACTTCTTAGTCCTAAACAAATAGTCTAGCTTTTTTCCAGTAGTTGCCACTATTGACGAGATGTGTTCGTACCAGATTAAGTACTAGGTGATCTGGACTCCGACAAGTCAGAATGACTGGCTTTTTGGTAAGACTCAGCCATCCATCAAAACCTCATAAGCGTTAGGGCGCTTCTTGTTAGTCATGGTGCAGTACTACAGTACTGTGTTTTAAAAGCATTAAACTGTAAGACATTGCTGTGTTCCCAAGCAGTGATAACCTCCAGATCTCTCGTCAGATAGGAAGTCGCTGCTAGTCTTTTCTCCAGCTCACCGGCAGATCGACTTATTACTCTGAATTCCTGCATGTGGATCGGAGTGATCGTACATGAAAGGAGGTCGCTGGTATGTAACAGGAACGATGTCAGCCTCCCATCTGCAAAGCCTCTTAGGGATGCCATAGGATAGAAGTTTAGAAGTTTGCATAAGAGGGCAACATGTCACAGCTGATCGAACGCTTTCGTGAAATCAAGAACAACCACATGAGCCTCATCATAAAAATGCATGAGTTTACCCCACAGTTGCGTGACGTAAGCTAGGAGGTCCTCCGTGGATCGCTGGTGCCGGAAAGCATACTGTCTATTACTAATCAAGCCGTGACGTTCAAGGTACTCGCATAAGTTCCGAATAAATCGCAACCCGCAACTACGATAAAACCGCTATAACGCCCGCAGTGGAATTCCTACAATCTTCCAAGGGTATTTTCCAATAGTGCCAGCGGAGATACAAACTTCTCTCTCTCAAAGTCTCGCCTACTTGGATTTAGAACCCACAAGTGAAAGAAGAGCTGGCGCCAGCAATGAACCCCCAGGAGAAAGACCACGAAGACCTCCACCATCTGGGGTAAGGAATTAGTCATTTTTTAACCCTGGGCATCAGAGGGTTCAGCCCAAACAGCTTCTTTTCGCTCGCCATTCACGCAACGCCATAAATTTTATGAAGTTTGAAAAGGACCATCTAATTGTGACCTTGAAGAGAGAATAATTTTATTTTCAAAATACAACAGAGATATACAGGGTGTCCCAGAAGTCGACGTCAAGCCGAAACCTTACAGCTATCAGAAAAATATTTAAAAAAATTTTTTGTATGTGTTTTGAAAATTATAGGCCTTTGAAAAAGATATAGAAATTTCACACCCTACGGCAGTCTGTCAACTCCTGTTACTACAAATATTAACTTTTTCTGGATTTTATTTTTACAATGTAATGATGAATAATGCATCTTCAAACTGGTGTCTCAACCTTACTGCCAACTTTTCTCGTACAGGAAAAATTGCCACTTATTTCCCAACCAAGTATTCCAAAGTAAAACTTTGCTCAACTTCAACTGGCTGTACTGGAAAAAATGTACTACGAGAGTTTGGCAAGTAACCTTAAAAGTTGGCACATTTAATAACTATTCCAAAATGATATAACACTTAGAAGATTACTCGTTAACTTATGCACAATTTTTATTTGAAAAAAAACTGATGAAAATTTTTCAAAATTTCCTAATTAAACAGCGATTATGAAAACGCACAAGGACCCTTAAGGATAACTGTTTGCACAACAGTGGGCGTCAAAATGCTGCTGATGATGATTTACCTTTACAGCAAATGCTCAAACTGTTATCCTTCAGCCGCAATACACGCTCGACATCTTCTTAAAAAAGATCGGGTTATTAAACGAGCGAATCCACGGTTATTAACAACTCCGCTGCTTCCAATAGTCTTTGCCGTAGCTCAGCTACATTTTGAATCGGCTTGAAATACACTTTTTCTTTTACAGTTCCCCAGTAAAAAAATCTAAAGGATTCAAATCAGGTGATCGGGCTGGCCTCGGTATTGTACCAGACCGCCTTATCCATCTGCCTGGAAAGTTTTGATCGAGATACTCTCTCACTGAGAGTGCATAGTGCGCTGGGCAGCCATCATGCTGAAACCACATGTCCCTGTAAATACTAAGTGACACGTCCACCAATAATTTTTGTACATGATTTTTCAAAAAATCGAAATAAACTTCAGCAGTCAAAGTCTCTGGGAACTCAAACGGACCGATTATTTTACCATTTAAAATTCCTGTCCAATGGTTTATCTTGAAGCGATATTGAGATTTATCTTCTCTCATCAAATGTGGGTTTGCTACGTGCCACTCGTGTAAGTTATGCAGGTTCATGTACCCATCTTTCTTAAATGTGGTCTCATCCGACCATAAAATTTTTTCAAAGAACTGTGGATCTTTCCTGTGTCTTTCAAACATTGTGCGACAAAAAGCAACTCGGGGCTCATAATCCCGGGGCAGGAGAGGTTGAACACACTGTATGTGGTATGGATGAAGCACATCACTTACTTGCTATTGCACACTTTGATACCGATCAGTACTCCTTCGTTTACTGCGCATCTTTACATGTTCGTGCTTGTTGATTTCGTACTGTTACTAATTTTGGATTCGTGAACTGGACTGTTGATCGCTTGTGATTTGGATTTGGACTGTTTAATTGCTCTTCAAAACAACATTTGCTTTCCTTAGACTATCTTTGATAGTGTGATTGTGCAGTGCCGCTATGTCCGTGTACACCGTACAAGAATATGCTAACATGCACCTCATTTATGGGGAATGCAGATGCAACGCTAGTGCTGCAGCGAGACTTTACTGCGAGAGGTACCCGAATGTAGCTCGTCATCCAGATCATCGAGTGTTCACAAATGTGCACCGCTTACTGTTCTCAGAGGGCCAACTACCAAACCAATCACACGGTGAGGGAAGATCTTTCCTTCCTTACGAAGACGTGGTGCTAGGAGCTGTCGAAGAAGACCCGAGTACTTCAGTGCGTGCAATAGAACTAAAAACAGGTGTGCCCAAAAGTACAGCCCATAGAATCGTGCAAAAAAACGTGCTCCATCCATACCACGTACAGCGTGTTCAAGCTCTTCTGCCCCGGGATTATGAGCCCCGAGTTGCTTTTTGTCGCACAATGTTAGAAAGACACAGGGAAGATCCATGGTTCTTTGAAAAAATTTTATGGTCAGATGAGACCACATTTAAGAAAGATGGGTACATGAACCTGCATAACTTACACGAGTGGCACGTAGCAAACCCACATTTGATGAGAGAAGATAAATCTCAATATCGCTTCAAGATTGGACAGGAATTTTAAATGGTAAAATAATCGGTCCGTTTGAGTTCCCAGAGAGTTTGACTGCTGAGGTTTATTTAGGTTTTTTGCAAAATCATTTAGAAAATTTATTGGAGGACGTGCCACTGAGTATTTACAGGGACATGTGGTTTCAGCATGATGGCTGCCCAGAGCACTATGCACTCTCAGTGAGAGAGTATCTCGATCAAAACTTTCCAGGCAGATGGATAGGGCGGTCTGGTACAATACCGTGGCCAGCCCGGTCACCAGATTTGAATCCGTTAGATTTTTTTTTCTGGGGAACTGTAAAAGAAAAAGTGTATTTCAAGCCGATTCAAAATGTAGCTGAGCTACGGCAAAGACTATTGGAAGCAGCTGAGTTTGTTAATAACCGTGGATTCGCTCGTTTAATAACCCGATCTTTTTTAAGATGTCGAGCGTGTATTGCGGCTGAAGGAAAACAGTTTGAGCATTTGCTGTAAAGATAAATCATCATCAGCAGCATTTTGACGCCCACTGTTGTGCAAACAGTTATCCTTAAGGGTCTTTGTGCGTTTTCATAATCGCTGTTTAATTAGGAAATTTTGAAAAATTTTCATCAGTTTTTCTTCAAATAAAAAATGTGCATAAGTTAACGAGTAATCTTCTAAGTGTTATACTATTTTGGAGTAGTTATTAAATGCGCCAACTTTTAAGGTTACTTGCCAAACTCTCGTAGTACATTTTTTCCAGTACAGCCAGTTAAAGTTGAGCAAAGTGTTACTTTGGAATACTTGGTTGGGAAATAAGTGGCAATTTTTCCTGAATGAGAAAAGTTGGCAGTAAGGTTGAGACACCAGTTTGAAGATGCATTATTCATCATTACATTGTAAAAATAAAATCCAAAAAAAGTTAATATTTGTAGTAACAGGAGTTGACAGACTGTCGTAGGGTGTGAAATTTCTATATTTTTTTCAAAGACCTATAATTTTCAAAACACATACATAAAATTTTTAAAAAATATTTTTCTGATAGCTGTTATGACTTTGCCTATCACCCGGTTTCGGCTTGACGTCGACTTCTGGGACACCCTGTATATTTCTACTACTGTCATATTGTTACTCAAATGCTGTAGCTACCAGAAGTGAAATTTGTACATTCAAGTGTAACTTTCAAATCTTGTCAGACCTCATGCACAATGAGCATAACACCGCCATAGAAGATATTTTCATGGCGTTAATTTTAATAGTGTTAATTGAACTCAATTAGAAGTATGAAAAATATTATCAATGGTGTTTGTTATACAAAAGGTGACCCAGAAAATAAAGCCAAAAATAACATGTTGTTAAATGCTGAAGTTTTGAAAAACGTGAATTGACTAATATGCAGAATTGACCCTGACATAAATCCTAATCTAGTTTTTACTTTTTTTGTACAGATGCGATATCTTATGTTATTCTTTTAGGAAAAACTTTCGCTTGAACCCAATAATAGCAACGAGGTTATGGAAGTTTGGTCAAACCTTCTGCGTCACTCAGTATATCTAAGTAATATTAATAGTTAGTTTATTTGCAAAAGCTAAATTACTGATATGTAAAACATACATATGGACTCAGACAAAGGACTTCATTATCAGACAATACAACAAGATAGGAAAAATGAAAGGGCCTGTTAGTTTATTATTATATAAGTTTTTAGGTAAGTTAATGTTAATTTTAATGGTTAATAATATAGTTTTAAATAATAAAATAAATCATACTAAACAAGTAAAACGCAAACCATGCAAGAATAATTTAGAATATTAATATTGTTTAAATACATGGAGTATTTTTTTATTCAATATTACTGATACAGTACGATCAAGAAATGTTACATTAATTAAATAATATGCTTATTTAGGTGTATGATCTATTTGATCTATGACGAAAAGTATTTAGTAATGAATTCTATTTAATTAAAAACGTCATATGATCTAAATCTGTGTAAGCGGATATCATCTTCGGTTCAAAAAGTCAACAAAAACGTCTCAAAGGACTACAGATAATACAAGGCCGAAACTGAAAACTTATTCATCAGTAATGAAATATAACTTTTGCTAAATGGGAAATTTCCACAGATTTATACCATAAGAAACTGATTCTATGGAAAAATTAACTTAAATTGACTTTGTTCTAAGCTGTTTGATAGCTACATATCAATTCAACTAAATTCTAGCTTATAGCACAAGCATCGAGAATTCTTTGAAATAAGTTCATCCGCTGGTGATGCCCAATTAGGTACTTTGAAAATATTCTCTAGATGACCATTTTTCGACAAAAAATTTTTCCTGTTGATTTTCGCCAATAACTTTGGTAAGTGATTATGATAGCTCTTACTTATGTACTATATATACCATACTATATCATATTAACTCCGAAAATAAAAAGACTTCATTAAATTTCATTACATAAAGTATAATGCTCATATATACGTATGTATATGCCCTCCTCGTATATCTTGGCGCATGTCGCCTCTCCGCCTAATCTTATAACTTATAAGTAACCAGTATCAACCACCGACGCTAACTGTCGCACGGTAATAGCCTAATATTTTTTTAATTACATGGTCGATTGTAGGTTGTCGGTGGGTAGGATTATAGTTTATGAATACAGATGTTAGAGCAAACATTCACATGTAAAAATTCGTGTTTTAATAGTATGAGAAGAAGCTTATCAACTTTCGACGCCTAATTTGCTTTTCTCAAAATGAGCAGAAACCTATATGAATCGTCAAAGGAAGTTTGAAAGATTTTTATTTTTTCGTTTTTTTGCCCACATGTAAAAATTCGTGTTTTACTAGTATGAGAAGAAGTTTCTCAACTTTCGACGCCGAATTTGTTTTTCTGAAAATGAGCAGAAACTTATATGAATCGTCAAAAGAAGTTTAAAAGATTTTTATTATTTCGTTTTTTTGCCCCTAGCTCCGCCACCACTGGACCAATTTGCAAAACCTATACAGTGGAGTAGTGACCTTGAGTCAAAGTTTCATCTAAATTTGAGCGGTATTTTTCAAGTTAAATGTAATGTAACATACAAAAAAAATTTTCGAAATGTTTCTCGATTAGAATACTTCATCTCCAATTGGCGAGGAAAGTAAATGAGAGTGATTTTTTCTAGTCATTGAGAAATGGCTCTAAATTTTCATCTCAAAGTACCTATTGAGATACCCATTATTACATCAACTATCATATTATCTGAAGCGCCTGAAAATAGACTCCGTACCTGAATCATCCTCGCTCAACTGCTCCCCCTCATACAACGCCACATCAGACCCACTAGAGCTGCCCACAGTCTTCGCTGCCCCTATAAGGGGTTGCTGACTCTTCTTAAGGATCCCCTTAAGCGGTGGACTCCTACCCCTACTATCTTCGTCCGAATCTGAATCCATCTGAGTCACCCGTTTCTCCGGCGTTTTAAGTACTGGTATTTTACTTTCAACCCTCGTAGTTACAGTTTTACCTGTTGGGTCTATGCTAGTGGTGGTTACTGTCGTCCTACCACTCATGTCTGTCGTGGTAACTGTCGTTTTACCTGTAGCATCTGTTGTCGTTACTGTATCTATTATTTTTGCAGTCTCTTCATCATCATCCCAATTCACGTCTTTAGACAATGTCACAAACTCTTTTAGAGGATCTTTAGAATGTTTCTTGATAGTCTTTATCTTAGCACCTTTTACAGCAACAGGTATCTTAGTTACATCTTTTTCCTTATCTTCACTAAACAACAAATCTATATCTTTCTCCTTTTCCACGACTTTCCTCGACTTAGCTACAGGTATGCCACTCCTTGGACTCTTTGGACTCTTCGGTGTCACTTCAAAAGACTCATGTTCACTTTTAACACTTATAGGACTCGAATCTTCATTCTCTAAGAATCTAAACGCTTCTTCACTTTTATCTTGAGCCACAGAAACTGAGTCATCCTTGAGACTTTCCAGGTTATCCAGAGAATCTTCAGTCACGGTCTTGACATCGTCAAACACACTATCGTTGGCATGTATGATTTCTTCCTCTAACTCTTCTTTGAACCTCAACACTTTACTAGTTCTGTCATCTGTCAATTCACTCAACCTATAGCTCACTGCCTCTTCTGCCTCACGTATCACATCCTCAACTTCATTTAGAACTTGTTCTCTTAAACTTTCGTTGTAGTCACTGGTGGATCGTTTAGGAGTCTTTAATGCAATAATTTCGAGGTCTATGCTTTTAGCTACATGGTCATCTTTTCTGCTAGGGATGATAATATCTTCTTCAGGTAGAAAATCGTTTCTTTCTTGGTGCAAAAAGGTAAGAGTGTCACTAACGTTCTTTCTCAAAACAGCTATTCTATCGTCGAAAGAATCTTCTGTTGGAGGTGCAGAGGGAACTGGAGTGTTTATCTCTTTTTTAGGTTGTTCTTGTTCCAACTGAACAATTTCTTTTTTCAACATATCTTCTGAAGGTTCTAAGACCTCTTCGTTCTTTATATCAGTCTTTATTTTTTCTTCGACCTCTTTCTTTATTAGTTCTTCTGAAGATTTCTTAATCTTTACTTCAAAAGGTTCTTGCTTTGCAACTGTCACTGCTTCTTTTGTTAACGTATAATCAATATTCTCTTTGAAAGTTTGATCTGAGGGTACTCTGTCAACCTTCGGCTCAATTTTTACTTCTGTTACAATTTCCTTTTTGATAAGATGTTCTGTTAGATTTGATACTTGTTCTTCTTCTTCTTCAACCTTTGGTATAATTTTTGCTTCGGTCATAATTTCTTTTTTGATGAATTCGTCTGATAGAGTAGGTTCTCCTGATGTTCCTTGTGGAAATATGAAAGGTTCAATCTACTGATAGACTATAGCAAGCTGATGCCATGCGCTTGTTAGATTTGCGTGTGCTGTTGTGCAAATTATAAAGAGAAAACAGTGCTATAAGCCTACGACTGTGAAAATAGAGAAAGGAACCCAGAAATGCAAGTGGTATGCTCGAAAATTCTGCACTTTGTTTTGTTCCGTAATTCAATTTATTGTAGCCTTTTTCTGTTTTGTTTTTCCTAAAAGACGTATTTCAATTATTTTAAATCAAGAGATTGCATGGCAGTGCAAAATTGGTTGAAAAAATTAAAAAAATAGTTTTTTCTGTGACAGGAAAAAAGTTAGACATTTTATCTCTGTTGACAGGTAACAAAATGTCACTTTTTATAAAATTACTTTTTTCCCCGGGAAAAAAATTAGTACTTTTTCCCGGATATTGAATAAACGATTTAGCTGGCAATAATTTTTGTGACGCTACTTTGGCTACTTCTACTAGTTCCGGTGGAGTCAAAGAAAACTCGGAATCAGACATTTTTTACTTTATAGTATCAAAAATGACTTCTAAACAACCACTAAGTTCACAATTTATAAATCAAATCACAAACTTTTGAATACTTTAAAAGTTTCCTTAGCAACGCACGTCTAATTGTACAACATAGCTTACTAATTTCAAAATTCTAATTTCACATCGATAATTTTATGACTTAAATATTGTAATAATATATATAATAATAAATAACTATTTTTCGCCCCGGGTTGTGTTTAGCTTTTTTGGATAATTCTGAACAAAACGGTCCTTAGTAATGTTCTGGTATTCTAGTATTCTACAGAATGTAGCAGGACCAACTAAGCAGTTTCAAAGAGTTGAAAAAAGAGCATCTTGAAGACAATATCTTCAAAACTTGATGAATTCAAAATGATATGAACTGTTGACTCCGAAATTAGAAAGATTTTTTTCTATAGATCCAGATGTTTTATATCACACTTTGAAACTGCTTAATTTTTTCCTGCCGCACCCTGTATAATACCACTGTATCACCTGGGAATATGGATCCGTGAACTTATTGTCGATAACTTGTGGTACATGGAATCCCGAATCCCGAATTGTATTAAGCTAAATAATATTTTGTTTAGAAATTCTTGACCTCAATGAACGATCACAGGATGCAGACTTTTCAAGCTGTACACTTGCGTAACCTTTCACCAGACCAGGTCCTTTGGAAAAGCGTATATATTAAAATGGGCATGACCTATTTTGTTTTGGTTAAGGGATTACGTGGGATATCGGAGGATTATAACCCAGAGCTCTACCATTTTATTTTGAGGACAATTAATTTTTTCACTGACATAAGCTGAATAATTTGTTATTAAAATGGAAATTCTGCCCGGCAAAACTTTAAAAAAAGTGGGTGTTTCAAATTATCCTCTCACCATCGGGAAACGATAAGATACGAAGACGCTTAAATAGAGGCAATGTTGCTCATTTGGGTAACTACGAAAATAACAGGTTTCGCAATTCCGATTATTTCCATAGAGTGACGAAAAATAAAACAAAGTTTGCCAAAATCGTTTTAATTTTTTCTTAACTTTGTTAGAGATAGGATTTCAAAGTAAAAAGCGTATTAACATTGCTACCTTTTCTCCTCTACAAGATGGCATAATTAGAATTCCACACTATGGCCTTTCGTCAGTTGTCTACATCATCTACTTTATTTTCCCATATGGACGCAGGTGAATAGATTTTTTGATTTCGATTTCAAAAATGTTTGATATATATTACACTGACATTGATAACGCTGTTATCACATGTTTATCCGATTAAATCATAAATGCTAGTAGCGTTTTTAAAAGATAATTTGCCCATTTATCGATTAAAACAAGCGTTACTTTAGCACGATGGAGGCGCTCTATATTTTACCTAAGCCGTAGATTAATAGCATTTTAAAGGATACAAGAAGTTGTTACAGTTTCTTTTTATGGTCGTCTAAAAATTAATAATATATAATAATCTTGATAAAGTAAATTATTGCAGCGTTTTTCTTATTTAGAATAATAATTTATAGCAGTTCTTGAAAACATCAAATTTCATTTTTATAACAAACCACTCCTCTTAGTCTAATAATTTTAAGGTAGAAAATCGTACTCTACTCTTCATCTCGTTGGAGGTTATTTTTTATAAGTTCTGTCGACCGTAGATATGAGAGCTAAATATGACTTGGTGTTATTTCTGGTGCTCAGGTGTAAGAATTCTGCGGCCCACCACCCGATTTCGTGATAGCTTCATAAGATGAGTTGCGGATTTATAGGGTGGTGGGGTGGTTTTTATTAGAAATGGTTTTTATTGACGGACCCTTTTCTCACCCTTTTGGAGATTTAACCGTGCAGATAATTACGCTCAACCATGGAGCTGGCAAGTGACCATTTTCTCCAAGCCACATGTTCATTTCCTCAACATGATTTCTAATTCTATAGAGGGGAACCGTCTAGAGGGTTAGTCCAAGGCGAGTTTGAGAGGGACTCACGCCTATGAGGAGCAGTTTCCCCATTTTTGGAGAACCCTCATTGTTAGAGGAAATCATGCTTTTTTTTTTACTTTGCTAGGCCTGTCTTAAGCTCGTACAAACTGAAAACACAACCAATTCGTTCAAAAATTAAGCATGAGTCTATCCGTAATTTTGTTTGTTCCGGTTAGGCGTTCTTATTTAGCATTAGGGTTATACTTTAACCAGTTAATTATCCATTGTTTAGGTCAATATGGAATTCGTCAAAAATTATTAATTCATCAACCTATTTAGTAGTAAAAAGAGAAATGTTTTGAATTTCTCATTGGTAACATTTATATATTGTTTTGTATCAAAGCAGATACACTGAGAATAATATAGTGTTATTTTTTATGGCGGTAGTTTCTGATATTGGTTGTATATTTACTGAAATTGATTGAGCCATGTTCACTAGGTAAAATATTCCGGTGGTTCTCAAGTAACATTTTAATTGCTTTATTTATAAGCTGAGAGAGGACATGAAATATTTTACTTCTGGATCCTTATGTTGTTTTCAGGTATCTGATTATTTCAATTTAATTCAAATCAATTTAAAAATTTGGGTGTTTGTTGCTAGTGCAATCACGATTTTCCTTGTACACCGTGATTGAACAACAACTTTGTTTTAATTTTAATAGGCTTTGAATCGACGTAACCCAAGACTAAATGGTTCCATGTCAACATATCGGTTTAGATATAACGGATTTGAAATGTGTTTAGGCAGCTGCAACATTGTCTAGGCTTTTATTTACTCTAAAATTTTTCTACCAGTTTCATAAATTAGTACTGTTTTTAACGTTTTCTATACTACCCTCAAATGATATAATATCTTAATATTATGTTCTTCTTTATTCGATAAGTTAAGACCAACTATAGGGAGATTACTTTTTTGACATTTGCAGTTTTATAATATCAATCCATGTCAGGATTTGTACAATATCACATCTCATAAAATCACTTATGCTTAGCTGGTGATTTGATGAAACAAATGACTCAAAGCCTACTAAGGAAATTGTTGTTTTTTTCTAAATAACTAAGGTTTGGCAGATTCAATGTATGACATATTGTAGATTTTTTGAATCTTGGAATGGGATTAAAAACTCTATTCACCTGTGCAAAAATACAATATTTCGTTCATAAGAAACAGTAAAGTTGATCATTGAGGAAAAAAATACAAAACGTCATATTGCAACTGTCAATTATGCCATCTTGTAGAGGAGAAGAAGTCGCAATCCTTATGTGACTTTTTCCATCGTTCTCCGGAAATATTCGGAATTGCGAGGCTTTCTATGTGTCAATTTCTTAATTACCTAAATGCAGAATTTTGCCCACGTTTAAGCCACTTCGTATCTTTAACCGTTTCCAAGATCTCAAATTACCCATTCGGTAATCGGCCATTTTATATTAAAGATATATTGAATTAGTACTTGACTATTGAATATAAACTGACCCTTCAACTGTCTTACAATATGTTACCACCAGTATTACACAGACGGCCGGTATAGGTAGTATAAATAGCAACACTGGCTTGATGTTGCCTGCCTAATAAAGGTATTCGACCTGTAAATTAACCCTCTATCCCCCGATTTAATAAATCATAGAAATATGACAGCATTCAGACGGGTAACACCCTTAATTAAACAATGCCTATGCTGCCTCAGTTATGTAATATTCGTTGTAACATATTGTATATAAATGGTTGTTTCTCTGCTTTTTCCAAAGAACTAACGATATTTTTCTAACAAATGGTAATGTAGCATTAAAGATATGTAAAAATGCTCTGAGGTTATAAGCTCTTCAGCATAGTCAATATTTAAGTCAAATAATGAAACATTTGATCTACCTCCTTTTTTCAATATTATAATTTTATTTTGTTCAAAATATACTGCTGTTGTATCTTAAAAATTTTGTTTTTCATATAAATTCCAAATAAATTTTTGTTTGTTTAGGATTTATTTAGCATCATTGCTAATTACATTCTTCAAAAAATATACTTCAAATTCTGATTTACTACCATCAAAATGAATTACTTTGATTACAAATCTAAAACTTATATAAAATCGAAGTGGAACAAGCCATGAGTGTACTAAACAAAATGGTAGATATTTGCTTTTAAATATTGACTATGGAAACCTGCGACAAAAACATAAAAAATAAAAAGCAGACTGTGTATTTGCGGTGTTTATTTTTTAAAAAATAATCATTCACATACCTTTGACGGGTGACAATGTTTCAACATTAAAGTTACAGTTGGTATCATTTTCAATTTCGTGTTGTATGAAACTCGCATTAGCGTTTTTGTCATCTGTGTGAACAGGTGTATCGCTTACAGGTTTCGGCGTTGAAGTCACCTAGTTAGAAAAAATAGTTATATAGTTTTATATAGTTTATGACCCGCAGCGCCAATGACGATTATTATGTCCGAAATGCATACAAAATTTCATCTAAAATCCCCTAAAACCAAATATTTAGAGTAACGTTTAACTATAATGGAAAATGGGATAAAAATAGATTTAAAAGTCCCTTTCAAAGGTCATACCTGGGCATGTTCAGTAATCTTCTGGCAAATTTCAACATTAGAGTTGACAGGGGTATCAGGTCTATTGTCTAGTTTTTCAGCGTGCGACACTACATGCTCACTAATGCTGTCTGTTATGTCTTTTCTTGTAGAGTTTTGGTTTTGTATATCTGAAAACGAAAAATACAAGGCCATATGGAAAAGCGAATTATACAGGGCGACAAGGTTTTTATCCAAAAACCATAGTATACTCTCTAATGTTCAAAACTTAGGAAACTGTAAGTGATATAAACAACTATTACAGGAACTCATTATTAATGTTTATGTTCTGTGATTACTTGACCTGTCTTTGAATTAAGTTACACTGACGACCAACAATTGGCCAGAAACGCGTGTCTATATTTTTATACATAATATTACAGCTACTGGAAAAGATATCGCAGTCTGTTCTATTGACTTATCTCCTAATCAATAAATTCCAGGTATATTATAATAACTTTCTAATATAAATTTTTCTATATGTACTCTTTATATTTTATTGTATCTCGGTACGTGAACAACAGCTCTGAATACGGTCCTGAGTTTTACCAGATTCACACCTGATTCATTATTGCCAACATTTCGGAATAATATAAAGATGTCACTTGCTGATGAGATGTTCAGTTCGGTAGACGTCAAAACGTACTGGATACTCCTGAAATACACCGGTATTCTTCACGAGTATCCATGACGTCTATTGAGATAAACAGCTGATCACTAAGTGACTTCTTTGTATCAAATACTGCAGTGGTGGCAATAATGAATTAGGTGTAAGTCGGGTATTCAGAACTGTCAAAACACACACAAGAACTGTTTACATTGTTTTAGTTCCATCTGACTTGAAATATAGTCATGGTCGTTAGCAGCGATTTTTCTTGTAGTATTTTTTTGCGTGCAGAGTAACGTTTCTAAATAAAAGTGTTGTTAGAAAGTATGAAACCGTAGCGTATAAAAGACAAAAACAAAATACAACTCCGACTCGATTTGGACCACAAATTCGGATTCAGTGCATAAAAAACCTTCATGAAAGTATACACTAGTTTTTGGGTAGAAGGCTCGGCTTTCTTAACGGTCGTATCGTTAGTCATTCCTGCAATTTTAGGACGCTTTTAGGGCCTCCTTGATTTTGATAGCTTTTTCTCTGCTTCAGAAAGGCTGGGGTATTTCTAGATTTCTACTGGTCCGTTTCAGCATCAGCGCTTTCTTATTCTAAGGCTAGGTTTGCTCTTTAAATTGTAGGAAATTTCAGGCTGATATTAAATCAAATTGAATCAAAAGCATGAACAATTTGATGCAAATAAATATTTGTAACATAACCTCAAAATAGAATGCTGATACTGAACAGTAGAAAACTATGAAAACCAAGGGGGCTTAAAAGCGTCCTACAATTGTAGGAACGACTAACGATATGGCCCTTCTTATTTGCGCTTGCTTTGGTTGTTCTGGTAGTTAGGCTTCAGCTAGTCTAGTGACTACAATCTTTCAGTAACTAGAATATTTTCTTACCACTTTTTTCACTTCTGTCAGTCTTATCCAGCTCATCTTGACTGCTAAAGTACGCCTTATCTAAGTGCATATCTCTCTTCAATGAAGTATCTCTGGAATGTCCGATTTCGTCTCTGAAGGCCTCGAAACCTGATTGGTCCAAATGCAACTTAGCCAAGGCTTTTTCCATGTCGTCTGTCACCAATTCAACGTTACAAATGCATTTGTTCACAATGTCTTGGCGTCCGATTTTGTTTAGGGCTTGTTCTAATTTGTTGCCTGAAACAAAGATAGGATGGAGTATTTTCAAATACGTTTAGACAAAATATGGATATTTTAAACAGAACAAAAAAATGCCCCCAAATGATGATATTGTTATAAATATTTGGCACTGAAATGTTATATGTTAGAAGTATTTGACTTACCAGTAGCTTTATTAGCTTTTTGCCTCAACCACAATCTGAACATGATCATAGCTTGTTGTGGGATGCTCTCAGGATATTCTTCCTTTATCAGGTGAATATCTGATGGAGGTATGTCGAGTTCCATAGCCAGTTTTTCCCAGTCTTCGTCTAGAAGGTTGCAGATATCTGATAAACGGAAATCTGCCCTGTGTATTGTATCAGGTTTACCTAGAAAAATTGTTTATTCAGAAAATAATAGAGGATTGTTTAAATGAATACAGTGTGCTACGAGGAGTATGAAACACAATGGCGCAACGGCTAATTTGGTAATATTTGCCAAAACAACTGCAACACGGGTTTCGCGTTTCATGGTTTGTGGGTTGCAGACTCATAGGATAGTATATGGAGTATACTTTTGGAACAAAATGTGATGGAATGTAGTTGACTGTGAAGATCGCATTTCGCTGGTTGTCTGCGAAAGTGTATAGGTTTTGGGATACGTCGTAATTTCATATAAGGTATTGCAATCTGGCAGTTGTAGTTACATCAAGGGCGTGCCTATATTGCGACATGTTTTGAGATTATTTTTGAGTGTAAGATACTTGATAATGTGATCTAGGTAAGCCAAGTCGTCCTTTGGAAAGGATCCATGACGGCATATTCTACTTACTGATCCCGCCATGTACCAGATAGCTGTGGTCTTTATCGATAGACAGAAGATCAGACTGCGAATCTCGATTTGGCACGATGTCTTTAGGAAGGACGAGGTTGAGTGTACAAAGTGGTGTTTGAGTGGGTTCACCTTTGGCTACTTTCGGGTCAGTCATGAATACAACTCTGCCTGCCGCTTCTTCATCCTTAAATCAGAAAAAGATCTTGAAATAGTCAAGTACCGAAATGCAAGAAAGTAGCAACTTACGGGATCTCGTAATCTCATATTGAATGCAGCCCTATTTTCCCTAAATGCTCTAAATCCAAATTTAGGTTGATCTCCAGATTGGAGTACCGGTACTAGGTTCCCAGCGAATTCCATGTAGATGTCTTTTCCTTCAAGCACCTATAATAGTTACTTATGTATCTAGGGCATAAAGTACTTGTTTATGATCCGCAGCGCGAAGCTAGAACCCAAGGCGAGAAATGCCGTGGGCTCCAACACGCCAAGAAATATAAACGCTCACTACGCCCGAGATACGTACAAAATTTATTTACGACATTCTAAAATTTAGTGCAGCCTTTAAATAGTCATAAAATTAAATAAATTGGCCATACCATATCATGTCGTGCCGGCAGTTACATCGTCTAACAGCAATTAAACATGGACATTTATCGTGGTCAATGAGTAGAAAACTTAAAGACTGTGGACGTTAAAGTTATTTAACGTCATAAACGTAAGATATCCCTTGTACTGAAAAGTGTGGTTAACGCCCGGAAAACCAATTAGTAGACTATACCTCTATATCTCGACTTTTGGCGATCTCGGTAAAATGTTCTTGATGTTCCAACGTCTTATCTTCTTTGTCATCTGTCATACAGAATACCCTTATTCTTGATTCTAAAGGAGACACTCTTTTTGCGAATACCACGAATTTCGCCATGAATGGTACATGAGCTGCCTGAAATTAGAATTAAAAAATAGCATCAAGTCGATTCTGCACTGACCTCGCATTGCTGTCATCAGTTCAAAAAGGACACAAGTTAGTCCTTCTGAGAAAAAGTTAAGCTACGAACATAGATTACAAAAAATAAACGGATTAAGTCATATGATTAGTCCATGAAACTTTTCTCTGCCCTACCGACAGTACCAACTGACTGGCAACGTTGCTATGACCAACCCCGCCCATACCACTGCAATCCAATGGCTTATGACCCAGAGACGTGCCTGCTGAAAAAAATTACGAATCAAGTTTTGAAGGCAAATTGTACGCGGAAAACTATGATATATGAAAATGTATAATAGGTGTGTAGAATTACCGATTGAGATATACCCTCCCCACTTCCTACAACTCCCAACTGCCCATTTTTGAGCAGTACTCAATTTTTTCGACGAGGTTTGACCGATTTTTATATCAATCGCTTCTGGACCAATTCTCAAAAACTAAATACCGTTTTTCGGCTTTGGCATAGAAATAATCTTGTGTCAAATCATCAAAATCCAGGCAGCACTTTCCGAATTACAGAGCAGCCAAGGATTAGCGAACCGACAGATCGACAGCAGTGACGGAGTTACGGGGGTCACATCGCCCCCCAAGTTTTATGGCTAGCTACTACTTGCACCCACCGCCTCAAGCAAGCAGCCGTCAACACGCCCCGCTCCTCAATGTTCAATCGCCGGAGTTTAATTGATCATATTAGGCAACTTGCAATAAGTGTGCCTCCAGCAAACTTTCTCTAGCTCATGCTCATGATCGACAGACAGGCAGACTGAATAAGGGAAATGAGTTACTTGGTTTTTCATGATGTATACGTCATGCATATCATATCCAATTTTCGAGTTTGTCCGCAATTACAGTTCCTTAACAAAAAGCATCTGGGAATGATGGGTAGTAAAAAGTGAAAGAATTGGCTTACCTGATTGTAGAGCTCTGTGGCCATTTTGGCCGCATCTGAGATGTTTCTGCAATCCATCAACCAGAATCTGGCGGAAACGGTTGTCGTAAAGGAAACGCAATCTTTGACAAACGTCAGCGGCGTCGAACCTGTCACATCTTCCCATACGGCTTTGCTTTGACCACCTAATAAGCGTTAATGGATAGTAGAGTACAGTTTGAACAAGCTTTTTAGATTATTTCAATATTTATCAGAAAGTTTGCCAATAGTATATATCTAGATTTTTTTTGGAGAAAAGGTGTTTGTTAGCTATACCGTATTTGTTTATTTACATCCAAAATATGGTAGTATCACTGACCATAAAAATATCAAAGTTAGTCATTTTGACATTAATGTTGACTGTTGTCTTATGCAGAGCATACTAGAACCTATACAACGCGGCTTATCCACTAGTGCATGTCGTAACTGCATTCGGTCCTTGTATAATACAAGTATCATACGGTATACTGACAAAATTCCTGAATGATTTTTTTTATAAATATCACATAAAAATTTACAGTCCTCAAAAATCTACAAGGTGTTACATTCTCGGAATGTGTGTTATACACGTATACATAAGGTCACATTTATAAATCTTAGATTTTAAATAAACAATAACGCTCCTTTGAGGAGCATTCAGGGTTGGACTTAACATTTTGATTTCACACTAGTTTATAATAAGTGCCATCACAGATTTTCATAATTTGTAAGATTTTTGATTTTAGAAATCTGTTTGGTTTTAGACATAAGCAAAAATAAATTTTAAAATGAATTTACAATATTTTCGAAATATCAATAGTTTTCCACATATTCGATATTTTAGAAATCACCAAAATTTGCCAAATATTCGTAATTTTCAAAATTTACAATAATTTTGAAATTTCCAAACTTTCAAAACCTGTAATGATAACTGTTACAGCCTACTGTGAAGAGTATGTGTTAAATCCTCTATAGAATATTCGTCAAGAAAATGTTATTTGTTTAAAATCCAAAAAGAGATCATTCCTCAAACGACACTCAGTCCTCAAGGAACGTGTATAAATCTGACCTATAGTGTCATGAAAGGTTATATGAGGGCCATTTTAAAACTAAGAACCGATTGCGTATCGACTCTTCCACTATAACAACCTGACTAAGTATCAGACTCTAATCTGTTTCCAAAAGTTAAGGTATTTATTTGTGGAAAGTGCTTGAAAAATGATGACATGTTGAATGAAACAGTATAATCAAAATCACGAAAGATGACTATTACGTCACATCATAAATTTTACCGAAGTAATGAATGGACGTACGTCGATGATACAATCACGATATCAGGGACATAAAAAGTGTCTTGAAACTATGTCACTTAAATGTGCGTTCTCTAACAGCTCACTTTAATGATTTTGCCTCTCTTGTTCAATATAAGTTTGATGTTGTAGCAGTCACTGAAACATGGCTGCATTCCAGTATTGACAGCACTGTAGTCAATATACTTGGGTATAATTTCTTCCGTAAGGACCGTGGGAGCAGAGGGGGTGGCATCGGTCTCTATGTTAAATTAGATATTAGCACTAATCTTATCCCAGTTGAGCTCGATGACTTTATAAATCCTCTTGAAATGTTATGCTATAAATTTAAACTGCACGGGTCCAGTATGTTAATTGTTGTTATATATAGGCCACCACATTGCTCTATACATCAAGCCATCGAGTGTTTAGAAAATCTTATCTCATTTTTCACTCCCCAATATGACAACATTATATTCTTGGGCGATATGAATGTCGACTTGCTTGCTCATAACAACACCCTCAGCAGCTGCTTTGATTCATTCAATTTCATTCAAGTCATTGATGAGCCTACACGTGTTACAGCCTTCAGTTCCACATTAATTGATCCAATATTTGTTAGTGACAATACTATCGTCAAAAGGTCAGGGACACTCAATGCAGACTCAATTAGTGATCATCGGCTCACATACTGTGATATTTCTGTTTGTTATAAAAAAATAGAGCCTAAATTTGTAACATATAGAAATCTTAATAGCATTGATATTCAAAGTTTTAAGACGCAGATTGCATCAATGCAGCTTAATGACATTTACTTCGTGAATGATGTGGATATTAAAGTCTCTATTTTTACTGGCCGTCTTCTTTATCTATTCGATCTCTACGCTCCGCTACGTACAGTACGTGTCACAAAACCTGCTGCGCCCTGGCTCACTCCTAACTTGAAAATGATTTTTCAACTCAGAGATGAGGCATTCGCTGTCTATCAGCATAACAGATCTGATCAGAATTGGGCCAGCTACAAAGATTTGAGAAATTATGCCCTTGCATCGCTTAGAAGAGAGAAAAAGCATATATGTCACGTTTCCGGAATCTTAACTCTAGTCAAGCTTGGAAACACCTGAGGAGGATGAATGTGGTAGCCCAGAAACATGTTGCGATACCTCCCAGTCTCCTTGAGCCTAACATTTTAAATAATTATTTTCTTTCAATTTTCCAGACAGCTGCAGCTGATACAAATTTGATTGATAGTGTCTCTAACTCTTATTGCGATAGACGCCATACACCGGGTGCACCTCTGTTTGCTTTTAAACTCCTTACTCAGCAAGACATCGTCAATATAATCTCTCACATTAAGTCTACGGCATGTGGCTCTGATGGTCTAACTTTAAATATGGTTTGCTTATGTTTGCCTGATACCATAGACCATATAACTCACATTATTAATGTCTGTCTCGAAACAGGTTACTTTCCTGCCAGTTGGAAAAATGGTATTATTATTCCAATAGCTAAAACTAATCATCCAGAACAATATTCGGATCTCAGGCCAATTACCCTATTATGCTTTCTATCAAAAATACTCGAAAGAGCTGTCTACTCACAACTAGTGGAGTTTTTCGAACAAAACCACTTATTTCCTCTACATCAGTCAGGTTTCAGAGCTGGTTACAGCACTACTTCGTCTTTATTACTCTTACTGATTCCATCATTCACAATTTAGATAATCACATCAACACCGTCTTGGTACTGTTAGATTTCTCGAAAGCCTTTGATATGGTCAATCACCAGATACTACTGAGTAAGTTATCTCATTATGGAATGTCAGATATAGTTCTAAGGTTCTTTGAGTCATACTTGCTAAATCGTCAACAAACAGTGAAAACTGATCAGGGAATTTTCTCCTCTGAGCCAGTTCCTTCAGGAGTTCCTCAGGGCTCAGTATTAGGTCCCTTACTATATCTGATTTATACGATTGATCTGCAAGACTGTTTAGTCCACTGTAGTATGCAAAGTTATGCAGATGATACTCAGTTAGTGTTTGGTTTCGATCCATCAAAGGTTGATAAAGTTTCTTTTAAAGTTAATTTAGATTTGGCTAACATCTGTGATTACTGTAACAAACACTGCTTGAAGATCAATCCTAATAAAACTACTGCAACGTTGTACTGTTCGAAGAACTCCTACCGTGAAATGAAGCAGAGGATTTGTGTTTTTTTGGATGAGACACTCATCCCTTTTGTGGATTACGCCAAGAATCTCGGTGTTACCCTTGACTTAAATATGAGATTCGATCGGCATGTCTCTTTCTTATCTAGAGTAACGTATTTGCGTTTGAAACTCCTCTATTCTAATCGATACATCTTGAATTTTAAAACCCGAAAAAAGCTTGCTGAAAGTCTTGTGTTGTCTGTCATTTCTTACTCTCTTGTTCTGTATTACCCATGTTTAGACTACGTCCACAAAAGGAAACTCCAGAAAATTCAGAACAGCTGTTGTAGGTTTATTTTTGGATTGCGCAAGTTTAGTCGCGTCTCAGATAAAATCAAAGAACTCAACTGGTTGCGAATTGATAAGTTATTTTTATATCTTTTGACCGTCTTCACGCATAAAGTTCTATTATCTAACCGACCAGCTTACCTCGCTAGCAAATTAGTTCACCGAGGTAGTTTTGTTACCAGAGCTCTTAGATTTAATGCTAATTTTAATATGCCTCCTCACAATACCTCGGTCTTTGAAAGAAGTTACACCTATAATGCTGTCAAGCATTACAATGCAGTCAACAGTGGCTATCGATCCAAACAGGTTGTTTGGTTGTTTAATAAAAAGTCAGCTGCTGGAGTCCATTTAGTTCAGTTTTTCGTGTGCTCAGGTGATTTTTTTTTTGTTTGACTACTATTTTTGTTTAAAATTTAAAACTCTCGCAATGCTATCTGCATTTATCTCGTGCAATCATTGTTGTCATTCTTATGAATTGTATTTTTTTTTTGTCTGTTATTATTTTGTTTATGTGTGTAAGTATTATTTTTTCCTGTTGTGGGGTTGAGTGTAAGAGTAGCCGTCTGGCTAAACTTCGCCTCACTGCAGTTAATAAAGGCATTATTATTATTATTATTATTATTATTATTATAATGACAACAAATTTATATTATGATTTTGCAAAGTTATTCCACTGATTATTTTATTTTCATCTTAGTTAATGGTTTTGAGTAATACCTTAATAATAATTTTAGTGGGGAGGTTTTTTTTGAAAAAAAAAACAGTTATGAGTAGTTAAGACAGGAACTCCAAAGACCAAAGTATTATTCGTAAACAACCTAACCTGCTTTAACTATTCATCTTTCAAATATGATCGATCATGCAACAAGAAAACATCACCTATCTTTGTCGCATACATGCAAATTAGCAAAACAGTTTGTTTAGACAATAAAATTCTCTTTGTCTCTGTCTAACATATCTGAAACTTCATTGAAAATATTCCTACAAATCGCTGTCGCTAGTCTTTGCTACAGACTAAAATGATGACGTAATCGTCATATTTCGTGATTTCGACCATAACTAACTGATTTAACGGTCAGGCGACAGCGTTCTGACGACGGAATCCAAAAGCTGGTTGCACGTATTGAGAAATGTTTAAATGTTTATGAAAAACGAAAAAAATATCATATTTCAATTTTTGATACGTTCATAAATAAAGTTCATTTGACTCCATTACAAAACGGTTCTTACTTAAAAAATGTCGCACGTATTAAAGAAAAACCAACTTTCAGTAACGCATTTTGGTGGCTCGTATCTCTGTAGGACATGTTTAGTGTAACTCATTCTATATAAGACATATTGACTACGTATTTCGATACTCTGTATATTTAAGTATACATAAA